CCTCAATTCTTTAAGCACCAAGGGCATTAACCTCTACAAAAAAATACTCCCAAAGGTTTGGTTTTGGTACACCTCAAACACCAAGAAACGGATCATAGAGAGCATAAGATGAGGAAAATCACATCAACATAGGCAGAGATTGGAGCGCCCATGTCTTGAGCAACTTCAGCAATACTAGCAACCACCATTGTCCTATCTTGTGGGGGACGTGAAGCTTTCTACAGATACAGGGAGTCAAACAGTAAGTGCCTAAATTCCAATGAAAGAAGTTGTGGCAATGAATGCTTGCAATTACTAATACCCACGGCAAATTTCATCAACGGCTCGAAGAATTTTGCAAAGACCGGTTCAAAATGAGACCCCATACACTTTGCAAAGGCAGGAAGGAGGTCAGAAACTGCATCCATGAGGACCTCGTCATGTCCAGCATCATCATCATCATCACTCTCATCTCCTAACTGCTGGCAAGCTGCTTTCTCCGTAAGCAGTAGCAATGTCGCATCCACAAGGGGTGATAAATCTAGAAACCAATGTCGTCAGCACATTGAACAAATTTGAATATCCTAAAAAATAAGTTTTTATAAAACTGGCTCCAACAAAATAGACACCCACAATTTTGAATAGCAATGTAACCATAGTCCTTCATGATATCCGCTATGCTTATGCAAGCCTGAGCAACAACCTCCTTATCGTCATCTTCAGCCATGGTTTTGATATAAATATTCATAACTGTATCTGCGGTGGACAAAAACTGCTTCAATATCTTTTCATGACAATAAAACTTCTTGTTAAAGAGGAAAAAAATGCTGTGTGATTCAGATTACCAAGAATTTCATTTGCTTTTCCAGTTCCATCCTGCATAAGAACCAAACATTCAGCAAAAGGAAACTACCACGGCTGCCAATTTAAAAGGGAGCGAGGGAGAAAGATAGAGATATTCATGATTAAATCCCTTACATTATGATTCTGTAAGATAGCATGCGCTGCGGCCAATATATCTGTGATTCATACAGATAAAAGAGATATAATTTAGAGACTCGAAATACAATGGCAAGCTTTAATGCTACCATTACTATCAAGTCTAACTACTCTAACCGATAGATTACATAAGCTTTTAAAAGATCCGGTGAGCTGCAAATTTCTAACAAAATTGAGTGAACATGAAATCGCAAAAGTAAAGGGCCTAGACAATGGACCACATTATTGGCGGCAAGAAGCAAAAATTGGAACATCAATCATATGCCTAACTGTCAAGCAATTGTTAGTCCTCTTGTCTGTTTCTTATTCCAACATATGTCGGAAAGAAGTTATGTGTCATGTAAACAATATCTACTAAGCTATGTTTTATTAATATTAATCTGTCCCTTCCACGGAAGGCTTTCAAAGGGTTATGGAAGAGGTCATCTGCGTCGGCATAGTTTCTGGCCAGTAAAAAACAATGACAATAAATGGAGCAAGTAATAAAAAAAATCAATAGATATAAAACTCACGTTTCAAACCAGTGACTGCTTGAAGCCGAACATCTTCATGAAAATATCCAGAATGTTTGTCCATGATCTTCAATGATTCCTCAAGGTAGCTAATAAGTTAGTTAAGGAGGCATGAAAAAGGTTTCTTGTAAGAAGTCCAAAGAAGAAAAAACGTTAACGAAAAGATGAAGGATACGGTGCAAAAGCAGATTTAGTGTGGAGTGCAAACAGGCCAAGAGCTTGAGTTGCAGCTGCCTTTTCATCCAAAACTCCTGTTCTTACGCTTATGTTCCGAACTCTAGGCTCATCATGAGCTTCATCATCAGAGGATACCCCGCCAAAATCGTTGACATTTTCATCGTCTGAATCATCAATGTTGACCGCAGACCCATCATCAAGATTGCACGAAGCAAATACTAACGGCATAACGTGAGGTAAATACTGGGGAAAAAATCTTTTTGTTTAGTTAAACATAATCACTGGAGTGGAAGCTGTTATAAAGTCCATCTGAAAGAAATTTATGCACACCTGGGCAAAACTGTCATCCAATATTTCAGCTATGTTGCTGAAGAATCCATGTGTATATTCTCGCAACTCACTGAACTCCAATCCATAACCCTGGAATTTTTTTATTGTAAGCTCTTTCTTTCAATAATGACATATTTAGTTCAAATCTACAGAACAGTAAGGCAATTACTGATATTGCGGCCTCAATGAAAGGTGGCAAAATGGCCTCCATCCGTTCTCTCCCAACAGACATTGCGACAATCCCTACAAGCTCAGTAGACCTTGCACGGGCACGGAGATCCTCATCATTGGTGAGCACCATGAAAAGCTTCATCAACTCTAGAACCCTCTCAGCATATGGATTGAATGCTTGCTCTGCAGCAGCAGCAACCGACCCGATTGCAGACTGCAAGCAAGTAGCGCGAAGCTTATTAAATCAAAATTTCAAATACCAGTTCTACAGAAACTCTGGCAAAGACTGTCTGTGTACCATGCATGTCTCTTGCAGATTACGCGGACTACTTTGGAGGGCTGCCATGAGCTTCCCCATTAGAGGATCAAGGTAAGCAACAATTTCCTCTCCCATGTTCTCACAGAATGCTGCTAAAGCATAGTATGACTTTTCCTGTAGACAATAATGAAAAATGTTAGCAATAAACTAACGTTTCATGTTATCATGGCAGAAGGGTGCATTTTTATGTTCTCAGTTCCTTGCTCTAAATTTTACCTTCACTTCCTCAGATGTATCTTCAATTGCATATAATACACATGGAAGAACACTCTGATGGTGTGATAGGATTTCGGGCTGAAGATGCTCGGCGAATTGGCCAAGTGCAAACGATGCAGCCCCTCGAACCATTTGCTCAGGGTCTCTTAAAGCTACTAGGACTAAATTAAGAACCGGGTCCAGCTTCTCTTTCATAAGATCAAAGCAACCCTCTGATATAACACCTAGAGCTGTTACAGAAGCTTCCCGAAACTTCAGATTCGTACTCTGGCTATGAATGGAAGCAAATTCAATAACAGGAAGGGACACATGCTTTGGCAGGTTCATAGCTAGTGTGTCAATAACTTCAGCAGCTGCACGATCAGGAGCAAGATCATCATCGTCCTCTTGCTCAGATGATTCCGCGAGTAAGGGGCACATAACTTGCAAAATTGGTATGACTAGCTTATGTTTTTTAAGGGAGTTGTATTTGTACTTGGCCAACCATGAAACTATTTGGATTGCCTGGTCAATGAATGGAGTAAGGCATAAGGAATCATAACATGGTTATTCGACACTTTGAAATTTCAAGTAAAAGAGAAATGATTCGCCTAACCTGGTGGCGGGTGCTGCTTTCCAGGGTTTGATTACAGGCGACTTCAAGAGAGAACTGCACGATTGATTTGACAGAATCTCCAAGAAGAGGAGCAGGAGATTCAATCAACTCATCAAAAATTTCAAAAGCAAGTATAGCAACATCCTCCTCGCCAGATGCAATGCATTTTCTCGATACATTCAATATGCTGGGAATGAAATCTCGGAACTTGACCTGATAAAAAGCACACATTCAAAATCTGTCTTTAAACTATCTTCAGAAACAGTAGAATAAACGATCTACAAACATTAGAAAAACAACGAGCCATTTAAACATGTCAACCAGAAAGAGAGCGTCGCTAGATTTACCACTTCATCCCCGTCGTTTGTGAATTCAAGAAAAGAGCCCACTGCCCTGGTAAATCGCAGAAAGTTTGTAAAGGAATAGAGATAAGGTCCAAGAGAAGAGCAACATATTCAAAATCAAAGGACAAAGGAAATTACTTGAGAGCAGCAACTCTGACACGACTGCTGCTTTCATCTTGCATGCACTTGAGAAGAAGAGCCTGCAAATCGGCAAAGTATGGCCGAAATGTGTTCCCAATCGTTTCGGTCAATGAGCTGAAAAGGATCAATGCTACCTACAGAATGCAAAAACAGAGCAACCCAAGTGAGCAAAAATAGCCATCAAGGCAAATCAAATCAAAAAGACAACATGGGCAGGGCGGAAATTACTTCACGATGGTCTTCTTGAGCACTCTGGCTACACTGGAAGAGAAAGGTTAATAAGTCAGGCCACTCTCCAGCTGGAACAGCGTACTTGGCTACTACACTCACAACATTGGCACTCGCACGCCGCACAGGCGGACTGTAAAACAATTCCAATAAAAAAAAAACGAAACTTTCAAATCCCAATTTGACCCAAAAAAGGAGAGAAAGTAAGAGTGAGAGAGAGATGAAAGTAAGAGGAAACCTGTTCTCCACGGTGATGCTCTCGATTAGGGACTGCTTAACGTGTTGTTTCAGCTGCGGAGAAAGCTTGGCCCAATGTCCGGTGATCCTTTTACGGAGGAGGACGGCGGCGAGCTGGCGGACGTTGGGAGTTTTGGCGGTGCGGAGGTGCTGAACAAGGGCGGGAACAACCTGAGGGTCCTTGGCAAGACGCTTGATCTGATCCTCAGCTTGACGCCGAGCATCATTGTCCGGCATGAGGAATTGGATCAAGAGAAGCTCCAGAGATTGAGCCATAGCTCTGTCTGTAATCTCCCCGAAGCAGACAGAGGCTGCTCAAGTTGTGGAAGTGAAGAGCGAAAAATAGGGCTTTTCTTTTGTTTTCCCCTTTTATTCGAAGGGTTTTTGCTTTGCTTTGGTTTTACTTTTTACCAGATTGATGAATGGGATTTTCAGATTTAGTAATATTTCTTTTTATTCACTTTTGTATTCATTGAATCCGAATCTTCTTTATTTTTGGTAAGTAAACGTGTTTCTAAGCTTTGACTAAAGTTGATGCCCCACTGGCTGGTATAATCCTGATCCTCCTTGTGGCAATTAGGTAGATAAATCATGTTCATGTGTTTGATTTGTATAATCTTACATGTTACATGGAAGTGAATAAGAAGCATGAACTGAGACTAAGTAAAACCCGGTAGAAGATCTTGGTCATAGATTATATCATCATCATCATCATCATCATCATTTGTAAATTTCAAAAGGAGACGCAACAATTGTTAGTGCTCCACAACCACAAATGTTAGAAAAGCCGAAGATTCAACAAGGTATAATGTTTCTTATTGAATGAAAAAACCCAAAAAACGAAGAGTTGCGTTCTTAAGACCACAATACAAATTTCTCTTTAAACTATAAAGAATAACTATAATGAAACCTGTATATGATTTTTTTTTTATTGTTTTCTACAGCCCAAGAAGATAGTGTACAATATCAAAATGTCTTCCAGGTCACATCTCAATGTCTTCCAGGTCTGGTAAAGGGAACCTGAGAAGAGCTGCAACTCCAGTGAGCTGTGCCAACTCTGCAATTTCCATTCAAACACTTATTAAGACTTTGGCACACAAAAAAAGAAAGTAGGGATAAAGAAGCAAAACACTCACGTTCCCCTGAAACATGCATCGACGAAAATATAAAAGCCTCTCCTCCTGAATCTTTCACAGACTCCACCAAATCCACATACTTTTTCCTTGTTTTTACGTCAGAATTCCTGGACCAAAATTTTACATAATTAATAATGTCAGTCTGTCACATTTGCCCCTTAAAGAAAATACAAAACTCGAATTAAGAGATTAGCGACTTTACTAAACCTGAAAAGCTCATCTGTGATGAGAAGTGTTTGGACTGCCATTCGTTCATGAGCAACTTCCACATGTTTTGGTCCATAGCATGCCCGAGCTGGGTCCTGGATTAAAATTCAAAAGAATCTTTCTGGACTCATTGAAAATATTCTTATATATCGGAATATATTCTACTCTATTCATTGCAAAGGAACCTCACATTTGAAAGCATGTTGAAGAAATCATTGAGCGCTTTGACCTGCATGGAGCAAAAATTCACATCAAATTTGGTGGATCATAACAGTACATTTCAATAGCACCATGCAGAAAACAGAAACAGCGAACATAAGTCATGGAATAAGCAACTAGGAAAAAAAAAATTAATCCAAAAAGACAACAAAACATCGATGCGCTAAACCAGTTTTGAGTGAGCAATTCAAAAATATTGAAAAGAAAACGATGATAAGGTATCAAGGCTAAATTGACATTTTAAAATCACCTCTTTTGCTGCTTTAGTATCTTTGATCATATTCATCACGTTGGGAGCATTTAGAACCTCTCCCAAGCTATGTCTGTGCACCAAAAACATAATGTTACAAATCAAAGAAATTTCATGAACAGAGTAACAGGCTATATAGAAGTGAACAAGCAAAACAATACAACAAAAGCAAGAGGTGAGAACGTTAACACTGATAAAACGCACATGAATTAAACATAAATAAAGTTGGTAACCTGGTCAAAATTCGGATATTGTTATACAGGAAAAATCAAGTGTGTAAATTTGCCTTCTAAACAAATGATCAAGTTTATCTAGCAGATAGCGTTCCACAACCTCATTAATTTTTAGAATGTTGTATCATTTGGCACTGAGCCTTCACAGATTTTTTTTTTTTTTTTTTAACTTAGTAGGCGGATAGTTATTTTGACAGGTTTCATAAACTTATTCACAGAAACACTACCTATATCCAGAGTTTGTGTGCACCAGAATTATACGTGATTTGTTCTCAATTATAGGTCTCAACTGTCTTCTTTCTGCTTCCAATAATAAGTGACGATGAAACTGATCCTGAAGATGGAAAAACAATTAAAAAGCTCGTCATGTGTGTCATATATATATATGGGAACTCTGTAACCTTGTCCAGCTGCAATTTGAACAACTCTTTTTGTTTTAATTTGAACAAGGTAACCCTTTAAGTTTAGAAACAGTCTCAAGAGACAAAAAAAAAAAAAACCTTTGTAAAGCCGGGACTTGCGATCACTGCACAGCGAACGACACTGAAGTCAACATGTTTCACAAAGGCCTGTGTATAGCAATGAACTTTTAGCATGTGTGAAACTGAGGAAGCTATTTGTGGTATGAATTAGAAAACAATAATATGAAACAAACCTGCAAAACATTCTCAAAGAATTTCTTCAAAGCCTACAAAAAAAAACAAAAATTGAAGGGATAATATCAGAGAAATATCAACAACCATAGTTTTGAGCATGTACATAATGAAACAGTGCAGGAACATACAGACTCGTAACCAGCAATTGCAGGCCCATGCTTCCTCGGAATTGATGTTTCTATTCGTGCACGGCTACTTGTCACACTGCAAAACATTCGAAAACATATTAAACAAGAACCGAAATAAATGATTTTATTTTTCTTCATCATTCTTTAGCCAAAAGAGAAACTAAAGTAATAAAATATTTCAGCTGTAATCAGTACCTCCTTCCGACAAGGAAGATTTGTCCAAGTCCTTCTTGCATTAGAACTATAGCTAGATCAGCACTGGCAGCAGGATCTATGCAAGAAAAAAAAGTGAAAATAAATTGGAAGCGAAAGAAAAAATGACTTGCAGGCCTGTGAGCATATATAAACTGGAGACAGAAGCAGAATTCTGGAATATTGCATATAAAGTTTGTAAACCAATGAATTGGATTCGATGTCTACATAAGACCACATGGAGACAGATCATGAGCCGACAATCAACATAGACACCTTTGCAGTTTTGTGATAATTTCAAAGGGATCTTTTCCCAGAAATTTAGGAAGTCTGAGTAAACGGAGCAGCGTACCTGAGGCCTGCTTGAGTGTATCAAGAGCCAGTGAATCCCAAAATTCCTGCAAATTACCCATGCACACACTACATATTACAAATGAAGTTTTCACACAAAAAGGGAAAGATATAACTTTCAAAAGGGAGTGAAAAGTTCAAATTAACCACCAACACAGTAAGCAGTCTGCTATAGAAACAAAATCAAGACCTATGTACAGAAAGATAGTTTCTATTTCCAAAATTGTTTAAAAGGGATCGTGCAATTTAAACAATAAGTAGTGTCGTTGCATCTAAAGATATAATCTTGCAAACGGTATCCACACTACACCAGCGTGCACCAAGCTAACAGATAAAATAGAAGCTAGATCGCAAGACGCATCATGACACACTTACAAGGTAGAAACAGAACAACACTTGTGAAGGATAAATATAGTAAAAAGAGGACACATACCTTTCTCAATACGAAAGGTCGTTTCAGCTCAAGCTCCAAAGTATGGAATGCACCAATCTGCGATTACAACACAAGTTTCAGCACAGAAAAACCACTAGGTTTAAATGTCAGCCTCGCATCTATGATCTACCTTTACGTGCTCATTCTCCAGGATATTCTTGCCACGTATGCGCAAAACAGACGCGTCTTTGTCATAGTCCACCTCCTAATTGAATAGATAACAAAAATTGAAGACAAAAATTAGACAAAGATATCTTCCACAGTTGAGACCACCAGGATAAAAGGGCAATTGCATGATATTATCTACAAAAATTTGCATACCAATATCTTAAAATCATTACCTCAACTTGTACTTCTAGCTTCAGTCTAACACGTTCAGAGTCTCTTCCCCCACCAGGTACCTCTCTCTGAACCTTTCTGATACCAGACAAAATGATAAAAATCGAAATCAATCTACGAAATGTTCTAGATCAAGCAGGCGTCTCAATCAAACCAGTTATAACAATTTCTTCCTTGCCTTAAATAAGAACCTAAAAATCCTAACTGCTAACTCCGGGCATGATACTGTATCGTCTAACCAAAACATGAAACACCACATCCCTTTACTCCTAATTTTTCATGAAAAGCTTTCAAATCAATGAACTTTAAATGTGATACATGAATCTAAATGAGAAAACAAGGCATCATTGCGTAACCCTTCAATTCCAATGGCGACATCAAGAAAGGCAGTGAAAACTGAAAAAGAGAGACTCTGTACCTAAAAGTGACGGCCATTACACTATCGCCAGGGGCAATCAGGTTATATGCATACCAGAGATCATCGGAGTCCTCCGCAGACATCTACCCTCAATTTAACAACCATTCAGGAAATCAATTGAACTGCAGTTATAAATTAGGGCGCTTTGAAACATGAGCACAAAAGATAATTCCCAGAGGAAGAAGGAATCACTCAAACCTTAACGCTTCCGGGTCCATTACGAACAAAATCTCTGCGAACGATCTTCATTCTCTTCGGGTTTTTGAAGATATGTCCACTTACAGAGTCTAGAAAGACATAAGGACAGAGATCAATACAAGTCTCGTACAAAAAAAAAAGTTGCAATTTTGCGGTTCTCAGGTCAACAGGAATTGTATAAAAAAAAAACAGAAAGGGATAAGAAACGCCGATGCACCGGAATTGGTAAAATCGACGCAACAAGACGGTGAAGTAAGAGGCATAGATTACAAACCTGTTAAGGCGACGGCTCCAGCTCCGGCTAGGCTAGAAGTTGAATTCGTGGTCTTTTTTATCCAGATTTGTAAAAGGCGAAGGGAAGAGTAGATTTTTTTAAGGCGAAAGGAGAAGAAGTGGTCGAAAGCTGCAGAGATTCAATCCGTAGACACGCAGACGAATACTCTCGCTTTCTCAGCTTTTCAAGGTCAAATTTTTACTGTAAAACGAATTTTATATTCCAAGACCAGGCATATATATATAATATATTACGATGGTTCATAATTCTCAATTCAAAAAAGGAAATACATGAAAATCATTTCGCTAACTTTAGAAATAGGAAAAACCAAACCCGGAATATAATAGGAATATACAAGAAAACATACATACCTACAGTATATAAAGTTAACTGAAAACTGTCAATAATCAAATAAAAAGTCTCTTCCTTTCGTCTCACAATCAAAATCGCCTACAAGTGATTCTGTTTCGCCGCCGTCTCTCTCAGCGTTCCGTGATATGACTTACACAGCAATCGACAATTTTTTTTTTTTTTTTTTAAATTATGTTAAATTTTTATTCAAAAAAACTGTTTCTTTACATTAACTAGTTTGAAAAGATAATAAAAGAAATATGATCAAATCCTTGTAAGCGTTATAGCAAATGATTTGTGCAGCTCCTTGCGTGCAATATCATCCCCTAGAGCCAAATCAGATCTCTAACTCATCTTCGTAACGGTGATTCCCTGCAATTCGCAGAGAACTGAGCCGATTACGCACCGTTTTGTCTAGAATACGGATTAAGTCATGCACCTGCGATGGTGTTTCGCTATGTCTGTGACCATTTCGTTCTTTCCAGATCAGGGATAGGGAGGCTTGAAACGTATATCTCGCCAGAAACAGCTGTGTTCTGTTTAACCTGTTTGACGAAAGCAAGTCTACAACCTCATTCCATTTGTTCGTGTAATATTGACCCAGTAGGCGCTGAGTTAGACTTCGCCAAACTTGATCTGAGAAAGCACATTCATAGAACAGATGTGCTCTGTTTTCCATCGGAGAAGAGCAGAGGACACACGTCGTCGATATACTTGGCCCCCATTGAGCCATTATCTCACCTGTAGACAAGCGATTCCACATTGCTAGCCAAGAGAGGAAAGCATACTTTGGGGTATTTCCAGAAAACCAGATCATCGGCGACCAATCTTGCTGGGCTGGAGGTGGGTATCGTATATTGTGCCAAGTGTGTTTGGAGGAAAACTTGTGATGGTAATGATCACCTGTCATCTTCCACATCGTTGATCATCCCTTTCATTCTGAAGGCCTGCAACCGAAGAAATTGCCTCTTCTATAGAATTGAGGTCATCTCTTCTATGTCGACTTTGCCTATAAGTTCGTAGAACATTGGCTACAGATGCGTATGCTGAGACGCCCAAAGCCATGAACCCCGAAGTACCCGTAACATCGATCAGCGGTCCTAAGGGGCACCAATCATCATACCAAAACGATGTCTCCTCTCCATTATTGACTTTCATACGATGCAGTCCCCGAGCGATTTCCCTCATCTTTAGTAACCGGTGCCATATCCAAGAACCCTGAACTTGATTTTCATGTATTGACCAAAATGATTTCCCTCGAAGTAAATACGTTCGAATCCAAGTTGCCCATAGAGAGGATTTGTTTGATAAGAGACGCCAAATAATCCTCAAGCAGCTCACCATGTTTGCTTCCTTTAGAGAACGTATCCATAACCCTCCTTCTGATTTCTTTTTGCAGACATCTGACCCAGCTACCTTCGCCTTTTTTGAACTTAGTGTAGGCCCAGACCACAGGAAAGCACTGCAGAAGGAATCGATCTCTTTGATACAGCTACATGGCAGGTGAAACGCCGACATCCAAAAATTTAAAAGACCCGAGATAACTGATACCAAAAGTTCCAATCTTCCTGCGTAGGATAGGTGTCGAACAGTCCATAATCCTATCCTCTTACGAATATCGGCAATCAAAACAGCATAATCTTCCATACGCAGCTTCTTTGTCGTCAAGGGGAGCCCAAGATAGCGAACTGGAAGAGTACCCATATTCAAGGGAAATTGCTCGGCAATCGTACGGTCCTCGTCCAGAATACCAGTCATGTAGATGGTGGACTTCTGCAAACTAATTCGTCGAACACCTCAACAATCCCCTCTAATGATCGAATTTTCCCATCAGAAAAGACCATAAGGTCGTCCGCAAAACATAAATGGGTTAGCTGTAGTTTGGAACAGTTCTTATGATAACCGAATTTCCTTTCCACTGCCGCTCTATCTAACATGCAAGACAATACATTCATACAGAGGACGAAAAGGTATGGCGAGAGAGCGCATCCCTGTCGAAGACCTCGGCGGCTCTGAAAATACCCCACAAGTTCCCCATTGACTTGTACAGAAAAGAACGTTGTAGAGATACAGAGTCTGATCCATTCGATAAATCTATTTGGCAGTCCCAAAGCTTTTAGAACATTTATAAGAAACCTCCATTGAACTGTATCAAAAGCTTTCGCAATGTCTATCATCATTGCGCAACGGGACGGAGATAAGTCCTTATGGTAATCTTAGCACAATTTCAGTTGCAAGGAGGACATTCTCAACAAGCAAACGATCTTTGACAAAAGCAGTCTGATTTGGGGCAATGATGCTAGGGAGGATGTCCTTTAACCGATTTGCCAATATTTTCGAGATAACTTTGTAGAGGACATTGCAGCAAGAGATAGGACGGTAATCCTTCATCTCACTGGCATCATTTTTCTTCGGGACCAGGCTAGAATAGTGGAGTTCAAGCCTTTGGGGAGGAATCCATACTTGAAAAATGACTGAACAGCGGTCGTAACATCACTACCGATAATTGCCCATGCACCTTTGAAAAATTCAACTGTGAACCCATCTGGTCCGGGAGACTTGTCGTTCGGCATCGAGAAAAGAACTTTCATGATCTCACCCTCTGTAACCTCCTTCTCCAATAATCCACAATCAGCTTCCGAACATTTTCGTCCCAGCAAATCCTCCAAAATATCAACCTCCAGTCCCTGGAAATCCGATGGAGTGTGGCTGAGAAACTCCCGAAAGTGTCTTTCAGCTTCTCCTTTAATGTCTGATTTGTCTTTAAGCACTTGTCTTTCTGCATTCACAATCTCACGTATCATGTTTTTTGCTTGTTGTATCCGCACTGCTCGAAAAAACACTTTGTTTCTCCTATCACCCACATTCATCCAATGCAGCTTTGATTTCTGTTTTAAATAACCTTCCTCCAGATCAGATAAATGTTCCCACCTATTTAGAGCCACAGATTCTGCTTCAATCCTTTCCACCGTCGGATTTGTGGCATTGGCTTCTTGCTGAGAACAGAGATTCTCATAAGCTGCTTTTGTACGCTTTGTAAGATCACTAAAACGCTCCCTTGATAGCACCCCTAACGTTGGCTTCAGCTCCTTTAGTTTTTTAGACAAGCGATGAAGAGCAGATGTAGAATGAAATAGGGCAGAAGATTGCTCCCAGTATTCTTTAACTGCTGGAATGAATTCGGGTCGTTTTGCCAACGTGTTGACAAACTTGAAAGGAGCTTTTACATTCTCTTGGACATCATCCATATATATTCTTCCTCGCAGATGGTCAGAGCAGCCGCCGGCTTCAAAAACGCAGTATGAGTGAGGCTGGGTAAGTAACCATTCCTCATTCATCAATGCTATGTCTAATTTTTTGTGTATTAATCCATCACTTCTCTTATTGCTCCAGGTAAACCAAGGCCCATGAAACCCCATGTCAACTAGTGAACAGTTTCGGACTGTACTCTGAAAATCAGTCGAGCCCTGTGAATCCACGTAATTCAAATTTGAGTGATCATCGCCTGATAAGACTTCATTAAAGTCACCACATATTAACCATTTCTTTCCCCTACAGATATCTGAGCTATGAACAGTCGCAATCTCCTCCCACAAAGCTTTACGTTCAATAGCCAGGTTTGCCGCATAAACAAAGGAGCAGATAAAGTCTTCTTTTTGATTATCCAAGGAAATCAAGCAAGTTATCATTTGTCCACTCTTTTGTATCACAGTCAGCCGCACATCCTTGTTCCACACAACCCATATTCGTCCCAATCTATTATACTCATAGTTAGAGACAATAGACCAGTCCCCAAACACCCTCGAAGCAATTTGTTGATGCTTCCTTTTCTGAACTCGAGTTTCCAAAAGACAGCCAAATTTAAAAGAGTTACCACGTATCCATTCCCGCACCACCGAATGTTTACACTTTTTGTTAAATCCTCGTATATTCCAAAAGAAACACATCATTAAAGATTGTTTGGTTTGGAGTTCTTCTTCCTCGTTTTCGCTGAGCCACAAGCATTCCCTGTGGATCCAGTTTTTGAGGAGTTAGTAACAAATCTATGGGCTGTCTTTGCCGCTCTGTGCAGAGAGGTGCGATTCCCTTCCAGATTAACCAAAATAGTAGTATCAACATCTTCATGCACGTGTATTTGAGATTCATCTTCCGCTCTAACTTCCATATGAGTCGCATAAGACTTTATTGTTTCATCCTCCATGTGAGCCACTGCTTCATTGTCTCCAGAGTGCTCGCTATCACCAGAGTTATTATTCTCCCCAATGTCGTCTTCTTCATTTTGCAAGTCTGAGAACCTGGATCCAGTAGAGAATTCCACATGTTTCAAATTGTTCTCTTGATTCCTGCGAAACACCTTTGAGGGTGATTGCCACTCGCCCTTTCCTTCTGTCACAATCACAGTTTCCTTCTCCAAATTCAAATCCACCTGGGCTTGGTTTTTTGGCGTTATCTCTCCATTTTGTGTCACTTGGTTTGCTGTTGCCTTTTTTATCTGCTTCGACTGCTTGGGCTGCTTTGTGACCGACGACACCAAAGAAGATATAGCTTTCTCTACCAGAAGAGTAGCTTCTATCTCTTTCCTTACTCCCAAATCCTCAACACGTTTTGGTGTAGATATACCACACGGTAACATCGCGGTTTTACTCGGAGATCCAGCTCGTGGCTCCCTCTGCAATATAGTCACTGGTCCCTTCTTTGCTTTGCACTCTGCATCAACATGTCCCCAACCACCACATACTGAACAGTGAGGCGGTAACCATGGAAACTCGTATTGGATTTCAAAAGTTTTACCCTCCAGCGCAAAACAGTGCGATGACGGTAACTCCTTTGTCAAGTCAACTTCAACTGATATTTTTGCAACATCAAACTGTTTCACCCAAATGGTGTCTGGATGTAACTGCTTTGGAACTCCCACCGGGCTTGACAAGTAGCTTAACCCTTTTCCAATTGTACTGCTTGCGTGGCACGTCTTTCAAAATAACCCACAACGGTATGGACTTCAAAACTGGTTGAACTTCCTCATCAATTGGACTCCATTTGGAGACTAGCATCGAGTTATCTTTAATATTCCACATTTTCCTCCTTAGCACTCGTTCCCTCACTCCTTTATCACTTATACGAAACTTCACTGTGGTGTCATTGACGACAAACACATCGATTTTGACACCTTTGTTTCCTAAGGGCCAAATCCTGTTCACAATCATGCGGATCGATCCAACATGGGGTGCTGTTTTTAGGAATTTTCCCAGGATGCAGTCTTCCCACATTGGCGCTTCAGACAGAATGGATTCTGGGGACCTTAAACACCTTGATCCCGTCAACCTCCTCTGCTTCCATATCATACTGTTTCAGATCCTCCTTCTTCTTAACTACCTCTGTCCACTTAACTGGATTTGTCGGCTCGTCTCCTCTGATATTTCCCTGAGAAGCCTTATTATCTTTTCCTGCAGAGTCTCCGATCAGCATCCCTTGCTCCGTCTGGATATGCAGCTCCTGCGTCTCGATCGAATGTGGAGGAATCGCCTGTGATTCGATTTCCTTCTCCTGGGACACCTCCAAAATCACCGTGCTTGTCTTCTCCGCCACCTGTCTTCCTCCGGTGACGGGGGGACCTCCTATCCCCGCGCCGCCATGACGTGAGGAGGAAGGTGATTAAACCCTAATCGCCTGTTTGATCGCCTTGGTTGCTGACGTGTCCTTCTATCGAGTAATCGTGTATTGTGTTCAAACAAATGTAATTCACAATCGACAATTTCTACCTAACAGAGGAGCAGATAAAGACGTCACCTTCAAGGAAAGATGGGATAGATGAAACACCCGAAACCACACTCAGAATCTATGGATGTGATCTCATCCAGGAAGGTGGGATTTTGCTCAGACTACCCCAGGCAGTTATGGCTACTGGGCAGGTTCTTTTCCACAGATTCTATTGCAAGAAGTCTCTTGCCAAATTCGATGTTAGGATAGTTGCTGCGAGCTGTCTCTGGCTTGCATCAAAACTGGAAGAGAACCCTAAAAAAGCCAGACAGGTCATCATTGTATTCCACAGGATGGAGTGTCGTAGAGAGAACTTACACATAGAAGAAGATCATCATCTTGATTTGTATTCCAAGAGGTTCTCTGATTTGAAATCTGAATTAAGCAGAACTGAGAGACATATACTGAAAGAGATGGGTTTTGTTTGTCATGTTGAGCATCCTCAGAAGTTCATATCAAACTACCTTGCCACACTTGAAATACCTCCAGAGTTGAGACAAGAAGCTTGGAATTTGGCTAATGATAGTCTGCGTACAACACTTTGTGTAAGGTTCACAAGTGAGGTTGTGGCTTGTGGGGTCGTGTATGCTGCTGCTCGTAGGTTTCAAGTATCTCTCCCGGAGAATCCACCTTGGTGGAAAGCACTTGATGCATGTAAATCTAGTATTGACCAAGTGTGTAGAGTTCTTGCTCATCTCTACAGTCTTCCAAAGGCTCAGTATATCTCTGTTTGCAAGGATGGGATTCGTTTTGCATTTTCTTGAGCTCAGTCAGCTACAAAAGATGTGTTACCTACACTTGGAGATGATGTTGATACCAAGTGTACTCTCGTATCAGCTAATAACAATTCTAAGGATGGTATGATTAAGTCAAACATCCAGCCAATTGTGGGAGACTCAAGGGAGGGAGAAGGTAAAGTAGGAAAGAGAGAAAGAGAAAGTGATCATAGAGACAAGGAACGAGGTAAAGAGAGAGACATGGTTAGTTCTCACAGAGACAGAGGCAGAGCTTCTGACAAGGAGAGTGATAGGGAGAGAGACAAACTAAAAGATCCAAGTCATCATCGGTCAAGAGATGGACTGAGGAGTAAACCAAGACATCACTCTTCTCGGGATCGTGACTATCGCGAATCCTCGCACGTATCAAGAGACTATCGTAGGCGCCATTGAAGTGATATTTACGATATATACAATATCGTAGTCACGAGGAGACGTCATCAAAGACTAGGTCAATGCTAAGATAATTAACAACGATTTAGTTCAGATTGTTACAATCGACAACAACTCATTATCAAATTAAAAATTACCTGACTTACATCAAATTATATATTACCTGACGTATATGATTCAATAGTATTTATATCTATTAGTTTTTTATATGACTAATAAATATATCAGCAGCCAAGTTGTGAACACGACAAGCTTGATAACATCCTTTATAATTTTGTAAACGAGACTCTTTTTATTAATACAGTATAATATCTCCTCCTCTGAGAATCAGGACGAAATATTTGATACTCCCATAGAGAATTAGAAATATCTATATTCGTAACCTCCAATCATATGTCAAATGATATCTGATCAGAGTACCAATCATATACTAGTAGATTTTTTGAATCCATCTCCTTGTGATTGGTTTTGTAACTTTGTTTTATGTTTTCAAGTGCAACAAAACCTTTCGAAAAAGAAATAAAAAAGAGTGCAACAAAACCTCAAACCAAGTTTACCCATTGTAATTTTTTTTAAAAAAAAAACCGTCCAACCAAACAAGTATATCATACTTGCACACAACAGATAGTTCATGAATTTGTCAGATACAGGACTATTAATTAATAATGAAGAACTAAATAGATAAACGAAAGTTTGTGTCTAGAAGACAACAAAGTGTAGTTTTCTTGACAGCGACGTATTTAGGAAGGTTTATTAGTAAATTATAGAAAAACGCATTTTATAATCTGTAGATTAGAGAGACAGCTCAAGACTCTAATGTGTAGCTGTGCGCGTACGACGCGGTTATTTCTTTAATGTTTTTAAGTAAATAAAGTAATTAGAAAAAACAAACACGAGTCCGTGTGTAAGAAACAGTGAAGACACAAACTCTTCACATCTACGGTCTCTATATAAAGAGATAAAAGAGGTCTTTCTTTCTCACAAGTCATACCACCAAAAATTTCCAATACCAAATCTCTCAAAAAGAAAACCCAATCAGAGACTTCTAGATCCTTCTTCCTCACCTGAACATTAATCTCCGGCGAATTTGTCATTTTAAATCGATCATGATCTCCGTCGTAATCATCACTGAGCTACTTGTGGAGTACACGGCGGCTCTCGCTAAACTCACCGCCGGGATTCTTCCGAGGCGGCAAGGAAACAGCAACGTCGTCCGGATCGGTGGTTTCTCCTTGCCTTGTCCTTCTCCGTCGAGTACTAATCGGTCGTCGCCGATTCCAGACTTTTCTTCTCATCTCGTCGATTTCTGATCTGTGAAAAGAAAGATTTTGATTTTGGATTTTTTTTTTTTTACTCTTTTTGATCTAATTAAAGAGCCGACGGCTGAGATTTTTCCCCCTTGTGTGTCTCTCTGTCTCTCTTCTTGTTAGATTTTGAATCGCTTAGAGCTTTGTGAACCCTGTAATCGAATTAATATAATAGAGATTTATGATCTTGATGAGCTTTTGATCGTTCCTGTGTTTCTCAATTAATTTCTTTCTCATCATGTTCGTTCATGGCGCTGATTGCGGTTTAGTTTGACCTAATGACGATGAAAATGATCAAACTTTCGAAACGACCGTCTCATTTACTTTTGATGACGATGTCTAATGACGTAAAAACAAGTGAAAATAATAATAAATTTATTCATTATATACAGTACTTGAGATAAGTCGGCTTTGACTGATTTAAGTTCATTAAATTATCTTCCCAGTAGAATGTTCAACTGTTTTGGTCTATGATTAAGACACCATTAATTTGGTGCTAAGTAAGTTTTGGCCGCTGTGAAGACTTTTGGACAGTTGAAAACGATTTTAATTTTTAATTTAGGCATTGGGAGATAGATAGGGTGTAGACAAACGGGATTCTGTGACATCGGGACATGGATAATAGTTCGGTAATAAAACCTTTTGTCCCATTTTCTTTTCATCTAAAATTAGGGAATTCCCCTAACTTATAAGCATACATGCATGTCCCCAAAATGTTCCAATTTTTTTTTCTTTAATAATAACCGTAGCAAATAGAGCGGGACGAAATGATATAGATGTGAGCTTGCTCTACACTTGTTGGGAGGAAGATTTTATCCTTCCAACATCTAAAGGGTTTGGATAATTTGTTTTTTTTTTTAAATTGGGATGATTGTAACACATGTACTGCATTTTTGTACCGATCTGACTCTTCGTTCATGGATTGCCACATTTCATGGTTTGTACCGACGTACCGTTTTGACTCTTCGTTCATGGATTACCACATTTCATGATTTGTGCCGTTTGACTCTTCGTTCATGGATTACCACGTCCATTCTAAGTTCTGAAATTTATTATTGTTCAATGACCAATTTTTACATTAAAATTTATGTAAACCATCATTAAGTTTTTTAGTTTTGTTTTCTTTCCACTGACACGAAAATAAAAGTTATTTTTGTTATAAATGGTTCATTCTTATAAATTGTTCGATGTCAAAGGTGTTTTCGTAATAGATATAGCGAAATCTATTATACTATGTTTTTTTTTATATTTACCACCATATTATTACCTCTTTGTTAGTTACGCACTTACGCTAATAGAAGATAAATAATAAATATTATTAAAATAGCATTGTATATGGTTCTATAGGATAATTTTTTTAAAAAAAAAATACAAATAATTGATTAAAGAATAAATTGATTAAAGAACCAAGTTGAGAAGAAAAGCGGGTTATGAAGATGTGATCAAGTCGTGGAGTTTGAATTTTTTATTTGTCTCTAGAAGAAGACTACAAGTGTAGTTTTTCTGGACAAACGACAATGATGTGATGATGTATGTGCTGAGTTATATCATAAGTAATTAAAATGCATTTTATAATCGGTCGATCATAGGAACAGGCGAACAGCTAACGCTAACTGTGTATTGCGCGTATGACGCGCTTCATTTGTTTGATTGTCGAAAGAAAGAAAATATATTTATAAAATATGAAACACGAGTCCGAGTAACGACGAACAGAGTGGAGAAACTATTTATCTTCATAAAATGGTCTAAACTACTCCTATATAAAGAGGTCTCTCTTTCTCACAAGTCATAACACCAAACAATTCTATCGCAGCTCTCAAAATTAAAACTCTCCAAGAAACTTCTAGATCATTTCTTCTTCGGCAAATCTTCCAATTATCATCGATCATCATGATCTCTATCGTAATCATTGCTGAGCTATTGGTGGAGTACACGACGGCTCTCGCTAAACTCACCGCCGGGATTCTTCCAAGACGGCAAGGCGATGGAAACATCGTACGACTTGGCGGTTTCTCTATGTATTGTCCTCCTAGGTCGTCACCGGTTCCAGATTTCTCTTCTCACCTGGTCGATTTCTGAGCTTAGGGTGACTAACGATCTTGTCAATGTTTTTCTTTTCCTCCTCATTTTTTTGATCGAGTTAACATATGAGAATGTTTTTTTTCCAGTTTTTTGGATATTGAGTAGGTTAGAGATTTGTAAACCTGTATTGTGTGGAATCATATATAGGAATTATGACTTTGATATTGCTTCCTCTTGCTTTATTGTATAAAAACTGATCATCTATTCCGTTTTGTCCAAGTCGTAATTTTCCCGGCCAATGATGATCTCTAAGCGTTAGTCTTATTCCAGAATCGTGGGAAATAAAATGATGTTTACTAACACTGAGTAACCAAAAAAAAACTCAGTTGACGTTTTGCAAAAATTGTGTAATTTATGTTGATGTTTTTTTCTTAAAGAAAACCACATAAATTGTCATCATCTGTGAATCCATGTCTATTTTTGATATAGTATATATAATTTTCATCTCCGTCTAACAGTCGGTGCCTTATTTCCAAAAACTAAAATTTTGCTGATCAATCTTTTATATATCTTTCAAATTACCTTGAGATATTGTTTTGTGTGCGTTTGTCATCACTTACAGTATTAAACTATTAAGTCACTGTTTAAAATTATTCTAGTGTAAGCAAACGCATGTTTAATTGGAAACAAAAAAAAAATCAAGATATATATGAGTAGAAAGAAAACTTTAATGACGTAAATTATAATCAAATCAATAATTTGAAACTTGTTCACATGCATTTCAGTGATGAGTGATGTAGAGCAATCGAAGCAATAATCGTCACACAATTATGAGAGCTATAAACAGAGAGTAGACCCCTAAAAACTAATAGACGACAACGATTGAGACGTTAAAAAGAAAAAGTTTTGTACAAACGATATAAGGTTATTTGCAAACATGTGACGAACCATTCCAAACTTTTATGGCTTTGGAATGGTGGGTGGAACGTTAAAAAAATTTTGCGGAATAAAATAATTTACTTATAATTTGTTGTTTTTTAGAATATTTTTAATTTATATTTTTGAAAGTTAAAATGAAATTTATGTTATTGTATGTATTTATTTATTCTGTAATTTTCTATTGATTGACATGTAGAATCGCGTTTAAAATGCAATTTTACAATTTTACGGGTTACCAATCTGAACTTATATTTATCCCAGATTTATTTTGAATTTATCCTAGATTTGTTTTGAAATTATAATATATTTAGTAAACACTGTTTATAAACGGAAAATACACTAGTTGCTAGAAAGTTCCAAAACCAAGTAGATGTATACGGGTGATAATATTTTATTTTAGTATATATATATATTATGATTCGGTAGTTAGTTTGTAATTTTGTATACGAAAAGCGGCAGCTAATGGTATTGTCTGCTCGCCAACACTGTGGATTACTGTCTGAACCGCGTGACACGCGGCAAATTACTCAAAAAGGCAAAAATAAAATAAAATAAAAAGAGAAATACGTGTACAAGTAGCTACCTCTTGGTTGGGACCCACTGGGAACTTCAGATTTATCGCCTATATATAAAGACAAGACATTGTATGGTGTCTCTCATTTCCAACACCGTTTTATAAAGTAAGAAGAGATAAGAGTTAAAAGACACTCCTCAACAAGGCAATCAAAGACACTTTCGAGAATCCTTCTTCTTCTTCTTCTTCTTCTTTTCCAGCGAGTCAAGATCATCCGACGACTACTCTCTAATTTTTATATATATATAAAATCATGATTTCTGTTGTAATCATCACTGAGCTACTGGTTGAATACACGGCGGCCCTCGCGAAACTCACCGCCGGGATTCTTCCGAGACGGCAAGGAGACAGAGGCGTCTTACGGATTGGTGGTTTCTCTCTGCCTTGTCCACCTCGAACTTCTCCGATTCCAGATTTCTCTTCTCATCTCGTCGATTTCTGATCTTTTCTTCTCAGATCTCAATTTTTGTGTTTTTCTCCAAATCTTATTAGATATTGTGACGGCCGAGATCTTTTTCTCTAGATTTTTTTTTTTTTTGGTAGGGAAACTCTTTCTCTGGATGTTGGATTTGCTCAGAGCTTTGTAAAAATTGTTAATGACTTTTTTTATAATAGAGGTTATTATCTTAAAGAACTCTTAATCTTCATCCCGCGTTTCTTAATTCTGATTATATTTCAATTGTCTAATTTAGAAACGGGCGCTCGCGATTTAGATTTTACTTTTCTGATAAGTCGCATTTGTCATGTGTGTTAGACCACTTGTGTATAACACTACTAAGGTTAGCGAGACTGTATTTCGATGGTTTTGAAAGTGATCTATCAAGTTGTAGTAAACTGTTAAGATACCAAAAACTATACGACTGGTATTGGTATATGTTAAATAAAATTAGTTAAATGAATAGAGCAGATAAAATTATTTATTACAATTAGTTGGAAAAAAAAACTAGAAAATTAAACGAAGTCAAAACATAGCAGGTTCTTGAAAATCAAAATATGGACTTGAGAGTAGTTGAGAGTTGAGACTGAAATGGATTCAAAATTTTTAATAGAAATTAAGTTTTATCTTTGAATTACTATGATTTTTGATTGTATGATCACTCGTAAGTCGCCATCAGAGTTCAAACTAATTCTGTTCTCTGTTTTTTAAGAAATTTAGAAAGAAATGCCGAACCATATGCTACTAATAAAAAAATATATATGTTATTATTAACTTTATTTTATGTTTTTTTTTTTAATCTTAAGACTATAGACAACGTTTTTATCCGAAACCTGTATATCTTTAAGTCGGAGACCAAATCATTAATATGGTTATGTCATTTATATCAGTCGATTTTGTGAATTTTTAGACTTTATTATCGGTACCTGTAGTTAAGCTAACGGCTTTTTTGTAAAAGAAAACTCGAAATTATACAGTACGTTAAAAACAAAATTTAAAGAATAAACAGAAAATTTTAATTGCTTTTCAACAATTTAATGTCTCATACATTCATAGAGTACCTTACTCCAATTTTTTAGACATTAAATGCGTCATATATGTATGGAAAGTTTGCATCGTATGCAATCTTGCTATTGGTCTGTTTGGTCTGGTATGAGTTAGATCAATTCAATGAGCGCTAAAATGAATATCCACACAAGAGTTGGGAAAGAAAATTCATGGACCTTGCTGGCCATCTAGTATCCACAAAAGCGTTGGACAAAAAAATAGTGGAAATCATACGGTATTAAAAGTCGGGCTTATCGTTTTCTCTGCTGTCGATAGAGTATGGACCATTCGATCATCCTCAAAACATTTAAATTGATTCACCAGTATCTTAAAAAAATTGACATATGCAGTTATTTAGGCTGTTCATATGTGGGATAGGGTACGACAATGTTTCTCAAATAATTAACTAGTAACTACTACAGGGAGATTACCTAAATTGTTTTTTATAATAATATATTTAACTTATAAAATGTGTCAACGTTATAGTTACGTTGAAGTATACATATAGAGAGGGAGAGAGATATTGAGAAATTTGAAGGGGGAAAGTAAGGTTGGGTGAATGGATGGGAGTGCAAAGCAAAAGTGAATTAGATTTTTTAGAGACAAAAACACACACATCAACTACTCGCAGACGTGTTCCTGTATTTAGGAGACTTATGAGTTGTGGTTGTGGTTAATTCCTTACTCCCTTTTTTCCAATCTTGCATTTATGTAACAAAGACAACCTTTTTGATCATTTACAGTTTTTCAAGCTGAGACCTTTCTCATAAAGTTTAGAATATCATAAACCGGCCTTCCTTCCTATCTTTATTCTCATCTTCGAAAATGGGTAAAGTTTACTTTTATTAATCAAGGTTGTGTTTTAATTAGTTTCCACTAGATATATCATCCTTTGTCACTGATTATTCTTGATTGATATCCGGTTGTTACTTCTATATTGAATTAGTATGCTTTCCACTTTCAAATCTAGTTATCCAAAAAAATTGGTAACGGTTTGTTTTGTTTTGTTTATATATTGTGAGTGCTGCATATATATCTGAATTTGTACCTGAATATATACTATTTTGTACTGTATTAGTAATGTTCCGTCTCACGTTCCGGATAGGAACTCGGTATAATACTACTATACTAGTTTTGGTTGTTATGATCTACTTTCATGAATCATGACCATTATATATTTTACGATATATAAAATCATTTTATATTTTAAAACATTATTAATATAATCGAGTGTCCGTAATTCATTTTTTTTAATTCTATTTATCGAAGGCGTTAATCAATTTTTCTCTAAAAGACCTTTTGTTGATTTTTTTAGTACTTCTGACTCATTTTTTTTTTTTTTTTTTTTTGCAGTAGTGCTATGCTAGTATGCTGAAACTAGTCTATGTTTTGATCTTCAGACCTGTTATTTAAAACATTATAAGTATTTGCAATTGGTATTAGAAAAGTTGCGGTACACAATTTGATCCACATTATGTATTTAATTGGGTTCAAAGAATTTATATATAAATGCTGTTTGGTTGATATCAAAGACTCAGTAGAAAGAAGCTGACCTTTCCTAAACGCAATTTGGACTTCGCATATTAATTGTGTATGCATATGGTTTATTCCCTACAAAATATGTGCAGTTGTGTGCACTTATAATAACAAATATAAATATGAAAATGACAAAATAACTATATTCTATATACAAACCATTATAATACATTAATGATAAATTCTATGAAAACTTATAATAGTTACAAGCATTAACTCCCGGATGGAAACAATTAGCATTCACTAAACAATCAACACCTTGTATGGAAATATCTATGGCTTATATGACCGGTCAAAATGTCAAAACATTCAAAACTTTGGGGAAAAAAAGAAAAAATACTTGGATACAAATTGTGTCACTATCCTCTCAAGAGTAGACTTCACAAAAATAAAATGTCACTTCCCTTGGGAAATTGCACATTTTATTCCTCATCTATTTGCAATCGACATAAATAATCCCGAACTATCGTGATTGCAAAAAAATTCCTCAACTCAATATTGACTATGCAAAATTAAGACTAATATAGTCAACCTTTAACTGAGAAAACGGAAGACGTTACATTAAATCTCGTTAACTTTTTATGAGTCTAATTTCGCAGAGTTAATATAAAGTTGAGGAATTAATTTGCCAAATTAAAAATTGAGGAATTAATCTGTAAAATTAAAAAACTTGAGGAATTAAATGAACTAATATTTAAAAATATACACATAACTGTTAAGAAAATTATTACATAGCACTAAAAACTATTGAATGTGCAAAAAAATCAAATAAACTATATATAGCTCTGAGCTACTAAAAATGGTAGTTCAGGTTGAGAAAAAAAAATGTAGCATTTTGCAAAAAAAAAAATCATGTGGTAACAAACAGGTAAATTCTATTTTTTTAAAACAGTTTAGTTCTGATCTATTTTCAAAATAATTAATACAAAAGAAAAGAACAAAATTTAGATAACATAAAAAGATAAAAAGAATATTAGAAATTAATTTAACAAACGTATATATTTCTAATTTTTTTTGTAGCTCTTAGATGGTACTCATGTACTACAAACCAGAGTTTTATAATTATAAAACAATACTTTACAATATAATTTTATAGTCTAAATATTACTGATCTAAAATAAATCTACAGCTCGAATCTTTATATAAATCTATAAAAATACAATGGTAAGATCCAAGTAATTTAGGCTTTCATGCATGAACAATAGAGACTCAACTAAGATTACTTTATTAATAGCATCAAATACAAAAAAAAAGTTTCTGTAACTGTAAAAACTTATCGGTTAAGTTCTTATATAGTTTTATATAATTGTTTTGATTTTTTCTGTTTTCAAATTTAATAGTTTTTAATGTTAAAAGAAAATTATTAAAATTGTTATGAACAAACAATTTAATAATCTTTTCACATTCAATAGTTTTTAGTGCTACGTAATAATTTTCACCGTTGTTATGAATAAGCATTAACAATTATGTGTATACTTTTAAATTTCAGTTCATTTAATTTTTCAAGTTTTATAATTTTACAGATTAATTCTTCAATTTTTAATTTGGCAAATTAATTCCTCAACTTTATATTAACTCTGCAAAATTAGACTCATAAAAAGTTAGCGAGATTTAATGTAACGTTTTCTGTTTTCTCAATTAACGGTTGACTATATTTAATTTTAATTTTGCGTGGTCAACGTTGAATTGAAGAATTTTTTTGCAATCACGATAGTCGAGGATTATTTATGCCAATTGCAAATAGTTGAAGAGTAAAATGTGCAATTTCCCCACTTCCCTTCTTCTTTTCTCTATCCTGTCATTTCATTTCAAAAGTATCTTTAAATATATATTAGTTTTATAAAATATAGTAACTATAAAATACAGCTAAAATTTCAATTTATACTATTGTATTAATTTCCATAAATTTAAATATTTGAATTAAAATTTGAGAATAGGCTGTATTCGTCATAAATATTTGTACAAAACAACGAGGCAAACTGGCGAAGGCGAAGTATGAACAGCATGATTTGGCCGGTTTAATGAAATTAGCTAAAACTCGTCATGGTGTCTGCCGTTCATGTGCGGGCCCTCTATCACTTAATTTACTTGCAAATTGCTGCGAGTCTCCACTTGAGATTCGACAAGGGTCAACTCAAACACACACAACTATTTAGGTTTTTTAAAAATAAATAAAATAAATGCTCGTCTCATACAAGTTTATAACTTACTACAGCTATTTACTGCCAGTTTATTAATTTGTTGGAACAACTTTGACATGTCTGGTAAAGACGCCGAAAACATGTCAACTTCCATCAATTTTTTTTTTTGATCGAAGCTTCCAAAAAAAAAAACTTATGATCTAATGAACTCGACACTGAATAAGCAGCAAAAGTGAATCATATTGACATAGATAATTTTCAAAATTCAGTATTTTGCTAAACCTAAACCAGCTTCATTCCACTTGCGATTGCATTTGTAGTTCGAAAAATTTCGGACCACATAAAAATATAAAAAATTTGAATTTTCTGTGTGATTAATTATTACTAATTTTTTTTGTTACTGAAATGTGATTTTTAATAAATAATTAATCACTATACTGAGGTGTGATTATCAACTATTTTTTCTTCCCAGCTGTTTTCTCTTATTTGCATTATTGTCATCATGTGAACAAGACACTGTGTTGACACACACTATTCAAACAATAATATCCAAAGGTTGGTGTTCTAAAAGAACAACATAATTTTAAATTAGTTCATTATTGACTTGTTGGGGATTCTAGAACCAAAAATCCGTTGGGTATCGCACAAAATCAAATTCTATACTTCAATATATATATATATATATATATATTTTTTTTTTTAAAAAAAAAAAAAGAGAAATCAGCACAAAATCAGTAAATTCCGTAACGCTCACGCGCGGACAAAAATTTAGAATACGGAAAGGGAATAATCCAGTCAACACGCACACCACCTTTCCAATAACTACATTCCTTCTTCATTCGACATTTCCCAAAAAACAATCCTTGTCAAAATATTCAGACATCCATTGAAAAGTGATTCCACAACAAAATATTCCGATTCTATAAGATCATATTCCCTTGGAGAAATTTCGTTGTCCAACTAGCTTCTACACAATGGTTCCAATAGTTATTTTCGCTAAGCTACTTGGCGAGTACACGACTGCTCTCGCCAAAATCGCCGCCGAGATAATTCCTCGGCGTCCCAATGACCGGAGAGATATTCACATCGGTTGTCTCTCCTTGCCTGTTCCAGACTTCTCCTCACATCTCGTCGACTTCTGAGTCTTATTCATTTAAATTGTAGTAGCCGACGGCAACAGTCAAGGTTTTTTTTCTTTTTCTTAGTGTCTCACTCTTTTTATTTTTTCGAGCATCGATTAGGGAATGTTAATTTTGAATCTCCAAGAAATGGATTTCTAGCAGAGCTTCTTTCTTCTTGTTACATAACTTGTAATCTCCAAAATCTCTTCATAAGCAAACTTACTAGACTATTTGATTTGAACATTGTGTGTATAGAGTAGTAACGAAATCCAAGTTTGAAGAAACGTTGGAAGAATGAACATAAGTAGAAGCTATGCTTCTTCTCCCTGCACTAACTGTCATGCAATGTCGGAATGGTAATGTAAAGATGGCTCCATTTAGAATCTAATAAATCAATAACAAATGAGGGGCCTAATTTGGGTTCTTCAATAGGCAAAATATTTAGCTCAAAATGGGGCATTATATATTACACACTAGTCTTAATATTCATCATACATCTCTCACTCAAGCTTTTGCCTTTGGCTGACCAATTTCCTATTAGAAGTTTTCTACTTGTTGGTGCTTACACGGCGAGCAGCCAAGATTCCAGCACAAACTCTCGTAAATGCTTCCGCTTAATGTCCTCTACTGCTTCACAACGCGGTGCAGCTCCCGTAAACGCTTCCACCTAATATTCTCCAAGGCTTCACAATGCGGTTCATAACTCGGTGTCCAATGTGGGCAAGGCGCAGCCAAATCACATACGTAACAGTAGCACTACACACACGCACATACAGATCAAAAACCAAACATTAGACACTTTTGTTACATCCAACTCTTGAAGATCTTGGCTAAATTGACATAAAAGAAACACATTTTTTTCAAACAACAAATCGATCCACATCTCAACCCAACCACATCTGAAAATGACCATGTTCAACACATAGAAGATAGTACAGATACCTGACTACAATGTAGTGCGTGATGAGTTGATGCAAATGGATATTTCAAGCAGAGATGCCTTGGATGTGGGAAATCTCTACAAGCCACCTGAAAAAAAAACACCAGATTCCATCAAAATTTCAAAAATCAACAGCGACAACTTGATTATGCGAAAAAGATACAAAAGCCCCAAAATTTACAGAAAATCAAAGAACCCAAGAGACCAAAACCTGGCCTTTCTCGTGGATAATTGCCACATCGTTGTCACTTTCTGGGTTATCGGAGAAGGAGAGCTTCCGTGCGTCAAATGAATCGTTGGGATCAAAGTCGAGGATGAAGCAATCCTCTTTTTCCTCGAAAAACTGCACATCCTGTCTTGTTTTGAGACAGAATATACCTCTGATAGGCGTCCCTTCTTCTTCTTGTTCTTCTTCTTCTTCCTTCTGGGTTAGCTTCTTTCTTCCCTTGGTATTCGTCTTCTTCGTTGTCTCCCACAGATCTGGAGTGATCTCCACAATTTCCGTTTGCTTAATCACCATTTTTCCCTTTCTTTTACTGTAAATTTTCGATCTTTTTTCTTGAGAGAGGTTTTCAGATAATTGCAGAGGTGACCGTTGCGCCTCCACTGCAGTTTGAGATTTGAGAAGCAGCGATGGCGATTCGGTTTCATTTGGAATTTAGTTTTTTTATTTATTTGTTAATAAATAAATCAAGCATATTTGCAATTGGAAAGGCCTTCGATCCGTTAGCTAAATATGGGCTCAGTAGAAGCCCAATTAATGGACCAAAAGAAACAAATACAGCTGCCTACAAAGTTGGTTCGGTTTTTTAGATCCCAATAATAAATCGTGTAGCTGAGATGTTTCAGTAAGCCAACCCACCCAACATGATATAACTCGTATTTGTTTAACATTTTAATTTGTTTTTATATGATTAGAAAGATCATTTAAACCAAATGTAATTTGTTAAAGTTTTATGATGGAGACGTACCACGGGACGGGACACAGTGATAGGCACGATTATGAATTTATGAACTATATTGTAAAATTGTCGAGTTGAATTATAATAAAGTAGTTTAACAAAAATATGTAATAAAATAGGGTTAGTGGAAGGCTTTGATCAGCATATTATTTGTCTTTACTTACTTAGAATTGTCATGGCTAACTCAAACTAACACTAAATTGATCCGTAGACATTTATTTCCACCACAATTTTTTTTAATGACAGAATAACACCGGTCACTATATAAAGCCATATATATATATTATTATTTTCAAACCATAGTTGGCCATGCATGAAACAAGGAAGGTTGCTTAGGCTTTTTTTTTTCTTTTTCTTTTGAAACTGGAATTATACTATATATTATGAAACTTTGTTTATAGGTATTAATTTATAAACCATACAAAATCGTGAAGAACCAAATATTGTACGAAATTAATTATACTTCAAATTTTACTGCCTTATGGGTAAATGTTTGCACGTACTGCAATCCATTGAGCTGGTTCAGCCACATGATAAACTAATTAATTTAACTAGTTATGTGGTAACTCCATAGAATTCTACTTTTTTTGTTTTATGTTTGCCGATCGGTCCAACTCACTAACTAATGTTGCATGAGCCATGCCTTTCCCTCTCCTTTACCTTACTAATTTTCAAATAGATATCTGCATTTGCTTTATGTATAATAGTATTTGATCTGTACTTTAGGTTTGTTTAATATATTGGTAATCAAAGAAAAGACCAAACTACCAAGTACAAAGAATGAATTCAGTGTCCATGTTCTTAAGGGCGGAAGATGTTTTCTTTTTAGTATAAATAGAGACCCTTTCAACCCTAATTCTCACTCATCAGTCATCACATCATTATCAAGCCAGAGACCAAAAACGTAAAAACAGAGTAAAAATCCAAACACAGTAGTCATAATGGGATCTCTGGCTGAAACACAGATCACTCCGGCTAAAATTTCCGACGAAGAGGCTAATCTCTTTGCTATGCAGCTCGCTGGTGCCACCGTGCTTCCGATGGTTCTGACATCAGCCTTAGAGCTCGACCTTCTGGAGATCTTATCCAAGAATGTTGCTCTCGCTGGCGGTCAACTCTCACCATCGGAGATAGCTTCTTATCTTCCGACCAAGAACCCTGATGCTCCAGTCATGGTCGACAGGATCCTCAGGTTGCTTGCCGCTTACTCCATCTTGACATGCTCTGTTCGTAAGCTTCCTGGTGGCGGCGTGGAGCGTCTTTACGGACTAGGACCGGTATGCAAGTACCTGACTAAGAACGAAGATGGAGTCTCACTCGCTGCACTGTGCCATTTGAACAGAGACAGGGTTTTCATGGAGAGCTGGTAAAATGCTGTCACCACTCAAATGTTTTAACTTTTATAATGATACCTCTAGACTAAAAAACATATTCGTTGATGATATGATCATATGAGTGTGCAGGTACCACTTGAAAGATGCGGTTCTTGAAGGAGGCATTCCATTCAACATGGCATTTGGTATGGACGCTTTCGAGTACCAAGGTGCCGATCCGAGATTCAACAAAGTGTTCAACAATGGAATGTCTAACCACACGACGATCGTCATGACCAAGATTCTCGAGACCTACAAAGGATTTGAGGGATTGTCTTCGTTGGTAGATGTTGGTGGTGGCATTGGAGTCACTCTCCGTATGATTGTCTCCAAACATCCACACATCAAAGGCATCCTTTACGACCTCCCTCATGTCATCGAGGAAGCAGTATCCTATCCCGGTATGTATACTTAACGAAAAGCATTGATTCATGGTTGTTTTCATGGATGTTTAATTTAGTGTCTTAGTTTGAGTTTTGTTGATGATTCAGGTATTGAACATATTGGGGGAGATATGTTTGTGAATGTCCCTAAAGCAGATGCCATCTTCATGAAGGTTACTAAACTAGTCCTATTTTATTTGATTCTTGGCAACAAGTTTTCTACGAATGTATCTCAAACATTTATTTAAACATGTGACAGTGGATATGTCATGACTGGAGCGACCAACATTGTTTGAAATTTCTGAAGAATTGCTATGAAGCGCTCCCAAATAACGGGAAAATGATTGTGGCAGAATCTATACTTCCGGTGGTGCCAGACTCAAGCCTCCTGACAAAAGAAGTTGTCCACATGGACTGCCTCATGTTGGCTCACAATCCCGGAGGCAAAGAACGAACCGAGAAGGAGTTTGAAGCGTTGGCCAAAGGTTCCGGCTTCCAAGGCTTTCAAGTTGTCTGCAGAGCCTATGGTACTCACATCATGGAATTTCTCAAGAAGATATGAACAAATATCCCTAAAACATTTTCTTCTCTTTTTTTGTTTTTAAGTTTTTTTGCCTTCCAAGTATTGTTCTACGATTCCAACGTTATCTTGTCTCTCTGGCTTGTAACTTGTGAAGCCACTATATATCGTCGTTTATTTAAGTTGTTTTTTTTGTTGCTGGAAAATGCATTTCTTTGTAATTGTATTTTCGATATGCTTATATGTATGATGAGTTATGAAACTGGATTAACAGTTTATTCTTTGTACCTATAGTAGATTACTATATATATATATATATATATATATAAATACTATATACTAGATTACTATAATAGACTGGCAACACAATATAGTTTACATAATCCTTTCTCCCAGAATGATTGAAAACATAGATATGGTCCAAAGGTATATTTTCTTCTTAGGATCGACTTAAATACTTTAAAAGCGGCCATATTACATTGTGGATTGAACATGCATATATATAAGAAACTATTGGTGATTCATAAATCCCCTCGTCAAATGATGAAATGTACAGACTAGAAATTTCACTAATAGGAAACTAGTCAGTAAGTCATGGAGCAAAGAATTGTTTTTTCAAGTTTTGACGACGGGACTCTAAATTGAGAACTTGTATATTTTTTTTGTAAATGGTGTATTGGAAAGCATGATGTGTATTATTTAATTTATATGTTTGTTTATTACACGGAATCGTTGATATAAATGGAGGGATTTTTTTTTTTTTTGTAAATGGCTTTATATAAATGGAGAGATGATGTCAAAAATGACAAAAGCCAACGCCGGGTCCTTATAACCTCTTGATATTTGATATTTCTGACCTCTTGAAGAAATCATCTGAATTTATATCAATGTATTACTCATGTAATGTTTTTTTGGGTAAACAAATGGAAAATAGAGTAAAACTTATGTGATGTCGTATATTATATGAAGTAGAAACTATAATGGGGAGTCCAAATAAAAAAAAAAAATTATAATGTTCCGGGATCTAGAGGACAAGAATAAAAAAGAATATTTTACTTTTAGTATACAGAAAATTACAGCAGCCATATATTAATTAGCTGCAAAAATAATTTACCTAATCATATGAACCTATCAGTAGACTATCCCTTTTTAAAAAAAAACATTTTAATGTTTCGATTGCTTTTGATTTCGGACTCTTGTGTCACTTGACCTACTACTAATGGTCAATGACAAAAGAAAAGTTTTGTTTTTCTATTTTGGTTGAAAATTCGCGATAGTGTTTAAAGTTCAGCAGAAGAATAGATATAATGGTGCTAACGTTAATTGTTCGTTACGAGGCGGGCCTGTGAAAGAGGTAGTTAGTTAAATTCAAAGTCCAAAGTCTAAGTAATACCACTTGCATTAATGTCTCCCATGTGTTCTACGGATCAGTTCGTTAAACAAAAAAATATTCTACGGATCAGCTCATCCTATTCCTCGTACGTATAGTAGGCATATTAATTACATGGACGAAAGCTAATTTGTTGATGAACTCTCTCTCTATATATATATTAATAATTTTTTAAACGACGTTAGGTGTTGGTGAATTTAGTACTTTAGTTCATCTTAAACATTACGTTTTGCAATTCAAAGTCTGCCAAAATAATAAACTTTAATTAATAGACTATTACCAATGACGATATAGTATGGTTTTATAGTAATCAAATCGATCGATTACGTTCGCCACTAGAATTCTCTTCTGCGTCATATAAATTATAATATATATACACATATATCTTTAGAATTACAATAGTTTTTTGGTATAACTGACGTTACTGACCAAAACATTTTCGAATCTAAGCTGGAAGAAGATTCGTTGGATTTTCCAATACGTCGCTTTTGAGAGTGCGTGGATTATAGATAGGTGTACCAAGTTTCTTGCTTTTCTGATTTTTTTAGATATTACTAGATATTATTTAATACAATAATATTATATATTAGAAAGAAATATGAGATTTGAAAAATTAAAAGTCTGTTATCATTTTTATTATATATCTATATATATTAAAATCTGAATATATTAAAACCAGAGATTAAAAAATTAAAAACTTGATATTAAAAGGTAATACAATAAGAATTATATTTCTCCTATATATATATATATTAAAATCTGAGATTAGAGCCAAGTTGGTTATCTCATTGATCTTGGTTATATATATATTATCTATGTTTTCTAGCATTTTAAGGTATATTTAATATAAGTTTAAGTTATGTAATTTTATGTTTAATTGTGTTATTTAAGATAATATAACACAGCTTAAACTTATAAAAAAGTACCTGTTTACTAAACAAGATAATTTTATGTTTAATTGTGTTATTTAAGATAATTATGTTTAATTATATTGATGATACTTAAAGTGGTATCTCAAGAATATTATACAGCAATAGCTGCAAGACCCACCTTTTACTAGTATATAAGGACTAAGCAGCTTAGCTTCAAATCACATCAGAAATACCTTGTTAAACATTATAGTCCAAAAAAGCCTTCTTAATTAGAAGAACATCATCATGGGATCATTGGCAAAATCTCAGATGATTCCTGTTACGCAAATTTCCAACGACGAGGAGGCTAGCCTCTACGCCATGCAGCTTGGCAGCGGGTCAGTTCTTCCCATGGTTCTGAAATCAGCCATAGAGCTCGACTTGCTCGAGATCATGGCCAAGAACGATGGATTCTCCGGCGCTCAAATGTCTCCTTCAGAGTTAGCTTCCCATCTCCCAACCAAGAACCCTGATGCACACATCATGCTTGACCGGATCCTCCGGTTGCTTGCGTCACACTCCATACTGACCTGCTCTGTACGTAAACTACCTGACGGCGGCGCAGAGCGTCTCTACGGACTTGACACTGTCTGCAAATACTTGACTAATAACGAGGACGGCGTGTCTCTTGCCACTCACTGTCTTTTGAACCAAGACAAGGTCCTCATGGAGAGTTGGTACGTATTAAACCCTAAAATACATTAATTTCATATAAGCCATTTCAATTTGTGGGTTTTATTGACAGAAAAATCTGAAACTTTATGTAGGTACCATTTGAAGGATGCAGTACTTGAAGGCGGGATCCCATTCGATAAGGGATACGGTATGCCTACCTTCGTGTACCAAGGGACAGACCAGCGATTTGCGAATGTGTTTAACAATGGAATGTCGAATCACTCGACCATAGTCATGAAAAAGATTCTAGAGGCTTACAAGGGCTTTGAAGGATTATCCTCTGTAGTCGATGTTGGTGGTGGCATTGGAGCTTCGCTTCACATGATTGTTTCCAAGTATCCAAATATCAAAGGGACCAACTTTGATCTCCCACATGTCATTGAGAATGCTCCATCTTTTTCCGGTACATCTTTGTTATACACTTCATAACATTTTTCGAAGTAATTTCTATATATGTTTACGAACGATTATATAAATATGGTTTTTGTTGGACGATCGATGCAGGTATCGAACATGTTGAAGGAGATATGTTTGTTAGTGTTCCCAAAGGAGATGCCATCTTCCTTAAGGTTAGCAAATAGAAACGTGACATGGGTTCCTAGTGATTGCTATAAGCTCAATTATACTTCCACATATCTTGATTATCTATCTTAGTACTAATATGGAATAAATATTTATCATTAGTGGGTCTGCCATGACTGGAGCGACGAACACTGCTTGAAGTTATTGAAAAACTGCTATGAAGCGCTTTCAGATAACGGAAAAGTGATAGTTGTGGAGTGCTTAGTCCCGATAGCACCAGACACGAGCCTCTTGACTAAACAAGTAGTCCATTTGGATTGCATCATGATGGCTCACACCGCCGGTGGCAGGGAGCGAACGGAAGAAGAGTTTGAGTCTTTGGCAAGAAGAGTTGGTTTCAAAGGCTTCCAAGTCATTTGCAATGTTTTTGGCACTTACATCATGGAATTCTACAAGATGATTTGATCACTTCAACTTTCTGGTTTCTATTTTGTCGTTGTCGTTGTCTTTTTCTGTTTCTTTTTTTTTTTTTTTTTTTTCCTTCTTGTGACAAAGATATCTACGGTAATCCTTGCTTCTTTTTTTTTTTCGTTTTTGTTGACTTTTGGTTTAAAAGATGAAGTTTCGTCGTACTACATATATATTATAATCCGAGGTTAGTAACATGTTTTTCTCCAATATAATGTTGGAATAGTCGTTATATGTAGAAGGTGCACGTAGGGTCTTTTCATCTATACGTCGTAGTCAAAACTAAGTAAATTGTCAGAATTTCAAAAGATTGAATCCGAATTCCCACCTATAAAGTTTTTTTTGCATTTTCCTTGCCCTCTATTTTCTCACAACATATTCATATTTTTTTCTTTAGTAAGTATACATACGATTTCCTATGTACTATGTGTAGTCTTTGAATTTGTTGTAAACAAAGTTCCTCCTCTCAGCTCAATTCATGTAGTACTTTTACGTACATTGGGATTAGAATGCTAATTAGGTACACATATATATACAGAGCTAGCAGTAAGAAATTAGACTATAGCCAACAATACTAAACGGTCTAGAATGCTAATTAGGTAGACTAGTCAAGTTGCTTTTACTAGGACTCTTCGATTTTTAAGGTTTTCTGGGATTGGTTCTTACTCGTAACAAATCTTCTGTTCACATGTAAAAAGAATTCAGGTCGTTTCATAGCTTGACTTCCATTATGGTGTACTGGTTGTGTCGTTGTTTAAAGGAAATAGATAAGAAAAACACTCACGTTGATAATTCTCATGCAGAAAGAATATCCAAATTCCACTCGGACTTTTATTTAAACTGTCGTCGACTTTTGACCGGAGCGAAATTTCGTGCCGAAATTTGAAAATTTAAATGAAAAAAAAAGACTTATGTTTTACATTATATTACTAAAAGAAAAACAGTTACAGAGAAAACCCAAGAATAGATTAATTGGATTGATGAAGAAGAGTTTTGCTCTGGTATTAGAGGACAGTAGAAGCGTTAAATGAAAAGGAATATAGGAAGAAACACCACAAAGTTAGGTCCTGAGCAAACGACGATTTAAGTGGTAACTGGTAATGTCGAAACTATACAAATAAAGGTAAGATTTAGTCGTGAGAAACAGCTATAAAACAGGTTTTGAGAAAAAAGCGATATTACTGATATATTGACAATTAATACAACTAAAATGAATTACAAGAATGGGTTAATGAGCTTCGTCGTTTTTACTTCAATAATCTTCATCTTTCTCTTGGTTCCAGGTTAGACCGTCTATGAGCTAATGCACATCTCATTTTGTCTATCTTAATACCAAGTTGTGAGAGATATTAACGATTCAGTTTTTTTTTGTTTGTTTTTCGTTATGAGTGAAATGTAGAGAAAGGAGAAGCGCAACACATTGGATCATGTGGACCAGTGAAGGACTGTACGGCCGCTTGCATCAATAAAGGATATAGAGTTGGCCAATGTGTTGGCTGGGATGATCCTGATATATGCTGTTGCAACTAATAGACTCCACATCTAAACATTACTACATATCTAAATGTTTTGAAAAACCATCAATAACAAATTAAATAAATATCTCTGCTTTAATAATATCTATGCGAGTTTTCACAATTGAGACCAGCCATTTTGTTTTTCCTTCAAAATTGAGAAACATAAGCTCGTTAAAATATACCAACTTGTGTTTTGTGTCACTTGTTTTTCTCTTCATATTTTTTTTGGATATATCTGATCTATTCGTCTACCATAGTCAATTAATTTTCTGAATGAAATTTCAAGTTTAAAACAACATCTAATATCCAGAATGTGCAAGAGCTCTCTTGGAGAAACGAATATCTACCTATAAGCTTGCAAAACATTAATTCATGTTAACCGTTTTGTTCATAGATAATCCGTTCTTCGTTATTCTTTACTCAGACCACAATCTAAATTACAGTAAGAAACATAGGCTTATGTACATCAAACAGCTTCACAAAAAAAGAAAACAAGTGAAAACAGAGGAAAACGTAAATAGAATCCTACTGAATCTGGACATCGATGACTTTGCGTTCGACTTTGGCTTTTGGAATATTGATGAACAAGACTCCGTTCTTGAGCTCAGCTTTGATCTTGTCTTTCTCGCAGCTGTCCGGTAGCTGAAGCCGAGTGCCATAGGAGCTAAAGCTTCTTCCAGACCAAGAATCACTATCGTCGTTCTTCTTCTGCTCTCCTTTGATTACAAGGACGTTATCTTCGACAGAGACTTTGACGTCTTCTCTGGAGAGACCAGGCATGTCGAAACGCATCTTGATCTCGTGTTCTTCCTCTTTGATGTCCCAAGGCGCACGGATTTCCGAAACTCCTCCTCTGTTTCTTCCTGGGACAATCATAGTAGCGTCATCGAACATTCTGTCCATTGTATCTAGCATTTGACGCATTGTCCTCATTGGTGACAGAGGATCCAACAATCCTGTCGTCAAGATCAAAACAGAGCAATGTGTTAAGTAAAAAAAGCTGAGGAAAGAGTTTCAAGAAAGCATAAGTTGGATTAGTTAAACGTACCGAAAGGAGAAACGTCCATGGCTAAGCGTTGAGGTCTTTTCTCGACACTAGATCCTTGGTTTCCTTTTTGTCCTTGGTGAACAACATCAATGGAGTTTTCTTTCTGGTCTTGAGCTCTGATCCGACCAGGGTTCCTCCGTGGAAACGCGACGGAGAGCGGCGAAGTGGATTTGGACGAGGCAGAGGGAGATAGAGCGAGAGGTGAACGTAGAGCCGAAGAGAATGAGAGTGTGGAAGCCATTTTTGTTCAAGTATGAGCGAGAAATCTCACTGAGTAATGATTAGACAAACAGTTATGGTTTGAGTTCGTTGAGTTACGAGTTTTGGATAGTGTGCTTGTGTTTATATAGGACGAGAAGAGGGCAAAGTGACAAAACTCGAAAGGAGAGATCTTGAAGGTTGAAGATTTGATACGAAGTTTCTGGTCTCGTTTATTATTTGTTGTCCTCCTCTCGCGTTTTCTCAGCGTCTCCCGAATCATCTTTTTTGCTGTAACCAATCAGTGTTTTTGGGCTCTAATTAAATCCAACGGCCCGACCTTGATCAATGAAACAAATGTATTTCCGGTTTACTTGTATCAAATTGATTAATCTGGTTTTACGAGTTACGACGGTGCAAATGAGGCTATTTCGGTAATTTACAATATCTCCTCGTTTCCTCGATCCTCAAGTATTCGACACCTCCACAAGGCAAAAACTCTGTCGTCGTCCGCAAGAAGAGCAAAAGCTCGTTTCTCTTCTTCAAACATATCCTCGGTTTCATCTGAGAAACCCTAATTTCTGGGCTAGTTAGGATTTTGTTTTCTTTTCGTATAAGATACTCTGTGATTGAAAGGTTTTTGTTGTATTTGGAAGAAGAAATGGGTGGCTCGTCGGAGACAAAGATCCTGCAAGAACTCATACTTTACGCGGCGAGCGCTGCTTTTAGCTGCTTGGTTCTGTTTGCGGGGCTCAGGCATCTCGACCCTAATCGTGAGGCGTCTAAAAAAGCTCTCGAGCATAAGAAGGAAATCTCCAAGCGTTTGGGTCGTCCTCTTATTCACACAAATCCATACGAGGTAATTTTTATCTTACCTTCTATGGAATTAAGCAACTTGAATTCCCAATTGCTGTGAATTATCAGGGAATGCGACTATGTTCTTCGTGGATACTTCAATTTGTAACATTGTTGAACATCTATGCTTAACATTGTAAATAATAATAAAAAAATGGATACTTTGAGTTCCAATTGTTGCTGGCAAGCTCATGAAGGAGCTAGACTGAAATAATGCTCTGTTGTTGCTGATATTTGTAAACAGGATGTAATAGCATGTGATGTGATAAATCCAGACCACATTGATGTAGAGTTTGGTTCTATTGGAGGATTGGAGACCATCAAGCAGTCTTTGTATGAGCTTGTGATTTTACCGTTGAAAAGACCTGAGCTTTTTGCTTTTGGGAAGCTGCTTGGACCTCAAAAGGGTGTCTTGCTCTATGGGCCTCCTGGTACTGGAAAGACTATGCTTGCTAAGGCTATTGCGAAAGAATCAGGAGCTGTTTTCATTAATGTTAGGGTTTCTAATCTGATGAGCAAGTGGTTTGGTGATGCACAGAAGCTTGGTAAGTGCAGAATTTTTCTTTTTTTAATTTTGTGGCAAAAGTATTTCACCTTTTGAGTAGGCCTGTCTTCGTGCTCTTTGTGTTCTAGTTCTTCCGGTGTTTTAAACTTCACATTTGTGCAACGAAATTGTTCAGCTTTGTTGGCAATTCTTCTTCAACTAATGGTGTTTCTAATCTATGAGCTGCTCTGTTCTGTTCCGTTCTTTCAGTTGCTGCTGTATTTAGCCTGGCGTACAAACTCCAACCTGCTATAATTTTTATTGATGAGGTTGACAGCTTTCTTGGTCAGCGCCGCTCAACAGATCATGAAGCAATGGCGAATATGAAGACTGAGTTTATGGCTTTATGGGATGGATTTTCTACTGATCGTAAGTTGAATTCTTCATCTTTTGGCTTACTTTAACATGCAGACTAGTACAATATGGGAGAATGTTTACATGAGTTCTTTATGAATTTAATGGTTGCCTTTTTAGCGAATGCGAGGGTTATGGTCCTTGCTGCAACCAACAGACCGTCAGAGCTTGATGAAGCAATATTGAGACGTCTTCCTCAGGCTTTTGAGATTGGAATACCTGATCGACGGGAGAGAGCTGAGATATTGAAAGTGACTCTGAAAGGAGAGAGGGTGGAACCCAATATTGACTTTGATCAAGTAGCTCGTTTATGCGAAGGCTATACCGGATCAGATATCTTTGAGCTCTGCAAGAAAGCAGCTTACTTCCCTATCAGAGAGATCCTAGAGGAAGAGAGAAAGGGAAGACACTGTCCGGTAAGTTTAAAAGGAAAACATGGTCCAAGGAATTTTTCAATGTTGCATCCTCCAGATGATAAAGTATGTGATGTTGTGAGTTGCTCTCATTTGCAGGTCCCTAGGCCATTATCACAGTTGGATTTGGAGAAGGTTCTTGCTACGACAAAGAAGACACAGGTTGCAGCTGGCGAGTACTCTGGATTAAGCTCGCAGTCCTCAGCTTGGAGAAGCTCAAGGGAACCAGATGATGTACAAGCAGCGATAAGTGGAATCTCGAAGCTTCTAGTCTCTCAGATCATCAACCTTCAGTCAGATTCTCAGGATTCATGGCAGCGAGATCCCGAAGAAGAAGATTCCTGATGAAATTCCGGATCATTTTTTAGAAACGTTCAGGAATTTGCCACATTTCACTCTGTTTTGTAATATTTAATTTTTAGGATGGATCATTTGATTGGTTTTGGCTCTATTAAAGCGTTGATCTTATGCTTTACTGAATCTATCTTGGTCATAATATGACCAATGTACTCACTTAATGAGTTATATGTACTGTCAACTCCTTTACATCCCATGGTCGTTAATGGAGAAGCTAGATCAAATTTGTTCAGAAAATTAGTATCATAAATCAGTCCACACCCTAAACCTTAAAAATCACAGCTTTGAACTTTGAACATCTGGGCTTTCTTGTCTGGGCTAAGTATAATAAACTAGAAAATAAAGTGCCTTCTTTTTTCTATTTCCCGTTTTCGTTTTCTCTCCTTGTTCTGTCCATCGTCTCCAACCAACCCATCAGATTCGGTCGATTCACTCTCAGTTTCGACTTGGCTGGTAAGTGTTCTTGCCGTTGTTTGTTATTTTAGGTGTCAGTTGATCTAACCGGCTTGCTTTCCCTCATAATTTTTTATCGAATCGAGTCATTTCTAATCACTGAAGCATTACATCTGATTCAGAATTTTCATGGCTTTCATTTGATTACTTTTTGTTTCATGAATTGGGAACTAGGGCTTGCTTCTATTTCCGTTTTGTTTTCCTCGCTGAATCGTGATTTCGAGTTCTGTCTCTCCATATCAAGGTCTAGCTTTTAACCGCACGCATTCGGTGTATTGCAATTAAGAATGCCTCTGATTTGTATTCCTTTATCGAATTGGAACAGGTTATTTGTGATTGAGATCTAAGTCTTCTGATCATGGTAAGTGCTCTTAAATACTATGAATTTGCCTTGTTTGCTTTGATGTTGCTGCGTCTGAAACACAGGCTTGCAGAGTTAAAGCTTATAGCTTTTTGGGGTTTAATGTCTCAGAATTATCTTCTTGGAGCCTTCAAGCCCGCGTGCAATATTTCAATCACTTTTTCTGATGGCAAAAATCGTAAACAGGTAGATATTTTGCTTCTGGCCTTTGTGGTTATGAAAACAATTGTTCATACCCAATATGGCCTAGATCACTTGCACCATTACTTATGATTGACTCACATTTCAGATGTTCTCCTCTTGACCCTCCATTGTATTCCTAGGTACCGATGAAGAAAGAAAATGGTCAAACTGCTTTGGTGCCACTTTTCCAGAGTCAAGAAACTATTTCCGGGAAGGTACTTGGTTACTTGCTCTAGATAAATTTCAGCTGTTCCAGTTATGATCTTCTGATGCTTAAAAGGAATTTTTCCTTAATACCTTTATTAGGTTTGCATTGACCCATATCAAGGGAAAAAGGTGGAGCATAATGGTGTTAAAGTTGAGCTTCTTGGTCAAATAGGTGTGCAATTGCCATGACCTGTAGATCTACTAACAAAAGAGTCTTAAGAGATTAATTATTCGGTTTCTAACTTAGATTGATGTATGCTTATTGGTGGCATTTGTGTTGTCGACAGAAATGTACTTTGACAGAGGAAACTTTTATGACTTCACTTCCTTGGGTGAGTAATCTGAGGCCTTTTGTTTTTCTTCTAATATTGACGAGGTGACTCTGATAATTGATTACGATGACTTTACTTTCATGTTCAACCCTCCTAGATATTCTTTTTTTGAACCAATTCTGTTTGTGATTCTATCTTATGTTTTGCCTTATTCCAGTTCGTGAACTGGATGTCCCTGGAGATATATATGAAAGAAAGACATACCCTTTTGAATTTTCAACTGTCGAGATGCCATATGAGACATACAATGGTGTGAATGTGCGGCTAAGGTATAGCATTAGATTATTATTATTATTTTTTTGTCGACAGCATTAGATTATTTTATCATAAGGTTAATACACTTGTGTTCCTTAATACATTTTCTGATACAATATACTGCTTTCTTTGTTTCTTCAGATATGTCCTCAAAGTAACCGTCACTCGTGGCTACGCTGGAAGCATCTTGGAATACCAGGAGTTTGTGGTAAGTTTATCTTCCTTTTATTCTGCGTGTCATTGTTCCGACATAGTTATATTATGATATTAAACATCACCAGAAATATGTTAAATCATGATATTGTTGATGTCGTTTGAAATAGGTCCGGAACTTCGCTCCACCTCCTGCAATTAATAACAGCATCAAGGTGAGCTCTGATACTGATAGGTTCCAGAGTGTTCTTGGTTTCACATATGATTAAGGAAATAAATCATTAGCACCTTTGAGGAATAACTCCATTGGACTTCACTTATGGTACAGATGGAAGTTGGAATTGAGGATTGCCTGCATATTGAGTTTGAGTACAATAAAAGCAAGTAAGACATAAAAATCTGTTTCATGATTTACGAATTTGACTGTCTGGTCGGGCAATAGCGACGGATCTTCTACACCTGTGGATGCAGGTATCACCTAAAAGATGTTATCCTTGGGAAAATATATTTTCTTCTTGTGAGAATCAAGATGAAGAATATGGATCTTGAGATCAGACGACGGGAATCAACAGGTGCAGGTGCTAATACTCATGTCGAGACAGAAACACTTGCGAAATTTGAGTTGATGGATGGAACTCCCGTTAGAGGTAGTATATGCCCAAGATTTGAGAATCTGTTGTTTTAGTGATTGCTTTTAAGGAAATTGAATAACTGAGTGAAGATTTTGCAGGTGAATCGATACCTGTAAGACTGTTTCTGGCCCCATACGATCTTACACCAACGCATCGCAACATTAACAACAAATTCAGCGTCAAGTATTATCTGAATCTTGTACTTGTAGATGAAGAGGATCGCCGATACTTCAAGCAGCAAGAAATCACGTTGTACAGGTTGAAGGAGGACGCATCATCTTGATGACAATTACAACAGTAAGGATTCACTATATCATTTTGAGACCTTTTGTAAAGCCGTAGACTTTGTGTTCTCAGATTTAGCTAAAGGTTGTTATTTGGCTCGGAAGTTAGAATGAAGTCTTGACAGATTTTTGTTTAGTTTGTTCATTGTTTTTTTCATATGGATTTTTTTGGAGTTTGGTTGATTTCATGGTAAAGTCTGAAGTTTTACAAACTTTAAAACGCACACTGAAGAGCCAAATCTCTAAATGCAACTACCTGAATTCGACAGATATACAAAACTGGATAAACTCTAGAGTGAACAATTTCGTTAGTCTTCTTCAGTTTCAACAGGAAGGCCTTCCTTGCTCCATGTGTAGATTCCACCTTCAAGGTGAAATACGTTCTTATAGCCGTTCAGGACCAGAACATACGCAGCTATTAGAGACCTGCAAGAACCCTAATCATAAGAGCATTGAAACAAATCACACAAAGTTGCAGACTTTTTGATATTACCTAGATTGTTGGCCTTCAGGGAGATTCTGGGTCGGCTTCATTGTGCCTGCTGATGAACACGCTACTATTATCTTTGCCTCTTTGTCAAGTTTAGCTTCCACAGCTGCAACAATCAAATACGTAAGTCGATTGATTCAACGCCATTGTGGAAAGGGCCTAAAGCTTAAATCTCATACTTTGAACAAACTCGGGATTCTCTTCCGTGCCAGAGAAGATTCCGAAGAATGCAAATCCAAGACGGCGAGCTATGTCCCATGGCGTCCATTCCCTTATTAGTCTGTACATCTCCACATTGATAGCTCCCGGAGGATGACCCTTCAGAACCAAACAGCAAAACACATGAATTTGCCAATAATGTACAAGGGAACACACATCAGAGAGCAAATTACTCACCTCCTTGTACTCTGCCTCTGGTCTAACATCAAGAATCACAAAGTTGTTCTCTTTCTGTAACCGTAGAGCTTCCTTCACGTCCACACTTCTCACCTAACAACAACAGGTCAATAGTTAAGCTAAGCCAAACTTTGTCTCTTACATTTTCATCTTGAAAAATCTTTATCTTTGAGTAATTTATGAGTGATGATAAGTCAGGTGCTTTTACACAATCTTCACCATCAAAATGTGCATACCCTTTTCTCCAATAGAAGCTCTCTCTTCTGTCTCCAATCGACTTCAGCTAATCCCTCCAAGAGACACAACCAGAAGAACAGCAAATCAAGGGGTTAATAATCTAACCTACTCTCACATTGCAAAATAGATACATGAAGTTCTCGCTCTCTATTACCTGCTGGTTTCGCAGGTTTCGTTGAAGCGTTTCGAATCGTCAGAAGCGATGATGAAGTCGCAGGGGATCTAACTCCGGCAGAGAACAGAGTGTTTCCGGAGATTTTCAGTCGCAAAGCCTGCGACGAAGAAGGATAACTGGAGCTACGATAAGGCGTGGCGATTGAAGTAAGTGAAGCCATCTTCTGGATCGAAGCTTCTTCTTGGTGGGTTTCTAGATATTTCCTGGAAAATGAGAGAATTTAATTGCAGGAATAGTGGAAGAGAGAAAGAGACAGAAGAGTTTGCGGCTTCTTTCTTCTCGTAATGAAAAAAAATCTGAACATGTGGTTCTTGTTTTGTTTTCTCGATTTTCCAACGTCGATTCTATCTGTTATGATCAAATGATAAAGTTCCCTCTAACATAATCTTTTCTTATCTTCTTTACTTAGAACATGCGCCATTCTTCAGTTTTGATTGGATCGGTTCGATTCGGTGAACCTCATTTTTGATTTATTTTATTTTAACATAACTATATTTTTTAAAGCAAAAATTATTTATTCATTCTGTTTCCTTTCCTTTTATAATTTAATGAATTTGAGTAAGGAAATTTTTTTTTGGCAAACTCTTTTTTTTTTTTAATACTGATTTATCAATCTATGGTAAACTCTTCTTATATACCGAGAAGAACTAGATAATCTAGTAACATTACTATCATTATACGTTGTTTCGACACATGAATACATAGATATTTTTAACAAAGGTTGTCCTAATATGTAGGTCGAACATTTGAGCCTATTATGTTCTGAATGCTGAAAAAGTTAGAAGTTTAGTAAGCAAACAAATAGTTGAAAGCCAACACATATTTTTTCTTTTTTTTTTTTCGTTGAGCAGACAACACATAATCTAGTGGATTAAAACCAAACCACTCGTTGAAATTTTCGACTCTTGTGGTTTCCCACTTCCACTACTAATGACTATAATTGATAGAATTTCAAATAAATAAATCATCAGACTTTTACCAAAATAAATAACTCATCAGACTTTTACCAAAAAAAAAAAAAAACATCGGACGGCTTGAGATGCATCGGCCCCACTCCTTCACCGTATGGAGTGACCCACCGACACATGTCCTCCTCTGTATCTCGCTCACCGACACTCTTCTTACCGTTGATCACTCCAAATCACCGTCAGGATCACCCCACGTATAAGCTTCTCTTATCCTCTGCATTTATCCCTCGGTGGACTCCGTACTCTCACGCTGCTTGGACCTTGAGAATGTTTATTTTTCTAACCCAAAGGTACAACTCTTAAGTGGGCCAAAAAGGTAATGTGCATTTACGCGTCAGTGTAGTGTTCTTGAAAGAGTGGAGTATATAAGAATCTTCTGAAGCTGATAGTTTCTTCATCCAAAATCTTTTTCCTCGTCGTCTAGATCGAACGATAATGGAGTTGTTCTACTACATGGTGTTTGGGGTTCTGGGCCTCGTCGTCGCGGCGTTGGAGCTTAGCAAGAACAACAAGGATCGGATCAACACTTCTTCAGCTTTCAATTCTTTCAAGAACAATTATCTCCTCGTTTATTCGCTCATGATGGGTATAAATTCTCTTCCTTTTGTCACCTTTCTTCTTATCTTTCCCGTTTGCCTGAATTGTGTCGGTAAAATTGTATAAAATGCTTGTCTCGATCCGATCTGGTTGTTGTGAAGAGCTCAATTTGTAGATCCGTTTTGTTGTATATATCTCTTGTTTTCTTGCGAAATATTGTGTTCTAGAGAGAGTTCGACATCACATTGGAACTAGGAAGTGATGTTCTAGGTGTAATTTAGTGTCGGCCAGGATAAATTTCGTTTTTTTATTTCTTATAATGATTCAGAATTGCTACACAGAGTGAAGAAAGAAATGTAGAAGTAAGATATATTGGCAATTATGGTGCTAAAACTAAAGCTTGAAACTTTACATGACATTTTTTGTTTTGATGATGGCAGCGGGTGATTGGTTGCAGGGTCCATATGTGTACTATCTCTATAGCACTTACGGATTTAGTAAAGGGGAGATTGGGCAGCTTTTCATTGCTGGTTTTGGTTCCTCTATGCTGTTTGGTACAATCGTTGGATCTCTAGCAGACAAACAGTGAACTTTCTCTCTGATGCTTTTATTATGTTTAACTAAATGGCAAATCTCCCAACAGCTCTCTTAGTAATTGCATAATTGGTATGTTCTGTATCAGGGGTCGTAAAAGGGCGTGTGTTACGTACTGTATTACGTACATATTGAGCTGCATCACCAAGCATTCCCCTCAATATAAGGTTTTGATGGTAGGCCGTGTGTTGGGAGGCATAGCTACTTCTCTTCTGTTTTCATCATTTGAATCATGGCTAGTTGCTGAGCACAATAAGGTAAAACAAGTTTTATGTTGAATTAAGCCGTTATCCTGGAGAAAAATGTTTTTTTTTATTGATAAAGATTGTGTTTTTCTGTGTGATGTATGCAGAGGGGCTTTGAGCAGCAATGGCTGTCTGTAACATTTTCAAAGGCGGTATTTTTTGGCAATGGTCTTGTTGCAATTATTGCTGGATTATTTGGGAACTTGCTAGTGCATTCCTTCTCTCTTGGGCCTGTTGCGCCATTTGACGCTGCTGCGTGCTTTCTTGCCATTGGAATGGCTGTCATTCTATCTTCATGGGCAGAAAACTATGGAGATCCTTCGGACAACAAGGACTTGCTTACTCAATTTAGAGGTGCTGCAGTGGCCATTGCCTCTGGTGAGTTGAAAATGTTGTTACCTCTTTTGGATTTTTACTTCTCTATATCTATCTATTGATGTTTGATTATTGGGTTTTCTTCAATCTTTCATCAGATGAAAAGATTGCACTGTTGGGTGCCATCCAGTCACTCTTTGAAGGATCTATGTATACTTTTGTATTCCTCTGGACTCCTGCTCTAAGCCCAAATGATGAGGAAATTCCCCATGGTTTCATTTTTGCTACATTTATGCTGGCTTCGATGCTCGGCAGTTCCCTTGCATCTCGTCTGTTGTCTCGCTCATCTCCCAAAGTAGAGAGCTACATGCAGATTGTTTTCCTAGTTTCTGCTGCCTCACTATTGCTTCCAATATTAATGACTGTAAGTTAAAAAAAAAGAAAAGCTTCTTTGTAAATCCTCCTTTGCATGCTTTGGTGCTGTCTTTACATTTATTATGTGGCTGAATTATTGTTTGGAATCGGATCTGTGACTCAGATGTTCATAGCACCTTCCAAGGTAAAAGGTGGAGGAATCTCTTTCTCGGGTTGCTTTCAGCTCCTTGGGTTCTGTATATTTGAGGCATGTGTAGGACTGTTTTGGCCATCCATAATGAAGATGAGATCCCAATACATCCCTGAAGAAGCCAGAAGCACAATCATGAACTTTTTCCGCATACCTTTGAACATCTTTGTCTGCATTGTCTTGTACAATGTAAGTCCCACCAAAATTCTTTTGCTATATTATAGTAGCCGATCCATGAATCTGTGTCTTGGTACTGACTAGTGTTATGTGATCGAAAGGTGAATGCATTCCCTATCACGGTAATGTTTGGAATGTGCTCGATCTTCCTCTTTGTTGCAAGTCTCCTGCAAAGGCGGCTCATGATGATTGTTGACAAGCCAAGTATGTTGTCTCTATGTTCTTTTGGCTCAGGGATATATCTATATGCTCTAGACGCTTTCCACTTACAATCAATATAACTCTCCATATGTTTTGCAGAGACAAATGATTGGACACCTCTCGAAGAAAGAAACACAGAAGAAGATCCCCTCAACATTTGATGCATAAACTATGCATAAGATATTCTGGATCCAGTAATGGAGTCAGATAGAGGAAAAAGACTTTAAGGTTGTATAAGGTAATATAGCACGCAACAATGCGAACAGAATGATCATAGCAGTAAAAGAGTCGATACAGTAGTTCTATTATTTAATTTTCTTGGCTTTAGGCTAAAGGACAAGTTTAATTTTTATGCAATCAATGTGTTACTTTATTTTCTTTCTATACAACATTACAACGTCATGCTTCTACAATATTGTTTAAGCGCTCTGTTCCTGTTATATCCTTTCAACAGATCCTCACATAAATGATAATAGCAGCTTTGAAGAGACGAAACAAATTTTGAAAGCGTAACACAAGTAGAATCACTAGCATTTGTATCTAGCCATAAAACAGAACAGTACCTAAGAGTAAAGCTATCACAAAGATATAGTTCTTAAAGAGTAAGACATTTCCGAGAATAATAATCAGTTTGCTGCGTGTTCTGTACAATGCACATGTTATATATTGCCTATCTGATGAGCTAAAAGACGGGACAGCCTTTGATGACCACGCCTTTTGCGGTTGGACACGAAGCTAAAGGACATGTGTCACGGTCGCCGGAATTTCCCCACCACTGCACTTCAATGCCTTTTCGTCCGAGTGCTAGAAACAGAAGGATGGTCATAAAAGCCGAGCCAGCATCTAAACCACCTGACAACACATAGTTATACTTCTTCCACCACTCTGTCCTGTACTTGAAAATGAAGTGGCCAAAGACGAATGCGACGATGAGCCAGCTGGTGAAGTTAACCGCTGTTGCTGGTGGCATCATTGCGGTGGCTCCCACAAGGACAGGGATATGAATCTTGGAGATCCATGTCTGAGCCGGGAATACCTTGGTGGCTAGCCAGACCAAGAGTGGAGCTATGGCTCCAACGAGGAAGAACCAGTTGACACTTGAGTATTCTCCAAGGTCTCCAAACATCCTACGTGGTCCTACTAGTCCCCAAATCACAGATGCGTCAAAGAAGACGCGGTCCATGGGACAAGTCCATTGGCTGTCTGAAGGAAGCAAGGCTGTGTCACAAAGATGAGGAATCTCTTCCATTAACCACCAAGCTGTTCCTGTGTAAACCACAACCGCCACAAGTGTTCCTACCACCTGCACTTGTTACAGATTTGATTAGTTATGTTTTCTTTCATTGAGCTATGATCTCAAAACCAATTGATAAAGTACCTGAGCCATGAACATGGATCTAGGCGGGATCTTCATGTAGTGACCTAGCTTGAAGTCGGAAATGAAAGTTAGTGCTTGAGTCATACTGATGTATCCATAGACCTTGAAACACATGTTGGCCACAGGACGTTCAGGGTAGATATATCCGATGACATACTCGGTTATGATGTTCAAACCGGGTGCCTGGTTAGTGGTTGCGGCTATGACACCGATCAAAGGAGTGAAAGTGATGGCAATGGCACAAGCAAGTAACACTCCCCACCAAGGAAGCTGCACAGTCGCGTTGTAGTGCACAGAGATGAACATAATGAGCGCGATATTCAGCAAGAGGATCACAAGAAACCACCACAATGGAACTTCTCTGTAGTTTTTCTTCATGATTCTTGTATGTATATCCATTTTCTTGTTCTTCTGAAACGCCCCTCTTGTCTGTTTCCACAAGTCACTGTGAACACATCATCTTAAAGATTAGTCTTGAGTTTCGTTCCACACTAATCAGAAAACATAATTGAATATATGTACCTTCCGTTGAAGACTAAAACATGGACAATGGTGGCGGACAATGTAGCAAACCCGAGACCATAAGTAACGGCGAAGAAGGTGCTCATGTTGATAGAGCCGGTCTTAGAGTAAACCAGGCGGTCGAGATGGAATTTGCTATCAATAATGCTCAAAACATCATAGCGTGAGCCGTTAGCCATGAAGAGCTGGCTAGAGAAGATAGGAAAAGTCTTGGCTTCGTAAATGTTAAGCCAGTAACAAATAGGCGTGACGAAATACATAACCAGAAAGAAACCGATGGCTACATTGACGGAAGCAAACAAGGGACTAGCTAAAGGGCTTCCAAGATAAGCACTAATGGTTACCCAATCAAAACCAATGGATCCAATGCCAAGACCGTGTTCACCTGAACCGAGTTGGTTTACTAGAATTGACTTGGGATTAAACCAGCAAACCCATGAAATGGATGTTAACATGGTGAATAGATAACCGGGGAGAATGTAGTAGGCGAAGCTAGCAACGAGGACGATTAAGAAGAATTGTGTTCGACTCATGGCTCCTTTGGATTTTTTTTCTTTCTCGTGCAATGCTCCAAAGAGAGAGACTTGAACGAGGTTGCTTGGCCACCACATTTCTCCTGGCTCAACGAGGTGTTTCCTGAAGAGACCCGCCCACCCAAATCCAAGAATCTAACACACGGAAACAAATTTCAAGATTCAAGAAAATTGCAAGATTCAAGATTCAAGAAATCGCCCAAAACTGAAAGTGGGGAAAAAAGCAAGAAACAGAGGAAGTGAAAACCTGAGTGGTGATCATAACGAGAAACGCAGGGAGGAAAGGAAGAGAGCGTTTGTAGTAAAGCTTAATAGCACTAAGTATGTGAGTGGCGTAAACGGAGCCGGCGCCGGAATTAGCAAAGATTGTTATCAGAACATGTTCCTTGACGTTGAAGGCACCGGGGTTTAAAGTGAACTCGAACCTCGTACCTTCCAAGAATCTCCTCGTAGGAAGCACCCTCGCCATGAGATGTCCGAGAGGAACGACGGCGATCTGAGCTGAGATCCCGGTGATGCTCAACGGCATCGTTCTGTACCAGAAAAACTGGTTTATGAAGGAGAGTACAATGCACGCGCCTATACCAAGAACCCACATCCGGAATGTGAGGACCGGTAAACTCGGATCGTCGGTTTTCAAAACAGTGAGCTCAACCTCCGGTACAACGCACCGGTCATCCTCCATAACCGCCGGGAAATCTTCTGCTAACTCTCCCATCGTTTTCTTCCTATTGGTCTTTATGTGTTCCTCCTATCTTTAAGGGGTGGTGAATCTAATCTGTTTTTTGTATTTTGCAATCTCGATTTTGATTCTCTGCAATTATTGAATTGATGTATCATGTAATATCTCTTTGTTACATATATTCTACTCAGTCTCTATCTACAATATTAAGGAAGGCTGTCTTTTCCCACCGGAAACTTTTAATTTATGTTCTCACATCACATGTTATTATTGTATTAAATGGATCGACAGATAAATAATAATTTATAGTATATGAATTTTTGCAGAAGAAAGAGAATAAATCAAAGTGGAAAACGACAAGTGATGGGTCAAGAGCATCGGCTTGTGGGAGGGAGGGAAAGAAAACAGCTAAGACGATATATATAGTTTTGTAAATATATAATTAAATTAACCCAACCAAAAAGAAGAAGAAAAGTGTAAGATATTAATCCAGAAGCAAAGATATACAGTACATAGATATATTAGAGAAAAGAGTTGCATCCAGTCTTTGAACAAAAAAAAAAAAGAGTTGCATCCAGTACAATTACTTCAATGGGACAAGGAATCTTTAAAAAAGTTGCTCTACTTGTCTTGCCTCACATTATTAAACTAATGTGCTTAAAGGGATAACGAAGTTCACGGCACAAATGTGGTGATTACACTTACTTAATAGACCAATATTTTCATTGTTTTTTATTAAGTTGCAACTATTTATGTTCTCAATAACTTGCAAATAACTATAGTTCAAACACAAATCCCTAGATTAAATGTTTTGATCGATGAACCAATAATTATTACACCAAACTACGTTGATAGAATTGTCACGAATGGTAGAAATCTCTAATGCTAAAATAAATATCTTTTTGTGTTCGTTGCCAACCCCCAGCTGTACAACAAATTTGCTGTGGTCCCTAAGCCACCACGCACGGGCGCACCAAACCATGTAACTTTGTTAAAAAAAAGAAAAATCATCTAACAAATTTATCTGAAAACAAATCCTTATTTCGACCTTTCTAACTTTAAAAAAGAAGAGGAAACAATTGTTGACAAAAAAAAAAAAGTTACACCAACCATACAACTGTACTACTATACTACAGTAATAACTATCTGCACAGCTTCATCCACAAAAACGAGCAGAATTTAACATTGTGGTACACAAAGTTTGGGATTTTTTTGGTGTTATGTTACGATTCTGGATATGATATTAACATACTACTATTGAATTATTGATCTTTGTAAAAGTGTGAATGACAGTTAATCTAACCGTAATAACAAACTATATGTAGCCAGTAGCCTTATGGTCAACTTTAGTAAGTGCTCACATTAAAACCATAAATGCATCATTAGTCGCGATGTGAAATTCAAAACCAAAGACTTTAAGATCAGTCAAAGAATCCGTCGTTTTGTGGATTTTATATATTCTCGGGAGAACAAAAGAAAACAGCAACTCGTGGGAAGTATTCATATAATCCAAGTTGCAAGTAATTAAATCATGCGCCACTTGATCTTCGCATGTCCACTCTTACCCTACTTAGTACTACTACCTGATGATCTTATCTATATCGAAACTTTCAAAATTTGAAAATAAAATTTGCATGAAATATTTATAAGCAAAATTTAAAAGACGCTTGTGGACTTTCCTACTTTCCTAAACGACGTTTAAAAATGAATCATCTGTAACTAAGCATAGTACATTACTGTAAACACGTAAATCAGACATACTTTTGTTTTATTTATCTTTCCAACTTATATATCTCTACAGAGACTTAGATTTATCTATCTCTACAGAGACTTAGATTTTACCTTTCAACACGTAATAAATGCTATTCTGTTAAAAGTAGTCTTGAATCTTAACGAGCATAAATTATACATCACATAAAAGCCGGCCCTGAACTGCATATTTTTTGTATGGGCCGTAAGTTATAAAACAAAAAATTTGCTGTTTTACATATTTTTTTCAAAAAATGGGCTGTTTTATCTTTAAAAATTTTCATGTAAACATAGGGGCCGCAAGTCCATGTTTGGTTTGCTTGGGCTCAAGGCCGGCTCTATTAAAACTCTATGTGATTTATGATGTATGGCACACCAACTTAAAATCCTATTACCAATCTACCTAATACGCATATAAATGTCCACAAATCAATTTTATGAAAATAACAGAGAAATTTTTAGATGAAAAAAAAAGATGAATGGCTGGCAACTTTATAGAATTAATATGGATATAGTAAATGTGATATGTGTGGATCACAAGACGTGGATGTGCTTTTTTTTTAAAGCTCATTATGAAAACAGCCTACCCTCGTTATCCTATTTTAACGTGACCACTATTTAGCTGGAAACCACTTGGAGTCGACTTTAAGGTACGTCCCAAAATCTAAAGCTAGACACCGGACAAAAGACTTTCTAATTTGTTTTAAGATATTTTATAGTATTATCGTCGTTATTGTTATTGAATTGAATACTTCTAAGAGTTGTACACGAAATATCCGTCTTTAAACTTTCTTCAAATGTTTATAGGAAATATATAACATTATTTTAAACAAAACAAAAGGATGAGAGGTGTAGCAATAAATACACATGTGAATCGGCAACACCAACTGCATTATTATGTAAATATAATAGGACCAAGATTCCAAGCTGCCTGAGAATGCTGCACCGATGCGTGTGCAAGTGTAAATATAGACACAATCGGCACCGCTAAACAAGGATCCCACAGGTGAGCCCATTAATATATACTCTAACAAAGGAGCTCCATCTCACATACATACATTTTTATTTCTCAAATGGATAATTTTTGTTGTTAAGGTAGTTTATGTCCATAAAATCACGAAGTAGATTAACAAAAAATTAAGACTAGATACCATTGTTAAGATAATGTGGTCTTTGAAAAAAAAAAAAAAAGATAATGTGGTCAAAGGCTTTAACACAGAGAATACACCTAGGAAAATGATCTCCGGTTGCCTCTCCGGCAAATCATCGCCGCAAATTAACATATCCCACATCAGACCATAAAGAAGCAACGGTCTTAAATTTTTGATTCAGTGAAAATAATATTCGAATGGGCCTGTTGTTTATATACCCACAAAAAGGCCCATTTTTCGAAAAGCACAAACAATGGCGTACAATAATGCAAGTGTCCGACGACCGTGACGAGTCAACGCACTATAATTTATAATATCCACTAAGACTAATGATAAGAACGAATAATCATCTTAGCTCTCATTCAATCTTGTAAGCTCTCCGATTTCCTTTCTAGTTTCTACATTCATCAACCAATGGGAGAAAGCAAAACTCTTCCAACATATTTTTGCAGAAACTGTGAAAATCCACTAGCTCTCGGTGAAGATCTCATCTCCAAAAAATTCGTGGTAACAACAGAACTAAAAATTGTTTGTACCAAAATTTTGAAAACTTTTGATTTATAAAGAATAATATGTTAAAATGGATTAAGGTTACTTCGGGGGCAGCGTTTATGTTTTCGCATGCGATGAACGTGGTGGTTGGACCGAAGATTGGGAGGAAACTGATAACCGGATCGTACGTGGTGGCAGATGTCATGTGTAGCAAGTGTGGTGAGACGTTAGGTTGGAAGTATGTTGAGACCTTCAATCTTAAACAGAGGTATAAGAGCATGTGCAGCAGAGGTTCAGCCCGGGTTCAGGCCCAAAATCCAATGCACATTCGAATTTAAAAAAAAAGAAAATGGGCTTAATTTTGACGATTCGGTATCGTCCGGACTTGAGGAGACCGTCTCATGGCCACGTGTTGTGCGCTGGTTGGTGGAGAATTCGGAAAGTGGGTGGGACAAAAAAAATTTGGGTCATCGTGCATTTCTCTTTTTGCTTCAGCCAAATTTTTTTTTTCTTTCTCTCGAAGGTGATTTTATGGCGACTTCACGGAATCTCGTCGACAACGACAAATCAACCGTCAGAAATAGTTTCCCATCGTCCAGCTTCTCTTCTTATCATCCTGGTAAGAGTTCTTCTCCATTAAATTAGTCGGTAAAAATCGAATCGGGATTTTAGGGTTTCGAATTGGGGAAAATTTTTTTAGGGTTTTTTCTTCGATTAAATTTGGGGAAATCGATTCGATTGTCTGTCTGTGTGTGTTTGCTATCAATTCTTCTATGCGAGTTAATTTGCATGACGATTAGAGTTAAAATTAGAGTTTTCGCGAATTTGGGGAATTTTTTTTTAGGGTTTTTTCTTCGGGTAAAATTGGGGAAATTGATTCGATTGTCTGTGTATGTGTGTTGTTTGCTATCGATTCAAAATGGGCAACATTTATACAATCAATTCAGCTTCCTCAAGGAGCCAAAAACAAGTTTTTTGCAACATCTCAAGAATCCGTCCGAAAAGATGTGGAGCGTGCATTTGGAGTTTTGCAAGCTAGATATGCGATAATAAAAAATCCAGCTCTTTTTTGGGATAAAGAGAAAATTGGGAAAATTATGCGGGCATCTATCATATTACACAATATGATAGTTGAAAACGAACGAGATACTCGCACTCAATACAATATAGAAGAATTCTAACATGGTGAAGGAAGCAGAAATTCGCATGTCGATATGACGTTTACTACGAATAATCGTTCAAATGTCAAAAATTTGATGATGGCGAAACGAAATGAAGTCCGTAGCAGACAAGTGCATGATCAGTTGAAAGCGGATTTAATCGAAAATCTATGAAATAAATTTGGTTGTTATGTTTAAAAAACAATTTCGTTCTTATATTTTATCTATTGTATATTTTTAAGTATTTGTAATAAATTGTAATCTTCTTTTTAAATAACTATGTGTTCAATTATATTTTAAATTTATTAAATTTTAAATTTATAAAAAAAATAATATAATATTTGGGATGAACTCTATTTTCAGGTTCACTAATGGAACCCGAAAATAGACTCGGGTTCATCCCTTAATAAAAACCCAAAAAAACTATTATTTTATGCTAATGATATCCACTCTTAGTATCACTAATGCACATGCTCTAAAGAAGGCATGTTTGTGATCGAAAAGCTCAAGTTGACCAAGAAATATTGAAACTTTAGTCAAGAATACTCTTTTGGGGGTTTAGTTTTCAAGAAAATAAAAGAAAGATGGAGATACATGTATATATTTTACCTTTGTTGTATCATTTGTGAAGGTTATTAACTTGTCATATGTTTTCGATTTTTTTTTTTTAAAAAAAACTTGTGATATGTCTTTTCCAAAAACCCTTTATTTTTTTGTTGAAAGGCTTTCATTATTAAAGGGATACAAAAGGAAACGTTCAAGAACCACCATTACAACCAAATTCCAAATACAAAAGTAACCAGCAAGAAAAGGAAGATGGGAATTGGATACAACACGACAGCCATACCAAAGAAAACAGAGGAACAAGGACCCAAAACACAAGTTCTAATGTCTATTCCAAAGGAGCAACAAGGCTTTGCCATGATTTGAGCCCAAATTTTGAAGAGCAATTGACTTGTTCTTGACAACTTTAAACTTTTAGAATCTTGTGCTGAAAGAGATTGGGAAAGAGTCAGTTAGATTTTGATGATAGCGGAGGTTTCTCTCTTTCCTAAACCTTCGAAGAGGGAAGATCCGTGTAGAAGGAGACCACGTATTTGTAAATGTGACTTGCACTTATTCGTCCGACCTTGAAAAACATAAAAAATTACCCTAGACCGTAATGGTTTTTTTTTTTTTTTTTTTTTTGACATCCCTAGACCGTAATAGTTTTTTGAATGAATAATGAGCTCATTCATCACTCAAAAAGTCAGTATAGTAATACTAAAATACTGTAAAAGAAACAAATGGCAATAGTAAATTGCCGACATACCACCAGTATCTACAATCTAACGCATTTTTGAATTATTTTAATGAATGAGTAGAATAGTTAGTAGAATTAGAAGAGATCAAGTTAGAACAAAATTATAGACATTGAAATTTTTAATTTTATACCATAAATGTGTATGAAAAAAGAAATTAAATAAATAAAGTATTTTGAATAATATAAAGAAACCATTTTTATTTCACATTTCATTTCCATTTTTCATAAAAGCTTGCTCTTTTCATCATTTCCCAGTCAGAAAGCCTAAACCCAGAAAAAGAAAGTCACAAGTTAGTCGCTGCACGGCGTGATCTGAGGACTAAATAAAGATCAAAACTTTCATCCAACTCTAACATAAAATCTCCACAGTTTTCTTGCTTCCTTGTTCGCTCACTAAGTAAGATCCTTCAAAAAAAAAAATTTCGCATCAAGATCAAAATCGAATCCTTTGGTCTGATTTTTCTCCATTTTCGTTGTAAACAAACTGAATCGTATCTACTGCCTAAATTTCTCTCCGGGAATATCTCGTTCCGTTTCCTTTACCCTACTGTGTATTTTTATATTCCTTGTGTCTAGTTTCAAATTTTTAATAGTATATAATTCGGTCTCTTGTCCCCTCTATTTGTTTATTGAATTTTGAGGTAATATCGTGTGGAAATTGGAATCTCTAATCCTGCACGCTAACACCTGCCCACTGTTCTTATCCTCTATTTTTTTCAGACATTAAAGTTTGAAGCTTGGTGAATTACAGATTCTAGAAAGGTTTCTCTTGATCTTCTCGTGTCTTTAGAATTTCCAATATTTCTGGTTTATACGAGCGATCTAAGGTGTGTTTATGTATTTTTTTTTTGTTTTGTTTTATTCTTGTGAAAAGGTGAGAACTTGCTTGATTTGTTTGGAGCAATTGATCACTCCCTGAAAGTGTTTGATAAAATGGCTCAATCAATTGGTCCAAGGCTGTATAGTTGCTGCAACTGCAGGAACCATGTAGGACTTCACGATGATATCATCTCTAAGGCTTTTCAGGTGATTCAGCTTCATCATCTCTTTGTTTTTTTTCTGTTTTCGTGCGTGTCCCATATGTTAGATACAGAGAATCAAGTGGAGAATCACACACTAAGACTAGCTGGAGCTGAGAATTTGCCTGTCCTTCAGATTTTAGGAAAACCTTTGACTTATTGTCTTTCCTACGCGAATTTGGAACGATAATTGCTACTGATCAAGAACACATTTTCCTACTAAGTTACCTATTTACTGGTGTTCTCAAATCAAAACTTGAAAACTGATCCTTGAACATAAGACCCAAATGAAGTAGCCCTTGACTCTAATTGTTTGGTAGTAGCCTTAGTGTTTTTGTTGGTTAAGGCCTTCGTGTTTTTGTGAATATTTTTACCAATCGAATTCTTAATCCATGATTCTCAATTATTAGGGAAGAACCGGGCGAGCATTCCTCTTCTCTCACGCAATGAACATTGTGGTAGGGCCTAAAGAAGACCGGCATCTTCTAACGGGTCTCCACACCGTGGCTGATATATCTTGTGCTGACTGCAATGAACCGTTGGGTTGGAAATACGAGCGAGCCTACGAGACCTCACAAAAGTACAAGGAGGGCAAGTTCATATTCGAAAAGGCTAAGATTGTCAAGGAGGATTGGTAGTGAAAAGAGCGTGTTGAATTCATTATTGGATTGACTCAAAACTGTATATAGATAATTTGGCTTTGATCGATTCCAATCTTTATGGATTTCACAAGTCAAGTTATCATCCATTTTTCGCTTTCTTCATTGTCTCAACGTGCTAAGTATGTCAGTCTCTTGTTTTCAACTATGGATGTGTTCGTTCAAGGTTTCTCTGTTAATAAAGATGTTAATAATTGGTAGTTTCTCTTGTGTTTATTAGCTCAGATATTCCTTTGCAAGTAAAATGACTCTCCAAACTTGTCTTTGTGTTGATTGGAAAATAACCTTGAGGGAAAAAGAATTGCGTGCCGTTTCTCATCGTGCACCGAACAACGTGTTGCTTTATGTTTGCCACAGTCAACTGGTCGCCGTTTTTGGCGAATACGATTGAAAACTTACCCGAGGAAAGAGAAAGAAGCGGGTGAGAAATGTATCTCAAGAAGCCGATATGGAGCGATGGCGCGTCAGCGACGCCGGAGAATCCGTCGGAATCGGAGAACGGTGAGGATACAGACGCGGCGGCGATGGTAGTTGAAGAGTTGGTGACTTCACTCAATACGCAGAGGCTTTACAGGGAGCTGACACTATCTCTCCGGACCGGATTACGCGATGCTTGCGCTGAATTCTCCTTCCTACGCATCCGTGGCCTTCGATCTCTTCTCAAAACTCTCCGATCTGTCGCCGATTCAGATTCCATCATTCGCCTCTTCTCTCACACCCAAACCATCTCCGATCTTCAACGTCTGACTTTTGTTTTTTTTTTTATCGTTGTCCTTCCCAAATGATCGATGCCGTATTGTAATGTGGTCTCTGATGATGGAAGATTCGTGATTTCGCAGTGGTTCCGGTGCTTTTCCGACATTCATTGAAAGAAACGGAGGATGATAGAGTGACGAGCTTGGATCACATATTCAGCGTGGAGCCGATGAAGTTAACGAGTCCATCCACAGATGCTGAGGTCGCAGTTGCACTTAGGGTTCTTGAAGGATGCTGCCTTCTCCATCCTCAGAGCACTGTTCTGGCTCATAAGCATGGCGCAGTGCGAGTAAGCCCCTCATTTGTAACTTTATTAGTAGTCTATTGTGGAAAGTCTGATCAGAGGTGCAAGGCCATTGGCCTGACCAAGACGCATCGAACTTGCAGGAGAACTCTAGAAACTATAATCCTGCATTTTATGTAATTATCAGCAGTCACACTGATTAGGTAGATTGTGTGCGAAAAGGAAGACTTTTGTGTTAGAGACATCTTTAGACTCTTCGTGTTTTAGATCAGTAGCGATCAGATTGAAACAGTGGGAAGTTTCCTGGTTGTGTGGGCTTATTAATGTGATTCAAATGAATGTTTCAGGTAATGATGAATGTATTATCAACACGAGGAGTACTTGAGCAAGGTGCCTGCTTGGATGCCTTAATCTCAATATTGCTGGATTCATCAGCAAATCAGGTGGTAAGTCTTCGGTTTCTCTCAAGCTCTGTAATTTTAAACAAAACTCGAAGCAGATTTTTTCTGTCAGTAGTGAAACTCAGTCCTTTCTCTTGTTACATTTGAACTTGTAATCAAGGGTTCGGCACATATCGACAAGACAAGCTGGCTTTTGGCCTTCACTTGAGTTTTGTTTAACCTTCTCTCATTTATCCTTTCTTATCTTTGGTAACAGGATTTTGGAGCCTGCAATGGCATTGAAGAGGTTGCAATGCTCATGCGAGACAAACAAGCTGATGAAAACCTGAGGTGAATTTCCTTAACAATATTTGTATTCTCAGTTTTTCTATGAACCACGAGGCCCCTTCATTTGGTAGGTTGTGGGATTTCGCATTAGGCTATACTGCAGTATTTACACGATCATATTGCTGCCAATGGAGATTCTTTTCCTTTGCGTCTCTTCTGATTTTGATGTTCTCAGTAAATTTCAGATCGATTTCTTTGTCACAAAATCATAGAATGAATAGCCTCTGCATTGTCTAGTAAAAACCTTTCCATCCCAAGGTTGATCTCGTGCATTCTCAAGAGTTTCCAGCTCTGAGGTCACTCACTGGTCATGCATTTAATAATATCATCCACATTGTATCTAAAAAGAAAATCGATTGTCATACTGATTCACAGGCTAAGATGCGGAGAGTTCTTACTACTGTTAGTTGGACATGTGAATGGGAAGGATCGATCTCCAATTGCAAGTGTAAATGAAGACATCAGGCGCCTTCTTGGTGAAAAGTCAGCTTCTTTAATATGGGCGGCAAGCCAATTCGGTTCAACACGTGACCCTGAACAAAGAATCACTGCTCTTCACATCCAGGCTGGTAGAGTGCTCGAGTCCCTTGACTTGTACTAATTGTTAAACTCTTTGTTTTCTCTTTCGCTTTTACATAATGCAAATTTGTCATGTGTAAAACTGTCCAAAATGGGAATATACCTCTTCTCCAAATGATCTTGTGTAATAGAGTTCTGTAATGATCCATTTCGAATATCCAAATCGGTCTTAAGTCTATCTCCAGTTAATTTTTACCGAATAATACCATAAAAGAAGGAAGACTCAGAGAAATCATAAGCATACGACACAAAACAACAAGGGTGCAGATGACTAGAGTTATCACATGAACACAAGACATAAGGAGATCCCAAAATAAAGGACAAGGAAAATACAATTTCTTGACAAATCCTTAATTGGACATGATTCGTATTTTGTAGGAGAATATAGGCATGTGAGCCTTTTACTGATGCATGCAATAAGAATGGTAAAAGAAGAAAATCCTGCATTGTCAAATCCTTATTTTCTTCTTTTACAATTCTTATTGCATGCATCAGTAAAAGGCTCACATGTCTATATTCTCCTACAAAATACGAATCATTTTGAACCTTTTCAAAAGGAAAATTAAAAAAACTAAATCAGGTACACTAACAAATGTTGTGCAATCGTTGACCAATGAGTCCATGTCTCCATGACTGGTGAATAGAAAACTGCTCTCTCTATTAAAAACTCCTTGTGGGTCATAAAATCCCGCCGGCCCATTTTCGGTTCCAGAAATTGAGGTGCCTAGATTTTGACGGAAATACACTTTTTGTCTTTTCTCTTCTCGCTGTATTTGTTGTATAATCGTCACAGATCCAGCTCCCGACGAAGAAGAAGAAGAATAAGATGAGTGACGAAACGGCGTCGTCTTCGTCTCAGGCGACGGCGAAGAAGAAGGAGAGTTTGGGATGGATGGAGTGGATGAGAGGATGGAGCAGCGTTTTCCAGGAGATTCTCTTCCAGAGGATCACCGCGTCTCATTTGCAGAACCCTCTCCCTCTTCCTCCCGTCAACGACCTCACTTGCGTCGTCACTGGCTCCACCAGTGGCATTGGCCGCGAGACTGCTAGGTTTCTCTCTTTACCCCCTCTGCTCCCTTAGTTGCTTCCGATTCACAATCTATTGCGAGTTTGATTGAGGATTGCTGATTGATCAACGAAGTTGCTTTTGTTTTGGGACTCGAATTTCTGAGAATTTCTTTAAGCTTTTAGCTCTTTTGCTTATTGTGGTTCGCAGGCAGCTTGCAGAGGCTGGTGCTCATGTTGTGATGGCCGTGAGGAACACGAAGGCAGCTCAGGAGCTGATACAACAATGGCAGAACGAGTGGTCTGGTAGGGGTCTCCCACTTAACATCGAGGTAATCTTTTAATTTGCTTTAGGATTTTTTGTTTACAGTTTCTGGGGCCTATTATGTTGTGTTGCTGGGACTGATATTAGCCAAGAGCGTGTATTGACAGATATAAAGCGTTATGTGTTCTAGTTAGGCTGTGGCTAAGCCAGTTTCTTGTATCTTAGATTGTGTATTGGTTTCTAACATCTAGATGACTGATGATGATACTATGTTTGCTTTTGTAAAGGCAATGGAACTTGATCTTCTTTCACTGGATTCTGTGGCAAGATTTGCCGATGCTTGGAACTCCCGATTAGGACCTTTGCATGTTCTAATTAACAATGCTGGCATATTTGCTATGGGAGGTTGGTTTTATTTATCTTTTAGCTATAAATCTTTGAGTTTTTCTCCGTTTCTTCCTGCTTAGATTTTCATCATCTGTTTGTTATGCTAAGAAGATATCAAAGTCATACTTGTGCATCATTCACCATCATCAATTTCCAACTTGATGGACCCAATTAGTGAGCACTGGCTTGTATAGCGCTGAAATTAAACATAAACGGCTAAACTTGTACGAATAATATGAAGAAGGTTATTTATAGAAAGTCCACTCTGATTGCCAGTTATGGAACTTTCTACGATGGGTTTCTCTCTTAGAAAAAAACTAAATTACTATGTTCTATAAACTGTGCAGAGGCGCAAAAATTCTCAGAGGATCGATACGAGCAGCACATGCAAGTGAACCATTTAGCTCCAGCGCTGCTTTCAGTACTCCTTTTGCCGTCTCTGATCCGAGGCTCTCCTAGCCGAATCATTAACGTGAATTCCGTTGTAAGTTCTATGATCACTGACACTGCAGGCCCCAAGTTTGTTTTCTCTAGTTTAATATTCTTTTTTGGTAGGCGTATTGAGGCTAAAAAGCTCAGATTTGTTTCTATATTTTGTGTTTTTAAATGACTCTGGAATATATAGCTGAAGTCTGAATACTAAAGGGTCTTCTCTAAATCTGTACATATGGATATTATTGATAATTATATCAGCAGAGTTTTGGTATAGAGAAACGAAACAAACCCAAGGTTGTTGAAAGTTCTGACCCAAAATATACTACCATGACCGGATTCTACCACTTGCGTTACTTCATTTCTCATTTTTCGTGAAACTGTGGCATTGATGTATGTATGAAAACTGAAACTGTCTATCGTCTTTGGTGATTACTATTTTCATGCAAGTTAATGGGTTGTGGGATTCACTTTTGTAGATGCATAGTGTTGGTTTTGTTGACCCGGATGACATGAATGTTGTTTCTGGTAGACGCAAGTACTCAAGCGTTGTAGGATACTCGAGCAGCAAGCTTGCCCAGGTGAGATTACTGTAATGGTATTTAACTTCATCTGCAGCGGTTTTCAGGCTTTGGAAGGTGTTCATTTTCAGAAACTAGCGACTTAAGTTTCTGGTTCCCTTCATCTTTCAGATTATGTTTAGTAGCATTCTTTTCAAAAAGCTGCCTCTGGAAACAGGAGTTAGCGTCATATGTCTATCCCCCGGTGTTGTTCTAACAAATGTTGTAAGTATTAGCTTCACTCCAATTAGTTAATGCAGGATGCACGCTTGTTCTGTTTTCTCAGAACTTCACTGCAATAAATTACCTATTTGTTTCGGAATTTTATAGGCCAGGGATCTTCCCAGGATTCTTCAAGCTCTTTACGCCGTGATACCTTATTTCATATTTTCACCCCAAGAAGGTTGCAGAAGTTCTCTATTCTCGGCCACAGACCCTCAAATTCCAGAGTACTGGGAAACACTAAAGAACGATGATTGGCCTGTTTGCCCATTCATCTCTCAAGATTGCCGCCCAGCAAATCCTTCCGAAGAAGCACACAACATAGGAACTGCGCAGAGAGTGTGGGAGAAGACGTTAGAGCTCGTGGGTCTTCCTCTTGACGCAGTTGAGAAGCTCATAGAAGGGGAGAATGTCCAATGCCGTTATGGAGCTCAACACGAATAGTCTTTCCGAATAGATAAGAGAAAAAGTCCACAAGTTGAATTGCTCCCTTACAAATCAAAGGGTAAGTATTGAGAAATTGCTTTTCTTTTGTTTCTTTGTTTTTTTTTTAAATCTACTATACACTGGGGACTGAATCCCCCAGGCATGTGGTTTGCTTGAGAAAAGAACAAGGAAGGGCGTGAGAATGTTTGAATGTTGGTTAAAAGGCATGCTTGAGCTGCCAGTCCATGGCTTACTTACAAGTCTTCTTCAAGTGTTGTATCTGTGTTAAGAATCTTGTTCAGTAAGTAGTATGGTGGCCTGGTCTGGTGGGTAGTTTCCTGTTCGAGTTGAGGGTATTTCCGTAAATGTATCCCTAGTTTGTGCAATCACGTTACTCATATATTATTTATATCAGTGAAAGCATCTCTCTTACTCTCCTGGACAAAAAAGTGATAAATCTCCTTCCACTCTCTAATGTTTCTTGCTTAAATGAGTATTCCATGGAAGTGATTCACTCACATATAGACCTAATAATATGAGTGGGTTTCTCCTCTTTGATGAGATGCTCATTTGAGCAAGCAATGTTTGGGAGTGGGAACTAATAAATATTGTATATGAGTTTTGTCTTTTGATATAAACATAGAAAAAAGGAAAAAAGTTTGTATTTTGGTTTTCATTTTCATGCCCACTTCACGTGAATCTAATGCGTTCAAGTTTGTGGACTACCTTTTTTATGCTTATATTTCGTTTTACGTGTCGTATGATTCAAGCCTTTAAATCATCCACACCATGCACGTCTTCTTGATTATTTTCTACCACGATTGCACCGAACATTTATATACATTTGACATCAATTCAATTTCTTTTTTCTTTTTTTTTGGTAAGGGAAGAAAAAATGTAGGGCATAACACGTACACTTCTTCCCCAATTTGGATCCTGTTGTGATCTGTCGTCGCCAAGTTTTTTTTTTCCCGTCGTGTTTAACTTTCAATTCAACCTCCCCAAAAATAAAGTCTTAACGCCCACAAGGAAAAAAAGGAACTTTCTCTTTTTTTGTTGGGTTAATGAATCAAAGTTTGTTCCTTTTTGTCTCTCCAGATCCCTAGGGTTCGTTTCTTCTTCCTCTCCCTCGTGACTCTGTTTTGAATCTTTTGGGGGGTTTAATAGTCGGCGTTGCTTTTTGTTTTTATAATCCCTGCGAGTGCGAGAATTTCGATTTCTGTTTTCGGAAAATGGGTGATTGGGCTCCGCTTGCTCAGTCTGTGATTTTGGGTTTGATCTTCTCTTACCTTCTAGCTAAACTGATCTCTATCGTCGTCACGTTTAAAGAAGACAACCTCTCCCTTACTCGCCACCCCGAGCCCGAATTGGAGATAAAACCGGAGGTTGTTGACTCGCGGCGCATCGATTCCTCTACCGTAGGTTTTGGCGGCGGCGGTGAGGCGGATTCGCTTGTGGCGGAGCAGGGTAGCTCGAGAGCTGATAGCGTCGCCGGTGACAGCGAGGAAGACGATGATTGGGAAGGCGTCGAGAGCACGGAACTCGACGAGGCTTTTAGCGCCGCCACTCTCTTCGTGACTACCGCCGCCGCAGATCGGCTTTCGCAGAAGGTACCCAGCGATGTTCAGCAACAGCTCTACGGATTGTACAAGATCGCTACGGAAGGGCCTTGTACTGCTCCTCAACCTTCAGCTCTCAAAATGACTGCTCGTGCCAAGTGGTATGCAATTTTCTTGATCGTTTTGAGGCTGAAATTTGATGTTTTACTCTAGTTCATCAAGGAGGAACTGTGTTCTTGAGTGTATCTTGATATCACCTAATTAGCTTCTTGCCTTATGAAAGTGTCTGAGATGATGTGGTTGATTGTTTATATCGATTCGGGCTTGTGGTTTACTGTAAGACTGCAAATTTCATTGATTAGGAGTTGCCATGATCTTTTTCTATTTTCAGGCAAGCATGGCAGAAACTCGGTGCTATGCCCCCTGAAGAAGCGATGGAGAAGTATATTGAGATTGTCACTCAGCTATACCCAACTTGGTTAGACGGTGGCGTGGTAAAAAGCTTTTTTCCCTCTTCTTTATTTTCATTTCATTGCTTTTTTTTTCTTCTCTGGACTGTTCGTGTGATCTTCTCTGTTTGCTTTATTGCGACATAACAGAGAGCCGGAAGTCGGGGTGGGGATGATGCAGCCTCCAACTCAGGAGGAACTATGGGGCCAGTTTTTAGCTCATTGGTTTATGAAGAGGAATCCGAAAATGAGTTGTAAGGTTCTCCTCTTGTATTCTGATGTGTTTTACTGTCCTTTGCCTTTGAGTTCTCTACTTGATTTCTTGCATGTCTAGATCAGATATAGATATTGTATTTTTTTCACCTCTGTGAAATCAAAGGTCCATAAACTTGGTGAATATGCAACTTTAGCGTCTTTTGCTAGCTCTGCAACAATCTCATTTTGGTGAAATGATTACATTATTGTCCACGGAACTTGGAGCTGTTTCTTTTTCCCTGTCTCTTCGAATAGAACACTAATCCTTCGCTCATTAATTCTTGCTTTTCTCCTTTCTTTTCTCTCTCAGGAAGATTGATGCAATCCACGCATTTGCTAGAGAAGGGGAAATCGAGAATTTGCTAAAAAGCATTGAAAGCGGAATTCCTGTAAATGCAAAGGGTTAGTCTCTGCTCTTTGTATATTTCATTTGTTTGTGGAAGTTCATCCTCGTGATGTTGGATTTGCTTTCCAATTTCCTGTAAAACTGCAGATAGCGAAGGTCGCACACCGTTGCACTGGGCTATAGACCGTGGCCACTTCAACATTGCTAAAGTTCTGGTCGATAACAAAGCCGATGTGAATGCTAAGGTGAAGAAAGAGAAACTAGGACCCAATAATTATCTGCAAAAGTATCAACTTCTTTATACAAAGCATGTGTTTGTGTTGAGCAGGACAACGAAGGCCAAACCCCTTTGCATTACGCTGTTGTGTGCGACAGAGAATCCATAGCTGAGTTTCTGGTGAAGCAGAAAGCTAACACAGCCTCTAAAGATAATGACGGAAACTCCCCGCTGGATCTCTGTGAATCAGACTGGCCCTGGATTCGAGATTCCGAGAAGCAAACAGACTAAACAAATACTAACCACAGAGATGCCGCGTCTTCTCTAATTCGCGCAATGTATATGATGAAGTGACTTAGTAAGAAGGTTCTCTTTATTTCAGCATTTCTCTCAGCCCCTACCATATGGTGTCCAACAGTAAATCACTTTGGATGTTTCTAAGTCCTGTCCTTTGAATTTCTTTTTTTTTTTCTTATATTGCAACAATCTTTTGTTCCCTCAGGTTTATGAAACACATATCGTAACCGGTTTTTTTATTGGTCTGCTATATAAAGAGGGAGGCTTTTCTTATCATTTTTTGGATGCTGGATAAATGAATAACCGACTTTGGCGGTAAAAACGGTTGGTAGAGACAGTTAAAACATGAATTAATGACCAAAGAGATTTATGGATAAACCCAAAAATAAAAAACAAAATTAGTAATTTTCGTGGCCCTATCATCTTCTCTCAATAGGAACCCCGCCTTGGGCTACCGGAAAATGGCCAAGGTGGTGGTTTGCTCGCTACTAACCGCCACCTTTATAGTCGTCGTCCTCTTCCTCGGTGCTAAGAAGCAAAACCAGACTCAATCCATTGAAGGTCTCATAAGCCGCCGCCTCGGACGCAGGCTTGAAATGCCCGTGTTTGACCCTCTGGTGACCCGAATCGAGAGGTTGTCTCACGAGAAAGAAGGCAATACAAAGACTGTAGAGGCTGCCAAGGATGAGGAAGATCATATGTTTGAGGAGTATTTTGCACAAGAGAGGAGGCTTAACACGACGATGAGGATCAAGTTCTTGTTTCCTCTGCTTGACGCGGCACCTAGAGATGGGTTCGTGAGCTTAAAAGAGCTTCAGACATGGATGATGCAGCAGACAGAGGACAACATGGGTTACAGAACCGCCAAAGAGCTGGAGCTACAAGATAAAGACAAGGATGGTGTCATAACCTTTGAAGAGTACTTGCCTCAATTCTCAAAGGAAGACATTGGTAATGAATTAAGTAATTAATTGTGTATATAAACACCTTTTTCGAGATCTTTCTTCTTAAACATGCAAAGAAAAACAGAGAAAAACGAGAAGGGTCACGGTGAAGCTGGCTGGTGGATGGAACAATTCAAGAATTCGGATTTTGATCATAATGGCTCTCTCGACATTGAAGAGTTCAACAAGTAAACTAATGCTTTAAAAATATTTCATTTCTTCTAATTAATTTCGTTATGTACAAATTATCCATAAATCATTAAAAATATTAATGTGCAGTTTCTTGCACCCAGAAGACAGCAGAAACGGAGATGTTCAAAGATGGGTTCTAAGGGAGCGAATGACGTAAGCATTTCGTGATTGTGTTCCAGTATGATGAAAGTCTAGAAAAACGACATCGTGTTTATATGTATAGGGGCATGGACACGAACGGTGATGGAAAGCTAGAGTACAAAGAGTTTGTAGAGAACGCATATGAAATGTACAAAGAGTTTGCAAAGTTCGAGACAGAGGAGGATGAGACTGTGCCAACGGCTCAGCTTCTGTTCGCAGAGCTTGACAGAGACAAAGACAGGTTCCTCGTGGCCGATGAGCTTCGACCCATTTTGCACTATCTTCAACCTGGTGAGCTGAGTTACGCCAGATACTACTCTACGTTCCTTTGCCACGAGGTCACACACTCTCTCTCTCTCTACCAAATTGTTACTTAATTATTATCTTCTTAATATTCTTGCAAACAAAAAGAAGGGTATTTTATAAAATTTATCCATTTACTTTGAATATTAGTTGTTTCTCTTTTGTTCTTGAACTCGAAACAGCCTAACAATGTCTATGTGTCTATGCATCATGTATTGAACAACCTAAGAACTCGACCAATTTTTGTTTCTAGGTAGAAGAAAAACTAGAAATATGTAACAAATATTTATATTCTTAGTATATGTATATGTGATGGTCTAAACCGATTTTATAAACAATGGGAATGTGAAATTAACCATGTCTAAGTAGGTATGTGTATGAAGGGTTTTTTTGTTTGGCAGGCGGATGATGATAAAGATGGTAAATTATCACTTGAAGAGATGTTGAACCGCGAAGATGTGTTCTACAAGGCAGTTCATCACGATGACTTGGACGACGAAGACTATTTTGATCATGATGAACTCTAATTTTTTTTGTGTGTGTACTGTCCTTCAAAATTTTAACCTCAAATTTTTGTTTAATTGACTACTTTGTCTCGCCTAGATTGGTTTTGATGATTACATTTGTTATTATTATTTTTTTTTACATTAATAGTCCTATAGGCAAATTTCACAACATAATTTTAATAAAAATTAATCCATAGCTGTTTTATACAAATCACATACTTTCAAACGTATTCTAAACATGAAGCATGCTATTTTATCCGAAGAAATGGTAATTTATATGGTACCACACTATTTGTCTACAATACGCGCGAAAATAACACCTGAACTTATTTACGATTTTGCAACTGCATTGTTTTGCAATTAAAGCTTCAAAAAGTCACTCTGCCTAATCAGCCCATATTATAGATGCCTAAAGAAAATGTCAAGAAAGTTTTGTATGATATGAGAAAATTATGTGAACAAAATTTATAATTATCTATGCCAAAAAATGTCAAGGAGGCAGAAACTTTTTGTTTTTGTTTTTGTGGACATGGGTCAAGGGGGCAGAAACTTTCAAACTTAGAACCACTAACTGTTGCATGAGCCATGCGTCTCTAGCCGATTAATTTGTATATATGTTTGTATTTTATTGTTAAAGCATTGATTGATAATAATTAATAAGTTTTCCTCATCAACGACAGTTACGTCCTACCTTTCTACTTGTTGACTTAAAAATATATATATACTTTTAAAATGTCAAGAAGAGGTGGGTAAATAGAAAAAAACAAAAAACAAAACTAATAAAAATCTTTTAGAGTTTGGACTGCAGAGTACGATTACATTTAATTCGGATAATGTGATTATTAAATTCGCATGTTGTTACATAGATAATGCCACATTTTTAGTATAAATATTGCTCAATGCAGTTCTCATTTCTCACTCATCACAACCATTCTCAAAAACAGAGGCTAAAACCGTTTAAAAAGGCGGGAAAGAAACAAAAAACAGAGTCATAATGGGATCTTTGGCTGAAACACAGATCACTCCGGCTAAAATTTCCGACGAAGAGGCTAACCTCTTTGCTATGCAGCTCGCTGGTGCCACCGTGCTTCCAATGGTTCTGACATCGGCCTTAGAGCTCGACCTTCTGGAGATCATATCCAAGAATGTTCCTCTAGCTGGCGGTCAACTCTCACCATCGGAGATAGCCTCTTATCTTCCGACCAAGAACCCTGATGCTCCAGTCATGGTCGACCGGATCCTCAGGTTGCTTGCGGCTTACTCCGTCGTGACATGCTCTGTTCGTAAGCTTCTTGATGGCGGCGTGGAGCGTCTGTACGGTCTAGGACCGGTATGCAAGTACCTGACTAAGAACGACGATGGAGTCTCACTCGCTGCACTATGTCATTTGAACAGAGACAGGGTCTTCATGGAGAGCTGGTAAAATGCTTTCACCTTTCAAAGATTTAAACTTTTATAGCGATACTCCACACTAAAAAAAAACATGTTCGTTGATGATATGAGTGTACAGGTACCACTTGAAAGATGCGGTTCTTGAAGGAGGCATTCCATTTAACATGGCATTTGGTATGGACGCTTTCGAGTACCAAGCTGCCGATCCGAGATTCAACAAAGTCTTCAACAATGGAATGTCCAACCACACGACGATCGTCATGACCAAGATTTTAGAGATCTACAAAGGATTTGAGGGATTGTCTTCGTTGGTAGATGTTGGTGGTGGCATTGGAGTCACTCTCCGTATGATTGTCTCCAAGCACCCACACATCAAAGGCATCCTTTATGATCTCCCTCATGTCATTGAGGAAGCAGTATCTTATCCCGGTATTTATACTTCCGAAAAGCATTGATATATGGTGGTTTTCATGGATGTTTAATTCAGTGTCTTAGCTTGAGTTTTGTTGAATGATTCAGGTATTGAACATATTGGGGGAGATATGTTTGTGAATGTCCCTAAAGCAGATGCCATCTTCATGAAGGTAAATAAACTAGTCCTATTTTATATGATTCTTGGCAACAAGTTTTATACGAATGTATCTCGGACATTTATTTTTATTTTTTAAAACATGTGACAGTGGATATGTCATGACTGGAGCGACCAACACTGTTTGAAATTTCTGAAGAATTGCTATGAAGCGCTCCCAGACAACGGGAAAATGATAGTAGCGGAATCCATACTTCCGGTGGTGCCAGACTCAAGCCTCCTGACAAAAGAAGTTGTCCACATGGACTGCCTCATGTTGGCTCACAACCCAGGAGGCAAAGAACGGACCGAGAAGGAGTTTGAGGCGTTGGCCAAAGGTTCCGGCTTCCAAGGCTTCCAAGTTGTCTGCAGAGCCTATGGTACTCACATAATGGAATTCCTCAAGAAGATATAGAATGTGTGAAGGATACATTCACCTTTGGCTCCTTTTGCTTCCAAGTTTTGGTTACATCTCCATTGTTCTCTCTCTTTGGTTTTCATGTCACTATGGTTGTTGTTCTTGTCCTTGTCGGAAGATGCATTTCTTTGTAAATGTACTTTCATCGCTTGTAAAAATGGAAATAAAACATAAAGTAGGCTTTGTTTGTGCTTAATCTACCTTTTCTTGATGGACGCTGATACTCCAAATGGCATTTCTTCTCTCTACTTTATCTTTCTCATATTAGTGAACCAACAAAGAATATCAACTCAAACCACAAGTATGGTAATGTTATGATTCCATATGATGCAGTTTTCAACCTGTGCATTTACTTTTATGTTGTAGACTAAATTTTAGTTTCTAGATGTAATCACCTCCAAACATTTTACATATACTTTGGTGAGTTTCCAACCTGTGAGGTATCACCATATCTCCATTTCTATGGGAAGACTAGAGAGTTCGACATAGTTACATGTTTTATATACACTAAGGAAGGAGATTGGATGTTCCTTTTATTTAGTCAAGAGAGAAACGAAGTCATCCATATGCCAACAGTAACTACACCAACAGTCGCTGCGGCCTGAACCAATTCAACCACCATGTTTTGTCGCTGCACCGGGAGATTCTTCCACTCTGTTCTTCTGTTTTCAAAGAAAGCAAGACACGTCAAGAGTCTATAACATAATATGTCACAAATCTGAAGAGATTTTTTGACCCTACCCTAGATCAGCAATGATGATGCTGATGTTGTCCTCTGATCTCCGGTCCTGAATTGTAAAACTGTCAGTTTTCGTTTTCCTGATTAAAGAAGGCGTAAGGAGAGTTTTTCGTTATTTTACCAAAGCTACTTGCGCAAGAGCATCACAAGCAAGCTGTTACAGAGGAACATTTCGAAGACTAGTTCAGACTTAAAGCCATATCTATGTGATGTAGAAACTAATTGGTAAGGACATGGAAACTAAAAACAAAAAAAAAGCATGCCTGGACATTTCCATGTTTACGGAGCTGTTCCCTTACGAAACTAACCACATCTGAGCTGCATCAGCAAAACATAATTGATCAATGTGTAAGTTCCATACTTATCACTGATAAAAAGCATATAATTGAAAGGGGAAAGATGGAAGAAAAAAATAAAGGAAACCTCTTCATGTAGTCCCACAATCCATCAGAAGCTAATATAATGAATTCCACATCAGATGTAAGAGGTACTTGGTATATATCTGGAGTTGCGACAACCATGTCACCTTTAAAGTCGATTCTACATCATCAGACAAATCAGGATATAGACATCTTTAAAAACGTAACAGAGGAGACAAACAAAAGTAGAAACACCTTTCGAATAGTTGAATACCTGGAAACAAACTTCTCGGACCATCTTCCTTCATTGACACCTTTCTTTAACATCCTGTGCATGTAAACTTATATGAGCAATAAGGCAACATCGGAAAAACAAAAAGAGAGCAATTTTAAGAAGATATAAAGAACCCAACTCATTCTTCTTTGTCTTGAACCGGATGTCACCAAAGGCACGAGATACAGCTATATCTCCACAAATCCTTCCATTAACAATCTGATTGAGTTAAGAGCCAAAAAATAAAACGACTTTTAGCCAAATCCGGAGTTGCACACAAGATAAATTTCAGTAGTTATATTTGAGCAATTACAAACTTTGAAAAATTAGGAAGACACACCCATCCACCTGCATCTTTGATTCTCTTCACTTCCTGAATGGCTGCCTTACTGCTTCCATATGGACGATGAGAATCAGTCAATTCCTCGATTTTCCCAGATCGAGATAGGACCTAATGCATTAACAGAGTTCATACATGACCAACTTCAACGATCCATGGATTCCACAACTTCTTGATAAGAAAGCTTACTGCGCATGAATCGCCGATATGTGCAATGAAAGAAATATCATTTCTGATGAGCATCACAGTGGCTGTTGAACCTGATTCGTCTTCTTCACCGTTTGTTTCTAGCCTGGACCAAAACCATATACATAGAGAAGTATGGTGAATTTACTTCACTCAAATACAAAAAATTCAATCAAAAACTTGTGAAATTACAAGCTAACTTTCACCATTTAAGCAAATTTTGATCCACGCTTTCAAAGGCCTTAATCAAAGCTTCCTTGATCGCCGCGAAATCACCTCCACTCAACAAAGATCCAACTTGCAATGCCCCAACACACTCCTTGTACAGCTCCTCCCTATTACCATCATCATCATCATCACCAACGAAACACTACAAAACTGAGCTTGCATGAGAACTAACACAATTACCTGAGGAATTGGACAGAGGACGATCCAGCGTGGCCGTCGAAAACCGCGGCGAAGGAGAAGTTATCGAGAGCTTCCGAGCGGATGACTATGTCATCCTCCATCTCATCCCGGAACCCTTGAACGCTCGTGTATCCCCATCGAATCGGCGTCACGCCCGTCAGAGACGACGGCGCGTCGATCGCAATCGCGGAGCAACGGTGACGACCGTACGTGGGATAGATAACAAGGCCACCGCCAGCGTCGGCGGTTGTTTTAGAGGAAGACGAAAATTGGCGGAGACTGTTGGAGTGGAAGCGATGAAGGTGTGGCCTAAGAAGCGCCATGACTCAGTGAGTCAGGCAAAGCGAGTTAACCAGAAGAAAGAGAAGAAAGAAAACAAAGAGAGTCTTATGGTTAAGTTAGTGGCAGTGGATTTTCGTAAAGAAAAATCTGAAGATAAGAGAATCAACGAGGGCCTCTTAACTAACTTAACGGTCCACGTTACAAAAATGGGCTATTAAATAATCGGGCCCAAAATCGGAATTTAATTCAACTTCGAAAACATTCATAACTTATCCGTTCTAAATTTAGTTTTGTAGAATGTAAATGATCAAGGGTGCACCAGGGCGATCTTAATTCTTAAGTATATACTTGCTACTTAATTGGCTTTTGTACAGATAACAAAAACTTGTGTACGTATTTAGCTTGTTAAATATATGTATTCGCAATTTCATATACTAAGTAAAAAATAGTCTCCTCAAACTGAAATAAGAAAACCGCATTTTGTGTGAACTTTTGTACAGGAGAGAATTGGTTCATGCATTTAAAATCCATATCATTAGAGCAAGATATTTGTCAACATTAGTATGAATAAATAGAGGAGTTTTGTTTACTTATCTTCATATTTTGCATTAACATATGTACGTGCTTTAACGAGCTCATTTCTCACAATCTTGGATCTTTCAGGATTTGGTGAGTCCATCATCAGAGTTTCTACGGACGAACAAAGAGAGAATTATTCGAAGCTTGAAATGATACAAGTATAGATGAAAGTCACACAGACAAAAACTACAGAAGAATAGTAGACTACTGTAGTTTTTACTTTGATGTTGAAGTGAAAACATAACTGTTAAAAGTGTATGGTCTTGCTCGACTTTAAGATATGGTCTCATAGTGCTTTCATGAGATTTGTACAAAGGCGTGACGCCGTGACCTCATTGTGAGTTTGACACCAAAATATATGTTTCCTGATTTGATTATAATATCATGTTTGGTAGCAATTGAGCTGTAATTATTTTCTCATGTCTGTAAATTGAGTGGTATTTACAGAAGGAATATTAGTCTATAAAGTAGGGAATTAAAAAAAAAAAACTTGGAGAGATTCTATTTAAATATTGGAAGAATTCATCCTTGGAAGATTTTCTTGCCTACGCCTCCATGGAATCACTTGCTGAAATCCTTTGTAAACCTTTGCCTGCATTATTATTATGCAATCAAAATGGACCAAACAAATAATTTCTTCACAAACCAAACTATGTATATAATATAATGGATATCTTAAAGAGTAACCAATTAAAAAACTAAAAAAATGAAGAATGTGAATGAAGAAAAAAAAAATGCACTACACTTTATCCCATGAAAATTGGAATTTGGTTTTGAACAAGTAAATACTAGATAAATTTTGCATTTTTTAGAGAAAAAAAGTGGGTCGAAATTGTGTCAGTAAGATATTAATAAAATGGTTGAATTTTGAATCAAGTACAAAAATGAATAAAAACAAAAAACTACAACGAGATTTTAGAACAGAAGACGTGATTAAAAAAAATGTAAGTTGGTTCCAAGACTTACGTACCAAGAACTGCGATTTGGAGTTGGAAAGGTTCAAAAGGCTTCCTTTCCTTCTAACTCTACTGATCTTCACCGTCGTGCCGCCACCACCTTCACAGCAGCGACCGTTCGTTGAACGTGAAAAGTCGAATCTACCCTCGGAGTCTTTTTTGCTTCTCCTTATCACCGACAGAGACCGGCGAGGTATAACGTAAGGACCATCGAGAACTGTGGTCGGAGATGGCTCATTCGCGGCGGCTAATTGCAAAGTCAACCTCGGCGGAAGCTCAAGGCACCTGACAACTCCTCCTCCTTCTCCGGCGTTCTTCTTGGTCGCCGGCGGATTGTTCTCATCGGAAACGCGAGGCTTTCCCGGAGCTTCCTCCCAGAGAAACGGGACCGATCCGGCGATGTTCACAGGCGGCGTCGCTAGGCCAGGAGTCTCAGTTGCTCTGTTCAATGGAATTGAGAACAGAGGAAGCTTAGGAGTCGCACAGAACCGTTCTTGATCATTACATTCAAATTCCATTGCTTTTTTCTTTGAAACTGACTATGAACTTTCTTTTGACGTTATATGCAAAAATGGGTTGGGATTTAAATAGAGAAAAAGGGTAGGTTTCTTGTTTTCATTCGATAATTATTATATGAACAGAAGAAACAAAAAAAGGAAAATAGAGGATGAATAATGTGAGGGAATTATGTATTTTATTTAAGAAAAGAAAATAATAATAGGGGAAGAGATGTAAATTGTGAAGATGAAGAGAAAAATAAACAAAACGCTCCCTGTGGCGCTTCTAATTCACGAGAGATCCCTACAAGAGAATAAAATATTAAACAAAGCGGGTCCTACTTTACGATTTTCATAACGTTGAGTCCTTTCAGATGTCATGTCGAGTCTTTATTGCCTATTATATAATATATATTAATTAAAAAACAAAAATACAGTAATATTTTTATAAATTAATAATATTGGAATCATGATATTTTATTAATTTATCGTGATATTAATTTATCTATAAATTAATTAATATAGAAAAAATTTGTTTGCCGCATATAATTTTCTAAAATTTTTTTTGAAATAATGTTATATTTTAAAATTTTAACAAATCTCATAATATAAATTATGATTAACAATCATAACTATCGCAATAAAATAGTTTTTAACACAATATTAGATTGTCCATGTAAAAATATACATGTTCATAAGTTTAAAATTTATAAAATATCATGGTTACTATCAGTATTATTAATGATAAAATTGAAGATAACACTACAATACATTTAAAAACATTTACAGTTAAGAAAATCAAATATCACTTTAAAAAATCATCATAAATTTTGAATGTATATAGTAAAACAGCAATAAGAGCTACTGATATAATAATTAGAGAGATGTGAACCAATGATTTTAACAAAAAGTAAAACAAACACATTAGTCATATTTTAAAATGTTATGTTTATATATATTTGCATAAATTTATATAATTATTAATTTATGTTTTTGTTGGGACCATATAATTACATAAAGGTTTTTTTTAAAAAAATTATTTTATTATCTTATCGAATTTGATGGATTTTTACATTGCCCCAACTTAAAACTAGCAAATTTTATTAATTTATAGGAATTATTAATATATCAAATATTAATTTATAGAGGTTCTACTATATAGCGGTGACAATAAATGATAGATAGTAATGTAATCTGAAGAAGTCTTGTTCGTCGACGAAAAATAATTGTATTGTTCTCTCAATTATACAAGTTTGTGTAGTCTTTAAACTAAATAGAGGTAGGCCATCGTAGGTGTTTCCTAAAATATGGGAGTCGTGGATCCTAGTAGATGTGTAGTCTTTAAACTAACCACTTCTCCATTTATAAATATTGGTGAAAGTGAGGAATGTGTCAAAGGCTGCTCTTGTCGTTGCATGAGTTATATGTATGTATGTATGTGATTGTGAATGGAGAAGTGAGTTATGTATGGAAAAAGAGCTGCATGTTGAAGCAGAGTCAGAAGATTATGCGCATCATATTAACCTTGTGAGCCCATGCAAGTTTGTTTGATAATTCATGCATCTCCTAACGTTACTCAATTCCTCGAAAAAAAAAGGTCCTGGCAGTTTCGCCCAAATGTGGCGGTTTTCCAATATATAGATTTCAACATTGTATAGTCCAAGCATATGGCCTAATTAACAAAAATTGAGTTGAATAGATGTATTTATCTATTTAAGTGTAACGTGCTCCGCGAAACCGCAATCAATGGCTTTACTATTATGAAGAGATTAAGAGATATCTTGATCTTTCAAAATTCTTTATACCTAATATCTACTACTTTACAAATTCTTTTGTTAGATTGTTTTATCGATATTAATTTTTTATTTCGTTTATCCTGGGAGGATTACAAGTATACATATATAATATACGGCAACTAGATTATGAAGCAATTTCCGCACGAGTTCATCATATAACATCAAAATATATACAATTTGGCCATTAGCTACAAAAAAAAAAGTTTTGAATTATTACGACCCGCATATAATCGTCTTAAGAAATATAAACTTTGGTGAGTAAAAATGACCGGAATTGAAACTGGTGTATAGAGTTGTAGTTTTCTAAGTTTTGTATATTTCTTGTTCTGTTTTGACACGAAATTATCTTTTCAGGAGTTGGTGTAACCTGTAAATAAACAAAACTGAGTAAAATTTTGTTATTTGTAAACCAATTTGATAAAGTTTGAAAAGATAGTGTCATCGGTAAGATGATCACTGGTCATAGAATTATATACATACATATATACATAATCATTGATCTAAATTTGCTTACAGGGAAGCCACTCGCGTTGGTAATAAACTTGTTCTTCTCTTCTACAGTTGTTTAGAATACCAATTATATACAATATTGGTTTACATCAATCTTATTACAACTAGTGCCGCAGTCTTTTGGACTTGGTTAGGTTAATCGTAGCAGCTAATTAAGTTTTCTCATTTCAATTTTCACCATATGCAGTAACAGGCCTGTACAGTAATATAGATTTGCGTAGCATAATTCACATGTTCGTTGCGAGCGGCCGATCACTGTATAAATCAGATAATCAAATAGGCCAAGTTTGAAAATGTAATTAGGTAAGTGCTGCATTCATCTTTTGTCAAATTACACAACAGAGATCAAGTAAATTGTCATCCAAGAAAACGAGAGATAGTATTACAACAAAGGAGATTTACAAAACACTTTTGCTTTTGCATCATGGAAAAAAAAAAGAAAAAAAACTTCCAAAACACAATGAACATCATCACGATCGTGTAAAACCAAGCCTTTAACCCTGGAAACAACACGTCGGATTTTGGAAAAAAGGAAATCAGATTCAACACACAAACCCTAAACCCAAATGACAAATATGCAAACCATTACTTCCCCCAAAGCTCAGTGTTTGATATGGTTGGTCATTGTAAAGTGACAGATATTTACCCATCGATGCATTGAAAACCTTGACAAACCCAAAGCCAGATCCCAAACAGAGCAACACAGATGCAGACATCGAACATCAAAACAACCCACACATGTTTCCTCCATATCTGCTTTGCCTTTTGTCTATGATGATCATGAACCAACCCGTTTCTTAATCCCTTGCTTAATACACTTCCTCCTCCTCCTCCCAAATCCATCTTCTTCTCAGCCCAATCATTGACAATGCCTTCACTTTTGGCCTCTGTCTGCGATCTCTTCTTATTCTTCAACACCCTCAATGGATTTCCCAGGAGCGGCTTCAAGGCACAGCCTTTGCGTCCTTTCGACGAATCCAAACCACGATTTTTCACCTCCCTCGCTAAACTCCTCGGAGATCCAACCAAATCTAACTCCACTTCCAAATCCTTGTTACCACCAGTGATCTCAGCGAAGACTGGATCGAGCTTTGATTGGAGACAGTGTCTGGTGGGATTATCCAACGAGGCCGACGCAGATCCGTCTGCAATTAGATCGTCCGTGGCTGATTTCAATCGACTGAAGAGCCAGAGAGACTCTGATTTCGTTACGACCTCGTCTAAAATGGCGAAATACGATAACAAACCATCGATTACAAAAGCGTAAGTCCTCTTTTGGACTGTATGAGAAACCATCGAATGATGAGGAGGTACGTTTTCGATGCATCTCAAAGCTAGAGCTTCGATTCCAGGTTCTTCTTTCGAAGCGAACTCGGCGAGAATCACTGTTCCTTTTGCAATGCAGGAGTAGAACAAGAGACGTGGATTCGATATCATTTCTTACCGATCCCAAAAAAAAAAAAAACGAATCGGAAAAATCCCTAAATCCAACAGTGATTCGATCTCAAATCAAAAGGAGAAGAGATTTTTCAGTGATTCTATCTCTCTCTCTTTAGAGATCCATCTTCTAGTTTTCGAGATTTTCCAGGGAACAGACAAAAATGGTGGAGGAGCTCCATTATTGGCAAAACCAACAATGAAAAAAAAAAAAAAAGGAAGAAGCAGAAATTTACCGCAAAAAGATAGAGACGGAAGCAGAATAACGATCAATTTATATACCTTTGGTGAAAGTACCCTCATAATAGTCAATATTTACAAAACCATTCCTAGCTTCTTTAGTTTTTGCCATAGGCCACGTGACTATAATGTGACACGTGGTAGTTAATTAAGCCATCGCTCCTTCCCAGTGCTGTACTACCGCCAAGTGTTGAGATCAGCATATAATGGATTTATTTGGGTTCACAGGTCCAAAATCTATTTCTTGATTAAATCCAATGATTCCCAATCTTAAAACCTGTAAGCCCATGGGCCTTTAAGGCTAAAGTTTACATTGAAATAATTATGTTATTATTAGTCAACTCTATAGTATTCCCCCAAGTCATAAACATAATAGAAGTCGTAAACAATATTTTCGCAAATTATCAACAATGGAAAAAATCAGTCTTAAACAATATTTTCGCAAATTATCAACAATGGAAAAAATCAGTCTTAAACAAGATTCCCCGAGTCATAAACAATGAAGAAAAAGAAACTGCAATATAACAACTTCTTACAGTTCTTGGTCAATTTTTTTGCTAAATGACAGTTCTTGGTCAATTAATAATATTAAGGATATACAAGGTCAACTAGTGTTAGGCAATAGGCAGGCCGCGTATTAGGGATAATTAATAATAAACAAAAAGGCTAAACTGATTTTCATGATACAATTACACGTCAAGACCTATAACCAGAGAAACGCACAAGTGCTACGGAGAGAGAAAATATAATTTCTAGTCCAAGCATTACAACGCAATTCCTCAACGCAATTCCTCAACGCAATTCCTAGTACATGCAGTGCATGGTTGAAGAAGCACATAGTCATATTGTATCGAACCATACACTGCATTTAGCATAGGCTGCATAGCCCTAATCAAAACATATGTACACTAACACTCCTCGAGTACTCTCTCTTGAATTCCGATCACATCAACTGTTATGGATTCATCCTACTCCGATATAGTGTATTTCCCTTGTTTCTATGAATGTGATCCATCGACCATGCAAGTAAAGACTGGAGAATAGGCCTTGCACTTTGTGGGTAAGTAATATATAACGTATATCCTGGGGTGATCTGTCTAAACCATCATATAGTTTTCTAGAAGACTAGAAGTATAACATTAACATATATATATCCAAAATTAAGAAAATCTATAATAGATTTCTGTATTTTCCCACCTTGTATATATGGAATTTTGGCACAGCAAGTAACAAAAAGACTAATGTACAATTGCAATAATCAATACATGTAGATTATACAATACATTAATATACATATTACATATATTAACATATACATATATATATATATATACTTGGTCTTTTTTAAAAAAAAAGTAAACCTCGCTCTCATAGATTAGTTTTATATTTTTCGTGGTTCATTTCTTCGGTTGACCTCACATGGTAGAGAAATAATACATCGACATATAATAAATAAAAAGAAAAAGAAAATATGAGATAGGAAGCAAGTCGCGTGAGCATATATAAATAAGTGTCCTATGGTTCTTCCTTTGCCATCATCAACTCATCACCGTCTTCAAATGAATCAAAACGATTCAAACCTCCAAGATCATATGGGTGAATCCCCTAAAGATATTTGCGAATTCCCCCTAGCTAACGGGAAGAGCGATGATCACCCCGTCGCTGACGAAACAGGTTTTATTCTAAAAACATTTGGGATTCCGTTGTTCTAAATTATTCAAAATTACATTTCGTATATATATTTTGTTATTTGAAGACATTATAGCAAAACAGTATTTGAAATTAATATTTTACGTCTTCTTTTTTTCAGTATCTTACGTCGACTGTGAACCATTCATGTATAGAATTACATTATGCATTAATTTTTGTCAATAAGCTTTACCCAATGTTCATTTTGCATGCATGGTAGTAAATTTCACATTATACGAGTACTAATTTGTAGAGATTCATGAAAACTAAAATCCTTAGTGATGTAGTCTAACCCCGGCGAGATCAACCAAAAAATGATATATACAATATATTTTATGTTGATAATTAATGTTTAGAATTAGATTATCAACAAAGTTGGGTGTATATTACTCAGATAAAATTGTGAATTTATATTGAATCATAGAGCACGTTAATCTGCTAGGCAAGTGTCGTCCATGTGCACCTGAAGAAGCAAAAAGAGTATGCAATATCAGAATATCATCTTTTCTTTTGAATCATCCAATCAAGAAAGCGTTAATTTAAAAACAGAATTTGTATTTTCTTGAGTCCAATTTTTTTTTTTTTTTTTTTTGTGTGTGTGTTATAATGTACGTAGGACATAAGGAAGAAGATATCAAGGGTAATGAATCTGAAGGTGATCAGGCGCAGGCAACTGTAGAAGTAGAGAAGGATTTGGTGACAGAAATGGAGGTAGACAGCAAAGAAGGATCTAGTGACAATGACGTGCAGGAAACTGTAGAAGCAGAGAAGGATTTGGTGACAAAAATGGAGGGAGACAGCAGAGAAGGATCTAGTGAAAATGACGTGCAGGCAACTGTAGAAGCAGAGATTAAGGATTTGGTGACAAGAATTGAGAGAGACAAGAAACGTCTTGAGGAGGCGCTGGAAGTGATACGGAAGCAAGATACTCATGATCTCTACTGTCCAAACTGTACTCTTAACGTGACCAAAACTACTGCTAAACTCTTTGAAAAGGATAAAGAGATTTTTCCATACAACAAAGAGCGTTTCGTACTGTGGTTCGCTATTGTTTTCTCCATCAAGTCCCCCTTCATTCACCTCTCATGGTTCAGGAAGAATACCCCAGGCCCTGGTATGCATATATACTGCTTTATATATGGTGATGAAGACGCTTAGTTTTTTTGTTTTTAATGCGTATCAAGTGCTTAATGTTTCTTGATCTACATAGAGGTGCCAGTCACCACGCATAATCCTGATCCTCAATATATATATATATATATATATATATATATGTATGCATTGCTACATATATATGATTGATGATGATGATGAAGACACTTTGTTTATAAAGCTTACGTGATCAATGTTTCTTGATATATCATATATAGGAACAGAGGAAACCCCCCCGCCTGAACATATTCCAGTTTCTCTAGGTATAAACCTATATATTGCTTTATATATCTGTATATATGGTGATGATATATGAAGATATATTGTTTTTCCTTCTTTTCAAATTGCTGAAGTTAGAAATATTTCTTGAACTATATAGAGATGCCAGTCACCATACATAATCCTGATCCTCAAGATATATATATATATATATATATATATATATATATATATATATACATGGCTTCATATATATGATGATGCATGATGATGAAGACACCTTGTTTATAATCCTTACATGATCAATGTTAATTTCTTGATATATAGGAACAGAGGAAACCACCTTGTCTGAACCTATTCCAGTTTCTCCAGGTATAAACCTATCAATTGCTTCATATATATGATGATGATGATGAAGACACTTTGCTTATAATGCTTACGTGACCAATGTTTCTTGATATATAGGAACAGAGGAAACCACCCCGCCTAAATCTACTCCAGTTTCTCCAGGTATAAACCTATACATTGCTTCATATATATGATGATGATGATGAAGACACTTTGTTTATAATGCTTACATGATCAATGTTTCTTGATATATAGGAACAGAGGAAACCACCCCGCCTGAACCTATTCCAATTTCTCCAGGTAGTAACCTATACATTGCTTTAAATATATGTATATATGGTGATGATATATGAAGGTGTATTGTTATTTCTTCAATTCAAATTGCTGAGAGTTAGAAATATTTCTTGATCTATATAGAGGTGCCAGTCACCACGCATAATCCTGATCCTTGTATATGTATACATTGCTTCATATATATGATGATGATGATGATGATGATGAAGACACTTTGTTTATAATGTTTACGTGATCAATGTTTCTTGATATATAGGAACAAAGATAACCACCCCTCCTAAACCTATTCAAGTTTGTCCAGGTATTAAAAAAAAAGAAAAAAAAATTACTTTGACAGATTGATTTCTTAAAGTAGTTGACTGATTGATTCTTGATGTACAGAACCAGTCCCATCTTCTCCATGGCTTATTCTAAGTTCTCTGCGGTTCCTATTGGTTTTGGTTCTGCTATTCCTCTCAGTCATTGTTCTGTGGTTCCCACATCATATTGTAGAAAACGGAAAGCTTTTCCCCTACTTTAGGCCAACTCCTATCGACCCTGTTCCGTCGCCACTTCCAGTAGTTATAATCCCTGACATGCAGGAAAATCCGGGAAATGGTACAGTGAATGTCGAAGAACATAATGGACACATCTCCCCTTCTCCAACGCCACTTCCAGTAGTTATAAACCCTGACCTGCAGAAAAATCCGGAAAATGGTACAGTGAATGTTGAAGAACATAATGGACACATCCCCCCTTCACCACTGATAGAGAAGAAAGGAAGCTTGATCAGATCCCTTTCGGCTATCTCGTTGTTGTTACTCGCCATTCTGGCTCTGCTCTGGCCTACAATTTCTTCGATTCCATTTCGAAAGCCTCGAATTCCTGAGAATTTGTGGAAATACAATGTGGTTTCATTTCAAGAACCAGACATCTTGAAGAGTATTGTGTACGGAGGTCTAATCCAATCCATGACAAGCCTCAGTGTTGTATCCTCCGCTGCAGCTGCTGGAGATTCGATTTGTAAGTACACACAAATACCTACATAGACTTTCTTCATACAACTCTATTCATATTTACACTGTCTTTGCTTGCAGTCAACGTTCTGGCCTTGGGACTAGCCAATATATTCACTGGCCTTTTTCTCATCTGTCACAACGTAAGTCGTTTTCTTTATCATCTCTCTTTTTCTTTTCTTTTTTGCCTGCAAACAGTTAGTAAGTTTTATTGAGCAAACAGAGCACATAACTCTGTTTTTTCTCATCTCTATCTAAAAACTCTTTGTCAGCAATTTCTTCCATTTGAAAGTTGATTTAAAACCACTTACAAAAGAGGATATATTTTGGCAGCTACATGCACTCATAACGTGTCGACCATATCATCAAAGTGCAAACAATCATAATGACTCAACTATAGTAGGAGAAAAAGATCCGTACTCGATCCTACTGGGAAACGTTAAAAACAGAGTTCGCCACTGCGCCGTTGTTGTGGTTTCTTTCCTCTGCTTCGGTGTGATCCCTCTTTATCTCTTCTACGTCCTCTCTATCAAAGGAACCGACAAGGGACACTACAACGCTGCACTTGTTCTCTCCGGCACTCTGGTCTGCGTCATAGCTCTCTCCTTGGCCAAAGCTTACGCCTTCAAAATGGAGAAAAAACTTCAGACCGTGCTTCAATACACCGCAATGGCGATTGGGGCGTCTGCGCTTGCTTTCATGGCCACCAATCAGTTTAGAAAGAATGGCTTTCATGAGCTTCAATGCGTCTGATTACTGAGAAGAGTGAAATTCCAGATTTTAAGAGAAATTTTTCAATAAACAACAACAAAGCTACCAAAGTGTTGTTCTTTTAGCTGATATGTCGCTTGCTTTCATTATTTCTCCATCCATTCTTTTCGTCCCAAGTCTTTAATTTGTTTTGTACACGGACATGTTCTGTTTCTCTGTAAGCAAAAGGTTCGACATTGTTTAATTAATAATAATCAATTTCTTTTTCATATAAACAAAGACATTAGCCAAAAAAAAAAATTGGTTAGTCAATGCTGGTTAGAGTTTAGATAAAAGAACGTGGAACTCGTGGAATAAAAATATTCAGATAGAGATACTAACCATATAACAGTTTAATGATGATATGGTTCTCAATCTCATCTTTGTCAGTCTCTAATGGAATCCACCACGAACCCGACTCCCACTCCAAGCTCCGCCGGTGACGGTGGCAATGGCGATAGTGTCTCTACCGATGAATTTACTAAACTACCCCTGGACTCCCCACACGGCGCCAGCGACAAGGAAGATGGCGTTGACTTCGGCCAAGAACAAGGTCTGAGAATTATTTGTATTTTGATTTATTACTATTATAGTTCATAAGTCTTTGGTCTTGTTTTTAAAACTGATACCAAATGAAGGTTCGATTCAATTCCTTTTTCCGAATGCTTAAATCCAATTTGCTACACATAGGATCAGAGTCAAATGAAGCTATTGACACTGGGACTGGTTCAAGATCCGTAGACAAGAACCAGTACTCTGAAACTGAAGTAGTTAGAGCAAAAGATCCACAGACAGAATCTGATTCGTTGGACGATGATGTGGAGATTGTTTTCAAGAACCAGCATAAGTATTACATTTACTGCCCCTGCTGTGGTGAAGATATCACCAAAACAGTCAAGCTCGTGAAGAAATCAGATCTCCAACCCACAAAGAACCACGACACTGAGAATGAAGCTCTTGACACTGAGAATGGTTCAAGATCCAAAGACAAGAAGACAAAGGTTCCATCATGGTTCCCTGACTATCTTCAGCAGTTGTTTCTTTCTGTTTATGGCCACAACAAAGACAAAGGTACCCTTTTCTTTTCCTGCCTTCTTTCGGTGTCGTTGTATTGACAGCTGCGATTGACGATGGTTTCTTGGCAAATTCAGGCAAGAAAGGGGTTGATACAAAGCCACCAGGATCGTCCATCGATCTGGTTACCGATGGTGAAGAACCGAGCATCGATGTCATGATTGAGAAAGACAGACCGAGTTTTCCGAAGTGGTACCTCGATGTTTTTGCTTGGTTTTTCCTCCTCTGTATTATTATTGCTCTTTCTGTCCTTTCCAATTCTCCACAGCAGTCACCGCTTTTCAATCCACCGCATGTGGAGTTGCCTTCTATCTCTTCATTGTGGCTGCCTTCCGCTTCTGTACTTTTGATACTTCCCACGTCTATGGTGTTGCTTCTCGTCATTACGGCAATGAGGTCCCGATACAGTCCCATATATAACAAGGAGAAAGGTAACTTGCATTTTCTCCTCATTTTCTCCTGATTTCAATACTTTTATATGAAAAATCTCTGAACTATGCCAGGCGACAAAGGGGTTGATTCCAAGTCTACTGATACCAATAGTGAAAAACAAAGTCAAGAAACTCAATATGACGATGACCAAGCTGCAGCTCCTGATCAAGATTCTGACAAGAAAACAGGTATGTCTTGAATTCTGATTCCGAGATGAATCTGGTTCTTAACAAAGATTCTTGATCGTGCTAGACAAGCAAAAGATTCACCCAATTCCACTAGATCCTTCACCGCAGGAGCAACCATCTATGCAAGTTGGCAAGAAGGAAACTCATGAAAATGCAGAGAGTGTAACACCAGCAGAAACTCAAGAAGAACCTGGGTTGCTACCTAAAACTCAAGAAGAGATCCCAAATAGTGTTGAACCTCGCAAAGGCAGTAGTAGTAAAGTCGAAATCCTGAAAAGTATTGTGTATGGAGGTTTGACGGAATCAATCACAAGCCTTTGCACCGTAACATCTGCGGCTGCGTCTGGTGCTTCGACTCGTATGTGATACGTCTCCATCCTTTGAGACATATCGTCGAACACTATGAATGCCTAAAAATGACATTTTTAAAGTCTTTGCTTCTGTTTTCAGTGAACGTTTTGGCCTTGGGAGTTGCCAATTTGTCAAGCGGTGTTCTTCTGATTGTTCACAGCGTAAGCGATCTTTCTGGTCAGTAACGAAACTTATGTATGTAACCCTCAGAAAATTGAACAAAGACGCCATTTTTTTGAATTTGCAGCTCCAAGAACTCGTAAACGAGAAACCCAGAATACGAACCAACAACACAGATGATCAGAAAAAATCTGAAGCAGAGGAAGAAGAAGAAGAAGATCGGTACGAGGAAATTCTCGGAAGAAGAGAGAATTCGAGGCTTCACAGGTTGATCGCAATCTCGTCTTTCGTCGTCTTCGGGCTGATCCCACCTCTGGTATACGGCTTCTCGTTCCGAGAAAGAGTCGAGAAGAGGCAAGAGTACAAGACTTTAGCTGTTTACGCAGCGTCTATACTCTGCGTCGTCTTGCTCTCGATTGCGAAAGCTTACGCCTCGAAGAGACGCGAGTATCTCAAGACCCTGTTTCGGTACACGGGAATGGCGACGACGGGGTCGGGATTGTCTCAACTCGTGGGATACTTGGTCAATCAATGGCTTGAGAAAAACGGGTTTTATGATGATTCTCCACAAACTCTTGGAGTTTGATACTTGTTCATCTTGCACTTCCTTTTATAACCCTTTTTTTGTTTTCTTTAAAAGTGAAAGAATTTATTATCTTTATGGGGAAATAAAGTGGAGACATAGAGGAGACAAAAATAACCTTTTTGGGGGTAAACAGTTTTATTACAAGATACTTTAACTTGTAATGAAAAAGAAAAAGGCCACTAATTACAAAATATATACCTTAAACAAACATTTTTTATTATAATAATGAAATATATGGACCACGACGGCAGATTGCTTGGATCCATTTTGATGTAGCCTAGTGTTACGTTTTTTCCAAGCATAATAAATAGATTATTGAATTGAAGTAACTTACAAATTTATAAAATTGAAATAACTTACAAATTTACAAATTCTCATAACTGACCGGAGGAGAGAGATGGATGGGTAAAGAAGGATCACATACCAAACCTGTGAGGAGAAAGTGTGCAATCGAAAAACATGGTGTTGAGCTGATCCCTGTGTAATGCCACAAAGTATACATGTACTAGGAACTGGAAGCCCCCGGCTGAGTAGCCTGTTACGAGAAGGCAACCTATCTCTAGGAACAATCCAATGAATTAAAGCATGTTTTGGGATCATTTGAATAAACCAGTGGATTTTGGGCAAGGTAGAGAAGGGCCTCTCGCTTGTAACACCCTCCCATTTTTGGTAGCAGAAACACATCCCCCCGTTTCACCCATCAAGGAATTTTTTCACTTGAAATTTTCTTAAACAAACTTAAATTGCAATTGGCTTATTTAAACTTATCCAAGCCAACTTTGGCTCTTCCCTGAATTCAGAAAATGGTTGGATTCTTTCTTAAAATGTTTGCTGTTATATTATGTTTTAAAATAGCAAAACTGGTCACTAAACAAAATGTAAAATATATGGAGATTGAACTTGTATTCTACAATCCCAATATATAATGTGTCATAGTTTAATGGCAATGGGATCCAAGTCTCCCGCGGATCTCCAATCTACAACATTCCTATACTAATGTTACTAGGCCTCATTCGAAATCATTTTAGATTTTTCAGTTTCTTTAACACAACAATACAAGTACACCATATATACTGTTAGTAACATGATGAGTGATGGTGATTAAATGTATTTTTCTACTATCTCCATCCAGGTAGTTTTAAATATTGACCATTTGCATGCTGTCAGCCACGTTCGTAACGTGTTTTTTTGGGTTTATTATTTTTTTAGGTAGTATTATTGAAAGTAGTTAAGACTTAAGAAATCAGGCGATTTGGTCAGATATCTTGTCTCGAGCTATTTTTTTGTGATAACATTTTTTTTTTTTGGCGTCACTTATTGTTACAACTAACTTAGAAATCATGTTTCTCTCGTGGCAATATATATATATATATGTGTATTTTTTTTTTTTTAAATTGTAGTGATAAACTTGAGAATATGAAAAATGTACTAATGGCGATGGTGATTGATCACAACTACATCATTGACAAATGTCCCGATCAACACTAAAAGACGACATTACTATTGAAACAAACTTGTATGAAAAAAAAAACAATCGCACTGGTTTTCTTTTTCAGTTGTAATTAACTTAGTTGCCTCAAATTAATACTTTTGGTTGAACAAAAAGAACAAATATATTTACTTTGTATAATTATAAGGAAATTTGGATATAACTTTTTTTTTGAACAAAATTGAATAATTGATACAGATCTTAGATATTCGAATTTTAATACGGATGTGATAATGATAATATGTCAGCAAACGTGTTGCATGCCAAGTTATTTCAGAATGTTCACATTGAGTATTTAATTCAAGATGCGACTTTCTAATTAGTAGTATAATGAAAACAAATAGGATCTGTATTATGTGTTGTTAATTATTTTTTTAAAGTATTTTATGCGTTTGATTATATATATTTAATCTGTTTTCTTATGAGCTACGTGTTTGACTTTGATCTAGATAAGAGTCTTTTCGCCGTGATAAATCTATACCTCTTTGATTTATAGTTGGAAGGTGCGGTCATTGTGAAATGAATGCAGTCACTCTCTCACTTCTGTCATCCACGTGACAATAAATCCCTTAAAAGAAGGTGACAAAAAATCTTCAGCTAATTTGACACCCAAAAAAAAAATTCTTCGTCTAGTATGTACTTGGTACATTATTGTTCGGATGAATACGGTATGTTGAAAATAGTGTATTCAATTATGGTGTAAATAGTATAGTTCAATTTAAATGGTAATTTAAATTTATCACTTTTCGGCAACCAATCAAAGAGTTAATTATATAATTAGATTTGATTTTATCATTTTATTAACACCCTTAACAACGATTTTAACTCTGCTAAATTTCGTTAAATCGAGGTATGGTAATAAGTACGGAAATAAGCTAGAAATAATCTTATAAAATCTGTGAATATTACCCAAAAAAAAAATCACTGATAATAGTAGTAAGTTATCAACTACTACTACTCTGACTCCGTATCTAGGAAAAGGTAAAATTAGCCTTTGAGGGGAAAAAGTTTAAACAAGCGTGTTTGTTTAAAATATGAATTAGAAATGGTGCTGATTCAACGGCCAAGTGAAAACACATTTTCATCAATATTTAAACAACAATAGTGATAATATTGTTGAAGTGAGGAAGGAGACAGAGACGACCCCATTCATCCATCACCTTCTCTAGATCTCAGAATCTCTCTTTTGGTCTCTCTTATTTTTATCCCTTACTTTTGGCCATTCCTGTCTTCCACTTTGCCCTATTTCTTCTTTTTAAAAAATGGGATCCGCCGCCGAATTCACGGATCCCACCACCGGGGCCGAGAAGCACCACCACCAGCCAATACAAGTTGAAGACGAAGACGAACATGTTGTCGAGCTGGAGAGGAAAGCGTCGTCATTTCGTCATGGAAAGAGACTCGACAGTGCGGACAGTAGTACACTCACCAACATCAGCTCGTCTTCTAGCTTTTCCGGTGATGGGTCCCCCGATTTCCGTAACGGCGAAGGAGAGCATATCGCAATTGAAGACTTGGAGGTCCCGGAGTCGCCGGAGCAAGTTACGGATGTTGGTGGATTTCACGAGGAGCATGGCGACGGGAACAATTGCAACGTTTACTTTGACGGTGAACAAGGTTAGTAACTTTAACCTCCGATTAATTCCTTGTTTTGAGCTGCATTTAGCGTCTCTTTGCATCAACTTCGTGCTGTTTCCTTACCAATTGCGAATTTTTTCGGTATTAGCCCAATCAAGGTTTTGGTTTATCAGTTAGTCTTGTAATCTTGTATCTTGCAATTATCACCTCAAGATATCTGGCTGCTGTGGATTGAGTCTGAATTTCAGTGTAGAGTAGTTTTTCTGTGATACATTTGTTCTGGCGGTGAAGTCTTTTGTCATGATTTGTTATTTGTATATGAAGGAATTTGGAAATGTCGCCAATGCGATTGGACCTACAGAGAGGAATCTTTGTTATATTTTGATACCAAAGGTCAGTCCAGTGTTAGGGCTTCTTTGACCAACAAAATTCTTTTGAGCTACAAATTCTTGGGATCACTTTAAAGATTAGCTATTTCCTCGGCTGTTTAATCCACCGTGTTGGTTGACTTGTAGTGAACATTTGATAATGTGTTAATTGCTTGAAGATGCCACCATCTAGAATTGAGTTTCTGGTTAATTATTTATTCTTTGATTTTCTTATAATAGATTCTGAGTCAGCTGGTGTAGAACCTGATGCTCATGAGTCCCAAACTGCTGACCGCTTGAACGGGGAGAAAAAGCAGCAAGAATCTGATAACGTTTCGACTTCTGAGGATAACAAAGAGACCCGAGAAATCGAAGAAGTGCAAGACGGTGAAATCTCTAAAGGCCCTGATCAACCCCCTGGTGATGTTATAGTAGAGGAGCGGGAAACCAAAGATGTGGAAGATTATGATGTGGAGAAAGTGCTGAAAAACCAACAGACACATGATTTGTTCTGTCCAAACTGCAAGTCTTGCATCACTGAAAGGGTTGTCCTTCAAAGAAGGAAACGGAAGATCCCTCCTGTGCTGGACGATCCACCAAGCTTGACAAGGCCTCGCCCTAATGATGACCCTGTTCTTCGATCGGGAGACAATTTGCCACCTGCAGATGGTGATGAAAACTCTATTCATGAATCCTTTTTCTACAAATGCTTGTCATGCTTCAGCATATTCTTACCCACAGGTAGATTAGATTTTAACAATTTCTTTGATACTTGATATATTAGATCCCAATCCCATCTCTTTTTGTATCCAAAGCATGCTTTTGTCTTTTGGGAAAAAAAATTGCAGGGGTGGATTCTAAGCCGATTCCTCCCAGTGAAAGTGTGGAGGTGTTAAAGACTCAGCCAAAACCTCAAGAGAAGGCTACAGGCGTTTCCAACTGGTTCAGTCCAATGTTTGGAGGAGTTAAGAAAAAAGAACCAGCTGTTCAGCAAGGTTTTGTTTGGTCTCCCTTTGCCAGTCTCATCATGTATTAGACATTCCATTCTTTTACTACCTCAAGACGGTGATTCAGTCAACTTCGGTGTCTAGTAGAATGAAATTTGCATTGCTTTTTTTTTCATATTACACTATCACTAAAATTAAATTCATTTCTTTTGTGTTGTCAGGTGGGGCGATACCTAGTGTCCCAGCAACTTCCTCATCAACAGCTCCAGCCCTTGTTCAGGATGTTGCAGGGGCTTCGATTCAAGGTAGGGAGATTTTTTTATATAGTGACAATTAATGAACCACAATTGGTAATTTTTTCATCTGTAATCTTTTGAATGCATTGATGGGCAGATAGTAGTGTTTCTCAAGTTAAAGGGCCTGTTGACACCCCTTCGATTCCAGGTACATATAATTGCGTCACTCTTAGAAAGTGGAACCCATGTTCGTGTCTTGTAGTTGAATTTGTAAGCAAGGGCGTTTAGAAGCAACTTTTATGAAACTAAAACGTGATAGCCAATTCTTCTTCTTCTCTTATTTAGCTTTTTGTCTCTTCGTTGACTTGTGAAAACTCCACCACTCTTTCCTTGATATGATGGCAGTTGCAAAATCAGATGATGCTAGCAAAGTTGTCAACAATGGAGCGACTGTTGAAAATGAGCAAAAGTTTCTGGTTCCTTCGGCGGAGGAGCAGCAAACACAGCAAAAGATGAAGAAGGATGATGCTAATGCAGCAGACCGGAACCACTCGTCAGACAAAGGACGCCTTTCCCCGATTCATCCATCTCACGACATGAACATATCAAACACAGTGACCAGTGGACCCGATGGAGTAGTAAGAGTAGAAACTATATTTCATGCAGAAGGTGTCTCTCATCTCTTTGAAGGAACAGACACTGGAAAGCTAGATTTTGGTCTGGGAAAAGTAACAGGTAATCTTAATTCTCTTTATCATGCCGCTAGAAAATAACTTTCACAGCTTCATAGTCAAATACATAATATAAAACTGTCTTCTGTCTTCTTTCCTTGAAGATTAAGTTGTTAATGTACTGTGTAGTCATTCTCATACACAACTTGCTAACTTCTCGCTTCTGTTTTAGGTGCGATGGACACAGGTGACAGAGGAGTTATTACCGGCACACCAAGTCCTGTAATTGATATGCCACCACTCCCAGTGAGTTCGCTAGAAGAAGGGACTCTACGGGAACCGTTGGTAGTGAGACCAGTTGGTGAAGGACGTACAGTGGAAATCTTGAAAAGCATTGTATACGGAGGTCTAATTGAATCCATCACAAGCCTCGGTGTTATTTCATCTGCTGCTGGTTCCGGCGCTTCAACGTGTAAGTACCGCTCAGCCTTAGCATTCCATTTCCATTGTGAAACACAACACACAAAATTTCTTCGGTTGAAAAATAGTAACACACGACTCTATCATTGTGCTTGCAGTGAACATTTTGGTTTTGGGGCTTGCAAACTTATTCGGTGGGCTGATTCTCCTTATTCATAATGTAAGTGATCACTTAAAAATCTTATCCTGATGCATAAACTTTGTAATGAACTGCGTAACCTGAAACTTACAGAGAAACTTCTTTTGCAGCTCCAAGAACTCAGAGACGAGGAACCCAGAAGAACAACAACAGAGAATAACCAGACTAACGGTCAAGAAGAAGGTCGGTACAAGCGACTCCTCGGAAGAAGAGAAAATTTCACGATTCATGCAATAGTCGCAGTCTTATCCTTCATAATCGCCGGGCTACTCCCTCCTGTAGTCTACTATTTCTCATTCAGCAAAACACACAACAGAAACTACAAAGTGGCATCAGTTTTCGGGTCAGCTCTAGTGTGCATTGTGTTGCTCGCCTTAGCTAAAGCTCACGTGAAGTCCCCAAGAGGTAGCCACTTAAAGAGCGCTCTGTACTATACGATGATTGCTGTGTCGGTGTCGGGGATTTCGTACGTGGTTGGTGACTTTGTGGATCAGTTGCTTGAGAGGTACGGATGGTCTGATGGATCTGAAACTCCGGCGGGAGAGATGTTGCTTTCACTCATGGGGAGAAAAGCTGGTAGCTTCGGATACTCATCATCATCGTACTGAAACTGAATCATGTCTGTAGAACAATCCAACACCTCGTGCTACTTTTCTATTTCACTCTGCTTTGTGAGCTCTCTTGTTAGACTTTTTGTTTTGTTTTTTGTTTTAGGCCAAATCTTTTGTTGTTCCAATTATAGGAAGCACACAATAATAAATGACGACCTGTACCCTTTTATGTTTAGCTATATCTTACTTTCTGCATTAAAAATTTGAAAAAAAATGTCCTGAATGTTAAAATATGCAAAAATGAGGTTCTACCGAGAATTGAACTCGGGTTACTGGATTCAGAGTCCAATGTCCTAACCGCTAGACCATAGAACCATTTTGTTATGTCGTGAATATAATTATTTATATTCAAATATTATTTGGCTTGCCATTAAAAGTCCAATACAACGTCGACGTTTTAAAGGAGCATTAGCGGACATCAGTTACGTTCGCATTGGGTTTGATCCAATTAGACTAATGGCTATAGCCAGTTGGTTGGGTTAGAGCGATAACCGTCGGATTCAAATTCGAATTAAAGGGTGCCTCAGCATCTGGACGGCTCATATTTGATCTCTCTTCTTCTCTCTCTCAATTTCAGAGATCACAGAGGCCAACGAAGAAAAGCACCGCTTTTGCCAGAAACGGTGACGATAGAGAGAGAGAGAGAGAGAGAGGGAAGGAGAGAGTCAGGGCCGATTTGGTTTCCCTGAAAATTTTTCATTTTTGTTTCTTTCAATTTTCTTTCCCTTTTCTCTCTTTCTCGTTTTTTCCAGATTTGTCTATCGAATCCATTTTCAAAGATTCCCAAAAGTGGTAAGGAAGCAAAGTACTGTTTCGCTTTTGTTTTTTCCATGTTCATCGGTGTGAAAGAAAGGAATTTTCTTTTCCGAGACTAGAGATTCCAGAAAAACGAAGAAAAATAGAATAGGAAGGGGGTTTTTTTGACCTAATTTTTTTTTTGAATTTAGGGCCTTTTTGTGTGTTTTCGATTTTTGAATTTGATTGTGGTAATGGAGACGGATAGTATGGAGTGTGAATCTTCGACGAGAAGCGTCCAGAACGATGAGATCCATCATAATGGAACTTACCATTTCTCTTCAACGAAGAATCACGGCGGAGCCGCTGCCGCCGTCGTTACCAACATAGTCGGTCCGACGGCAACCGCTCCGGCTACTAGCGTCTACGAGCTTCTGGAGTGCCCTGTCTGTACCTATTCTATGTATCCTCCTATCCATCAGGTGAAACTCCGATGCTATTGTTTGATGCATACGATTTAGCTGTATCTGTTCCACATTTGATGACTTAACTCGCAAATTGTAGCAATCACTTGTGTTCTTCTCTGTATATTTACTTGACTGTGATGAAAGTTGCTTTAATGATCAAGGACAGTGATATGTTGTGTAGCTTTTAGGAAGAAAAACATGACCTAGAGCATTTACTGGGCTATAATGATATACTGGGAAGTTCTTGATCTGAAAAGTCTGTCTCTTTTATGTTTTTGTTGTTGCAGTGCCATAATGGACACACATTGTGCTCGACCTGTAAAGTAAGGGTTCATAACCGTTGTCCCACGTGTAGACAAGAACTTGGAGATATAAGATGTTTAGCTCTTGAGAAAGTAGCAGAGTCGCTTGAGCTGCCTTGCAAGTATTACAATCTTGGATGTCCTGAGATATTTCCTTATTACAGCAAACTAAAGCATGAGTCTCTCTGTAACTTCAGACCTTACAGTTGTCCGTATGCTGGTTCGGAATGTGGTATCGTAGGAGACATCCCTTTCCTTGTAGCCCATCTCAGGGATGATCACAAAGTTGATATGCACGCTGGTTCTACTTTTAACCACCGCTACGTCAAATCCAATCCTCGTGAAGTAGAGAACGCCACTTGGATGCTAACTGTGAGCATCCTTGTTGTGTAGTAAACTATTATTCTCTTCAATGTTTTTCGACATCAAAATTGACAGTCTCTTCTTCTATGGGTTTAGGTTTTCCATTGCTTTGGGCAATACTTTTGCCTCCATTTTGAAGCGTTCCAGCTCGGGATGGGTCCGGTATACATGGCATTCTTGAGATTCATGGGGGACGAGGAAGAAGCACGGAGCTACAGCTACAGCTTAGAAGTGGGAGGCAGTGGGAGGAAGCTAACATGGGAAGGAACTCCAAGAAGTATCAGAGATAGCCACAGGAAAGTGAGAGACAGCAACGACGGTCTCATCATCCAAAGAAACATGGCTCTCTTCTTCTCCGGTGGTGATAGGAAAGAGCTTAAACTTAGAGTCACTGGTAAAATCTGGAAAGAGCAACACAGTCCAGATTCTGGGCTCTGTATACCAAACCTATCTTCCTGATCATTCTTTCTTTTTTTTTCTCTCACTTTGAGAAGGAAAGCTGTATGGTGGTGACTGGTGATTCGTTTGCACTGTTCTTCTTTGTCTGTATCTAAAAGATTTCATGAATGAATTTGTGTTGATCTTGTCACACATTTACACGTTATAGTCTCATTTCGTTGGTAAACTTGGATCGCAGTTCATATGTTCAAGTCTCAAGATTCATTACACGCATGGTCGCATGGAGATTTGAGATACAATAAACTGATAAAAAATCATGTGATTAAAAGGAATTTATATATTATGAACCTTCTGATCGAAAAATGCCAAGTAAAATGTTTTAGATAATAGAAATGGAGATGCGGGGAATCGAACCCCGTGCCTCTCGCATGCGAAGCGAGCGCTCTACCATATGAGCTACATCCCCTTGTGAATATTAAAGAATTTAGTTGGACTAAAACTCATAAACAAATGGCTGAGGAAAGTAGGGGAAATCTTCTTAAGTTTTCTAAAACTTGATGTCGGATCTTCTCTGTGATTACAAAAAATATAACATCCAAATGTATATATAAGGCACCATATATGGAAAACTGATGTTTAATCAATGTTATATGTATTGTCAATCAATAAATTGCCAAGATGGATTATGTATTGGTGTATGTATCTTATGCCAATATATGCTCTTTTGTTGTTGCAAGAAGGGCACTTGACATGCTCAGCTCTAGCTGAAGTGATCGTCACACAGCTCCCATGGAACCATTTCTAGCACATGTCACAGCAAAGTTATCTCCACTCTTTGGAAACATGTGATAAATATTAGTTAGAGATTATTAATGAAAAATATAGAATTTTTTTAAAATACAAATCATAATTTAATCGACTAATCAGGTGTTAATTTATATTTAGAGTCGTAAGAGACACCGAGCTTAATTAAGAAGAGAATACAGTAAACTATAATATGATGTTATTTATTTCTTTAAACTTTATAAGATTTTCTATCATTTAACAAATATATTTTTCCTGTCAACATGATTTCAAAATTATGAAAACTAATCTTAAGCTTTTAAAATCAATTTATGAGTCCTAAATTGTATGACATAAATATAAACCTAATTTTTAAGGAATAAGGAAAAGAAAACTTGAATAAGGAAATTAAGGAATTTAGGAATTTAGGAAATCTTATAATTCGGAGGAATGAAGGAAAAAGACCCAATACAATTTGAAAAGGGTTCTAAACTCTGTTTCTTCTCGAACTTTCCTTTTTGCATTTATAGCTCTCCCTATAAATACCCAATCTTTGTTTCATTGACAAGAAAATTTCATTGTGATTCTAATTTTTAATCCCTCACTATACAGCGAAACCCTAAAGCTAGACGAAAACCAATGGCGATTATCTCTGAGATGCAGGAGGAGAGACCCTCGACTTTGCCGTTCAGGGCAAGTTTTGATCCTTCAAACCCACTAGGGTTTTTGGAGAAAGTCCTCGACTTTATTGGGAAAGAGAGCAACTTTCTGATGAAAGACACGGCGGAGAAGGAGATCGCCACTGCTGTTACGGCGGCGAAGGAGAGGTTGAGGGGAGCGGAAAAGAAGAAGGCGGAGAAGGACAGCTTGAAGCCCATGGAGTTGAAGGAGAGTGTTCCTCCGATGGAGCCCATGGAGGTGGACAAGCCGAAGAAGGAGGAAACCTTCAAGCCAACGGAGTCCATGGAGGTGGAGAAGCCGAAGGAAGAAGAAAAGCAAGAATCTGGCCCTATCGGTAAGTCCTTCGTTTAATCCTTTTTGAATATGGAAATTTGTATGTCACTTGTTCTTCAGAGGCCTCTAGTGAAAGCTTTGATTTGGGGTTATGTCTCGTTAGTAATGATTGAATCTTCATTGATGAAATATGGAATGACTCTTGTTTCCTCAGCGGTCTTGGATTTTCTTTGGTTCTATTTGCTACTATGAGTTAGGATATCGGAATTGCTCTGAGTAGCTAAGTCTTACATCAACTTGATGAACGATTTGTGGATCTTTGCTCTTATAAGAACTAGAAAAATTGGAGAAAGTTTAGATCTTTTAAAAACAATTCTTGAGTGAAATATATTATCTCTTGTGGCAAAACTAACTTTATGTCCGTTTGTTTGGTGCACAGTTCCTAACAAAGGAAATGGGCTTGATTTTGAGAAATACTCATGGACACAGAATCTCCAGGAGGTCACGGTTAATATTCCAGTGCCTAGCGGCACTAAATCACGGTCTGTCACGTGTGAAATCAAGAAGCACCGTCTGAAAGTTGGTCTTAAAGGACAAGATCCAATCATCGATGTAAGTCTTCCCCCCATCGCAATTTCTTTTAATGCATCTGGATCTCTCTTTCTTTTTCTTTGTTCATCTTGCTGGTTCTTTCTTGCTAAATTCTTGACTTTTGGATGATAATAGGGAGAATTCTTCAATCCTGTCAAGCCTGACGACTGCTTCTGGAATATCGGTATGTTTTAGGTTCCTTGTTTAGGCATTTCAGCCACTCAATCTTGAGTGAACAAAACTTTTTAACTGAGTATGATTAAAAATTTGTTCTGTATGGTGATTACTTTTGCAGAGGATCAAAAGGTCATATCGGTGCTATTGACAAAGCAAGACCAGATGGAGTGGTGGAAATATTGTGTGAAAGGAGAACCTGAAATAGACACTCAGAAAGTTGAACCAGAGACGAGCAAACTGGGTGATCTCGACCCAGAAACTCGCAGTACCGTTGAGAAGATGATGGTAAGTCGATTGCTCTGTCCTCTTGATTATTCTTGTTTTTGTTACATTTATATTTGCGAGACTTTGACACAGTTTTTTTCTTTTCTTTTCTTTTCTTTTCCCGTTTTCTTATATAGTTTGATCAAAGGCAGAAGCAGATGGGACTCCCAACGAGTGATGAGATGGAGAAGCAAGACATGTTGAAGAAGTTCATGGCTCAGCATCCTGAGATGAACTTCTCTAATGCAAAGTTTAACTAGTTTGTATTCAATTTTTCTCTTCTCATAATGACATTATAAAAAAACTCATGATTTTTCCGTTATCAAATTATCTTATGGTTACAATTTTCAATCGAAAGGCAAAACCCACTAAACTCGAACTCATGCTGATGCAATCCCAATTTTCTCATCGCAACTCATATATTTAAAATACATTTAGAATTCTTACTTGTCTCTAACGTTTCCCGAAACGAATACATTCTCGACATCTTTATTGTAAGGCGTCTCACAACATTTTTTGTTTATAAATGTGACATTTATGATTTGTCTACTTTACTTTTGTATGATCTAACTTAAAGCATCACGATTTGACAAATGTAAGTATGTAACTCGTTGTTGCTGCTAATAGCAAAAAATACGAATTTATTTTTTTGTATGATGTGAATGAAAGACGATTTACATATTTCAGAAAAACGTCAGCGATTTAGTTAGGCAATCACTAAACAGAGAAACGCGGATATTAACTTTTATTTTCATATTTCAAACCAATCGTACATAGAAGTTTAGTCAGTTACTGTTGTATGCTTCCTATTTTCCTTCAATTAATTTATTAATTTCCAGTAGAAAAAATTAGTTAGGCAGATATAAAAAGTAAATTTTCTAGACCATGGTATATTTCATAATAGAATATCATACTTGTTGAAATAACTCTGAACCAAATAAAAACAACATGGTACATATTCATTTCCATATTATGTGTTGAATTCGTTAAATTTGTTAATATACGGAGGTACCTACATGTAAAACTAAAAAAAAAAATTCTCTTTTATTTTTTTGATAAACTCTATCGGCTGATCCGGTCGGCCCCGGTAGGAACGCACCGAAGTGCTATAGTGTGGACTTCTCCCTGGTTCAACGGTTCAACGGACACTATGAGCTTCGAGCGAACTCGAGTCAACGGGCCATGAGATCCATGAGATCCAAATGGGCCACCACACTACCTGTTCCGAGTTTGAAATGCCTTCCGACTAATGCTAGGGGTAGCCAGATCGCCTGTTACTGGACTACCATGTAAACTGCTTTGGCCCAAACCTAAACTTCCCACATAATTGTGTTTTTGTTTTTAGGGAGGATCGAACCATGTAAACTGCTGTAACACAAAGGTTAAATTCTCTTTTATTTACTAACTTAGGCATTTCTACACAAGGCACCACATATTTGGTGGCCAAAGCAATGCTGATCCAAACAAACACAAATGATTGTTTAAAAAGGATCTAAGTCACCCTTTGAACTCATGTTATCAATAAAACTCATACTTTCATGAAAACTCATTTATCCTATACAAAATAGAACACAATAGTTATTCCACTTTTTCGATATAAAATCATAACTAACTGTTTTAAAATCAAATATTATGTACCATGTTTTTTTAACGCATAAAATGACCATAACAAACAAAATTTTGTACTATTAATGCACATAGGTTTGGATTATAAGATGTTTCTTACTATGTTCATAGCCAACATAATTTATCAAATTATTATACTAAATAAAATTTTCAAATTTCTCAATTGAAGTTTAGCTTCACTTTTTGTTTAAGCATTAGTTTCAAATAACTCAAATATAACAAATCATATATAAGAGCTAAGATAATCCAACAAAATCAATAATGAATTGAATAATTATAAACCAAAAATAATTTGATTTTGTTGTTCTAGGTCTTTCTGTGCAAGTGAGGAGTGCATGGCTGTCGTGGAACGTCTCTCTAAAGACAGATTCTCTGAAGAAAGATCTCAAGATATATCTTAAGACAGAATTTTTTTTTTTTTACCAAACACAATATAGTTGTTGATTTGTTAAAAATACCATTCAAAAAACTTTTTCCTGGTAATTGTCTAATCATGTGTTCAAAACTGGTTAAACTAAAAGTTATTTCAAGTGAAAAAAAATAATGTGACAGCAAAAGATTCTTTTCACGCCTAATAGAAGGTAGAATCTCCGGTGAGATGTTGCCAGTGGCTGGAATATTCTTCCGAATGACTTTTTGTTGTTTCTAGCGTGTGTGGTCCTTTGTCCATAGTTCTCAATGATTCAAAAGAGACAACAACAATAGACGACACATTTTCTTCATTATGTATAATTAGTTTACATCAGATTATAATCTAAACTTAAGATCTTTGATGTGTGTTGTCCTTTATCCACACCCTTCCAAATTATTGCAATCATATATGTATATATATATAGTAGAAAATTAGATTATCAAAACGTGGCGACGGAGAATGTGGGCAGTAAGAGCATTTCAAACGCCACTTCAGATCCCATTCCAAACACTATTTTGGAAGAAAGTTCTCTCAAGCAATACTTCATTTCCAATTCAAGAATGAAGTTGTGAACATGGAGTGATATTTTGTTTTGAATCATCTTAAAAGTCGAGATATATAAATGAAGTCCATAATGGACGAATAACATGGTCCGTCCAAAACTGGAAGTCTGAACAACAAAATGCAAAACAGAACGTTTATTTGGCTCCTGTTGTAATGAGTTACCAAGACCATATTTCCAAGTCTCACAAATGCTAAAATTTAAGTATATACTAGTGTTTATTATCTTGTTTCCTCCATCCATAAGCCTGCTCGAGCTTGGAAACAACCCAATTAGTTTCATGCGCGTGTACGTACACAGACAGTATTGGCAATGATCAATAAATACATGAGTGGATGTTTCGCAAGAGCCAAAGGTTCCAATTCTGAGATGAAGGGAAAGACAAAATATGGTTTAAGTGTTGTTATATGAAAAAGTATAAAATACGTTATATAGAGAGAACCAACTTGATAAGAAGTGTCAATGTTGGGTGAAAAACCAATACTCCCTTGACCCAACATATTGGGGCTCAGACTATATAAAGCCAAATACACACAAAAAAGGATATATATATATATATATATATTCAATTTCAATAATACGAAGTTTGCTATTCTGAAAGTTTTCACATGTCAATTTAGTCATTTCCTAAAAACTCATAAAATAAAATAAAAGGAGAGAGAAAAAGCGCGAAAATGTGAAATGGACATCACGGGACCTCATTTCCTCACCATAAAGCATATCAAAGAATTGATTGATTATATGAATTTGGTTACAAAGTACAACCAGATTGCATTCTATGAACGAATTGATTGTTTCCTCTATATATCAATGGATCTTAGAGAACAATAACAATCAGAACTATAACATTCATTAATTGTCGCATTTGAGTATTTCATCACTTCACGAGCCTTATTTCACGCGCCTTTGTCGCGCGTTGTGTAAATGAAAAGATCAGAGAGATGTCACAACGTAGGACCCATACTAAACACCTACTGCTATTACTAGTTTACTACTATTAGTCTAGTCTACTACCCTCTAATCACCTGTTACTACTTAATTATTTTTGTTAAGCTTGATTTACAAATGTAATCTTCATCAATCATCATTGGCTTTTAACTGATATCCAAATTATTCTGCTTGTGACAACGTACAACTTGCCAATTGATATATATATATATATATATATGAGTTTATTTCAAATCACTGTCACTCCGATATTACAACATTATTTAATTCATAGGAGCGCCATAAGCTGCTACATGAAATTAACTATTATGAATCATGAATTCTTTGTGTATACATGAAACAACAGTGTGCTATCTCTAAGTTTACTGGCACTTTGATTTTTTTTTTTTTTTTCTTCTCGTTCTGGTAATCAAGATTCTCTGAAACAATATATTAGAAAATAGAGAGTTTGATTAGTATACTTTTGCATAAAGAATGTATCACTTTTACGGTTACAATTCATAAAAGCGAAAAGGGTCAGAAAAACAAAAATATATCAGTAATAAACTCTCAGGATCTCTTAACATCTACAACTTCTCCTCAGCTTTTATGTAGTTTTAACGTCTTTAAGTCTTTAACTATACATGAATACATCTCAATTTTAAACGTTAAAATATGTTTACAGTTTGATGTCACTAATCGATTCCGAATGTTATACATAAGAAAATATCTTTACTAACATAGTGGGGAGTACATTTATTATACTCTTCATTTCTTTCTTCCTCTCCAAATTTTTTTCTTTTTTTGTTAGGCCAAATTTTATATACAGGGCTTTAATGTCCACAGTGCTCCAATAATTACACACATAAAATTTATTATCGGCCTCTCCACATCACAAAGGCAAGAGGGGGGCCAAAGTACAGAACTTTCCCTCAGGGTATGCTCCAAGTTCCCAACTTGGCTTCTCTTTTTCCATTTTGTTTTTCTGTTTTCCGGGGTTTTATGTTCACTCTCCTCTGCTCAACTCCTATTTCTCCTCCCAGGAAAAAAAATCATAAGAAAAAGAAAAGAAATGTATGCAGAGACTGGGTTAGCGTTTCGATTCATGCAGGGTTGTTCTCCAGCGATTCAGGAGTTTGAAGACCTCTTCAAATCCTACAAGCTCTCCGATGAAATGGTTTGTCACTGCATTATATCTTGAAATTGATTTATCTGGTTTTGAGTTTCTCGTCTCTGATCTGAGTTATCTTTGATGTAATTAATTTAAATTTAGTGGTGAAAGTAGTGAAAGTCAAGTGCAAAATTTAGTGGTTTAAGTGATTTTGTCTTGAAAAATCTTTTGCTAACTGGAAACTTGTTGCGATCTTTTTGTTGGGCACATATAAGTTTTGGCTCCTAAAATTGGGTCTTTTCTGGGCAGATGAAAAGACGCAACCTTCAATCTTCTTCTGCTGATGCTTGATAGAAAAAAAAAAGAGGAAACTTTATCATTCCTTTGAGAAAAAAAAGAAATTTCTGGATCACCCTTTTTATGGTGTTTGTGATAATGGGAATTACACTTTTTCTTTATACAACAAACTGGACTTAGAACTATAAGAGCGTATCTTACACGATTGACAACTAACTTTTGTGTGTGTTTCGACCATCAGATTCCGTGTACAAAATGACTTCTTTTTTTTTTTTTAATTCATCATTTATTCTCTTGCTCTGATTGGGTTTTGTCGCTTCATAGCCATTGTTATCTTACAATCATTCTCCACTAAGATTGTAACAAAGAAGTAAGTTTCGCTTTCTCCTTACCCTTTTTTGAAAGAATCCACTCCCAAAGAGACCTGTGTGAGTGTTTGTTTGTTCATAAAGCCAAAGAAACTCACTGTGTTACTGGTAATTAAATTTGAAGGAAACAAATTTTGAGCTGTGATCTTTGTACGTTGTGGTTTTGGCTCTCTCTTGTTCTGTTTTGATCGTTTTGTGTTGATTTTCTTTCTTATGATTGTGAAGCAGAACAATCTTGTTGAGGCATGTGAGTATGATTTTGGAGAAGAGAGTGACCTATTCAAAGCCCCTGAGCCGATCATTGAAGATCCACTCTCTCAAGAGATTGTTGAACTCAGTGATCTCGGGTCGTTGCAGAGTGACCAACAGCTTATAGACAAGGCGTTCTACGAGTGTGAGCAGGACCTCCTGGTGAAATCAGCCATGGAGTCTCCGCTCTCTGAGGTACTAGACATCAAGAACATCCCTTTAGTGGCAAAAATGGACAATGTTATGAAGAGTAGTAGTGTAGTCGTCTCTGATGTCCCAATTCCGAAGAGCGTGAGCTCGGGGAACCTGAGCTCAATGGATATGGCACAGCACAAGGATGCGGTGATTCAGAGCTTCCCCGATGTAATAAGAAGAGCCTTTAGCGAAAGCGATATACAGGTTCGAGCTGAAATTATTAAAAATACTCTTCTGAATAGTTAACTCAATGTATACACGTGTTTTGAGAGAATCATCGATATTTGAGAGAAAGTTCTGACCTTTGGCAATATATGTTGGCAAAAGGATCTAATGTATATGTTCATCACTTGTGGATGTTTTGCTTCATGACAGACACTAGGGACTAGAAACGCGGGTCTTGTTCAGACTCAGTTGGATCGAGTAATCGTAAGTTGCACCTCTGAGGATCGCCGTGAGAAGCTTTCTAGATACAGGAACAAAAAGAGCAGGCGGAATTTCGGGCGTAAAATCAAGGTAAAGACCTGAGAGATATATTTATCTTGATTCTGTTTTGTTGGAAACTGAGTTCTGGGATGGTTGCAGTATGCTTGCAGGAAGGCTCTTGCAGACAGTCAACCGAGGATCCGAGGAAGGTTTGCAAAAACAGAGGAGGTGCAGAAATGAGGATTATTAGTTAGGTTTTAAAGCTGAGCAAGAAGACTAGTTTGATGCAGTGATCAAAATATAAGCCAACCCACTTCTCGTTTTTGTATATAAGGGTTTGTCTGAATAAGCCTAATTAAGGAGTAAGGTCTAGGGAAGAAAAAGGAAAAACGTTGTAGTAGTTACGCAAGTGATATGCTTTATATATGTTAGATCTTTTGAAGCTCTGTCTCTAAAAAACTAAATATATAAAAAGCTATTTGATGTTCCTTTGTATGGTTTGACCATCGATAGATTATACTTGTTAGTTTTGTAGAAGCTGGCATAAGCAACTTTTGATGAATGACATGTGAACGTAAAGAGATAGCATTTTGAAATATGAAAAATGAGACTTCAGCCAAACTATGACATCGCCGAAGCCATAAATTTATAGACTTGTAATCATCATCATTGATTTCTCACTGTCAACCACCAAAAACCCGGTTTAGGATACTATTAGTTAACTTTCCCATTACTGTTTCTCTGTGAATGTAATTATCAAATATGAAAATACAATTTCGCAAAATGTAGATGTGTTTGCTAGAATTTGTGGAAACGAGAATTTGCTTTTACAGTAGCGTTTGAAAGTAAAATAATTTCTTAAAAACATAAACAATCATGTTATATATGTAACATTTGCTAAGTACATACATTAAATGAAGATAAATTTGTAAAATATGTTTGTTTTCATAAACGCTGACAAAAAAAAAAAAAGTGTTTTTAGTATGAAAGTCGAGTTATCTAAGATCTTTCTCTAATTGGTTTCCACGGAATTCAGTTGTTTAACACGAAAGATTGCTCCGTTCTCGAACATGATTGGGTTATCCTTGCTAAAAAAAACACAGAGCTTCTCGGTTAGTTTTAAACCGGGAAACACCAGAGGAATTGTATAAAAAAAACACCAGAGGAATTGTATAAAAAAACACACCAGAGGAATTGTAAAATTACGTAAACACCCTTATAAGAGTTCTGAAAAAATTGGTGGGAAACTTTTCAATTTTTTTTTCTTCCCCATTTTGTGGCTGCTTCTTCCATAAACCTCACCGGTGCATAACTAAGCAGAACGGAGAGCAAATACTAAGAATTTACATTTTTAAACCATTCTTCTGGGTAAGAATTGAGACAGAAGATTTTCATTGGATTGTGCAGAGAATAATAAAATTTGGTTCGTAGTAGTTTGTTGTTACATAACCTTAGAAGATACGAAAATAAAACAAAAATAAGAAGTAGACTGTCGTAGCCGTACTAAGTAAGTTCCATTCGGGTTACAAATGATCTTGGAACGACGGAAAATCGTCAATAAAAATGTTCAGTTGTTCACAGCATTTTAAAGAGAGAAGAACAATGACGAGAGAGACACGATCTTTGGATTGGGTCAGAGAAGACAAGAAACGAGAGGAAAGTGAGGAAGAAGAAGAAAATGTGTGAGGGGCTGCTTTGCTCTACTCAGGCGCATTTTAGCTTAACTCACAGTAATGTGCACCTTCCCTCACGCTATTCTGAAGGTGACTCCGATCAGAACGACCCACTTTATTTTTTGTTTTCCTCTTCTGCGTCTTCTCTCTCTCTCTTTCTTCAACTCTGTCACGCTTTCTCTCTCTCTCTCTAAAGTTTTTCTTACCCAGAAAAATCAAAATTCGCGGAAATTTTTTCGTCTTTCGATTAAAACAAAATTCCTTCGGCATTCCTTCCGGTTTTGTCATCCAAATCATTAAGAGCAAAAAAGGACGCTCTTTTAAAAAAGAAAAATTTGGGGTTCACTGGATTTTTTAAGGAGCGAGAGAAGTTAGGAACAGATCTCTCTCTCTCTCACTTTCTCTTTCTGCTCATTCGTGCCAAACGTTTCTTCTTCCTTAGAAAAGAAAAACATGTGCAATTCCGTCTCTTTCCTTGTTTGATACGACGTGTATGTGATTTCCAGTCGTGGGTCAGAGAAGACGGAGGACTGCTCTCAACTTTCTATCGAGAAATTTCCAAATTGGGGGGATAGATTAGGGTTCGTTAGCGATTGGGGAATTTGGAGTTGCTGATTCTGGATTGGAACACTAGATACGTATACGTGATGATGCTCTGATTGGTTCTGAAATTTTCACAGAAGAGAATGATAATCAAACGGAAACTTAAAACCCAGATACCGAGTTTAAAACGGTGCAAACTCAGCAACTCGGCGAGTGACTCCGGTGGTTCCCGGAAGAAGAGAAAGTCCAACTTGGGAGGTTACTACCCTCTGAACCTTCTCGGAGAAATCGCCGCCGGGATTGTTCCAGGCCGAGGACGAAACGGCTTCTCTGCTTCGTGGTGCACTCAAGTTCCGTCTTCTCCCGTTGTTAAGGTAGAGTCAGAGTCAAAGAGAAGATCAGATTCCGGCACCGCGAGGGATTCTCCGGCGGCACCGCTGGTTCGGACATCTAGAGGACGAATTCAGGTGCTTCCTTCTCGATTCAACGACTCGGTGCTCGAGAATTGGAGGAAAGATAGCAAAAATGGCAGCGAACGCGATTGCGATTACGAGGAAGAAGTAGAATGCAGGAACGAGAAAGTTAGCTCTCGGGGTCTTAAAGCTAGTAATTTGAAAAGCAAGGGACTTGATAGGAGCCGCAAGTATAGCGCATTGTATAAAGAATCAACGTTTCACGAGCGATATGTTGAGGCTCGAGCTCGTGTTGACAGAAGCAGGGAAGAAGAGAAGCTCCCGAAGCCGAAGAAAGAAGGTTATTATGGGCCAGAGAGCTTTTATTCAGGTGATTTGGTTTGGGCTAAATCTGGGAGAAATGAGCCGTTTTGGCCGGCCATTGTTATCGATCCGATGACGCAAGCACCCGAGCTTGTTTTGCGTTCTTGTATACCCGATGCAGCTTGCGTTGTGTTCTTTGGTCACTCTGGGAACGAGAATGAAAGGGTACGAAGAGACAAATTGGATATCCAAATATGGATCTTGCTTTCTTTTAAGTTTTCGAAAAAGCTGCTGGATTCTGAGTGTTGTTTTAATGTAAGCAGGATTATGCATGGGTGAGGAGAGGGATGATCTTCCCTTTTGTGGATTATGTTGCCAGGTGGGTTTCTTGATTTATACTTTAAAAAAAATTGTTTTAAATGTGGATTTGCTTAATAGCTACTTATTCAGGTTCCAGGAACAGTCTGAGCTGCAAGGATGCAACCCTGGGGGTTTTCAGAAGGCACTGGAGGAAGCCTTTTTGGCAGATCAGGGATTCACGGAGAAGTTGATGAATGATATTCACATGGCTGCTGGTAACCCGACTTTTGACGATTCTTTCTACAGATGGATTCAAGAAACGGCGAGCTTAAATCAAGATCTCAGTATCAGTGCTCCAAGTCAGGTAGGTGTCTCTTTCTGTGAGTTCGTTGTGCAGGGGTTTCCTTTTTCAAGCGTAATTTTCGTAGCATGTTCATTGTTTGGTTTTTATTTATTTTAGTTCTCAAAAGAATACAATGCTGCTAAGATTTTTATTCCACTCCCGTTTGTCATATTTATATGGCTTTTTCCGTAAATCTCCTCCAATTTGGGTAATTTATCTAATTATTATTCTTTGCAGGAGTTAAAGAAATACAGAAATCTACTTGCCTGTGTAGGATGTGGAACGGTCCTTTCTTTTGAGATGGCAAATAAAATGAAAGCTCTGACTCCTGGAGATCAACTATTGTGTAAACCTTGTTCAAGGGTATGTAGGATCCCTTGTTCTGTGAATATGCTTAGTTTAGTTTTAATTGATGCAGAATGGTTGCATACGAGTAAGCCTACTTTGGTTGTTGTTGCAGTTGACAAAATCAAAACATATTTGTGGTATATGCAAGAAGATAAGGAATCAATTGGACAGTCAAACCCTGGTACCAATACAGAAATATTAGGTTCTGTAGCCTCAGGTTCTGGTTGCTTTCTATTTTGATTTTTTTTTTTTTCTTTTGTATCAACGGGGTAAATTAGGTGCGCTGTGATGGTTGTAAAGTCTGGGTACACGCAGAGTGCGACCAAATATCAGATAAGGATTTGAAGGTATGTTAATTTTGGACTTCATCAAGGTTATCCTGTTCTCATCTGCTTGCATGTGTTGAGATCAAGCTCATTTGTTGGCCTGAAGGTTTTGAGGGGAACAGATTACTACTGTCCTACTTGCAGAGCTAAATTTAACTTTGAGCTATCAGATTCGGAAAAACAAGACTCAAAGTCAAAGTAGGCCTCTTTTTATTAACTTTTATTATTGTTTTCACAACAACTGCCTTTTCATTGCCAAATTCAATTTGGGAGTTTTCTGGTACAGACCTGGCAAAGGCGATGGTCAGATGGTTCTTCCTGACAAAGTTATTGTTGTATGCTGTGGAGTAGAAGGAATATATTTCCCAAGTCTCCATTTGTAAGCAGATACCATTTACCTATTTTTTACATTCCTCTCACTTCTCCCTTGGGTTTACTTCTCAAACTAATTCAAAGCAAGAACCTTTGGAGATTACCTTCCTTCGGTTTTCAGGTTTCTCTGCTGAATGATATGCAGAGTCTTCTTACACCATGTTGTTTATTTACAGAGTCGTATGTAAGTGTGGCTCCTGTGGACCTCAAAAGAAAGCACTTAGTGAGTGGGAAAGGCATACTGGATCAAAGGCAAAAAATTGGAAGACCAGTGTGAAAGTCAAAAGCTCGAAGCTAGCACTAGAAGAATGGGTTTGTAGAATTACTCTTCTAGTTAGATATTGGCCGCTTTTCTTCTGAGTTTTGTCTGATGTACTAAAAAGTGATCAATTCCGCAGATGATGAAGTTAGGAGAGTTACATGCAAATGCTGCAGCAGCTAAAGTTCCTAAACGACCTTCCATAAAGCAGAGAAAACAGAAGTTGCTTGCTTTTTTGTCAGGTATAAAAGGATATGTAGTTCTGTAACATGTTGAAAAGCTTCAAGTGTCTTGTGTGATGCTTTTGTTGGCTGTTTCTTTCGTTGTTTTCAGAGACGTTCGAGCCGGTCAATGCGAAGTGGACAACAGAACGATGTGCAGTTTGCAGATGGGTTGAAGATTGGGACTACAACAAGATTATTATCTGCAACAGGTGCTGTTATTAATCTTTTTTAGCAAAACATTATATCAGCTGCCTGAATAAGCCACGTGAATGCCTAGTTTGACTTGCCTGTAGACTTATTTTTGTGTCCAATATTTTGCTCAGGTGGACTGTGCAAGTTTTGATTTTATTGCTAGTTTCTGTGGATTAGATATTGGAGCCTGAGTTGCATTATAATTATAGTCAACGATGGTTGTTTTCCGTGGAATATTTAACAGCGACTCGTGAAGCGTTATCCAATGTCCTTGTTTAAGATTTTTTGTTCTTTATTTTTCTTGTCAGATGCCAAATAGCAGTGCATCAGGAATGCTATGGCGCTAGACATGTTCATGATTTCACCTCATGGGTCTGTAAAGCATGCGAGAAACCAGGTATTAAGCGGGATTGCTGCCTCTGCCCTGTAAAAGGTACGCTTTCTCTTTTTGTGGCGCTAAAATGTTTCTTTTTAACCTAAATTTGACACGGTCTTAGCTTCTCTATCTGAGTTAAACAAAATGTTACAACTACTAGAAATCTCTCTTTTTTAAAAGTATTTGCTTCTCCCGATGGCACTTTTTTTTTTGCACATTTTCTCCAAAGATGGCTTCATAAAAAATATAGGCTTTATCCAGCATATGGCATCGCTGACCATTAACACTTTCTCCAATGTTTTGACTGATGATAGGAGGTGCATTGAAGCCAACTGATGTGGAAACATTGTGGGTTCATGTGACGTGTGCTTGGTTTCAGCCTGAAGTAAGTTTTGCAAGTGATGAAAAAATGGAACCAGCTGTTGGGATTTTGAGTATTCCATCAAGTAATTTTGTGAAGGTATGATTTTACTTATTGTTTATTTTCGTTGGCGCTATCAGCAGAGAGCTACCATGCAAGAAACCTTCCTCTCTTTGTGTTTGCGAATATCAGATTTTTCTAAACTAATATGCAGGAAATACTTGTTTTGATGGATTTCAGATATGTGTGATATGCAAACAAATACATGGCTCGTGCACTCAGTGTTGCAAGTGTTCTACGTATTACCACGCCATGTGTGCCTCCCGAGCTGGTTATAGAATGGAGGTATGCTGCGTGTTTCTGATCTTTCTTTGATTTCCTCAGACGACATTGATTTTACCTACCTTGCCTTTCATTTGAACGATATGAAATCAAATTGCTGTAGTCGTTTTGTAGTAGAACTGGTTTTCGATTCACAACCTGTTATGCCTCTTCAACTTTTATAGCCTTTTAATCAGGCATTATTTCCATGCATTATGTATGCAGTTGCATTGCTTGGAGAAAAATGGTCGGCAGATAACAAAGATGGTGTCCTACTGTGCTTATCACAGGTAAAATTTCTCAATATTCTGCTTAAAGAAGTTGCGGTAATTATGATGTCTGGTATGAATTATGTTTTGACTATTGTTTTTGGTGTGTAGGGCTCCAAACTCAGATACTGTGTTAATTATACAAACTCCTTCGGGGGTTTTCTCTGCAAAAAGTCTTGCTCAAAACAAGATGAAAGGCGGTTCCCGGCTTATTTCATCAATCGGAGGAGACAATGAAGAGTCGCCTGCAGAGGATACCGTCACATGTGATCCGTTTTCTGCTGCTCGTTGTCGAGTATTTAGAAGAAAGATCAATTGCAAGAAGGTATGATCTTGGGTCTCATCCACAAAAAAGGTTAATAAAAATTAGCATGTATGTTCCATTGCACATCCCGTTTGTTCACTAGGCTGATCTTGGTTTTGTAGAGGAGTGAGGAAGAAGCCATCCCTCACCACACAAGGGGACCACACCATCATTCATCAGCGGCAATCCAGATTCTAAATACTTTCAGGGTAAGAAAGTCGTAATGCAGTACTTGTACTCCGTTTCCAACTATTATTAGCATCTGACAGTTTTGGGTTGTATTACGTGTAGCATGTGCCGGAAGAACCCAAATCGTTTTCATCTTTCAGGGAACGACTTCACCACTTGCAGGCAAACAATTTTAGATGTTTTAAAGAGATTGCAAATGTTCACGTTTTTTTTTTGGTATTATCAAATCTAACAAGTGTATGTTTCATGCGACAGAGGACAGAAATGGATCGGGTCGGCTTTGGGAGATCTGGAATACATGGATGGGGTCTTTTCGCAAGAAGAAATATCCAAGAAGGAGAAATGGTACGTAGGCAGACCAGTTTGTGAATGTGGGTTTTGGTCTTATTTGGGATGACATTGAATGATGAGAGACGCTATTTTGTTTCAGGTTCTTGAATACAGAGGGGAACAGGTGAGAGGTAGCATTGCAGACTTGAGAGAAGCACGGTATCGCAGAGAAGGGAAGGATTGCTATGTGAGTTTGAGACTGTTTCCCATTTATCTCCTTCTCTCTTTTTCTTCTCTCTTAATGACTTAACCAAGGGAAGACACTTGTGTTACAGCTGTTCAAGATCAGTGAGGAAGTAGTGGTTGATGCTACGGATAAAGGGAATATAGCTCGGCTCATCAATCATTCGGTAAGCAGCTTGGAATAGAATTTTCACGTATTAGAGTAAATATAGAGAGATTCTGAAGCCTAAACCAAGATACGTGGTGCAGTGTACGCCAAATTGCTATGCAAGGATTATGAGCGTAGGAGATGAGGAAAGCAGGATTGTCCTCATCGCCAAGACCAATGTAGCTGTGGGAGAGGAGTTAACGTATACCAACACAATTATATAAATAGTATTCTTCAATCTAAAGCTGATTGTGTCATAGTTTAAGAATGCTGTGTTGTTTGGCAGGTATGATTACTTATTTGATCCCGATGAGCCAGAGGAGTTCAAGGTGCCATGTCTATGTAAAGCCCTCAACTGCAGGAAATTCATGAATTAGATAGACAGACAACCTTAGGATAGCTGCTTGTTTATCTCACACGCTACAACACGAAGAAGAAGAAGAAAAAGCCAAGTCAAGTTTTTTTTGTTTATATAGTTTTTGCTCCAGAAACGACAGATTTATAAGTAGAGAGAGCTAAGTGATCCAGATGTCAAAAAAAAAAAAAAGGATAACTAAGTGATCTAACTCTTTATCTATTCCGCCTCTCTGTATAGACAGACAACTCATTCGTTTCAGGAAGAATCCAATTTCATTTATTCATATTTCTTTTGTGAGTCCTCGTCTTTCTTTAATTCCCTTTTTATTATACTATTTTCTGGTACGGTAGAGCGAAAATAGAACAAAACGACGAACTGAAAGGGATATGGACCAGAATTGAATATGGAGGTAAAGAGAAAAGAGAGAGAAGGGATGGAAATATTAGAATATATCAATGATGTATCCGAGTTATTACTGACTTATCAGATTCACAATTTGAAAACAGATCATCCTCCACAATTATCACAACATCCTTCTTATCTTCATCTTCTGACATGGCTGCATCTTCCCGGACCTCAGTTGAGTTGCCTGGATTGGCTGGTGAACCTCTCTCTTCCAATTCAGGCAATGCAGCTTCCTGCTCCATCTTTTGAGATGTATCCAACTCCGATGCATCTCCAATTTCCATAAGCGTGTCGTCCGCTTCCATATCGATTTTCGTGTCATTCTCAAGATGGGGAGGAGAGACTTGAGGCCTCTCATGTTTGACACTTGAAACACCCTTCATTTGATATCTCTGCTCTTTGTACAGCTCCATAGCTATCTGCACGTTCAACATGCCCTTGTTGTGTTATTTATTGATAGTCCCCCAAAAGAACTAACAGCAGAATTCAGAGGTTTTAAACGGTCCTTTACCTGAAACACTGCATTGTTTTTGGTAGGAATCACTGAAGTCAAAGAAGAACAATGGGTTTTTGGCACTGGTTTGCCACCGTCCTGTCATCAAAATAATATACGATACCAGAAAAAGGTTACTCTGCGTCTATAAGTACAAACATAGGTCTACTGTTGATGCATGAAAGTGTATGGTGAGCCACGAGATACCTTTAGATTTACAAACACAGCAATTCCATCATCACTTGTTGGACGACATTCATCAGACTTCAATAACCACATGCATTGAGTATGCAGCTCAGCATCAGTAAGTTTAACTGATATATCAAGCTTAGAGAGATAGTGCCGGCGGCAGTATCGCTCAACTGTGTCCATTGTTTCTGCAACAGTATCCTCATATGCCTCTTGGAACAGAACTTTCAGAGAACTCACAGCCAACTCTTTTGCTGGAGCTTTTAGATACGATCCTGCTTTAACGCTTTTGGCCCTCTTAATTTCGGAGTGACTTGTCTGGACAGCAAGAGTATCACCCTCGAAAACTTGTGCTGACTTATCCTCTTTAACAGACATTGATGAGAAATCCATGCTCACGTGGCCATTTTGTGTTTTCCATGCATCCGGGGCAGGATCCCAACCCTGGCCTTGCATCCGCCTGTTATGGTCCCACTCAGCTCCCCCATACATGCCTGATTCATCCCTGATATTACCATTACTCATATCTTTGAAGAAACCATGCTTATGAGGACCAGAGACATCCATCATATTCTCCCACCCGAGTGGGCGCAGGTGAGCAGAGAACCTCTCAGCATTAGTCATGTGATATGGAATTCCGGAATGACTCATTTCCATTGAAGGCCTAACCCCAAACAGGGATGGAGACGGGAACAGTGGCATCATATATTGGAAACCTCCATGAAGTGGCCCGTGTTGGAATGGAATAAACCTATTTGGAATAAGTGGGGATGGCCTGTTTCGGGAAGCCCTCCACACATTACCTTGTTGTTCTCTTCTCATATTTGCATCACCACGTCTTCTATAACGTCCGGGAAAATTATCCCCTTCTAAAGGGCCCACTTTAGGGCTACTAATGCCACCCGGCGGCGGGAAAGATGAATTGTTCTGGTTAGCTTTTTTGTTAAGGGATAGTTCTGCTTGTAATGTCTCATCTACCGGAAACCTGTCAGCCTCAGATGCTAGAAAATCTCTACTGATATTCCTTTGACCTGTTACTTCAACTTCAACACTCTGACTTGCACCAGTCGAGTTTATGTATCTTCGCTCCAAAGGTCGAGGTGACGCTTTCGTATCAGAAGACCTTTCAACTTGAAACTCACCCACAGAACCATCCTCCATCTTTGCTGTGTTCTCAGAAACTCTATTATTATTGGAGCATCCCTCTGAGACTCCCGACAGATCCGCTGCCTGCTTAGAAGAGAGCCCTTTGGCTTTTTGATCGACATACCCGCATTCTTCTTGAGCCACCAAACTCGAAGGTTGACGTTGAGATCTTGTGTTATCACCATCACGCTGCCCTCTGCTACCTCTAGTGTCCATATCAGTATGAGCAGCGGTGATCCTGGATTTGTTGTCATTTACGTCATCTTGATCATCTGGAGATCTCCTCCTTTCCTTGCAGTCCTTATACTGACCAGTTTGATCAAGGTAAGACACATCAAAATCACTTTCTCTTTCAAGCTCATGGTCAATTTTACATCGTTTCCGATTATGACAATAGTCACGACTGTGATCTTTTTCTCGGTCACGGGTCCTGGCGCTATCATGATCCCAGTCACGATTCCTACTCTGACCACGATCCCAGTCCCGCTCATGATAACGATCACGTTCACACTGGTTGTTGGCTTCTTCAGTGTCTACCCGTTTTTTATCCCTGCATTTCTCTTCCGTCTGTATTCCATGTTCAAGGCAGTCATCTCCAGAAGTGAAAGCCCTATCACTAAGATCACCAATGTCACCTTGATGCTTGTGACCAATACCCTGATTTTCCTTCTTACCCCGTGATTGCTTCTCAAGATAATTTTCTAAACCTGGAGTCTCTAATTCTTGAGCCTTCAGGTCTGAAACACGTAAAGAAAAAGATTAGTAAAACCTGTGACATATAGATTTTCATATTCAGGTATTATAGACTGCGTAACTGAACAAAGGGCATAAGGCTGCTATACTCATAAACCTAGTTCAAGAAAATAAGACTCAACACCTCGATTTTGCTAATACACCAACCAGTATATGCAGCTCTGAATATTTTAAGAAAAGCAGCTAACAATGCAGGGTGAGTATTTTGGAAAATGCAGTATAATAGACGCAGCATAGATGAGTATTCTCGGCTATACAAACCGTATATGCTATAATATCGACGCTTTTGTCTAAATACAAAGATGGTAAAAGGCATCTCTATGAAATCGAACAGATCTCGAACCAACAATGTTTAGCTTTGAAAATTAAGAACCTCAGTCAATCATAACCAAGTATATAAAGCCGAAAAGTACTTTCTTCAATCTCGCCAGTATAATAATACAGTGTACAGCTCCTGATTTCCCGACTCAGCATTAAATAACCAAAAGCTTTTCTAGAGGCTATTTGTAAAGAATCGATCAAGATACCTTACCAGCTTTTCCGGGGACAATTTGATGATCTTCACCGTCAAAAAGCTTTTCACGTTTTCCTTCTTTATACTTGCTATCCCGGCCCTTGTCAAACTCTTTCCTTTCCCTTCGACTAGAATCTCTACGCTTCCTACTTCTTTTTTTGGACTTCTTCGAAGTCTCTCCTCTCTCGTCATTTTCTTTGTGACGCTTGGAATCATAGTGCTCCTTAGTATCAAGCTTACGTTTATCACCGGAACCAGATTCTTTCGAGACCGTAGCAACACTCTCGTCTTTTCTCTTCCTCTCTCTCAAGTATGACTCTTTCTCCGGATCAGAGTAGTCTCGGGAATCCCTAAAGCTGTGCTTCCTCGATTTGTGCCTAGAACTCCGTGGCATCGCCGGGAAGAGCTAGTCGACAGTGTTAAGGTAAATGGAGACACTAACCAGAAACGCTGAATCAAACGAATCGAGAAAAAAAGAGGAAGAAAACACAAAGACCAAAAACCCAAGCCTTGGCGATTCACAATCTCTAAACCAAGACGAAATTAAAATGGCAGATAAGGATTCAGTTCCTCATCGCATGAACAGTCTCAAAAGCCTAATTACATACTCCGAAAATACCGCCGGCGATACTAACTCGCCGGAGATTCAATTATCGGCGGCGAGATTATGCCCATGACAGGTAAGCCTAACGCCTTGGATAACTAATTTTTCTTTCATTTCGATAGACTTGAGGAAGACTTGTGGGATAATTCCAGGTGTTATGTGACCGTCTCGCCCTCGAACCGCCGGTTTATTACGGTTATACTCTGATGGTTACGAGGAAATTCAAAATTAGGGGGTTGATTTTGCTTTTGCCGGTTATCGTCGATGAGTGTCACGTCAGACAAATTGTCGTGTGCTTAAAAGATCTCGTAATGGGCTTTTAATATTCAATCGTTAATGTTTTTTAACGGCCCAATCGGCGCGAATTTGCTCATGTTTATTTCCTTCCAGATTTAACATGTTTTTTGAACCTACACAAGCCAAAAAAATTGCGTAAGCCAATGCATGAAAGCTGTATGTATATCATCAACATGTGTTTTCTTCTCGTTCGGAGTTCTTAAAGATTCCATTGCGCGGCTTCATCTTCGCAGAATTCAAACTTCGGATTTAAACATGAAATTTCTAAATCATACATTTTTATATTAAATTTTTTGGCTTCAAATAGATCACCGGGTTTCTTTTAATATAAAGAGACTTACTTATAAACAGATAAAATACGGAATACGGATATATCCAAAACCAAAGCTTGTTTGGAATATAAAATAACGCAATATCCAAAACCAAGCTTGTTTGTTTGGCATCTAAAACATGTAAGCATATTGGATCTTAATAAATTAAGCAAATATATCATTCGAAAGTTCAACTAAAAAGTTTATTTCCTAAAAATAATTACATTTTTCTTTTGTTGGAGTTAAAAGTTTTTTAGTAACTTGTTTCTTATCCATTTACTAGGAGGACACCTGTATATAGAAGTTTTTAACCGGGATAATATTCGAATGGAAATATTCTTTAAAATTAAATGTTACTTCGCATAGATCTTATCTAATAACATAAATTTGGAATTTGGAATTATATGGCCTAATTATATTGGTTCACGTATTTATAGAGTAAATTTGTTCAATGCACTTAATTTGTCACATCCTATAGGTCGACATCTGTAGTGGTTGTCTGAGTAAAAGGCGCAAATTATTTAAATATTGAAATTTTATCCAGTCAGATCACGTCTAGATGCATCCTTATATATAAGTAAGTACCTGTGAGCTCAAGTGATTAGATAAGACTTAAGAGCATCCGTTATTATCACTCTGTGCCAGTGTACTTCTCTGCTACGGCACTACGGTATAGAGATTAAGTGTTTTGAGTTCGCCGGAAAACGATGAACGCTGTCGAGACGGAGAAAGAGTGCATAACAAGGCACCATAGGCACGAGGTTGGGGAGAATCAGTGTAGCTCGAGGCTCGTGAAGCACATCAAAGCTCCTCTTAATCTTGTAAGCTTGTTTCTTCTCTCCAATTGTGAATCAGATCTGCAAGTTTCGATTTTTCATCTTAACAAACACCGAATTCGATTATTTTTCTTCAAATGCTAAAGCTGGATTTGGTTTGAGATGTTAATAATGATTTGGTTTTGTTTGTGTTTTGTTAAAAAAAAAAAAAGGTGTGGGAGCTTGTGAGGAGATTCGATGAACCACAAAAATACAAGCCATTTATAAGTAGGTGTGTGGTAAAAGAGGAGCTGGAGATTGGTACTGTAAGAGAAGTTGATGTGAAATCTGGACTACCAGCTACTAAAAGCACAGAGAAGTTAGAGTTTATCGACGACGATCAACATATACTCTGTATCAAAATCGTCGGTGGCGATCACAGACTCAAGGTATGTATATATCCTCCTTTGGAATTGGATTCTTCACTTTTGAGAGACATTATTGTGATCATGGTTTCTCTGTCATAACCTCAAATCTGTTGTTGTTTTTGTTTGTCCAAAAACCAGAACTATTCCTCCGTCATTTCGTTGCACCCGGAGACTATAGAAGGAAGAACAGGGACATTGGTCACCGAGTCGTTCGTGGTGGATGTGCCTGAAGGTAACACAAAGGAGGAGACTTGCTTATTCGTGGAGTCTCTGATTCAATGCAATCTCAACTCTTTAGCAGATGTTTCCGAGCGACTAGGAGCAGATTCTGTGTCGGAGAGAGTATGATTCTCTTACAAGGAAACTTTTCAAAAGGGTAGGAGAGATGAACATTTTCGTACTCAACCTAAGAAGATCATTGACGCTTTCCGTTTATAGCAATCGATGTCTAGTGCTTTTCTCTTTTTTTCCTTTACTCCATTTTGTGAATATTTGTATATTTTCAAATTCGTGCTAAAACACGATTTGGAATTTGTAAGTGTTTCAATAAAATGCCTTTTAATCATCTTTTTCGAATAATATTTCATGACAAATATGATAAGGAAAGGAACCTTATTAGGTATTTTCGAACAATCATCTATGATATTTATCATCTTTGACAGGGGAAAAAAAAATCTCCAAATCTCTCTATCAAATATATTCACCTAAATAAACCTTCAATGGTTTCAGAGTATCAAATCATATTCGCTTTCAATGTAGATTGGCTAAAGACTGGAAGCTTTCCCTCTTTGAACAAAAAATAAAACTTCTAGAAGCCGTACGTACGTAATCCTATTAAGGCTCCTCATTGATTGTATGTCTCCCTTCACCAGGATCAATCGCAGATTTTCAAAATGGATGATAAGTAATTAAGTATGGATGTCTTAAGTAATCATATTAATTCTTTCTACTGTAAACAAATTTCGACTTGTTTCGCTTTGTATAAAACCTCAATTTCCTCAAGACTATGCCCGGCCGTAACAAGTTACGAATTTCTGATATTTCTCATGTAGAAAAAGCTTCATGCATCAATATTTGTCTTTTCCAACCGGCTCTTCAAATTATGTCCTCCTTGTGCCACAATCAAAGGTTTAACGATAGTTTTGTTATAAATTCACTGGTATATGGACAAGATGAATATTTCTTGTATTCAGTAAATGAATAGTTCCAGTTTCCAAACATTATAAACGCAAAAAGTCTGATAGTCATAACATACCGGTGTCTTATTTGTCATGCAGCTTTTGTCAAAACGAAAGTTCTTCCACCCTAAAAGTCACGTTTGGGAAAAACATTATTTATTTGAATAATTTCCAGACATCAAAATATATATGAATTTTGGTTTTTTAAAAGATCTTAAGAACATCATTAGTGGGAGTCTAAATTTCTCATATTATAAAAATAATAAAAAAGTTAGAAAAAAAAAGAGAGAATAGGAGAAGAGTTTCTCAAATGAAACTCTTTGAGAAATCCATTAAAAACTCTTCACACATTTTAATTGTAAGAATTAGGTTGAAAAATTCCAACAAAATCAGCTTTACACACAAAAAAAAAACAAAGAAAAAAATAAAATGGAAAAAAGAGATATACATGGTCTGAGTCGGCACACAAGTGTAACGAGCGTATTTGGTGGAGTCTTTGACACGTGGATTGCCACTCTTTCGACTCTACACCACCAAATGTTTTAAGAAAGCATGATAAAAAGAGTTCTATATTGTGGAGCCCCTACAAAATCGAAAATTTCTTATTTCAGTGGCCTACCTTCGTTAGACTCACAATCAATTGTAAGAGCCAAAGATCTTGAACGATAGTTAACCGATTCCGTTTTGCCTAATCTTCTTCTAATCCCTTGTTCCTAACTCTTACACGACTTAAGAAAAACATTATTTATCACACAAGGTGCGATCGATGAGGTATTGGCCACAGTCGTTTATATTTCAATTGGTTAACCAATTGCAAGCAGAGTGATCGGTTAGTTCGGTTCGATTACGGTTTAGTAATTTGTACAACCTTCCAAAACGTCACGGTAGGGTTTCTTTGGCTGTGTGGCTACCCACTGAAGTCTTCAGTGTTCCTTTGTGGTTTTGGTTTGCCCTATTTTCTCCTCTCCTCTTGTTTTTTTTTTTCCTCTTCTCCAAGGAATCTGGAAAAATCAACTCTTTTTCTCTCTGCTTTTCTCAATCCCTGAAAATCTTAGTTTCCTATTGAAACCAGAGATTCGATCGAGTTCTCTTATTGATCGAATCTCTTCCCGAATTTTCGGGCTTTCGCGGTAGAAACAGAAGACGCTTCTAAATGGTCGAGGCAGAGCGCACGGAGAATCTCTGGATTGCTTCCGAAATGCCGTCGTCGTCTCCGGCGGAATCAAAAAGCCGTGATTTTTCGACCATTGATTCGACTACTGTAATAAGAGATGTGAGAGGATTTGGAAGCCTCGGTCCGCGAGTAGCTCCCCTGCCTCAGTTAGAGAAGGACTCGCCGGAGGAAAAGCTTGGGTTCACGGAAAGAGTTTTCTCGGCCGCCGGAGCTGCGTTTTTGTCCGCCGTTATTCTAAATCCTCTCGACGTTGTCAAGGTAAGGCCTTTTTTTGTTGGTGTTAATTCCTAAACTGCCGGGAAGTTCCGGTAAGGAACTTATTTTTCTGTCGTGGTTTTGTTATCAGACTCGATTGCAAGCTCAAGCCGCCGGAGTTTCTTACTCTCACCCACTCAGTAACGCCATTGGCCGCATGGCATTTTTTGGACCAAACATGGTATGTGTCTGAATTCTGTCTTTGTGGGAGAGATGTTTAAAGGAGAATTATTTCGACATTTTTTACATTTCACCAGTCACCATCCATTTATTTCTGAGTCATGTAATCGTTTCTTTTTGGGTTCAGATGTTTGCAGACTTGAGATGCTCTCCTTCATGTTCACGCGCCGGTGTTCAAGGTACTGTCTCTATTTGCCCGCCGGATTGTTTTCAGTACAAAGGAACATTTGATGTCTTCACCAAGATCATACGACAGGTGAGTGTGCCTGTGTAGACGAAATGCTCATTTGCTTCATCTTGTTGGAAGTCTGGCAGTGTCAAGGAAACGATAATTAGCCATTTTAAGTTTGGAATGAGTTTTAGCTAGAATCTTCGTATTTCTCTATTCACTAACGCAAGAACTGATACAGGAGGGCATGGCACGCCTGTGGAGAGGGACTAATGCTGGTCTTGCCTTAGCTGTGCCCATGGTATAACTCTCTTATTTCACATTAGAGGGAGGTTTTTTGTTTTGGATAAACTATGAGATCAATGAACTATCAATTTTCTATACAGGTTGGTATTTATCTACCGTTCTATGATATGTTTCGCAACCGGTTGGAAGAATTATCTCGGGACAATTTGCCTGCTGCGACAATAGGTGTGCCTCTTGTGGCAGGGGCACTAGCGCGGTCCTTAGCTTGTACAGTTTGCTATCCTATTGAACTTGCAAGAACGCGTATGCAGGTAAATTGTGTTGGCTTATACTTGGTCTGCTTATATTCTTGTAACTCTAGAACATGTGTTGTGCCTTTTTGCTGGACAAGCTATTCAAATTCTCTTTACTGTTTTTCTCTAAGTAGGCATATAAAACAGCAAAAGGCGGTATGAAGCCTCCGGGAGTTCTTAAAACTCTAGTTGGTGTAGTCTCTGAAGTCAGGACAGCGAATAACCTTGAAAGTAGTTGTAAGTTGCTTCTTCCTTCTTCTCAAGTCACATAAATAGAAATAATTTGACATCCTGAAGTCATTCTTTTCGACTTTCCAATCTGTCGAGTATACCTCTTCATTGGCAACCACAACCCGAGATGCATGCATATCGACATTGAAATTTCTAAAGCCAGGCCCTTTTATTTAGTCTTTGATATACATGTTCCCCGTGACAGTGCACAGCTATCGTATTCTCTGGAGAGGCTTGGGTGCACAGCTTGCTCGTGATGTTCCATTCTCAGCAATCTGCTGGGCGACCCTTGAGCCAGTAAGCTCTTTGACATGTTTATAAACATTATACAACGCAGAGAGATTTCTGTAAGGCATTTTATGCGAAATATATAACGCTAAAATAGTGAGTTTGTTTAACTACTTTGGTACAACAGATGAGAAGGAGGCTTCTTGGAATTGTGGGCAATGATACAAACGCTATTGGTGTTCTTGGTGCAAACTTTTCCGCTGGTTTTGTAGCTGGAAGTATCGCTGCTGCTGCTACTTGTCCTCTTGACGTTGCAAGAACTAGAAGACAGATAGAGGTGTGTTTGCTTTGCAGGCGACTTCCTTGCTTCCTCTAGAGAAGTTGTCTATTTGCTTATTAACACCATACTAACGTTTTACCTATTTTCTATCAATCTCAGAAGGACCCTGGTAGGGCAATGAGAATGACGACGCGACAGACACTCGTAGAGGTTTGGAGGTATGCTTGTGTATCTGAAAAGATTCAGTTTTTATATTTTGCTAAAAGCTCTTGTGGTTGCATGGAAACAAGAAAATAACAACATAAGGATACACACACACAGGGATGGAGGGATGAGAGGACTGTTCATGGGAATGGGTCCACGAGTGGCGCGTGCAGGACCATCTGTAGGGATTGTGGTTTCCTTCTACGAGGTTGTCAAGTATGCTCTGCATCGCCAATACGCTTCATCATGACCCAACAAAGTCTCTAATCACCTACGCATGAATGTGGATACTGGATACGGCTTTAGGTTATAGTTATTTTTCTTAACTCCAACATAATAATAAGTTAAACAGACTCAATCCGATTTTGTTCAGTTATAAAATTACCAGGTGTTCTAAATTTTCTTTTTTGTGACCATCCACGTGGATTGGGATTAACTTTGGCTTTCCAAAAAAAAAGTCAATTTTCAAGAGTTTGAGGCAAGTTAGAATTTAAGGTAGTGATAATAACTATCACACTCTAGTTGAATCGATTGAAACAGACTGCAACAAGTATAACAATTCAACTTTGCTATGGTCACACATGTGAATCGATCTAGTTGACCAAAATATTTTGATCAAGAGGTAGAGAGTTCAAGATTTTGGCCAAAAGACTATTACATTTATATTCTGATTCTCAGATTTTCTACTTCATCCTTTAGAGGGAATGTATGGATCACAGTCCACAATCTCTTAATCAAAAATAAAAAATGTACACAAATTTCTACTTCATCCTTTGTCACTCTAATCTTAGCTTTATCAGCATAATCACAGCCATCTTTAACTTTATCGAATATTGCCTAAGCCCACAATCTTCATGAATTATCACGACTGCTCAATACTATTAACATTTGTTAGAGATCCCAAAAATTTTATTTCATCAAAATCGTAACGACATAAAGTCGATCAAACAAACGAAAAAGGAAAAAATCAAGTCTGGATCGTTGAAAAAAAATCGATGGATGAAATTCGATGAAGAGTTTATTCCAAAAAAACAAAAAACAAATTCTATGAAGAAATATTGCCATTTGCCACGAGCGCCTTCTCATATATGAATGTAAGCACTATTCGGGTTTCCTCAATATGACCCAACAACGTCTTAAAACATCATGCATAGTGTCCAGATTTAGTATGTAACTAAAAGTCTTCGTTTGTCGAACAATAAAGTCTTCGACGATGTCATCAACTTTTCTCCGACATTGACTATTTTGTACATTTTCTTCTACTTTTCTTTTATTGGTGCTTTATAAAATTTACATCAAACAACCGGCAAAACATTATAAAAAGAAAATAGGCGATTTCCACTACTTTCGTTGATGCATAGATAAATTAGAACACATTATTGCATATTTAAGGCCCCAAAAAGAGTTAGAAGATAATTGAGACAAAAAGAAGTAGGAAAAAAATAGTAACACATCTCACTCAGTAATATTGCATGTAAGTTGATTAATCATGATGTTTTGAATTTAAAATTTGATTTGGTAGCTACATAAAATGCTGCAAACCACTGAGGTAAAGATTTGCAGCTATTACACACCACCATAATGAACACGTTTCCGAGTTTGATTTTATTTAGATTGACGACAATTATTATGTTGGATAAGAAAAGTAAACAAAAACTAAGCTTTAGAATATCAAACCCTTCTATGTGGCCACTCTATAAATGAGAGAGAATATTGTTTAATGGAAGAGAAAAACCTAGGCATTCAGGTTAATTCATTAGTTGTATAGACATATACAAAGAAAGGTGGCTTGGTCAACCTGCATGTACTTTATTTCTATTCACACTTTCCACAACAATATTGAAAGTGGCTATGGTTTCATTGATCATACCGTGGAATTATCATAAATTTTCCACACAGAAGAATTTTCTCTTTTTAAACAAATTCTTTTTGTGAGTAGGCATAGAGACCCATAGTCATATTCAATAAAAGCAGTACCATTTCATTTTCTTTTTTTTTTTGGGTTAATTTTTGGCTCTAGTTTTAGATGTCAATCGAAAAAATTTGTGACCGAGTTTGTGTTTTGGCTCAATAGATATGTTCCAACTGCATGCGATATTCCCAAAGCTATGTCTCTCAAGATTTCTACAGTGGTTCACAATAGGACTATAAGACGCTTACTTACTCTTAACAAAAATCAATTAATCATCTTCTCGGCCCAGAGAAGGGTCCTCCACGCCCAACAGAGAGCTAAAACTATGTTTCCTACTATGAAACCACATCCTCCTTTTTGGAAATTATTTTTTTGATAATTTTTTCGAAAAACAATCTAGTTAGGCTCCCACTGTCAAAAGATGTTTCTATGTTTTTCAATATTTTATATTAACTACAAAGGAATTAGAAACCTCAACTTTGTAAATATGTATACAGTGTGAGTTCAAACATAATAATGATAATGGTATGTAAATCTGCCAATCAGCATGTGGAGAGGCGCTTAAGATATTATTTTTTACACTTATGAAACGTTTCATACTCATTCGTCTCCTTACCATGTAGTATAATTATCTTATATGGTTTCGGACATAATTATTTGTCCTTTTTTTGTTCTCCCATCTTATGTTCGGGGCACTTGTAATGATTTTAATCGTTAGGAATGTTCGTAAGAAAAACATAGAAATCATTTTAGCATTTTAGAAATCGAAAACAATATCACACTCTTTTTTTGGTTTTGATTATACCGTGAATTCGGGTTCTTGTTAACATTGACAAAAATATAATATTAGCGGAAAAACTAGCATTAACAAAAAGTAACGAATTTTGTAGCAAATATCACACAGATTTATAGGATATGAATTAAATTTTAGAAAGGTGCAAACAAACTTCAATGATTGAAGGAAACTGAAATTTCCAAGATGCGGGCAAATATTTCGTATCTATAATTGGAAACCATTCTCGTTGGGCTTCATATTCTACTTGACTTTTAAGGAAATTTAAGAAAAAATATATGAAAACCAGAAGTGATGAATTATTCAACGACGATTTTATAGTGAACAAATATTTGTAGTCAAAGATTTTTTCTTAGACATCTCAATCTCATATTTGAAAAGGATAGTTTCCAATAAATTCCATATTGATTTATTTATTTCCATAGCGGCCAGCGTCAGAACATAAAACCCACTTTTTAATATAAGAAAAAGGCCAAAAAAAAAGAGCACCGACCGAGACTGAGACTGACCCAAAAGCCACTTGCTCCACCGGTAACTACCGTGATTTGCGCCTCCTCGTGTGGCCTCCCTCGCCAAAGAGAATTTTAGTTTTGCTTTTTATAATTAAACTCATTTATAAACAAAATAAAATACAGTATCAAAATTAAACACGTTCGTGCAACTCAAAGAAATTGACAAGAACAAAATTAATTAATTAGCTATTCATTCCCAATATCTCTCCCAAAACTGTTTTACAAGCCGACGACACAACATTAAATTACTTCTCAACAAAATCATTAAACACTAGACAAAAAAAAAAAAAAAACTTAAAACAAAACTCAAAACTCGAGACAAAATTTGACTCACACCGGCCATACTTGCAACCGATGTTTGTTTTCTTTAGGACTAAATGTGTATCACACAACTAAACTAAAAGATCGGATATCAAAGAATCATCGAGATCATTGAACATTGAACCAATTTCTTTGATATCGGAAGAGTAGTTATCTTCTCCTATGTTGGTGTTGTTATCCAATAACATAAGATCGTTGAAGAAATCATTCTCTGATGATTGAAGAGGAGACATGTGTTGATCAAAGATGGAGATGTCTGGCAATGATTCATTGAAGTAGTTGTCGAGAAATGGAATGTCCAATGGAAATGCATCGTCAATATTATTACCTTCTCCGAGATGCCAGCTAATTGGTTCCGGTTCAAGAAACTCTTGTTTAACCCGGTTTGACCGGTTCATCCATTGTTCCGAGATTTGGTAGTTGAGAACCGATGTGGGAGATGATAGATGATGAGAATCGTCCATTGATTCTGATGTCGAAGAAACGGATAAGTTGCTCTCCGGTTCCGGTTTTGGAACTGGTTCTGGTTCTGGTGGTACGCTGAAGTTGGTGAGAGCATCGGGACCACGAAGCTTTATCGCTGCGTTGTCGTAGACGACGGCGGCTTCCTCCGCCGTTGAAAAAGTACCGAGCCAGATCCTCTTGCGTCGCTCCGGATCACGAATCTCCGCCGCGTATTTTCCCCATGGTCGCCGTCTCACGCCGCGGAACTTCCTCTCGTTATGGTCGGCGCCGGAAACAGAGACCTCTTGAAGGGGAGAATCAACGGTGATACTTTTTCCGGTCTTAATCGGAGCAGAGACTTCGCCGGAGGAGCTAGGCTCGACTCTGATCTCGTTGATCAATCTCTTGACCCGTCTTCGAGGGAACAAAAACTCTTCGTCGTCGCTTGATGAATCAGTAGCGTCACGATCCATCACACAGACACGAACCAACCTCGCCGAGTCACGACCAATCATCTTCTTCTTGTCCACAGGAAGCTTCTTTTTAGTGTACTTCTTGATCACTGTCTTGTGCTCCGTGTACTTGACTGGTCTAAAATCCATATTTTCGTCCATCAGCACCACTTTCACCTATTATCTTGATTCTCTGGCTTCTAAAGATTCTGTTTGGAGAAAACAGAGATTCTGGGTTTGTTAGGTGAAAATGTTTGAAGAATTTTAGTGAATAAGAGAGATTTGGAGAGAGAGAGAAAGCAAAGAAAAGAAAAGTCAGTAAGTTTTAAATTGAAGATTCAGAATTCACTCTTCTCAAAATCCTGTTTTATAGGATCTTTTGGGGCTCTAGCCATCATAAATTGGCAAATATAAAAGTAAAAATAGTAAATAAATATTTTGAAAATATTAGCTTTTTTATTTACTCATTTCTTTTTTTGCTTGAATACTTTCATTTTTCCAGTGATTACTAGAAACAGTGTGTTCTACCATACGTGACGCCGCATTCATGTAAGCAAATCGCATGATGACACGTATACATTTGAGATATTTGTCCTCTCCAAGATCACTACCTTTGTGCTGAGTCAGCGCGTGGCTGCCAGTCTCGAACTCCACAATGCATATCACGTGACTCCAAGATACCCGGCCCCGGTTTATTTTGGGGTTTTTTCTACTTTAATCTGTTAAAATAAATCAAATACTACCTACTACTGTATTTTTTAATCTTTGTTTAAAATATAACAATGATAGATTTCAAATATTTTTCAAATTAGTACTCTTTGAACGTTCAGTGTATTTCTGTCAAAGAAGACCTAGTTTAATACTCCATTATTCAGAGTTATTGAAATGCATCAAAAAGTAATGCTAATAGTATTTTAACAGTTATAAGAATCATAATAGTATTTTAACAGTTATACTTGAAACAGAGGAGGGTATACTCAGTATTGTGTACTGGTAAGATAAAAATATTTTTTAATTATCATGACTACACACTAGCTTTGACCGACATTTGCAGCGGCTTCCTTTAGCTGTTTGGTCCATGCATTCATTTCTTATGAACAACCTGTCACGTGCTGTGTTTTCCTAAAGTGCTCGTATTCTACAGTAAAAATACTATTTGAGAAAATTCTATTTTTTACTTTTTTAGGTGAGTTGTATTGTATAAATATAATATAATTAGGCAAAAAGGGAAACAAATCTTATTTCCTGCTGGAAAAATATATTTGTTTCTGTTAATATCTGATCTTACTTCCTCTCTTGTCAAATATTTAAGGAAAAAAGTTACAAATTATTCAGTAAAATCTTGTCATTTACAGTTGTGGAGAACTGAGGAGGACTGAGTAGTAACGTGGCGGGCAACCTAGGATTTGGCGCCATTTTAAATTCCTTTTCAATGCTTTTATTTTCTAGTTTTTAGTCACACCCGTCAATAACTCATTTTCGTATCCGTCACTAGTAATTTTTCTTAGTCATATGTTTTTTTACGATGATTCTTTTTTCCTGATCTACAATGAATTTAGATCCAAATATCTTCTAGTAGTATTTCTCTTTCTTTTCATTTTTTTTTCATTTTAATTTGTTTTCCTCAAGACCCCAACCCCTAAAATATAAGTTTTTCTTTTTTTCTAAAACATAAGTACATTTGAATAGTTTTACTAAACTTTTAGAATAAATACTTATTTTTTGGATAAAGAAACTCGATTTGAATTCAATTGGATTATACAATAACACTGATTGTGATAAGTTTATAAATAATATGATCAAAATGCCGAACTTGTAAATTCTTGTTGTCTTCTTCTTTCTGTTCTCCATTTTGTTTTCGTAGAAAAGTTTCTGAAAACTCTATTAATAGCTAAAAAATGTTTTAAGTGAGTTTGCGATTCGAGTGATTATCAGCTCAACAAAAAACTTTACATTTACGATATTGCTTTCAACATAAAATATACTCGTCAATTGAAATATGATTTGGAGGTATTTATTTTAATCAGTTTCAACAAACTCCCTAACTAATTACAAATAGTTTTTCTTATCGCAAATATATTTAATTTTAGATGTCTTCTCAAGCCGAGTGATTAGTTTTGGGCTGACTCGAACCCGATATATATGAAAATCATAAACCATGATGAAACAACAAATAAATTTTTGGCTTTCTTCAAAACCGCAACAAATGAAAACAAAAAGGAACGAGAGACAAAAGTTGTCAGTTTATTCCAACGAGCAGCACGATAGGGCAGACCATTTAAAAAAAAAAATGATTAAGTGACATGAAAAATCTTGAATTTTTGTCATTGCCCAAACCAGGCATAAGTAGGCATTAAATTTTCGAACTGATTGGTACCTCTTCATTACTCCAATTTCCTTTAAACAGTAAAAGTCAAGACTTTTGGCCAATAGACTCCTAAAATAATTGTAATTGGTTTGATATTCTTTTGTTTTAAGGTTATAGAATAACTCTCATCCTATTTGATAAGTCATAAGATAAATACCTAAATAAATTTCACGTAACCGTTTCTTCACTCTCATGTGATAAAAAAGGAAATTGTTCACGCCATATCGTTTTTCTTCACGCCGCCGGTTTTTTTGTTATGATGAATCTCTTGCCCTCTGATGATAGATTTAAACCATGGATTAACAAACGTGATTAGACTTTTTTGTAAAGCTTATGCCCTTCTTATTAGGCGTTACTCCACATGTAATATGGCATTATTTCGGTAAAGCATCATAAGATGTTCTTCAAAACATTTTTGAGCACATATTTGGTTAAAAGGCGCGTGGAACGCGTGAGAGAAGCGGAGGACGATTCGATTCTGAAAGATCCAAAGAAAGAAGAGAGAGGGAGAGAGAGACATCAGAATCAGACATGGAGAATCCTTTGGATTGACAAAGACAAACCCCGAGGTTTAGTGCAGTGTTCTTGGCCACTGGCCTCCATTGAGCCAAGTGACCAATCCACGTATATATTATATGCGTCTATTTAGATACATATATACAACTATAAACCATATTATCTGTATAAAATAATTAGTAATACGTAATACTTATGTGTGTTAACTAAATACGACAACAAGTGTGTAATTGAAATCTACACAAACTGAATCTTGCTTTTACTCGGATTGACCACGTTTTAGAAAATAGAAAGTTTTGATCACCTCTTTTCTCCGGAAAGTTGTTATCCTGCCCATTAATAGAAGTTTTGCTACTACAAGAACAAACAACTTTCGGTTGTTCACCATTAATCGGTGACACGTACTAGTAAATTAACGGATTATGTTCAAAGCTAATAAAATTATGTGCATACATAACGTGTCCATCTACGGTTATGAACAAAGAATCCAAATAAAAATAGAAGAGACGTGGTTAATATTAATTAAGGACAAAGATCCATTCTAAACAGAAGGGCCACCCTTCAAAATAGCAAAACGTTGAAAGCTTTATCACCATTAGTTATATATATTCATAATTTCATATATACTTATATATATATATTTGATGTACGTTGGTCTTGGTGCATAGCTTTAAACTAAGAGTTTCTGTGCTCGAACTTTGATGGACATATAAAGACTAGAGAAGGTCACCGCTTGAGTAATTATCTCTCATAACTAAGTTTACGATAATATAAAAAAATAACATAACGTGTAAATTTCAAGTTTTCCCAAGTTAATGTATGTCTTGGAGCAGAAGCTACATGGTCGCCACTCGTGCGTACTACTCAAGTCATTCTCGTGGGCAGTCTTAGTTTACAAGCAAGAAATGTTGGTCTTATGTATAAAATTTTATATATACTTTAAATATTTATCCGTAAGTAGCTACCAGAAAAATTTCAAAACCGTTCCGTTGAATTTTTTGACACCAACGTTGTTAACCACAAATAAATCCGTTGAATAAGTATTTCAACGATTTTTTTGAGTGACTCATTTGATACTCAATTTTTTTTCGTTCTTGTAGTTAATGTATCATAATGATAAAACCAAACAAAAAGTATGACACACAAACAAATAGAAAAGATTATGAGTTTTTATTTTATTTTTAAAACGCTATAATTTGTGTTTGTTTATGCTATAAAATCCACAAAATTTGGGATAGCCAATGGAGAGTCACCTTCTTTTGTTTGCCATAAAATATGCAGCAAAGCAAAGCCAATAAATTATAAAAACACCATACAAAAATTCGTTCAAATTATTTAGATGTATACTACAATTATTGCCACCCTGAGTTATTAGCAAAGTAGTGCGTACTGACATTAAACGTTAGCTTTTTCTTTTCTTTCGACAATTATTAAAGAGTGCATAGTGACGATAAACGTTAAAAGCTTTATTACAATCGTATATACTGTACTTGAAAACTATATCTTTTTTTTTGGTCAGGGTAGTGAGGGTACTTGAAAACTATATACAGTATATATTTTCATTCGGAACGTCTTTAAATTTCTACGGTTTTAACTTAACAATAAATGAAAGGGAATTGAAACAGATGAATCCGTAAACCGAGCCGAGCTGTCAAATGGAGCCAACGGAAAGAAAAAGAAAATCCGTTATTTCATCGAAATAAAATCTAAGCAAAATTTAACATTGATGAGTCGTCATCATTAATGCCATTATTTAGTGGATGCCACTAAGGTTACGATTCTCTGATTCATTAAAGACAAAACGGGAGATTGGTGATAGAAGACTGTCTCTAACCTCATGCTGTAATATAAGTTCTTTCTTCAGTATTTAATAGTCTAATTTAATAATGAAGTTCACCATGCTCTCCTGGGCACGACCTCTCCCCGTCCGAAATTGAAAATATTTATTTTTCTAAGTTATGGAGACTTTGAACATTAGAACATAGATTTATAGTTAGTCGAATCACTGACACGTATAGATGGAATTGTTATATACTACTTTATATAAGTTTTCAGGCTTTTGCATGTTCGGATACTTCACAATAATTAAAGCCTTCGGTCGTTAGATATTTTGTTTTATATTAAAAATACGAAATTCTTTATAAAATGGTCCATGGTCGGAGTGATCGTGTAATGGCTATTTCTTGAAAACTGACTCTTTTTTTTTTGGCCAAAAACTGATACAAAATGTTTGATGGACTTCTACCTAGAACTGACTCTTACCCTAATCAATTTGTTAAAGAAAACTTGTAAACAATATATAATAAACTTACAAGCAATATTAATTGAGTTTTTTTAACATATTTTAACCTAAGTTTGTTTTAATATTTCCTATTCTTTTTAAAAGCTATTATAACAAAAATTAAAATGCGAGTATGCGACGTTCAAAGTATAATATAATGAAAAAAAAAGCTTTATAGAAATGTATTTTATTAAAGTAGGCCTTAGGCCCATGTTTCCAAATCCATAAGATAAACACACGGCGGGCCCTGAATAAACAGTGTCAGCCCATGGCGTACTTTTGGGTCCAGGTCCGAGCAGTAGACTCGTACTTGTTCTTGTCTGTCTTGTACATGTGAGCGATCTCCGGGACCAAAGGATCATCCGGGTTTGGATCCGTCAACAACGAACAGATCGATAGCAGCACCTGTTGTATCACCACATATCAACCAGCTCAGACGCAAAAGCAAGTTTGTTTCATATAAGAACGGACTATTACTTGCACCTAGCTAGCTGTTTATGGTTCTTAACTTGTCATATGATAGAAACGAGGAAGAAGAAGAAAAATAAACCTTGGAAATTGTGAGCGCTGGACTCCACTGCTCCTTCAAGATGTCGAGGCAGATGCTCCCATTGCTGTTAATGTTTGGATGGAACACCTTTGTCCTAAATGCCACCTACAAAATTGCCACACCATAAATACATACATACATAAACCAGATCAAGCAACCACAGTGAAGGACATGCAATGCAAAGCTTGAACTTTGACTGCAATAAAGTCCAAAACTTTTTCGAAGAAGAAGCAGGTATAGAGAGAGTTCAATTATATACCTTAGGAGTTTAAATGGATAATCTGGAGGAAAATGGATCGTTACAAGGGAAAACACCTCCAGCATAAGGGCTGTCTGTTGGACCCATTATCGTGGCCTGCCAATGAAACATGTCTTCGGCGACGGGTCCTGTCAAAATTTGACCAAAAGTTCAATATATCAAACCAGAGAAGCAACAAAGGCGTGTGTAAGATGCTCGTAAAGGGGCAAATTATAAAAGAAAAATCAAAAGTTTTGTTCAAACATCTTATCCGGGAAAAATCACAAATGCTACGAGATCCAGGAATCAAACAAGTTTGAATCTTGACCTTTAGGATTTCAGACACAGAAAAAACACATCTTTTTTACCCAAAACCAAGTTTGAAACAAAACTGGTACGACGAACAGATAATTAGATCTAAGGTATCCATGCCAAACCAGAGCAAACGAAGATCAAAATTGAAATTAAAATTCAAAGGGGTTCCAAATCCATCATCATCATCATGAGGCAGAGCAAGCAAAGTTAATAATCGAGTCGTCAAATAGGCACCTGCGCTACATGAAGTAGGAGGATCCTTCTGCAGATCCTTCAATTCCTTCAAAATCCGCTTCGATGCCATATCCAATACCCAATCGAAAGGTCTACAATACAAAACGAATCAAAATTATGTAAGATGCAAAAATCCAGAAAATCCAATAAAAATATGTTACGACGGGATTAATCAAAATTATACCTCCGGATTAATCAAAAGCTATGTTCTTTGGAATTAGGAATTAAGGAGAAGGAAAGGGTGGTGAAACGGAAGAGAAGAAGCTCCAATGGTGTGAGGTCGCGACCAGATAAATAGGTTAGAGCCTTAGAGGAGAATTCTCTGCTTCGTTGATTAGTGGACTCTTGCTTTATTCTTTAGGGAAATTCGATGTGTTCTTATAAGAATAAAATAAAAATTCAACCTTATTGGTGGGCCTAACTTAGCGTTCTACTTACGGCAATTTAGAAAACATTAAAAAACGCGGTTGGTTCGTAACTTCGTAGTTCCTATCATATGGCGACGATTGGGTTCTCGTCGGCTCTGAAACGGTGTCGTTAAAGTGTTTAGTCATAAAAGTCGTATGATCGGACGGCTAAGAGTTTTTGTGCCTTTTTGCATGACGAATCATTTGGCGCCATTTGCGTGAATTTCGATTCCCACGGAATAGAAAATGAAATTGTCAGAGGTCAAGATTTGACTTGTGAGACTATATATGAGTAGCTTTGTTTCAGGTGATTCTGGACTTGTTGTTTCAGTTCTTCACATACTTCTTATAAAATTGGTTTCCCCTTGCGTCTCATATTTATAAATTGGAGAATTAGGTTTAGGTTGGAAAGAATAAGCTTGTAAAGTAGTTTTGAATAACACAAAAGTCTTTGATTTTAATTACAAATAGATCACAGGCCCATGCCGCAGGCGCGCGGGATTAGACATGTTAATCGGATGACTAGCTCTGCTCAAAATCTGCAAAGCCTGCATATGTACCAATTCAGCTATACATATATAAATTATTAGTCCATAACAAAATATTCTAAACAATACGTTACCCAAACACAAACGCACACACATATAAGAAGATAAGACCAAACACAAACACACATATATATATAAATATATATAAAAACAAAACCAACAAAAAGAATAAGAAGAAAAAACTTAGATGTGTAAGAAGAAACAGAAGTCCAAAGAAGATGGATTCGTCTACCTCAAATGAGAACGTTGCTCTGAGTAGGAAATTGTCTTTCTGAGAGGCAGGATAAGGACACAGCCTGCTCATGAGTTAAGACTCACCAGAGAGTTTCTTTGCAAGTCTTCCCAGTAGAATCAAGCAAGGTACTGACACTGAGGAAGTAGACTTACCGACTTAGACGAAGCGGCTTGTTAAATCTTTTGCCTTCTTCTACTCTAGTAGTCTAAGAAATGAGAAAGATAGTAGTTGTGAGAGTGATACTCCACAGCCTAAAGATAGTATCCCCCCTTTTTTTTTGGTTTTGTGCTTTATTATCAACTGCTTTTATTTTGTTTATACCTCTAAAGCTGAATAATTTTGCCTAACTACACCGTTTGACACTCTTCATTTAGTAAAGGAGGAGCTTCTACATCTATTTGTTCATCTTCCGGGTCAAAAACCTTGAGACATCTCATACTATTTCCTAAACTTCCATTTGTGAGCTGTTTGAACCATCTCTTCTGCTTCGGTCGCTCTGCACTTATGGCAATGGCTACGTCATTAGGGAAGAGATCACATTTGATAAATGCGTGCACCACCGTCATTACCAGGACACTTATCACCGTCAGAGTTGCTGCTCCGGCCATCAAAACAGACAGTACCTGAGTTGCTATGCCGGTGACTTCCCCTGAGTATTTTATCGTCGCCGTGGCCACTGCCGTCATCGGAAACGTGTAAGCCCACCAAGCTAGCGAGAATCTATAATTCGACAAGAATTATGTCAGATAAACATTTGGTCTCTAGACTCTACTAATTAACCAGTTAGAGAAATAGCTTACTTGAATCCGCGGAAAAAGTTAATCCGAACAACCTAAAACAAGAATCACAACAAGTGAAGTACTTAAGATTTCTTGTTACGCAAGCAAATTTGCTCTGTTCTTAGTGGGACTATATGAATGAATGAAGAATTACCAGAGAGAAGTACAAGAACAAGGAGATGAAGTAAGCAAGGCGCGAACCGATATTAAAGGAGCCAGAGATATTGGTCCAAGCCATGGAAGCGACAGCTGGTGCAGCCACAAAGAGGAAGAAAACAGGGTGAAGCTCTTTAGGCAAGGTTTCGTTTGTGGGGAGTCTCTGATAGAGAGTCACAAATAAGACCAAATAATAAGCCAATCCAACAGCATAGAAGAACATTGGTCCTTCTTCTAAACCCATTGATGCTCCAAGAAGTGCTCCGGCGAAGTTACCGACGATGGAAAGGTGATTTGTAGGGTTAGCGACTTTGGAGAGGCGTCTCTGCCCACCAGACATCCACTGTCCATAAATCTTCATCTCAAGAACCAAGATCGGAGCCATAAGGAAGTACCAAAGTATAGAGGGGAGAGTCGTGGTGATGGAATGTGGGACTCCAAGTGCTAGTAAGAGGATTGATATGAGAGGAGCGAAGAAGAAGTTGACTCGGATAGGGTGCCGGAACTCGCGACGGACAGCCTCGAAGAAGAAGATGGTTTTGAAGAGGTAAGTGATGGAGACGGTGACGAGGAGGACGAGAGAGATCCACCAGAGAACGTGGTTTACTACTTGCGTCATGTGCAAGAACTTCTCGGCGTCTGTGGTTGCTAAGGTCTTCCACATGATGGCTTGACTGCTTACTCCAAGACACATTCCGTACGATGTTATTGGAAACCGAAGAAGAAACGGCCACGTTTTGTCCTCTGGCAAAACTATCTTCTCCTTGTCCTGTTTCACCCACCAATATAATAATACCATAAATAGAAGTAACGAAAAGTCAAGATTTAAGCAAAAAAAGAAAAAAATGAACCTTGAGAGTTTCAAGTTCGGGGCCTTGAAGAGCATCAAAGTATCTATCAGCTGTTAAAGATTCAGTGAGCTCATTGTCCTGACACGAACTATCAGTGGGTTTTCCTCGTAAATTGGAAATCTGACGTTCAAGCTTCCCTGACATGGTCCTGAACAGGTCATACCTCTTGTCGTGGTAGTTTCTAGAAGCAGCTTCTTGGTCAAGAAATATGGAACCTCTGGGCATAGACTTGGAGTGAAACGTCATCTTCCTCGCTCCTCCCATTCGTTTCTCTAATCTTGAGAATTCTCCACAGCTCGACTGACGTTGATTCTCTGATAGAGCTGGGTATGTTGGAGAAACCGAAGAACTAACCGATCTCGTATTATTCATCGTTTCTCTGATTTAGTAGTACATAAATTTGCAACTACACACATAAAGATCCAAATACATATAAACCAAAATCAAAAACGTCATAGAGACTATACTCTCTAGTTGGGTTAATTGTATATAGCACGTAAACCAGATATTTATATAAACAAATGCTTACAGAAAATGAAGAGAAAGTGATGGAAACAGAAAATGTAGATCTGATATCAGTGAGTAGAAAGAACAGAGGAGTAATGAGCTGTGTGTGGCTGCCATATATATAAGCCAAGTCAAACAAGGCCACTGATAAAGACCAGAGCCGAATGAGGTTGAGAGGGGCCAAGTTGGTAAAGTGATGTCCAGATAAAGTTTAGATAAAGTTTTAGTCTTTACACTTTTGTTTTTACTTGAGTTGTTCTGTTTTGACTTGTAGTGTGTTGTTGGTTTGGTTTTATTTGTTCTGTACAGCTCAACGGTATCTGATTACAGCGGTGATTTTAGGTCTCAAATTTGTCCCACGCTGTTGCTAAAGGAACCTTTTAGCTAAGAATAAATTATGAAGGAAAAAACAAAGAATACAATATGAATCGTATAAACACATTGGAATAAAATTATGCAAACAATTTGGTTAAAGAATTATAAAAGAAACATTTATTTGGAATGTGTTTTGGACTCAAAAGTCAAACAGTCAACAAAAGAAGCGTCGCAATCTCGTTAAGCCGCGTCTATGCAATTTGTAATATCCGTACATTCGAAAATGAAGTCGAATATCCTTTTTTGTTCATTAACAAACTAGATTAGATGACGCCGATTTATATAAATTTTTCTTTCAACAAAATAAATGTTTAATTAATTCTATAAATTACTTATCAATACTTGTTGATATGTTTGTTCGCTACATATTTTACTAAAAAATATTAGAGTAATTTTTTTGTAGTATAAAGCTTGAGAAAATTATTTAGAACAATACTGAATTGTATTTTTGGTTGTGAGAGTAAAATAGGCTATGTGTATTTTTACATTGGACCTACTAGCTCCAAATTTTCATAAAACTATAAATGGGCTGAATCATCCTATAAAGCCCATTAGCTGATCACAAATCTCATGATACTTATCTAACGGCTCTAAATCCACCAGTATGCGGGTCCAAAGAAATCTGAAGTGTGACGTAACGTAATCCAACGGCTAAAACATAATCCCATCTAACGGCCAGGAAAGAAAGTTACTTTTTGAGTATGAAAGAGAAATGCAGCACAAGTTTCTCTCTCCCTCCATTTTCAGGTAAGAGCATGGAGCATCGTTCTTTTTTTCGAAATTAATGAGCCTGCACATTTCTCTTTTTTTGTCCTTTTCTGTTGTCTGAATCTTCTTTCTCCTCTAGCATAAGCACGCTCAAAGTCTCAAATCGTATAGCTAAAAAAAAGAAGGAACCAGAATATCTACTGTTTTCCGGTGGAGACACGCCGGAGCCGAAACCGTCAACTGAATATCAATCTCGAGAGAGGTTTGTTTCTTTGTATACATTATTCTTTTAGTTTCATGAAAAATTCCATCTTTTACCTTTTAACCCCAAAAAGGTTCCTACTTTGATGACCGATACTTGTTTTTGCTCCTAAAAATAGGGTTTACGGCTCAGATATTATGGTGATGGAAGGGGATTCAGACATTACTGGCCACAAAAATGAGGGGACTTTGAAAACCCTAGACCAGATTGAGGAAAAGGCTTCGTCGATTCTTAAGTTCTCGCATCAGTTTGATAACATGATAGACTCACTGCCACTAGAGCGGAAGGAAGAACGACTGAGAGCGGTTGAAATGAAGGAGAAGGAAATCGGTTTGCTTGAGGAGTCGATTTCTGGTAAACTAATAGTATTAGAGGAGAAAGAGATGGATTTTGATTTGAGACAGGTCATTGAAGCAAACCTCATGAGCTTGGTTTTTGAGAAGCAGAGTGAAGAAGTAGCGATCCAGTTAGACGCTCAGGAGAAGAAGCTTTGTTTGATTCACCATTCGTTGAAAAAGAAACTTGGAGATATGATGAGTGAGTTTGAAGCAAAGAAAGAGGAAGCTCGCCGGCTTTTTGAGTCAATCCTTGAGGAGTTGTGTGAGTTAGAGAATGCTGAGAAGGATTTTGTTCTGAATCAAAAAGTGGAGACTGAGAGACAAAAGGAGGAAAGTAAGCAGCTTAAAGCAAGGAAGAATGAGCTCAGATCACTTGAGGAAGCCATCAAAGAGAAATCTGCTGAACTGATTAGAAAGGAAGCGAATTTTGAGCTGAAACAGAGAGAAGAAGCTGATAAATGGAGAGAAGAGACTGAACTGAGGAGCAAAGCTCTTGAGATTAAGGAGAAGACACTGGAAAAAAGACAGAAAGAGCTTGAACTGAAGCAGATGGAGTTAGAAGAAAGATCGAAGCAACAACTAATAGAAAGAGAGTCTCGAAAGAGATCCAACCTTGAATTTGAGCCTCCCATGTTGATGGTTGAAAGTGATGTTGCTTCTCTTACTCGGCTAGCCAAAAAGCAAAAATCTCAGGAAGCAGATTTGGCTTGTGCGCCATTGGGTAAACCGGATCCTGCGTCTAAACACATAAGTGAAGCAAATGATGGAGACACAAAAGGAGTTGTCTGCATAGATAAAAGTGATGAGGATCCTAAATCATTAACTTGTCCTGATGCAAAGTTTAATGACTTTAACAAGTCAATGAGCTCTTTTGCTGTCGATCAAGTATGGGCATTATATGATTCAACAGATGATATGCCGAGGAAATATGCTCAAATCAAGAGAGTTTTTGGCTGGGAATCCGAGTTGAGTCTGCTGGTGACATTGCTTGAACATGTCAACACTAAAAAAGATGAGAAATCTATTCGCAGTGCTTGTGGGAGATTCGAATATGGAGATACAGAGATAAAAACCCACTTGATGTTTGCTCATGAGATGCAGCACATCAAATGTGGCAATGATGTCATAGTGAACCCAAGAAAGGGAGAAACATGGGCTCTTTTCAGAGATTGGAATAAAAGTTGGAACAGTCACTCGGATCTTCACGAGCCTCCTTATAGATACGACTTTGTGGAAGTCATCTCTGAGTTTGACGATCGTATAGGAATTGCAGTGGCCTATATGGGGAAAGTTAAAGGCTTTGTATCGGTCTTTTACCATGCTGAGCAGCATGGACTCAGCAAGATCATGATCCCACCTGGGGAGATGCAGAGATTCTCTCATAAAGTTGCATCGGTTAAACTGAGAGGAGAAGAGAAAGAGGGAGTCCCGGCTGGTTCTTATGAGCTAAACCCTGCTGCTACGCCGAGCTATGATTCTGTGCTTGAGGAGGTGGTGGATACGGAAATACAAAGTAAGGATTGTGGTAAAGCTCCAACGGTTGAAAATCCAGATGGGTCTACAGAAGATCAGCCCATTATAATAGATTAGTCTGGTATATATATATGCATGTAAAGTGCCATTGGTGATGGCTTTTTGAGGTCGCAGAAAGTAGTGAAACTTTAATCTTTTTGGTTCTATAATTATGTGAAACCTGTCTATCTCTTGAAATGAATCAACTTCTTTTGTTAACAATGAAAGAGAATGCTTTTGGTGTTCCTTGTGGATTCACTCATTAACTCCTTTTTCTTATATGCCTCTATGAAAGTGTCTCCATTGTGAATTGCAAAACTTGTTATCTAGGATCTGGTTAAGCGTAATGTAGGGACTGGAGAAAAACTTCTAATGTTATACAAAGAAAAACTTCTAATGTTATGCAAATCACATTTTTTCCCCAAATATAAACAGAAGTTACATAATGTTAGAAAAATATAATACAACAAAAGAAGAGTGTAATCACTTTCTTTCCTAACGAATTAGATACAATTAGTTAATTATTGCACTGTATTCTTCTATAAACTAGGTTTTGTCGTTTTAAAAAGATGGGATCCAAGTCTTTTTTTTTTTTTCACCATTCATATTTTAAGCCTTGAGGAGGAAATAAATATTTTTTTCCGATTTATTAAAGAATTTCCAAATGGTTGTTTTTTCCCGGTAAAGAGTTAACGACCATAAGAGCTAATGCAAGCTTTGCTATAGATAGAGGACGATCGTCCCACACCCACCAATGCTATTTGTCTTCTCCGTCGTCCACTAAAATCTTATTTACCAAAAAAAATAATCAACCACTACAAAAACTTGAGAGCAAAAGAAACAGGTTATTTGAAAAGAGAAACAAGACTCATATTTATAAGGGAATGCTTTGGGTTTGAATCGAGGAGTTTTTTTGGCAGAAATGGAGCAGAAGAGCGTGTTGTTTTCCGCGTTAGGGGTTGGTGTCGGGTTGGGGATTGGGCTAGCGTCGGGTCAGGGTTTGGGTAAATGGGCAAACGGGTCGGTTTCTGCAGAGGATGGGCTTACCGGAGAAAAGATTGAGCAAGAGTTGGTGAGGCAGATTGTTGATGGAAGAGAGAGTGGTGTCACTTTCGACGAGTTTCCTTATTTCCTAAGGTAAACGAGGACACTGACATTTCTTGTCCTAACAAAGTTTGAAACCCATGTTCTTGTTATTATTCTTGTTCTTGTTCTTGTGTTAAGAAAGGTGCGTATGTTTGAAAATGTTGCATATAAATGGGACAAGATTACTATACTCATGATGTTTCCCTTTTATGATCTTTGCAGCGAGAAAACTCGGCTTCTATTGACAAGCGCAGCTTATGTACATCTAAAGCAGTTTGATATCTCCAAGCACACACGTAATCTTGCACCTGCAAGTAAGGCCATTCTACTGTCTGGACCAGCTGGTAAACATTCCCCATCCTATTTTTGTTTAAGCTTCAATCTTCTTGATCGATTTTTTTTAATCCACATTTTGTGTGATTTTGATTGCGTCTCTTCTTCACTGCAGAATTCTATCAGCAAATGCTTGCAAAAGCATTAGCTCATTATTTTGAATCAAAACTATTGCTACTAGATATAACCGACTTCTCTATTAAGGTAATTAAATGCAGAAGTTTTCTAGTATCTTCCATGAAAATATGAACTTTGTTTGCTAAAAGAACAGCTTGTAAGATTTCTCTTTTGTATTCATTGATGCAGATACAGAGCAAGTACGGATGCATCAAAAAGGAACCTGTACGTTTCTTATGATCTTATGGTGTGTAGCTTAATTTTATGTTTTTTTCACAGACCATGATTGTGTTTTCTTTCTTATCTACTGTTCACTAGTCTCACAAGAGGTCTATTTCTGAGATGACCTTGGATAAAATGTCGAATTTGATGGGTTCTTTCTCTATGCTCTCCCAAAAGGAAGAAAGAAGAGGTACATTATCAAATCCTTGGCCTTAAATTCTTATGTTTTTTCCTCAAATTGGCCTTAAATGTAAGCATTCTTGTAATTTTTAGGGACCTTGCGTAGGCACACCAGTGGCAATGATCTTAGCTCAAGGTACATTGTGTTTGTCATATCTGGTTGTTGTTTTTTCGTAGCTTGAAACTCTCTAGACGGGTTTTAGTCAAGCTGAAAGACATAGCTTTATATGTTTTACGTAAGCTCACTAGTTCCATTGAAGCAACAGGGGCTTTGAAGGTTCAAGTCATCCTCCGAGACTCAAGCGAAATGCATCTGCTGCTTCTGATATCAGTAGCATATCTTCCCGTTCAGCAACTTCTGTCTCAGGTGTGGAACCGTCGTCTTCTTTCCTTTTTTACGTTCAAAATCGGCCTAGTATTGTTGTATTCCACTTCAGATTCTTAGACCTCTTGTTTGGCTGTTTATATCTTTCTAGCTTCAAGCAAACGCAGTACAAACTTGTGCTTTGATGAGAAACTTTTCCTTCAGTCACTTTACAAGGTAATAATACACTATTACGAAATCAGCAGGGTACATTTCACGTGCATTTCTTATACTGAACGATTGTTATCTTTGCAGGTATTGGTTTCTGTTTCGGAAACCAATCCTATAATAATATACCTGAGGGACGTTGAGAAGCTTCTTCAGTCAGAAAGGTTCTACAAGTTGTTCCAGAGGCTCTTGACTAAGCTATCAGGCCCTGTTTTGCTTCTCGGCTCAAGACTATTAGAACCCGAAGATGACTGCCAAGAAGTAGGAGAGGGAATTTCTGCTGTGTTTCCTTACAACATCGAGATCAGACCACCAGAGGATGAATCTCAACTCATGAGCTGGAAAACGCGATTTGAAGATGATATGAAACTGATACAGTTTCAGGACAACAAGAACCACATAGCTGAGGTTCTTGCGGCTAATGATATCGAATGTGATGACTTAGGTTCCATATGTCAAGCAGATACAATGTTCCTAAGCAGTCACATTGAGGAAATTGTGGTTTCTGCAATCTCCTACCATCTGATGCACAACAAAGAGCCCGAATACAAAAACGGGAGGCTTGTAATATCTTCCAATAGGTACTTAATTAAGAAGAACAATAATCTCTTCAACACAACAAGGTTTCACCATTCTTAGCCAAACTGATTTAATGATTCTGCAACAGCTTGTCCCATGGACTAAATATATTCCAGGAAGGTAACAGATACCTTGAGGACTCTTTGAAGCTGGACAGAAACACTGATTCCAAGGTATTTACATGTCTGACCATGTGCTTTTGAATTTTATAGTGACTAAAATGTGAATGGCTCTGGCGCAGGGAGAAGAAGGTGAAGGAATAATAATGAGCGAGTCGAAATCTGAGACAGCTGTTCCTGAAAACAAAAACGAGTTAGAAAGATCGGTTCCTTCAGCCAAGAATGAATGTCCCCTGCCTCCAAAAGCACCTGTTAATGTAAACTAAAACATATTATTCAATATACGCTCAATGTGTTTGCCTTACCATAAGGTTTAATTTTTTTTTTTATTCCATCAATGTAGGAGGTGGCTCCTGATAATGAATTCGAGAAGCGCATAAGACCAGAGGTTATCCCAGCGAATGAGATTGGTGTGACGTTTGCTGATATAGGTTCATTGGACGAAACCAAAGAATCTCTTCAAGAGCTTGTCATGCTTCCTCTCCGTAGGCCTGACCTGTTCAAAGGTGGCCTTCTCAAGCCTTGCAGAGGAATCCTCCTCTTTGGACCACCTGGTACCGGGAAAACTATGATGGCCAAAGCCATTGCAAACGAAGCTGGAGCTAGTTTCATAAATGTTTCGATGTCCACAATCACTTCAAAATGGTTTGGAGAAGATGAGAAGAATGTGAGAGCTTTGTTCACCCTCGCAGCTAAAGTGTCTCCGACTATTATATTTGTGGATGAAGTGGATAGCATGCTGGGGCAAAGGACAAGAGTTGGAGAGCATGAAGCTATGAGGAAGATAAAAAATGAGTTCATGACTCACTGGGATGGGCTTATGTCAAATGCGGGTGATCGCATTCTCGTTCTTGCAGCAACAAACAGGCCGTTTGATCTAGATGAAGCTATCATTAGGAGGTTTGAGCGAAGGTACGCATGCCCTACACTCCAATCCCTTGAGACCATGAGCTTGAGCTGTACTAATTCCAGATTCTTCTTTTGTTTTTTTGGGAAACAGAATCATGGTGGGTCTTCCATCAATCGAGAGCAGAGAGAAGATATTGAGAACCTTATTGTCAAAAGAGAAAACAGAGAATCTTGATTTCCATGAGCTTGCACAGATGACAGATGGCTATAGTGGAAGTGATCTCAAGGTTTGACACAGCTCTCATTTCACTTTACCGACATCCAAATCTTATCATATGGACTGATAATTGTAAACATTATACAAACAGAACTTTTGCACAACAGCTGCATATCGACCAGTGAGGGAGCTGATAAAGCAGGAGTGCTTAAAAGACCAGGTGAGAATTCGTCAAGCTCTTTCCTCTATTCCGTGACTCTATAGTGTGTGAATGAATATTTCAATGGTGATTTCTAAACTCAGGAGAGGAAGAAGAGAGAGGAAGCAGAGAACAGTGAAGAGAGATCTGAATCACAAGAAGAAGTATCTGAGGAGAGAGTCATAACGCTGAGACCTTTAAGCATGGAAGACATGAGAGTAGCTAAAAGCCAGGTAGGTTAATGAAATTTAGTTCTATGTTGATGATCGATCTTATGCAAATAAGCTAATTGTTTTGCACTGGCAGGTTGCTGCTAGTTTTGCAGCAGAAGGAGCAGGAATGAACGAACTGAAGCAGTGGAACGATTTGTATGGAGAAGGAGGCTCCAGGAAGAAGGAACAGCTCTCTTACTTCCTTTAGGACCCCAAATCCACTCTTATTTAACTTTTTCTACAAAGTTTTCATCTTTATATAAATCTGATATTTCATTAATTAGTATTATCCTATAAAACATTAATTCCGGAGATTTTGTAAATAAAACATGTACAGTTAATTTATCTCTTGTATCCTATTGTATAAAAATTCACACTTTCACTGTTTATGTCTTGCAAAAAGCTCTTGCTAAGGGTGAAGCATCGGTTTTTATATTTCATAGATTGTTAAAATAAAATTTACCAAACACCTCTGGTAACATCGTTTAGTATAAAGATTATTATCAGCAACCAAATACAACACAGACAAACAGCAAGAGATGGAGACAGAAACTTTACCGGCAGATAAATTTCAACACTTGAAGCTACTCCTTCAATTGTGGCTCGCTCGACCTAGCAGCTGGAATCTCTGTTTTGGATTCTGAGTTTATAGCTTGGAGGGTCTTGTAGAACTCTTCGGGAAGAGGCCCAGGACGGTGCTGTGGAACATGTTTCGGTATCGGCGCGTCATTCTCAATGACCTCGCACTCGTAATCATCAGGAACACCCCAAGGATCCCATTCTGCAGATGCAAAACAGAGTTTTACATTTCCATGGTGCAGAAACAAATGATAAATTACAAATTCAACCAAGAGTGTAGGTAGAATAACAGTACAACATGAAGATGTGATTGCGTTCAGGCAATAGCTAAAGAGACAAGCTACATTTAGTTCAAAGTAATCATGTAATTTGCAATTTCGACACTATAATTACTGGAAAAACTGCATTGCATCTATAACAACAGTTATTCGTATGACCCATCCTTAAGAAAATTAACACATTCTTGTATGAATTAAAAAGAAAAACTTCTTCTTGTGAGGAATGTAAATCTATAAAGTCTAAGTCTTTCAATTGCAAAGGGGAAAATGAAGAGAAAAGAGTAAAGAGTGTACGAACCGATCATTTTGCCAACGAGAGTGAGCTCATCTTGAGCCTCTTCGATGAGCTCCTCGACCTGACCACAACCAAGCCGCTTCTCAATCGCTTCCCAGTCCTCTTCTTCTTGGCACACCTTGAGGCGGTGGCGCGTGAAGCTCTCTACGGCCTTCCTGTAGCCTTCATCCTCCGGAACCACCTGGATCTCCTTTAGCGTTTTGCTATACAGATCGATTAGCACCGTCCTCGCGTTCGGGACCACGTCTAGCCCAACGATTCCAGTCGTCTGCTTCACCTTGGCCAACAATGGCCGACCGATCACACGCAGGAACATCTCAGCCGCTGGATCGCTTCTCTCTTTCCCCAACTCCGGCGAAACCAATACTGTGCCTTTTCAAATGCATTAATGGAATTAACATTTGGGCCCAATTGTTTATTAGCCCAATCTATTTCAGTATTTTTTGGGCCCAACCCTTGATTAGCTCCACTTTCTCTCTATTCATCCTCAGATACCAATTTAAGTTTTTTTTTTTCTCACAACTTGCGAATTCGTGACATGAAATGAAAGCACTATGAAATGTCAATACAATTTTTGTTCGTGTTGTGTGTTTCTATTCATCCTCAACTCCCAATTCAAGCAAGAATCGAAGAAGCTCGAGCTTTCCTTTGCCATGGAACCATCATTTCATCTCGAGAAGGTCCACTAAGTCTTTGTAAAGATCAGGTTCCTGCAACATCTTCCAGGTTATTGGGAAGAGAAACATCTTGAACAAGGATTTTCCTTTCATTATCTATCATGTAAGATACGTCTAGTCCCTCCAGAACCAAGTGATAAACGATGCTGTCTGCATCTGACGTATCTTGTGGCTTGTTTCGTTGTGACATTGATCGTATGTCCCATGACAGGACCTGCGTAATCAAGCTTTTAAACTCATCCGCTGAACTATACAGAGAATTCTTTTCCTGTACACAAAGCAAATATTTTGTCAAAATTGGAAAATGGAGAAGAGATGGTCAGGTCACAAAAGTCACTCACAATCAGTTTCCAGCAGCTGGTGATGGAGGAACAGAAGGTGTCTGAGAAACTCACAGAAGCTACAGCCAATAAGCAGTCCTCCTGAAATTGAGTTTCCGATCTTAGAGTCTCACATGTATTCAATTACTCAGATAAGAAAAGCTTAGAGACGTGAGGTCAGTACATCATAATGTTCTTACCTTTACCCAGTCTGGCACTGTGGCTTCTTGAATGCTGTCCGAGTATGGTAAATAAGGCTTGATGTCGAGCACCGGCTGTCCAAAAACCGTTAAAACTATCATTGAACTACGCAAGAAGCTGATAATTTAGCACACAAAGGGAAAGGAGAATTACTGTCCCATCCACCAGATCGACACCAGAGAGCAGAACCTTATCCTTTTGGATTTCCTCCACCTATAGATTAATTACCATTAGGTACTTTTGGTAAAGATGATTTAATGTCTTTGCTAAGTACAGAAGAATTTGTGTTCAGAGAACCTTAGCAACGGTGAGCCCGATGGGACAAGGTCGATGAGGGGACCGAGTAGCAAAGACTCCTTTTCGTTCACCATTTAGCCTTGGCACTCTCACCTGAAATTGGCAACACCCCAAAAACCTTTAGACTGAGAATATCATAACATAGAATACCAAAAAGGAACAGAAGCCGCGTACCTTTGCCTTGAGCTTAGACTGAGATGGCTTTCTCCATAGCTTTTCGATATCAGTGTTGAGATGGAACACGTATATTATCCAACAATGAGAATACTCTCCAAGCCCCTCAAGGGATGCAGGAGGAACCAAAGCCGGATCAAAGTTCAAACATGCCCTCGCAAGAGAAACAAGCAATGGCTGCCTCGGTGTACCGTTCCTGCGAAACCAAGAAGCATCACTTAAAAAAGCCAACATTTTAGAACAGCATTGTGCTCCCACTAAACTGGCAATGTAATAGGATCAATTTACCTTGTGGAGAAGCAAGACCGTATGGTGCCAATTGGTCGCATCGGGTATATAGTGTTGTGTAAATCCTGCGACTCAGATTGTGCTAACGCCTCCCGTAACGCCTAAAGAACACAGACAGCTTTCAAGAGAGTGAACAAGAATGCACAAATTTTCTTGAAAAATAATTTCAGTATCCATTTATCAATTTTAGTGTGCCAAAAATGTTTTTTTTTTTTTTTTTTTTCATTTGATTTGAATCGAAAGTCATAAGATTTCGAAGAGTAGTAGAAGTGATAGAAGAAGACCTGCTGAGCTTTAACTCGACCTCTTCTCTCTGAAGCACTTTTTTCCATGGTAGATCCCAAAGACTTCTCAAGTTCCTTAATTCTACACTCCAAATCTTCTCCTCGTCTCCTCCATCTATAGACTTCTCAAGAGCCAGCTCAATAAAAAAGAGTTTCACGAAACTTAGTACCTGAGAAACAGGTTGTGACAAGAGAAAGTGACAAAGGGGGTAGAGAAAGAGATTACGCGAGACGGCGGCGGATGCAGATACCACGGCCAGTGTAAAGGCTAAAGCAGCCGTGGTATAGTTGTTGGTGTGTCCAGCTATAGCCATGGATGACCTGACTTCTTTGCCGGCGAGTGGAACGTTACGACGGCGGCGGGAATTTGACGGTCCGGGAGAGTTAAGTCTCGGTTTTACGTTTAGCTAAGGAAGTGATAGGCCCACATAATGCTTATTAGGCCACCAGAGTGGTTGGGCTAAAACCGGCCCATACCGAGTTTTGTTGATTGTTGTTTCTAGTATTGTGTAATTTTCTCAAAATGAACTTGATAACCTTTTTGGTTTTGGAAAACACTAGTTTTTCATAGAATTTGTCCTGAGAGAGAAGGAACTTTGATTCATTACCAACTGACAATGCGATCACAACTTGGAAATGGAACTTGGAACTTGGAAGAGCCATTGGCAGAAGTAGTCCAACCTTTTCTGCAACAAGGCGGGAATTTCATCAACTAGATGATAGTCTATACCAAAGATCACAACTTGACATCGAGCATATAGTCATAGAAGGAAAATAACACATGTAAAAGTTTTTAAATTTGGCACATCACATGACATAGTGGGAGAATCTACAAAATATGAATACAATCCAAATCATCTTATAGAACCGAAACGTGTATATAGTTGGTCTGCATATAGTCGAGGGGGTGACACTGTTAACAACTTACATGAACAACATCAATTTTTGTCACTATAGAGAGTAGAGTAAAACGAATGAAAACTCAACAAGACATATAGTCAATGTTTTGTCTATTGTGGGAGATTCTGTGTTGCTGGAATGAAAATATGCAGAACCGCAGACCAATAACCAGCCAACTGCAGTTAAAATAGCAAAACACACAATCTCAGTAAAAGCCTTTCTTTTGTCAACAACACAAGCCCTATCATGAAGTAAAAGAATAATACCTGAGCCAGAATACCCTTCCCTGTTTGAGCTTCAATCACAAGCCCTATCATGAGTCCAATGACTGCCCAAGCTCCGTTTATCGCCTCAATTTCACGCCTTCTCTGTTGCTTCTCTCTGCCTTTGATCTCTTCCATTTGCTTTCCTGCTAACCGTTTGGCCTCAAGAGGGTCTACCATGAATACCTCTTTTTTTACCTTTCCTTTCCCTGGAGGAGGAGATGCCTACAAGAACATTCGGCATGGCAGAGATTTAACAGAGATTTACCATCCTACTATCACTAACAGAGTATTACAAAGTATAACAACGATCTCGACCCTAGTTTTACCATTACAAAGTGAACTATTCTTGTTTAGCGTATGGAAAAGCTAATCTATCGCTGCAAAAAGGGGTCAAGATTATACATTTGGATTTGCTAGGACTCGAACTGGTACACCTCTTGCTCTGTTTCCCACCAGCTTTGCATCTTGGTGTCTTCTTAGTCCCTTTCTGAAAAACCACACATACACAAAGATATGATGACTAGAGGCCAATAATATAGTGGAAAGTATCTATTTATGATAGAAAATGATAACATTTAATCTATGACTCTTGAGCTGGATGTGAAGAGTCAGTCTCACATGGGAAAAGAACCAAAAGACTTTCATGATAAACTAAGCCTGCAAACTTTCTTCCACATGATCTTAACATCATCTTGGACAGATGAATGTCATAAAAGGATTCAAGAGACGAGGCAACACTAGAGAAGAAATAAAGCTGGAAATGGAATAGAAGGGAACAAACGCAGGACACGTAAGTAAGAGAAGAAAAGGCAAAGAATGAAATGCAGAATAAGAGGAACACTATCTCGTGATTAAAAAAACGACTAATTCCGAATGCGACGCTTTTAATTAAACAATACACCAAGAGTGTGAAGATATGGGTATCAAGAAGTAAACTTATCGCAAACGCAAGAGAAACATTCACATTACAAGTATAATATGTGGAATGAAACAGATCCAACTGGAATCAAACTGCTACGAGATAATAAACTGTTCACTTGATTTTACTTGGATCTTCAACATGATAATAGAAAAAAAGGAGACGGCTTTGAAGCAATACGCATAAACAGCTTCTTCCAGAAAAGGGTAAAAACCACGGATCCATCATTCAATTAAATAAATAAATAAAATCAAAGTCACAGTAGGAGAAATCTCACTGGTGGCAGTTACCCAAATTAGATTCTGGTTTTTACAAATTCAAAGGAAAAACAGAGAATTTAGTGGCGCGTAACAGCAGAAAATGACAACCCAGAACATGAAGAACAAAAATTACCAGGAAAAACACTACATACGCTGTTCATTCCGAAAATCTAAAACTTTCAACCAGAATATGAGGACGGAGAAATGTAACTCGAGAAGAAGAGGAAACGGATTTCAGAGATAGAGAGAGACTTACATGAGAGAATAGGAAAATAGAGACGAGGGTAACGCGAAGCGGCCATTGGAAGAAGAAATCTGAGGATCAGCTCCAAGGGAGAAGAAGATAGGCGGCGGTGAAGAGAAAGACGTCACCACCATTTCTAAGCCTTTCATATTTTCGAAGCGCTTTTCTCTGTTTTATATTTCGTTCGGAGAATGAAACCAATGGCCAGTTGAAACGTTGTCGTTTCCTACCACCAACCAGGAAAATAAAATACAAAAAAATATCTTAAAACTTATCCAATAATATAAAATTATAAGCTCCACAGGGTGATTAGTGCTTATAGAATGTTGGTTAACATCACATTTTACCTCAGGCTAGGGAATTAATTCTAGGACTAGAAGAAACACATCACAAGCCTTTAAATAGATGTGATCCTGTTGCGAATTATTTTATTGAATGCCAATAATATGATACAAATTTGGAATAATAAAAAGATATACATTTTCAGGAGGTGGGAAGGGAGAGCCAGAGGAGGAGCCGCTGTGGCCTGTTGAGGTATCGAGCTTGCCACGCCGGCTCAGCGCTCTCTTGCTCGAACCCACTTTTCATGTATAGCCTCTTTGCTGCTTCATTGTCCACCGTCACATGCACGTACATATCCGTTATTCCTGAACCATTCCACAACTCTTTTTTTTTTTCAAGTCCAATTTGGAATAGTGCGTGTGTGAGTGTGATGATGGGTTTGATTAAACATTCTTACCCCATTCTCTAGCAACCCCTTTAGACTTTTCAATGAGTTTGTGACCAACTCCATTACGATGCAGCTCTTTCGCAACACAGACGTTGCTCAAGTATGCCCTCGCAAAATCCACATTAAACCCCTGCATAACAAAATGACTACTATCAAAATTGCCAAGTTTTTTTTTTGTTTATATGCAAAGTTTAGCATTATTGGACAACAACAAATGAAATACCTCTGGTTTTGTTCCAGCGATTTCATCAGGCAGCCAACGGCATTGGTTAAGATCAAGGCTCCCAACCACAACTCTGTCTTCTATGCCATCAGAGAACTGAGTAACATTATCGTACAGAGAAAACAGATGAAGCATAACGCAAATTCATATCAGAATCCAAAGCAACAATCTCTTTGAAGCAGTCTATCTAGACAAAGGAAGAAACACCGATTTGACAGTTGGACAAACTATGGATATCACATATAGAGATTATAAGGAAACTCTCCAAAATACACTAGAGATGCTTATGTAACACACAAAAAAACACCAATTGAATAGACAGACCTTACATGCAGAGCATAAATCCTCAGAAGAGGTTGATAGTTGCGACAATGGAAGGGTGGCATTTACGCAGGAGACCCGCGTAAACCCTTCCCTCTTTCCTGATATTCTCTCCTTAAGCGCCTCGAACTCACGCTCTGCCAAGTATTTTCTGTGATCCTAATGAAACTTGAACAGAAAAATGTAACATCAGCAATAAGAACAAAAGATAAAACCAAAAACACTTCAAAGTTCAAACCAAAGAAACACTCCAAACCAATCACATGATAACATGACTTCGATCTCATTAGATATCTTCTTGACTATGTACACCCCCACAGTCCAATGATACCTCATAAATTTTTCATTTCCTTTATGAGTTCCAAAATTCCAGCAATGAACTATCGGTTCAAAGTTAAGGGAGTGGCATTCATGAGTCATGAGACGAATTCTCAAATTTTGTTCAAATTCACAGCTTAAGTTTTCTCAAACAAATTAAAAAAGTTGAAATAGAAAGAAGAACTGACTTGGATATTGTACGCAGAAGGATTTAATTCGTTGAAGGTCCGCACGCGGAGGCAAGCTGCAGCCCAAAGCTCATCCTCCGACGCCGTTTCGGATATGACGATCGTCGACCTGTCGATCGCTGGAGCACAAATGTGCGAGGCATTGACCGGACGTAACCGGAACCTACATGAAGGAATCGAAGGAGACGACCGGAATCTATCTGTGTTTGACTCGCCGAAAATGGCGATAGAGCAGGAGCTTGGAAGAGACGAACAGAGAAACGCCATTTTCGCGGACTAACCACGTCCTCTGCTTCTTGCTAAGCTTCAAGCTCAAATATTTGGGCTTTTTATTTGGGCCCAATCTGAGCCCATATTTTTCCTTTTTGTTACCTTCGGAAAAAAAAAATTATCTGGAAATATAATCCAAAAGAAAGTGCAGCCACACAATTCAATGTCATATTTACAAACAAACAAAAAGATACTGTAAATCATATTTTTTAGTGTCACATCATCTTATTTATTATTCTTGAGAAAAAAACATTGTTCTTATCGCAACAACACAGGTTTGATTTTGGGTTCATCATTTGAATGCACCTACTTGATTTATCTATTGTTATTTATAGTATTTGTAATTTACCAAATGAATTTTGGTTGATATAGAAATAAGGTTGGATTAGTTTGTATTACTTAATACAATCAAATAAAAAAAAAAAGATATCAAGTTGTAATCCACATCTTGCTAAGATGAGCAAAGTAGAGCTGGTTCATGCATGATGATGTGTTACTCGAAGCTATATAGTTTACCAAATAAAGTAATAATTACAGAGTATGGAAGGATTAGCATGAAGATGTGAAGATGACGTGTATCATGAGTCAGAGTCTTTGTCATTATCCTATGATTGCATCTCTTCTCATGCATCCATTTCTTATTGGTCCACAAATACCAATGGAGAAATAGAAATCATTTCAAGAAAGAAAACTTACTCTACTATTGGTGGAGAGACATAAGAAGACAGGTAGACTAATTACCTACGACACGTTCACGCATATGGTCATTTATCTATATCAATAATTCTGTTCTGTGTGCCCTATAATACACCAGTATGTAAAATATACATAAAAATGTTAACGAGACGTATCACATGCGTCTTACCTCCTAAGTGGCGAGTTTTGTTTTTGTACAGTTTACAAAGCCAGGGAACGTATTATCACACAAATGGTGATTCCGGATAATATTGTGATTGACAATCGCGAAGCTAATTGTCAATTTTTATATTACAACTTACACATCGAGATTAAAATTCGATTGTGTATTGTTTAATGAAAAAATACATATCTTATTGCCAAATAATATAAAAAAATATCCCAAACAAATTAGGAAAAAAACCCAACGAAAGAAAATAAATTACTTCTATATATAAAGAAAGAAAGTTGAAAAAAAAAACACTATAAAACAAATGTGGGATATTATCATCTATTATTATATGCATGTGATAAGCATAGTATAATACATAATAGTAGGACCAGACCAATCTTCGTATAACGTACTAAAACAAAATTAGGTTCGAGCATCGATTGTGACTCATGCATGGAAGACAATTTGGCTTCTTTGTTGATGTCAAAATAAAATAAAACAGGTACTTCTTGCTTATTTTGTGATGCGGAACTTCGAAACCGTAATCACTCATTTTATATATATATATATATATATATATATATATATTGTTGTTCTTACAACGCAAAAATATATGGATCCAGTTGCCTGAGATGAAAAAAGCTCTGAATCTCTCTTACCACCCCAAGATCTTTAGTTAAGTTGTTAAAGTTTTCATTTCACCATATATAGTTTTTTGTTTTCTTCTTTTTTTTTTCGAGATTTTACCATTATAGGCCTAGCTACATGCATAATCTAGATATTTAATAGATATAATTGAATATTACCTCATTACGCGGCTGCCAGATTTGTTGATACTATCTATCACATGATTCACACACACACGCTCGACACATGGATATGTTTGTATTTACATATAGTTTGATATATATACAGCCGAGAGCGTATGTACGTATAATGAGAGATTAATTTGTATATATATATATATATATTGGATCTTAAAAGAAAAAGAAGAGAGAGAGAGAGAGAGAGGCGTGGAGGAGATGGAGATGGAGAAATACAAACCGGTGATGGCGTTAGTGATGCTGCAGTTCTTAACGGCAGGAGTTGCACTTTTCACCAAAGCTGCTTTCATGGAAGGACTCAATCCCACCGTCTTCGTCGTTTACCGTCAAGCCCTCGCCACTCTCTTCATCTGTCCCATCTCTTTCTTCTCTGCTTGGTAAGTTTTTGTTCTAACTATAGATATTGCATCGATTACCAAGAATATCGATCTAGACTTGAACTGAATATCCATGTACGGTTCATACTAGTATATACGTATTTAAAGCTATCCCGGTTTGCATATACATTAACTACAGTACTAGTTTACATATCATTTGAACGTTTTGTTGTGAATGGTAAATAGGAGGAAGACAAACAAACCTTCTCTTGGAGTTAGAGGCTTTTGGTGGGTGGCTTTCACGGCTGTTGTTGGCGTGACTGTGAATCAGAACGCTTATTTTGCAGGGATTAACTTGTCTTCATCATCCATGGCTTGTGCCATGACAAATCTTATTCCTGCCGTCACCTTTATTATCTCCATCATTGTTGGGTCTGTGTTAAATTTTTTATATCAAATATGTAGCGTTTATATTCGTGGATTGAGTATTTTATGGTTATGATACTGGACGTTTGTTTCAGGTTAGAGAGGATAAGGAGGAGAAGTGTGAGAAGTTTAGCAAAAGTTATAGGAACATGTGTGTGCGTGGGAGGAGCCATGGCAATGACCTTTCTCAGAGGTCCCAAATTGCTCAACGCTCTGTTGCACCAAGACCACACCAACTGGTTACTCGGTTGCATCTGTCTTCTCATTAGCACATTCGTCTGGTCCCTTTGGTTGATCCTTCAGGTTCCCATTGCCAGGCACTGTGATGATCACTTGTACACTTCTTCTTGCACTTGTTTCATGGCTACCGTATCCTCTTTCCTCATGGCTCTCGCCTTTGGCAAGACTGATTTACCGTCTTGGAAGCTTGATTCTTCCTTGCAAATCTCATGCTGCATGTTCGCTGGATTCCAACTCGCGGTGTCTTTCTTTCTACAAGCTTGGTGTGTCTCGCGGAAAGGACCTCTTTTCTCTGCCCTCTTCAACCCTCTTTCTACAGTCATCGTCACTTTCTTCGGTGCTCTGTATTTGAAAGAACAGACTTACCTCGGGAGGTATGCCTCATATTTGTCTCTCTTTTCATTACTGCCATCTTCGTTCTCAAGCTCATTTCACATTTCTTGTTTTGCTCGTTTCTTTTTTCCAGCTTGTTGGGCGCTTTGGCGGTCATTCTTGGTCTCTACATTGTTCTCTGGGGCAAATCCGAAGACTATCAAGAAGAAGCTAAAGACCTGAAATTGCAAAATGAACACACCAATCTCTCCCAATCTGACAGTGTTCCTGTCGTGATTGTTGATAAGGCCTTTCGTAGTTCAGAGCTCTTAGAGCCTCTTCTCATGTGAGTTCTATTAAAGTCGGTTCTAGATGGTGTAAGGGGAAGTTTTGACAAAACAAAGTAAAACATGTGGGGATTTTTTAAGGAAAACTGCAAAATGAAATGGAACTTGATTCACAAAACTCACTCGTTAGCAGATGTAGAAGCTACTCCACGCACAAAAGACTCGAAATAAAAGCACAAAGCAAGTGCTGTTGTAAACTCATTTAGACATATGTTGCAAGTTTAACAGAGAAAATACATTGAAATGCAACCTCACACACACAAGACAAGCGATCAAGGAGTTGTTTTAAAGGACTACATTTACTTAGTCGGATGATGGCACTTCAGATATCTCCTTTGGTCTCAGTCCTTAGTTGGAGGGCATCTCTGCTATCTCAACGCATAAAGGATCTAAGACCAGCTGCGTTTCCTGTTGTTCCTGAAGGCGCAACAACCAACGGAGTAGACGATAATGAGGAATACGAGAAAGACAATGTTCACCTGAGCCACTTTTTTCCAAGATTTTCTGAGGTTTTCGAGCAGACCGGCCTTGCAGGCTTGGCAGTCGTAGCATAGAGTTCCTGGTTTGTTGTCCCAGACGTTACAGTCGTCGTTTGTGTATGGACCAGCGGTCTTGGTCCAATTAGTCGGGCTCACATAGGTGAAGTTACAGTCGTTAGACGGCTTACAGCAACCAGACTACACAAGTGAGAAAACAACAAAAAAAGAGTGGGCTTGGTGATAATCAAATATACTGGAATATAAAAATGAAACGGCTCACATTATCGCTCAGAAAGTACTAAATCCAATGATACATAAGAAGATGCAGCTAACTATTACCAGCATTTACAGTGTAATAGATAAACAGCATCACTATTGTTCTTACTGCCCAACTGGTTCGAATTTATTAAAAAAGCAGCCTTTCATACTCATCTGAGACGCTGAAAAAAGGAATTTTTTTTTCTTTTTTGTTAAAAGGCTTCAGATCAAAAGGAACTTCTAAAATCTTTTTGAAAAGGCTATTGTGTTTGTATCCATGAGCACAAAATTAAGCTTTTGTTCTAAAAAGCAAAATTACTTTGAGGAAAAAGCAGCATAAATCTCATCTTTTAAAAGAAAAAAAAAAAGCCAGATTTATGAGATTTGAAAAAGGGAAAATCAGCGGAATTCTCAATTTCAGATGAACAAAATTGGATCGAGAAATGTCAACCTGAAGAGCATTGAGATTGGTCTGGTAGAATTCGTTAACGGTGATGCTAGAGTAATGACTGTTGAAAGTGGAGCACACGTTGGAGTAAATCAAGCAGCTCCTGATCCGATCCCAATTCTTAGCGTTACTGACTCGTTTCTGCAGCCAATTGGAGTAATCGCCGACGCGGTACTCCTTATACCCTCTATCGGACAAAACCTCGCCGGCGCCGCGGTTGGTGACGGCGAAGGCGAAGATGGTGAAGCAGAATCCGAGGACTATGAGGACGAACATAGCGAAGAGGTAGAGCCATAGGAGGCAGGAGACGCGGCAGCAAGCTCCGACGAGGCCTGCAATGGAGACGAACATGAGGAAGATCCCGAGAACCACCATTGGTTTGTCGAGGAAACGCTCGCACTCGGTGGCTGCATTTTGGCCGAGCCAGATCCCGGCCATGAGAATCGGGATTGAGAGGAGGAAGGTGAAGAAATTGAGGATCCCGAGAACATTGTTGCTACACTGAACCATGTTTTTGTTTGGTCTTTACGGCAGAAGAAACTTTTTGTCCAAAGCGGAAACTAAAAGGGGACTTATCGCTGGCTTCTCAGATCTTAACTTAAACGCAAAATGGGAGTTTTGTCCGTTACGAAATCTGTTGGGAATTTTTTAATAAAGGTTCAAATTGGTTTTCAAGACAGCTAAGACACTTTAAAATAGGTTAACTAGTAATTACTCGTATTCAGTTAAAAACTTTGTCTCGACGAAAAGCTTCTGTAGATTACACCCTCAGATTGTTGGAAACTGACAAAACTGCCTTGAGAATTAAAATTGTAGTATCCAGGTCCAAGTTTCTGAGGTCTCTGGAAAAAAAACTCAAAGGATTAATCCCCAAAGAATGTCTTCCAATTTATTTATTGAATCACCAAAAGAAAGTGCTGAACAAAGGAAAGAGTTGAATTTCAAAGATCATCAACAGGACCATTTGGCCTCAAAAACAGAAAATGATAAAGAGAGCTTTTCTTGCTCGAATCAGAGAGGACCAGGGAAAGTTCCGGTCTCCCTCTGCTCATTCCACTTGTCAACCTGCGGAAAGATAATCGCATAATCATGAATGTGGGTAGAGACAGATGAAAAATGATAATCAAGTAGCAGAGCAAAAAGCATAAAAGCACAAACCCATTCTCCAGGACAGAGGGCACGGTAATACTTGGCGAACCTCTCGCATTCATTGGAGTCCTCACCCTTTGCAGTTGTGCACCTGCAGAGATGGTTTTGTTTTTTTAAGACAGAATGAACTAAAGAGTCAATCAAACAAGAGTACCTAGGGAAGTCAAATGTAACGTTTAAACAAGACTACCTGTGGAACTCAATGTAACGAGTGAAGCAGTGCCTTGTTTGGTTCGTTGTAGGGAACCGGAAATCAGCAGGAGCAGTTTTCAGTTCGATCTAATTCAAGAGGAATACAAAACGATAAGTAAGACACCGAGATACACTACCTAGTGACTCACAAAGATGAGACTGAGTGAGAGAAGAGATCAACTATAAAAACAATGTCTTTTCTTTTCTTTCATTTCCTAACCTAACTCTGCCATATGTAAACAAATCACACAAGCAAACAGAACCACGCACATGAGAAAACGATTTGACGGAAAATCCTCATCCCTATTATACAAATCAAATGCAATCAGATATATTTCTTCTCTATTCAACAACATACTTTAGAATTGAAAGCATCATCCTTTATTCCCTTCGATTCCTTATCTAACTCTACCATATTGAAACACACCGCACACGCAACAAACAACGGTTGTGTAACTTGTGTTAAAGAAAATAATCTGCCAGAAAATCCACCACCCTTATTATACAATTCTAATGCAATCAGATGTATTTATTCTCTATCCAAAGAATTCTCTCATCTATTAAGGAAAAACAAATTCAGGGTGTTCTCTACCACCAGGTCATTAATTGAAAAAGAAACGGGAGAGGATGAGTGGAAAAGCCAGATCACCAAGGAGCTAAATTTTCATCAAACCGATTTCCATAGAAATAATCTGATGGATATCGAAGTTAACGTAAGTATAAGAAGTGATCAATCAGATCTCAAATGGAGGTCGAATTTTCAAAAGAAAAATTTCGATTCCTATTTACAACCTCCGGCGGTAAAAAGAGCTAAAATCGTCTGTGTATCGAATAAAGAATAAAAGATGATCGAAGGGTTACCTCGTCCTCCATGGCTAATCCGAAGGCGAACAATGAGAAGGTTTGGTTGGGTAGGAGAAAAGAGGAGACGCAGTCGATTATTGAAAATGCAGTTTGCAAATCGCCAACTTTTCTCTCCGGTGAAGACTAGAAAAAGCCAATGAGGCCGATTTCAATGTTGGGCTCCCGTTTGGGCCTAAGATTTTATGCTTTTTTCCTTTTTTTTTTTAATGTGTGGGTGTTTCAGACTATTGTTTGTGGTACGATCCGTTTGTTCCATCTAACATAACCATTCGGTTTAGTGGAAGGATATGATATGAATCGGTTAACGTTGGGCAATTTCATTTCGGGTTGTTGGATCTCCACTTCAGTTGAGACTTTGAGACTTCCACAGTCTCGTCTCGAGCAGTTCAGAGTTCAACAGTGAATCGTTGCGAGTCTGCTTCATCGTTAAATCCGTCATCGTCCGATTTCATCTCAATTCTTATGCTCCCGAATCTCACACCACCATGCGCTCGCTTCTTCTCTCCCTTCGCCGCGTAACTCTACTCTCTAGGCATCAACGATACGCTTTCCCTCCTTTTCATAATTCTTTGATCCCAATCAATCCCACCTCGCCTTCTTCGTCCCTTGTTTACGTTCTCCATCATTCCCTTTTCTCTTCTTCTTCCTTCTCTTCTATTGCACATCCCAATGGAGATAAGAAGGTTGCAGGGCCTCTAGTGGAGTATGAACGCAGAATCGTAGCTGGAGCGCTATTGGATGGAGATTCATGTCAGGTAGATTCCTCTATCTTTCTTTTTTTGGTCATTCTCTATTGGAATCGATTCTGAAGCTTGTTTGTTGCAGCTAGGTACCTTAAAAGAGCTTCAGAGACTCTACGACGAGCTTGTTCAATCCGCTGATGCTTGTCGATTAGATCGTTATTCCGCATCTGCAAAACCCATTAGGTTTCATAATTTTCATTCACTACTATTAGACGAAGCTTGTGTTGAAATGTTGATAAAGATTTCATTTTTTGATATCTCAGGAGTAATTGGTTCTGGAACAAATTCGTGTCTCACTCCTCTGTCTCTCCCGTCAAAGGCTTATATCTATATGGAGGAGTGGGAACTGGAAAGACAATGCTCATGGACTTGTTTTTTCATCAATTGTAAGCACTACATCACAATTTCATATATTTTCCTCATATTCTTTTTTTCTTATGGATTCATCTGATCCTGTTTAAACCGTGATAGGCCAGCTAGCTGGAGAGCACAAAGGATTCACTTTCACAATTTCATGCTGAGTGTTCATAGCCGCCTGCAAGTAAGATTCCAGTTCCAAGTTTGCCCTTTTAAGCTAAGGCTTGCTATTTAAGCTCTGGGACTCAACTCTTTGTCATTGAAATATCTTCTGCAGAAGCACAAGGGGCTTGAAGATCCACTTGAGGTTGTTGGCCTGGAAATAGCCGACGAGGCTATATTACTATGCTTAGATGAGTTCATGGTATGTGACTCTCATCTTCACTGTGTAAAGATTTGTTCAGGTTAGCTCACCTTTCTTTCTTGCTTTAATTGTTTTAAAAGGTCAACGATGTAGCTGATGCTCTGATACTTCACCGTCTCTTTAGACACTTGTTTAACAATGGCATTGTAAGTAATTTCTACAAGCTTCGTATTTCTCACCTCTTCAAACCTACTGGACCTACACCTACAGTTTTTTAAAAGTTTATTCATGTCGGTAACTGGAGGCAAGTGTAGGTTCTTGTTGCTACATCAAACCGTGCTCCAGATAATCTCTATGAGAGGGGTTTACAGAGGGACCTATTCCTTCCGTTTATCTCCACACTAAAGGTATGCAAATGCAAATGACTGTTACTATCAAGTATCAACGCCCTGAACACATTTGATGTGATCCATTATGCTCCGTTTCTGATACTAAAAAGCAATTGTTGTAGGAAAGATGTGTGGTTCGTGAAATTGGTTCATCTGTGGACTATCGGAAACTGACCTCTGTACGTGATTTCAGTTCCCTTAGTAACTCAGTCTTAGTTTTCTTGCAAGGTGAATATAATCTTATAGCTATATACTCTTGGGTGCAGGCTGAAGAGGGATTCTACTTCATTGGAAAGGATATTTCTGGCCTTCTTAAACAGAAGTTTCAACAGTTGGTTGGCGATGAACCGGCCGGTCCTCAAGTGGTTGAAGTAGTAATGGGAAGGAAATTGCAGGTTTTATTGCTTCTTATTTCACAGATCCATCTACTTGTTGCAGTTCACAATTTTGAGCTAATAAGTGGATTCGGTTATTGATTAGGCCGAAAACCTCCAGATACCATTCCAATAAATAGCTTATCTGATATCGGTTGATGAATGCCAGGTTCCACTGGCTGCCAATGGGTGTGCCTACTTTCTTTTTGAAGAGCTGTGTGATAGACCCCTAGGCGCAGCGGATTATCTCGGATTATTCAGTATGTAAACACCATAAACATCATACTTTTGTCATTGCACTAGAGCTCTTTCATGCTGCTGAGTCTTAGAGATGGAAATTTCACTGCAGAGAAATTTCATACATTGGCTCTGGAAGGTGTACCCATGTTCGGGCTCCACAATAGGACTGCAGCTTACCGTTTCGTGACGCTGGTTGATGTATATCTCGCTTCACCTCTCTTTTCTACATTGAATTTTCAGGAATCTCTTTTTGACAATATTGCTTTCTCAATTACTTACAGGTTATGTATGAGACCAAAGCCAGGCTCTTGTGCACAGCCGAGGGTAGCCCCGTAGAACTGCTGGAGAGAATAGTGACAATATCTGATGCGCAACAAATAGCACCTAGAACCTCTGCAAGATCAAGGAAGAGTGATGATCTCGACCTATGTGTAGACAACGAGCTTGGTTTTGCTAAAGACCGCACCATTAGCAGGTACGATCGAGTAACTGTTGCTTAACTCTGTTTATAGTTTCGACTGTTGATCTCTGATGCGTGCCGCAGATTAACTGAGATGAACAGCAAAGAATACTTGGAACAGCATTCAACGATGTTGCATGAGAAGCAGCCTTCTTCTTAGTTTTATAGTGTGATGTGCAGGAGAAGCAGCCTTCTTCTGAGTTCTATATAGTGTGATGGAAATGCCATCAAACTTGTTGTAACCATTATTTACCGAACAATGGGTCTCACCTTATATTTGACATTAATTATCTCACAATCAAGTCTCTGTGTTGGAGCAAAGACCCATCTTTGTCATGCAAGTCGATCATGTTTTCATTAGTAAAGGAGATGATATGCAATCAACCGAGAAACAAAGATTCTCGTGAAATTCTTACAAAATACGACTTTGAAACTTCATTGTTTTTATTTCAAAAAGTTATTTTCTACTTGGACGAATATTAAAATTGTAAGGGGTGTCACTTACTTGACCCCGCATGGATCCGCCTCTGATTATGTGACTCAACGTCATCCATGGAGCCAAATCTCTCTCCATTCCTTTAGCCTCAATGTTAATCCTTCAATAACAGAAAATTGCTTCTTCAACTTGTGACTTCAATTTCATTGTCGCTGTAATCTCCCCAGCACTTGCCTCCAAGTCCTTCCCCATTTTTCTTGTCAGATATCTCATGTGCTGTGGGTTTTTCTTCACCTACACCTACTGTCGAGTGTCCATTTTCAAGAGTCTCTGTAGTTTCTTGTGCAATGGCTTCTTCACCCTCTGCAACTTTCTTTTCGCTATTGCTCTCCTCTTCGCTTCCAGTCTTCTCCTCAGAGCTTTCAGTATCAGGTAATTCCTCCAAAGCCAGTGGTGTAGGTATAACAAGCCCATTCTGAGGCTGTGCAGGTATGTTACACGGATATCCACCTGCTACTGGTGACAGAGGGTACCCATTCTGTGTTATTTCCGCCCCATTGGGAGATGCCAAATAGCCGTTTGGCGAAACTGGATAACCATTAGAAACCCAAGGTTGACTTGGTATGAACTCAGCAGCATGAGGGTTCATTATTCTTGGGCCATTGACTTGATTAGCCTCACCATTGGACTCAGTGCTACTGGGGAAGCTTGGCTTGTTACGCGGAACCCTGTTTCCAGATCGGTTGTAACCACCACCTGAGAGCCTAGGCCCATAGGGAACTCGAGCTGTTACAGATTGATGAGGAGTTGACCTGCGTACATGGTTTACAGGAAGCATTGGTGGCATATTCAATGGGGAGGGAAGGATTCCCACATGGTCTTTGAATCCCGGAACTGTAATAGACCCAAAAATTGGAATGGTCGTCGGGGTATAAGGTGGTGCAGAAGCAGAGAGCTTCTTGCTCATCTCTTTTTGTGCATCGGATGCGTCTTGTTTTTCTCCATCTGCAGCTACTGATGACTTTGGGCTATCTTCTGTTTGGCCATCTACTGCTTTCAGTTCAGCATCGGAGACATCCTTCTGTAGCTTCACTCCGGTTGCTGGTCCATTTCCATTTGTATCTTCTGTTGTTGGTGACTTATTCAGTAGACCTCTATTTGATTCCTCAGCCGTTTGTACTCTCCCAAATTTTCCCTGTTTTGCATCTGATACAGCTGTCTCCGCTGGAAATGCTTCTGCTGCTGCCTTTTCGGCTTCCACATTGTTGATTTCTCCTGGTGAACTCATCAACTCCGTTCCACCAACAAGCACCTCTCCTTGTTCATCGCTACCAGCATTTTTCGCTTCCGTTTCTGTAGCCACTTGATTACTCCCACTCTCAACATCCTCAGCCTTCACCTTTTCAGGATCATCTACTGCGACTTTTGCCGCATCCAAAGTCTCTAAGGCAGTCGTTTCTTCTGGCAACTGCTCTGAAACTATTTTCACAATCGTTCCAGGGGGTGCCAGTGCAACCTCCTTATAGGAAAACAGTTTTCCAGCTTTGACACTCACGGGACTCAGCATCGGAGTTGGCTTGTTGATCTGTTCAGTGCAAGCTGGGTTTGCCAGGGCTGATTTTTCGTTGACTGGTCTTTCTCCCACTATATTGGAGCTGTTTTGCTTTCTGTTTAAACTCGGGCTCTTTAAAAGCTTCTTCGCGTGCTGTGATGTAGAACCAGCGGCAGAAATTGAAAGTTCATTTGAACTAGTCCTTGGGGATGCGAAATTGGTGGATTTTCCTCTGCTTTTTGATGTCTGCTGGGTCACGTTCATGAAGTTTGTGTTCAGCTTTGCCAGGCTGGGACGGGTTCTACGCCCGGAGGGATAACGATTTTTCGGGACAGCTTCTTGCCATCCTTCGTCAGAGTCATCATCCTCTTTGGCCGTGGACTCGAGCTTAACTAGCGTCAGTTGATCTTGAGGTTCCAAATCACGCTTCTCAACCTTTATTTCTTCAGATTTTGCTTCGGATTTGTTCTCTTTGTCACTTGAACTCTCCACAATAATATCAGTCGGCGTCAGAATTTTATCATCTTTCTGATTTTCTTCTGACACAGGTCCTGGATTTTGTCCTGGTCTTCCCTTGACCTGAATGAGCATTTCGATCAAAATATCTGTCACAACGTATTAATGAGAACAGTTCAATAAAAACATGGATTAAGTCCAGCAGAAAGTAATTATGACCTTCAGGCGAGCTTTCCTTTGGGCGTCCCTTGCTTTAAGACCAGTATCCGGGGTTATATAATCTAGCAGGTCTGATACACTGTTATTGGGAAGAAAGCTCGTGGGTTACATACTCAGGACAAGAGTTTACCCAAAAAATATATTTGTACTATGCATTTTAAATTTTCATATCTGGTAGTTCTATTATATATTTTGGCCCCTATGTACAATTTGTAAGCAGTGCTAAAAATATGAAAGACAAATGTTTTAATACCTGAGATGGCCTTTGCTGGAAATAGAGGCGTCTGGCTTGGGAGTACCATTTCGTGCAGCTTCTTGCTGTTCCAGAGCTTTAGACTCAAAATACTCAAGCCACGCAGTCGCATCCTAACACAGTTCTGGAGCGTAAGAAACTTTTAGACTGAAACTCCCTGTAAATCGTAACTAATTAAGCACCTGTGTCCGAAGATCGTCCTGGCCTAGTTTTGCTTGTAGAATCTGTAGAGTGGTCTGCTCATGCTGGACGCTCAAGGAGTATGCTTCCATCAAAGAAAGAGCAATAGCAATGGCATGGTAGCTTGCAGCAGTCTGAAAAAAACGTAACAGAAGTAAATTCATGTCTTAGAGCATCATTTAGATTCCACAGTAAAATTTACTAATTAAGCTCAAGGCCTTCATGGCATGGGAGTTCACTGTATTTAGACATTGATAGGTCGTGGATTTTAACAATCAATTTTTATCCGGAAGATTTAAGTTTATGGATGTCGGTTTGACATAAGTCTTTGCTTGAAACCAACCTGGATATGATCAGCTCCAAGTAGTCTCTGGTTACATTTCAACGCTTCATGAAGGTATCTTAAAGCCACATGAACATTCCCCAAACCTTCTTCCATCATCGCTACATTAATATAAGTGGCAGCCGTATTTGGATGTGACGGTCCACATGTTAGATGCAGAAGGTACAATGCACGGTTGACATACCTACAACAACAATAACATGTTAGCAGATCGAAAAAATTAATTTGTAGGCTTCGGCTTTTGAAAATGCAGAGAGCATACTTCAACGCTAACTCTGTGTGCTGAAGACGATAATAGAAGACAGCCAGATCGCCGTAGCTTTTCATTGTGTCTGGGTGATCAAGGCCAAGTTCCCTTTCATTTATGTCGAGTGCTTTCTGCTGATAAATGGTAGCCTGAAAAATCAAAACTGGTTAGTTGCAGCAGAGATATATTTCTGCAAAGGAAGTAGGTGAACTGAGCGATGCCTTGTACACAGTCCCAATTTCTTTCAAAGTGAATACCTGATTAAAGTCCCCAGTATGGTACAGCACAACAGCAAGAAGACTATATGCTCCGGCGGTCATTCTATGATATGGGCCGCACACTGCTACAAGCTTCGCCAATGCCTATGGAGTCATCCCAGAATATCAAATTACTTAAACCGTTCGAGCAAAAGTGAATGCGTTCAAGTGAAAAAGTGTCAAACAAAATATTAAGTTGAAGGGTTGATTCTTTCACAGCAAAATCATCCTCCCCCATAAAAACAAAACTCGCTGGTTCCTACATGTGCTAAAAATGCCTACTCAGTTAGTCTATGGTAGTTCTGAATAAAAATGGTTTATAAGGATAAAAGATGAGGAAACTGAGAAAATAAAAACAATGTTCACAGAAGGACAATATAATGGGTGGCGATAGAGAGATGGCAGGCCGAGAATTGGTATTCAGATTTTGGGGAAAAAGAACGGAGCAGTGTACTTAGACAAGTCAAGAGCCTTCATTACATGGTTAGTATATAAAAAGCTTAGTGAGAAAATATCAATTACCTTGGTGCCAAAATTGACAGCATCCTCTAGTTTGCCTTTATCTAAGGAAGTTTTGGACGATTCCAACAAAGTGCGTCCATCAATGGATGACAATGCTACGTGCTGCACACAAGAGCAGTGCTCTTAAGTCTCTGAAAGTTTTCACTTTTTATAGCTGATTACTAAAGTAAGATAGTTACGCATGGTACCTTATACACAGGAACCATACTGATAATATCTAACTTCTTAAACGGATATGAGCTGTCCATCTCATAGTCTTTGGGAACAAGCTCCAGTCCAACCTAAAACGGATGAGTGAAGCAACATGTGAAGAATCTAAGGTTAGATAGTCTCAAGTGAAAAAAAAATAATAATAACTGACATTCGCAAACCTTGTGTGACAGTCCTCTAAGAATGGCGAATTTTCTCAGTTCTTGGCTGCCTTCATGCTTCCAATTCCACCCAAACCTCTTGGAAATGAACGTTTCTACCCAAGTCCACTTTATCTTTTCATCATATTCACTCTCAGTGTCAGACGGTGTTCCCAATAGGACATTTAAGCATGATGCTATTGAGGTAGCCAGATCAGCAGTGTTTTCAACAGCTGCTACAACAGCCTGCAGTATATGCTTGTATGCCCGAACTATCATTTCATGAATACAGAGGGATTGCACATGAGGGAGTTTTTCAGCCAGCTCGACCTAAGATGAAAGGAGAAAAGAGTGATTCCTAAAGAAATGGGGCACTTTGCTTTTCTATACATAAGCATATTCTGTTGTCCAGTTTGAAACGAAGGTGCTAAAGACTATGAAATGAAATGGTTACCACTCTCCCCAAGGAATGCATTTGTAAGCCTTTGGTGTGCATAAAGTCTGTCAGAGTTCTCCCATCGACAGGTGAGAGTTCAAGGGATCCAAAGTCTGCCACCTGCAATATATTAAGTCGAAGTTTATGAGGAGCTGAGGATTATCCCTAAAGATGATGATAAATGTCCAAGGAACTGACCAGTTTCGGAAGAGCAGTGTCAGCGTAGTATTTGCGGGCCATTTCAATCAGCTCTCTGGGTGACTGCGGGGGAGGTTCATGGAGAGAAAGAGAACACAAGGTAAGATTCATAAAAGCAAACTACCAGAGATGTATAAGTTGTTGCTTACTACTAGCCTCAAATATTTTATCTTGTCAGCTGGGGAACAAACAAACCTTGAGATGAAAACCAGTTTCTGATTCTTTAAGGCGCTGATATGCAGCTTCCGTCACCAGTTCTTTCCACATCTTTTCCATTTCCTCATTTTGTTTCTCGAGTTCCTTCTGATCCGCAGCTTCTGATTTATTGTCATTGTCAACAGTATTAGCAAGGGCATCCTTGCCCTGTTCAGCCTTGTGAGCTTTCACATCAATCTTCCTTTTTATCTCCTTAAGAAGTGCACCTTGCTTTCCAAGACCCTTCACAGTTGGTTCAGGCTTAGCATCTTCAGTTTTCTTAGTCTCACTTTTACTTGAAGCTTGATTTTGCAGATGTTGCACCCAACAAGCTCCTAATTCCCACTTTATAGGCTTGGTATTTCTTGGGGGTTCAGCCTCCAATTTCTGCAGACTGTCCTCAAATACTTTCCTCACAAGGGACTTGGCAACACGTATTTGTTCTGAGTCTGCATTTGGTGATCTCTGAGCTATGCTAGAAGGCGTTGACGACTTGTGCAATAGAGTCCTCAAGCTGAGAAGGATATTCAGAAAAAGCTTGCTAAATACCTTCTATTTCAAAATATGCATCGTATGCCAAAATGTCAATCATGCCAAGATACGTATGTTAAGCAATGCAAACGTGAATTATATGGAGATACCTTTGGTGCTCGAAACTTGTACACAACTACGAGTAACCAGTAAGACTAACGCATATACAACACAAAAAGATTTTACCTATTTACATTCAGTGCATTTGCACCTCCTTCTGATTGGTCTTCGATTTCAATATCCTCTAGGATTCGGCCCCCATCCAACTTAAATTCAGCAGCAACCTTTACAATGGCTGTGAAACCACAATGTCTGACAACCACCACCGCCAAGGTAGACGTATCCTATGAAATTGAAGCAAATCTCAGTAAAAAATCCAAAAAATTAAGCTAAGAACATCAGTCTGGGCTAACAAAATTACATGAACCGTCGCACTCTCATCAGCAGTGATCCCTTTAAGCAAATTCCTTTGATCAAGTTCTTCCTGAGAGATATCTAGAACCCGAGTCCCATCACTCTTTCGGTCAACCTTGGCACTTGCATCAGGCTCATCTCTAGCCACCTTTATGATCAAATCACCAACTCTTTCTTCATGGAAAGCAAATGCAGCAGGATCCTTTGGTGAGCGTTGATTGCTCTCTACGACATTCTTTATTAATTCCACTGCCTTGAAAACAGAAACGTCGACAAATAGACTGTGGAGTAGGAAGACCTTCCTATCTCGAACCTGTCTCTCTTCAGGTGTTTTACAAGGCATCGCTGCCAAAATCGCAAATTCCTTTGCCCACTCTCTTTGGTCATGCTTACAAGACCGGGCCACCCCGCCGCCATTCCCTCCCCATGTCTCATCCTCCACTGGAAGTGACGGAAAGGTAGATGGGCTATCAGCAACAACCGGAGGAGCTACCCAGGTGTTTGCTCGGAAACCATAAGGAAGGTTGCCAAACTGAAAAGGAATAACAATTCTTATATGTTGGAGTCTTCTAATCAAGTTTAGCTACCCATGAAACCATATAACATAAAAAGAAGTAGATTTGCGTACTTTATTGTGCTCAATGAAACCTTTCATAAGAGCGTCATAAGCCTGCAGCCACAAACACATATCACCAGCGAGTCAGAAGGCAGAACTGAAAAAGAAAAAGGTACCAACTTTTATCACCAAGCTTACCGCATCAAATGGCCGGCTTATCTGTTGCAGCAGCTCAACCAAGGAATGACACAGAAGCTGCTTTTTCCCAGCTGGGAAAAAACCTGTTCTTGAGGCAACGACCGTGATCGGCTTCCCACTTGAAACTTTAATCTGCATTTGATAACAATGGTGTAGCAAAAAATTTTAAATCCCAGTCGAAACTTCTCAATTGCATAATTATAAACAGTTCAGGAGAGTCCTTACATCGATTTGAAACAAATCATCTAATCCTTTATCCTCGATAGATGGACGAACAGACCTTCTGATATCTGGAAAATCAGAGATGAGAATCAATAAGCGATATCAATCTCAGCGATCGACTAATAATCGAAAAGCGAACTCACATTGGATCGGAGGAGTAAGGTGTGAGAAGGAGAAAAACTCGTAAAACTGCCCGAGACGAGTCGGTGGGCACATGTTGATGTCACCCTTATCCCCACCTTCCGCCGCCTGAGACTCACAGTTCCCGACGAGTTTCTTCTCTGATTCCTTAAGCTTAGGGCTGAGACCGGAACCTGAATCGCCGGCATCCTTGTCGGCCGGAGAATCTCCCTCATTCGAACCTGACTCCTTCGGTACAGAGTCTTTGGTGGACGCGCGAGACACCGGAGGTTTCGACGAACCGAAGGCGGTGGTGCAAGCGACGATGTCAAGGAGCCGCCGTATGTGCGCGGTGGCTAGCTCCTCAGTATAGTCCTCTGCGAAATGAAAGAAACGGGTAAGAATCACCTGTGGCTAATCTTACGGGAAGTTAAATGAATTGGAGAATCGTAGGCCGTTAGATCAGGGAAGATTACCTTCGACGATGGTGAGGTGGCAAGGCTTGAGCGATACGATGTCAACGGAATCCTTGAGTCTAGTGCCACGCACCTACAGCAGAAAACAATGCTTCTTCTTTTGTTTAGGCGGCAAATGTCAGAAATAGAGCTATAAACGTCACTATTTGGGCTTAGGCAACACCTTACTGGGCCCATTAGCAAAAAAAAGGGATAATTTTCTATAAAAAAAAAAAGAAGCAATTTTGCAACGGCGAGAAAAGATATGTGATGACACCATTAACAAAATCATCATCGATAATGCTGTGAGAAAATCATATATGCATGAAGACGAAACCTGGTGAGAGAGAGAGAAGTTGGTGAGGTGGCATGTCTGAACATGGACCGCCAAGAGCTTCCTCACATCTAAGATTCTGTCCGTAGAGATTCCCTTCACAACAACAACAACTTGAGAATCATATTCGGCTTTTAAACAGTTTTTATTTATAATTCTTCAATCAATGTCTATTTAGTAGTGTAAGCTCAAACCTTGAGAGTCACTTGGGATTCATCTGGTGTTTCTACACTTATCTCAATGACAGTGGGCAAAACTGCACAACCACACAATTTTTTAATTATTTTTATTAGGAGGAAAAAAAATGAGCAAACTAAGCAAAAATTGACTTGTCACTCTGCGTGGAGGAACCAAAACGAATTTGAACATAATGAGGAACCTTTCTCTTCCTTCTTCTTCTTCTCTCCTTTACTCTTGTGTGGCTTTGTTTTCCCAGCTTTAGGAGCCATTACCAATGGACATACAACTTATAATCGCGGTTACAAAAACCCAGGTTGAATTTGATCAAAGAAGCCTCGAATTTAAGCCCTGGATTGAGTTGAATTAAACCACTAAAGCTTCGAACTTTGAAGGGTGAGAAAGAGAAAGAAGAAGATAGAAGAAGAAGAGAGAAGGTTTTGTTTATGTGGGTGTATAAAATGACTTGTGGTGGTAGTGAGTGACAATGAGGAAGTAAAAGGAAACAAGAGACGAGAGGGTCAAATAGTGATTGAGAAAAATAGAGATAGAGAGATTTTTAGAGAGAGAAAGAGAGGATAGGATAAGGTGCTAGCTCTTCCCTCTTCCTCCTTAAGAGTGTTTTGAGGCTAAGTTAATTTGAGACCTCTCATTTCTTTGTTTGCTTCTTTAACACCTCATCACCAACTTCATCTTTTCTTCGATATCTCTCTATATATTTTATTTTTTTGTCTCCTTTCCGTTTTAAATACGGATAATAAAAATTTTCCCCCGTATTTTCATTATCTAATTTGAGATTTCACCCATGCTTTTATATATTTTATCAATTTGTTTGGGTTTAATTCACAACACCTTTGAAGAAACTAGAGACTAGAGTAGAAACTAGTGCTGGCTCAAAAATTATGAATCCTCCTGTGAACAAAAAAAAAATGTTTGGCTTTTTTGGGGCCTTTTTTAGGCCATAAGATTATATCAAGTATAAAAATTTGGACATCTGAAGAAAGTAAAAAAGACAAAAGTTATAGTGTGTGTGCTTTTTTATATTTGTTTGTGAAACAAAAAAATATATTTAGTTTGTCTAGATTAGTCTTAATTTGAATTTTTGTTTGATTCTAGATTAGTCTAATTTTGAGTCTTGTCAATTCTTCTGAGGCTGAGATTGGATAATAGGCATCATAAGCTATATGAGAAGAAAAAAAAAAACTTCTTGGCAGAACGTAGACATGGGCTTTGGCAAAGCGATATATACCATGTGTTTTTGACAAACATAAAGTGGCCTAATAAGCAATTGACTCTTATAAATTATGTCAAACCATTGGGCTCTTCTAATTTAGAACATATCGTACAACATTATCAGTTACCACACTGTCTGGTACTTGTGTTTTTACTTTTTACTCTCACTGTCCCACAAAACATGTACTTGAGATATGACGAGTTTCTGAAATCTGAGTTTTTGCTAGCTTGGACACCGGTTAATTCCACAATAAATAATATTTTATGCCTACCAAGTATTTGCATTGACAAAAGAAAGATCAAAAGTAGAAGAAAGAAACATGAGGTGAAGGAATCAAAATTTGGACAGAGAATAGACATCTCCAGTTGCCTTTCAAAACTAGTAGTCTCTGTGGTTACAAAATTTTTACCTTTAGAACAAAAGCCCATTTGGTGCGTGAAATGGCTTTTTGTTTGACTTCTGAAGACATTTTTTTGTTTATGCGTTGGTCAATATTGCAACATTTTTAAAACCAAAATCATTGGCTGACTCAGGCTTCCCCACCCAGGTCACTAGCCTGTAGCGCGTATTTTAATTTTATATCAAACCCACCTAATAAGACTTCTCCATCATTTTAATAACACACGACTCCTCTGGCTTATCTTTATAAATCACATATAATCACATCCATCAGAGAAATAGGCAAAAGACAGAGCCAAAGATGGGCGAGATCAAAGCCAGACGCATAATCCTCCTCTCCATCATATTCATCTTCTTCTTCTCCGAGACTCTTCTTTTTTGTTCAGCTAACGAGCATGGCTCAAGGAATCTTGGAGTGGTAATGAGGCAACGGTTGAGAAACAGAGGGCCTCGAAACACCAACACAACATCCGCAGCTTCGACTATGATGTTCTCAAGCTCCTTCCATATGGGTGCTGCTTCCTCTTTCCTCCTCGCTCTCCTTTTATAGGTTCCTTTTGTAATGATTGTGATTCACGGTTTCAGAGTGATTTCTGTAGTTTGCTTTTTGTTTATTGAATTGATATTTGTAAAATTTACCAAATGGTCTCAAACTCTGTTATTTTTTTTTCATTTCTCTGATCCTTCTTGTCTATAAGAAAAAAAAAAAAAGACATCGTCACTTGTCACTATCTTTACGTACTTGTTTCACTCCATCACATTCCTCTATTTAACCAGTCACAGTTCAAGATCCGCAACCGCAGTATTCGTTCATGTTAGAGAGAAATGAGTTTTTTCTTTTTCTTTTTTTCTACTCAAACATACCCATGCATTAAATATTAATGAAGACAAATATTCGGTTTCTCCATTTCAACAAATATTGGGTTCATGTGAGAGAAAGATGTTGATACCGAGTATCACACAAAGAATTTAGAGAATTGTTGATACCGAGTATCAGACAAAGAGTTTTTATTATAGTTATAGCTGAACTCAAGATGAGCTGCCTACGTACTTAAAAGAGGGATCAAGCCATTCATAGTTCATATTACAGAGAGAATAGAAAGAACATGTGTTCTAAGGTTTTCTGTGGAGTTGTGAATGAATCATCTTTGAATGAACGAGGAGCTCTTTATTTATAGAGGTTGAAGCCGGTCGATTTTCCTTTTCTTTCTTGATTTGATAATGCAGATTTCCTTATTTCTTGGAGCAGATAAGAACAACTTCCTTTTTCCTCGAGGAATTATCTTCTGAGAATATTTCCTTTTTCCAGATAAGATCAGGAAATATTCCGCGGGTGAACCATCATAAATCGGGATTAATTGGGCCAATCTTGGTTCATACCGGGCTAAATCGGGGGAGCGGAGTACACCACCAACAGTAAGCCCCCCTCAGTCCGGCGAAAGAGTATGTGTAAGAGTTCGGCGGATTTCATGAGTAGTTTTAGTCTGGTGTGAATTGAGATTGGAGACTTGCGAGGCTGTTAGCTCGGCTTATATGAGTTTCAACTCAGTCTGTTGCGAATTGCGATAATTCAGCTTACATTCGCGAGTGTTGAGAACTCGGCTTACGGTGCAAATCAGAGGAGTTCGGCTTAATTTGTGCGAGTTAAATGAACTCGGCCTGGGGGACCCAAGTGAGCTTTCTCGCGCTGGAAGAGTGAAGTTTGAACTCTTGTAAACACACGATACAGACTCAGGGTTTCCTAAGTCGAACCAGAGTGTGCGAGATGGACTCGGCTTATTGTTCTCGGTGACTTAGAAATATTTAAATGCGGGACTGGCCCCGGCTTTTAAGATGTGGAGTTTACCACGATACCATCGGGGTGTTCGCGAGACGGATCTCGGCTTTTCAGGGTGCATTGTTGAGAAATGCTATCGAACAACTGGCCAGGAAGTTGATGTAAAACCGATGAATTCGGTCGAGACTGCGAACATGTCAGTTCGGCTTTGAAGAACGGACCCTTTATTTGGAAAAGCAACGAGCTTGAAACATAGATGAACGTAGTTTAGCTCGGTAAAAGATTGTATTCTGAGATGACGAACTCAAGTCGATGAACTGAATCTGTCTGACGAACTGATCTGCTGTATCGAACTCAAAATTCTGAACAAAACTGATAATACTGAAGTTCCGAAATCCAAATCTGATGACGAACTGAAAAATTCTGAAGTTTTGAACTGAGCTGAAATTTTTAACCGAACTGAAATTCTAATTCAGAACCAAACGAACTGATTTCTGAATAGAAACTGATTGGAACTGAGATTTCTGAGCAACCTGATGCCGAGCTGAAATGGAATTCTGAGCTAGTTGAATCTGAACTAAAGCTGTGATTGGAAACTGAAAGACAAATTTGATGAACCGAAACAAAAACCCAAATTTGACGAACTGAATTTGAAACCCGAAACTGAGAGCTGAATATGAGAGGAGTTGAAGTTGCACGAGCTGAGGCTGACTAACTGGGTTTGGTTAAGATGTTGCGATATGAAGCAAAAATCCAGAGCTTATTTATGAAAAGCTTCCAAGAAGTGAGTTAAGGTGGGAGCTCGGAGCTCGTTTATGGAGAGCATTAGAGAATAGTCTTTTTTCTCTTTTTTTTTTTGCGAACAGGAGTTCGGCTTGGAGGGACAGAGCTTATGTGAAGCAAAGTTATGAAAAAATAAAGTTTACGATAGATGATACCTGAATTTTGGGAGCTCGGTTTGACGAGCTGTGAAAGCGTTTTGGTTAACGAACTGGAACGAGCTCAGACGAGTATCTTTCTATTGTGAGCTCAGTGCGGTTGTGTGCTTATAGTCGTACCAAAACATATCTTTGATTGTTTGTCGTTATAGCGGCTCGTGTGTAGCAAATCGTCCTAGCTGGAGCGATGACTTTTAGCAATCCTGCGATATTTTGAATAAAATTGTGAAGATATCTATCTCTTAGAGATTTTGGATCACAGTTAAGTAAAGAAGATGATACTTAGCTTTTTGGTGTTGGTGTGGGATTGTGGAGCTCGGCTCTTTGACGTTCAATCCTTGTAGAGCAAAGATCTGGAATATTAAGTTCTCTCACGATTTACTCTATCCATCTCTTGTGATCTAGATGAGAAACGGATTGACGAGGTGCTTCCAAACTGTTTTTTTGATTCCGGTAAAGAGCTTAGTGAAGCCGTACGGCGAGCTAAGGTGGTGATGGTATCAGCTAGAAGTTTCGACAGAAAATTAAAACCGAACCAATAAATCTTCTTAATCTCATTGAAGTTTTTCTAGGATATTATCGGGAATTGAAGCTTGGGAGTTGTTTTGCGAATCTCTGAAGTATTCCGAGCCCAGAATGAACATGAAAGCTCTTGAGGTCGACGATGGAGAATTTCAGGAATGAATTTTCGAAATCCAAAAATGGAAGCGGCGTGTGTTTTTCTCGCCATGGTTGTTTGAAGCAAGGAAGAGGGAAAGGTCTCTGAGGTTCTTTGATGGAGTTAATAATGGAGACGGCTCAGGTCGTAAAATCTACAGTTCGCCGAAAATTGCAGGTCTGGTCAGGGTCATTGGATTTTCCGTGACCGGAGATTCATCAGATTTTTTATCGGAGCTGCCTTAGGTTCACCGTCGAGGAAGGATCGTGAGGCATCGACGAGATGGTAAGGAATGGGCCAAAGTCTTCACATCATCTTGGGTCAGAGTCTGGGCCTATCATCTTATAATTTTGCATGGGCCAATAATTTGTTCAAGCCCAACAGATGAGAAAATCAGATTTTCTTCAATGACGGCTTGGTTTTGTTGCAGAGGCGGCGACGGCAGAGCTCTGGAAAGCTCGAGTGGTGGTGGATTGTAGACCATGGTCGTGGTGATGATATAATCGGAGAACAAATACAGCGTCTAAAGTCGGAGTGAGATTCTCGGTGAGTGGTTTTTGCAACGGAGAATCCCCTTGGAAGAACAGAGATCTCCAATTTAATATTTCCTTGTTGATGATGTGAGCCATTGAAGGAGAGGTCGGCTTGAGATGTGAAGTTGATTTGTGATCTTGGGCTTTTTAGAAGTAGATTTCGCAACTAGCAGATGTGAAGTCGTCCAAGTTAAGCTCCAATTTTGAGGGTTCTTTGCTTACAATTTGCAGATAACTGCATCTTTCTTCGCTGATCTTAATATGACATTATCTTCTCCTCTGAATAATAGCGAATCGAGGTCAGCAAGATGTTGAGCGGGGGTGTGGCGTGACGCAGTGATCTCTCCTAGCCCCTACTCTTTTTTTTTTTTTGAAACAAACTAATCGTGATTGTGATGTTTTCTCAGGTCATGAACCTGCTTGAATGTACGAAACGGGATACTCTCTTCTTGTTTCTCATCAAGTTGAGGTGTTTGAACTCTTTGTATTGTTCTAAAGAGCCTTCAAGTCGTGAAGTTTGAGGAGATCGGAGAATGGAGGACCGCATTATGCGGGAGGTCGGAGAACGTTTTGATGTAGACTTGTCATTCACTGCGATTGTGCTTTAACCTCTTTTGTGTAGCTCGTCGGTGTTTGTTACGGAGGGTTAGCTCGGTCGTGAGAAGGTGCACACGATCTTTGTTCTTGTTGAAGGTTGTTGTTTTGATTGCTCCACAAGTTATGTCTCAAACTGCTTCTGAGAATTTGTAGATTGCCACGAATCCTTCTGATTTTTCAGCAAAGGACTCCATGGAACGTGGTAATGTAGGTGATGTCTCGATGTGGTCTCGCCATTCTCTGAGGCTTAGCTCGGTATGGGAGAAGACGTATGAAGACCAATGAGTTCCAGATTTGTTTGTGAATTGCTGTTGAAGACTTGAGTACGGACGAGCTGAGATAAAGCTGCGTCGGTGGTGAAGTTAGAGAAGTCTGGAGAAGAAGTTGTGACGACCTCCTTTTCTTCTTTTGCTTTGTTTTTTAATCACAAATTAATGGTGATGAGGTCGTGGATTCCATGTAACGTGGACATGTAGTCGATATCTCCATAAAGAATTAAAAACAGAGTCCTCGAGCTCTCGTCGCGTGAGGGAGAAGGTATTTGCTTCGCCTTTTGTGACGAAGTCGTTTTTCGGTGGTATTGTCAAAGACCCATGGTTGTGATTGGAGAATGGAAACATCGATTATGTAGGTTGATTTCGACTTTTGTGAAGTCCTCTTCTTTTTGTTGTCATAGTGTCTGCTAAGACTGCTACATTGTACGGCTATAAAAAACCTTAAGGCTCCTTCTTCCCTTGTTTCTTCTTTATCAAGTAACGCTATATCTTGTATTTTGTCTTGATAAATTTGATCGGAGAATATTTTTAGGTTGTAAAGAATTTCCCGTCCCCTTTCTGGCGCGCCAATTGTTGATACCGAGTATCACACAAAGAATTTAGAGATTTTATTAAAGTTATAGCTGAACTCAATATGAACTGCCTACGTACCCAAAAGAGGGATCAAGCCATTCGTAGTTCATATTACAGATAAGAAAAAGATGTGTTCTAGGTTTTTTGCAGAGTTGTGAATCCCCCCCTTGAATGAACGATGATCTCTTTATTTATAGAGGTTGAAGCCGGTCAATTTTCCTTTTCCTCCTTGACTTGATAATGCAGATTTCCTTATTTCTTGGAGCAGATAAGAACAACTTCCTTTTTCCTTGAGAAATTATCTTCTCAGAATATTTCCTTTTTCCGGATAAGATCAGAAAATATTCTGCGGGTGAACTATCATAAATCGGGATTAATTGGGCCAATTTTGATTCATACCGGGCTAAACCGAGGGTGCGGAGTACACCACCAACAAAAGAAAAAAGCGTTATTAAAGGATAAGATTCGAGACCTTATTAAGCGTTTTTAAAAACTATTTTTGGTCTAATATTGGTTGAGAGCTTGTCGCAGGAGATTCCCTACACGTATCAATCGCCTCATCGGACCTTGACTTCTTGACCGATTCTACGGTTTCACTTACAGATTTATTTTGTTGTTTTATTTTTTTTATTCTGATCAAATAAAACAACTCATGCAGACAAAATTAAGTGAGTCTGAGGGACTAAAAACATGCGTTTAATTAAGAAGAGAAGATCTTAACATTACTGAGAGAAAGATGAATCAATGATAATAGGTAAAATGAACAAATGAGCAAAAACATCATACAAAGCAACAAGAGCAAAATGCATGAACCAAATCAAGGTGAGTGGGCGTAGAAGAGTGGACGACGGTACTCGTCGAAGAACTTATCACTATCCACGTAGACGATTGCATAGAGTGCGTAGATGATGCCCGGTACGTATCCCAGAAGCGTTAGGATCAGACATATCATGAACTCCGTCTGCACACATTCGTTTTTGACAGTTTTTTGACATATTCATAAGTTGTTGATCTAGAAAGAACGTAAATCGAGAGAGGGAGAGAAAAACATACAGTGCAACAGCCATGCCTTAGACAAACCCCTAGTGGAGGGATGAATATGGCGATCATTATTTCACAGCAAATCTCGCACCCGTTCGCCATTTCTCATCAATATTTTGATCCTTTTCTAGAATTTTTGTTTGATGGTAAGCTATTGTAAGCTATTTTATAGAGGGGAAAAAGACAGTAAAAGGAGAGAGCCTTTCAAGTTAAACCGAGACAATAGAAAACTTACACATGTAATTACACACAAAAAAATATAAAAAAAATGGAACCAACTGATCCAAATCAAATTATTTTATCAACAAATTAAATAAACTTAAAAACGGTTAGGATGTTCTATATATAATTAAATTTTAATCGCATAAAGTAGAACCGAGAGATTATTCAAGTTCAAAGTTACTCAAAGTTACTAACACAAAGTTAGACAACGAACATGTTAATTATTAAGGTTAGTTACACTTGGACACTCTAGAAACACATCATGGCTACTTCCTTATTTCTCTCTCCCTTGCTCTGTTTCTTTCTTCGACCGCTAATCAAGTGTGATCTCTTGCTATAGATGCAATTGTTAACCAGTTATTTGACATTCGGCTTGATCTCTTGCTATAGAAAATAGATGCAAACTTCTTAACAGCATGCTTGCAAGAGTCTGACTAGAAGGCGAATTGGTAAATAATTGGCAAGTGGCTACTTAGAGGCCATTTTTTTTTAACAATTAGGTTTAATTCCCAATATTTTTTTTTTGGAACAAAAATAAAAGAACAAAAGCACATTCAAATTATTTACTATTAACATGGAGGAAAGGGTGAGAGCCTTTTAGAACTGACTTTGGGGGACTACATTCGCATTAGTAGAGACGACCAACATGCTTAGTTAGTACTTAGTAGTAGTCCTTGGGATTCGACTACAGTTTTAAATCTTGTTTTTCATTTTAATAATTAAGTGCACATGTTATGGATCTTCATATAGTCCAATATGACAACTTTCTAGTCTCAAGATGATTTTTTAAATTCCAAGACCTAGGACAAAGGGTTTAATTGGACAAAACATAGTTAAAAACTAAAAAAAAAAAGAGGGTTAGAGATACAAAACCAAAAAAGAGCAAAGCATTTACATACACACAAATCTGTCTTGTAGCTTCACGTGACTCTTTTCACACCCCCGACCAAAAAATAAATAAAAATCATAGTAAGAGAAAGATGCAGAGGATTAGGGGCAAAACCGGAAACACAGAATAACGTGACGAAGCAGAGAGGCTCTTCTGAAACTGAAGAGAGTCAACGGCTAAGGGCATGTTCTCTTGGTCAGGGCTGCACTTGTTGAGGTGAGGAGGGTGTGCACTGTACATAATGGCTCTTAACACAGCCGAAACGGTGGGGATGTATGCCGTTTTGTTACGAGCCAGTAGCCATGTGAGTCCCATGAGCTGGCAGTCTTTGCTCATCATCTTACTCGCTCTCTCTGTTGTTGTCTTCTTGCTTCCTCCTTTTACCTTTAGCTGTATCCCATCAAAAAAAATTTGAAAACAAACAAGATTGTGAGAAAAACTGTTATGAAAAATAAAAATATAAATGGGCAAGAAAAAGGTTGCGTGTGACTGGGCAGTGTTTCAGAGTGATTCAGTGATTTGGGTTATACGAAACAAGAAAGTTTCTGAAAAAGCACATCTTCAATTGTTTGCAACCTAAAAGGATACCCCAAAGAATACAATGTGCTTTTGTGTGCGTCTCTTTCAACTAAAGCGAGCAAAATAAACCCCAATTAACACTAAATGAAACTTGTAATTCCAAGATTTGTAGAAGTAATTTCTCATGGAAAGAGAGCGACAGTTAGTGAACATTCTTTTCGATTCGAGTCATGAATATGAAACCGAAACATTTATTAGGCTTTTAAGGATTGAAAAAAAACCCATTAAATGCTGTGATTCCGTAAACAGAGAGACATAAAGGATGCAACTTTAATGAAACGGAATGCAAAAAAATGAAAAAAAATTGGACCTTTTGAAGAGCACCGAGACATCTGGTACATCCAGAGTAAGAAGAATTCCGACATTCTTTCTCGAGATTCTTCACGGCGGCGGTCGGAGTTGCGTTTCGGAAGCCGGAGGAGACATTGAAAGCGGCGGGGCAAGAGAGTGAGCTTATCTGGTGAAGACGAATGCCGCAGAAACACAAGATTGCATCGCAGGTCGAGTTAGGCTGTGGGATCTTGACGTGTTTGGTCAGAAGCGCACTCTGCAATGTGTTGACGCACTTCTGAGAGTCGTCCGGTTTCATGGGTTCGTCGGGATCGGAGGATTCCGGCGTCGGAGCAGGAGCCGGTAACTGGAGAGCAGAACGTGAGTGAGCTGCGAAGAGCCAAGCGGCAAGAACAGGGCAACATCGGCTCCGGTCAAGGTTTCTCCCGCAAGCTTCATTGACTCCTCCGAAGAGCTCGTCGGAGAGGTCAAGACGGCAGCTTTGAGCTTGGGTTTCGACGGGGAAAGCCGGTACGGTGTTGGGTTGAACCGGTTCGACGAGTAGATTGCTCGAGACAATGGGGAAGAGGAAAGAGCAGAGGATAACGAGTAAAGTGAGACTTCTCTTCATTGTAAAAAGGTTAAAAGAGAGAGAGAGAGAGAGAGGAAGAGATAAAAGAGATGGATTTACGAATTATAACGCTCTCAAATCTCTGTCTTTAGATCCTTATTAAGATTCACGAAGAAAAGCAGCCTTCCATTATTCACCATCTTCTCTCTCTTTTGTTCTTTCCAAAGGACTATACCGTGAAGAGAGAGAGAGATGTGATGGGGAAAAATAAGAGATTCCTTACTTTGGCAGTTTCTGGTTTGTTTTAGACTATAATCCCTTTGTAATCTGTGTTTAGTTCCGGAAATTATATGACTTCTGTCTTTTGTCTTGGACTAACTAGTAACTAAGATCCTTATTTAGATTAGCAACAAATTCTGTATAATTCGTATTTACTATTTACACATAAGGATATATGAACCTGTAAGAGGTGACTAGTGAGCTGATAATTGTGTAAAACGCAAAATATGTTTAAATTAATTAGATTTGTGAATAAAAAAGAAAAAACAATATGAATGGTGGGGAAACAGATTGAGACCTTAAGAATGAGATGAGATGCGAATGGAGTATAATCACAGGAAGAAAAAGGTCAATTTGCAAAGGACAATCACAAAACACAAAATTTCCTACAATCATATATTAAATCATTGATTCGCTTTTTGAGCATTGACAAAATCAAAATTGTAACACCTTTATTCAAGCGGGCAGGAAGAGGACCCGGAGCTCGCCTAGGGAAACGATCCGTCAGAAAAAAGTGAAACTCGTAAAAGGCGAGAAAAAGTCCCTCCATTTCCTAATCTTCTTCCAAAAGGTCCAAATTACAACAATTAAAGCCATTTCACACGTTCTTTGCTTCCTTACTTGCCCTTACCAAATACCTCAAATTCAAACTGTATTTTTATATAAGACCTAGATTTTACAATTCCACAATAATATATTGTTTGAAATTGAAAAAGACAATATTACTAACTATTCCACTCATTTATACAAAATTCAAACTAATCCACTCATATTATTAACTGGTTTTTAATCAAGTCAAAAAGCTTTTGAATGGCCCATGTTCAACTGAACTTTACATAGTTGATTAATAGTTTTAAACACTTTCGGAAATATAGGTCTTGGATTGGGCCAAAATAATAAATTAAAGGGCTTCAAAATGGACCTTGGATTGAGCCTAATCAACGTAACCTAACGTGACCGTAAAGCTAATCACATCAACATTAGTCAGGAAAATGCCGGGTTATTATTTATTTTATTTTTTGTAGATGGAAAATACCAACGTTATACTACAGACTACAGAGAGGCGTGTTTATTAATGTTTAAACACTAATATGTGATGTGTTGCTCGTTTCATTCATTCTCGAGCCTAGTCTCTAGACAACTTCAACAATTTCTTTTCACGATAATTTGACTGATGCTTATTTTTTCAATATTTAGTTGTTGTTGTTACTTCAATTTAGCTGCTTATACTCTATTCGTTTGCGCATGTTGACATTTGGAAAAATATATAGAATCATATATATCTTTGACGAGAAAAAAAAAGACAAGATGTTTTATACATTAAACAATCCCCTAGAAAGAATGCAACAAATAATCAGAGATGGAAAAAAAAAAGAGATGTGTGGGTAATATGCATACATATGTTGCTTATTAAATTAACATAAATTCATCAAAGGTGAAATTATCCGGAAAACCAAAGTCGAAGAAACTGCTGGAGTTGGCTTCTGCTTCAGTGCTATTTTGCTGTGGAGAAGACTTCGGCGTCGACATGAGTGAGTCTAAGTCCAAACTCTCTGACAGAGGAGGTAATACATCTGCAGGACCGACGTTGAGCTTTGCGTTTATAGACTCGAAAGATGAAGTTTGATCATTGTTTGTTGGGATTGTACACTCAGCTTGTGGTTGAGAGTCTTGAGAAGACACTGATGTGACTGGAGTTTGAAGATATTGGTCGAGGTTCGATGAGTAAATTGGATTAGGGTTTTGAAGTGGCTGTTGAGGGGCCAAGAGTAGAGAGGCCAACCTCAATACATCAGGATTGAGCAGGGATGATGCGTGTGCTGCAACCGCTGAAAAGTTTGGTTGGTTGAATAGTGCTGCTAAAAGTGAAGATACATCAAGAAGATCAAGGCGCGGAGAGTGAGTAACAGGGTCAATGCCACTCTTTATAAGTCTCTTACGGATATGTGTATTCCAATGGTTTTTTATTTCGTTATCGGTTCTTCCTGGTAGACGAGCTGCTATTGCTGACCACCTATATAATCCATTAATTCAAATATTAGTGGTACATTAATTAGCATATAACTCCTCTTCTATTATATTTATAGGTCAATACATACTTATAATAATAGTTTAGTGGAGAGTTGATAGCCTAAATATATTGACATGTACGCTCCGCATGCATACGCACACTCTCGCTTTTTTCCCCTCTTTTTTTTTTTTAATAGAAAAGAATAATAATTCAACGTACAAAAGCTGTAGCTGATGAATCTCAATGAGACTTACTTGTTTCCCATGACACTGTGTAATTGAATGATAGTTTCTTCTTCCTCGAAGGAGAATCTTCCTCTCTTGATGTCCGGTCTTAGATAATTGGTCCATCGAAGACGGCAGCTTTTTCCACACCTTTGGAGTCCTTTAGTTTGTACAATACGACTTATAAGTAAACTCAGTATATATATAGATAGAATATAATCCAGTATTGGGAGAGAATTATAATTAATGATTGTAGATGTATGCTTACCAGCATTTTTAGGGAGAATACGCCAATTACCGGGACCATGAAATCGAATATAATCGATGAGTTTCTGATCCTCTTCAGGCGTCCATGGTCCCTTCTTCACTCCATTCTTGTCACAACAAGGTGATCTTCCCATCCTTTATTTGGTAACTCGCAAAAGATATGTACACCGATCGATCGACGTTAGATTCCAATAATATTCGTCTCTCTACTGTATATCAAAGGGAACGAAGAAGAGCCAATGAGAGTTTCTTAAATTTCCAAAAGAGGAGTTGAATTTTAGAAATGTCAATGCGTGGTTTGCACTCATACCTTCTCCTTCATTGTTTATATAGGGATCTGGGATGTGAATGCGAAGAACTTAATTAATTAACGTAAGAGCCACGGTCAATTCCATTTGCCCTAGGCCTTATATGCCACGTGTCCTAAATATTGTATACAGAAGCAAATCTTAGTTAGCTTGGCCTAGACGACCGCATGTCACCTCGCCTATCGTTTTCTTAACTCTATATTCTAGAAACGATCCACGTGATAGTATGCACAACAATAATTCATGTAACTTGGATTCTGTCAGTAACGATAATATATTTTATGTATGTAGGAGTGAATATAGCGCACTCTTGTTAATAACAAAAGCAATTGAACTAAGAGATTAAAATAGACCTTGTGAGGGGAACTATTTGGTTGTGAGAGTTATGTTTTTCACCTTATGGTGGTGAGAGTCAGAGTAAAGCACATTTGTTGACTTTGCATGATAATATATAGGTCAGTTGACTTTACATGCATGTTTGGTTAAAAAAACTAAATAAACAAGTATGAGAATATATGTTGCGTTGAATTCTGAAACCCAAAGCATAGAGTTTCAATGGGTGAGAGAGTGAGGACGGTAAAGTAGTTGAGTATTCTCATCAAATACGCACAAATCTTCTTCAAATAACGTGTTAATGTCATATGTGCCTTGCGCGTTTAAATCGATGAGAAGTGGAATTACAAATTTAACATTTTAACCTACAAGTCCAATAGTAGAGATTGCTTGTGAAAGGGTCTCTCTGAGCAAACCATCCACGTCAGTACTATTCAAAAGCTTTTAAAATGCAAATTAAAAGTAACCAACAAATAGGAATACGAAAAATAATTGAAGCTTTTTTGTTTGTTAAATTGTTGGTGGAAAGCTGTGCAACCAACTTTGAATTACATATCCCCTAAACCCAAGAACCACAGATTCTCCGAAGTTCACACCGTAGCTATTGTCTAAAATATTTTTGAAATATTTTTAAACTCTCCTAATTCACAATGTGTGGATTCATGCAGAACGCGACACGTGGAAAGAGATGTGTTGTGGGGTTCTCCTTTCACTTCTTTTGCATCATTCTATCTACTCTTAAGGTTAGGTTTCTGTATTGGTCAACGTCTGATATGATGATGATGTCAAGTCAAAGATTGTGTCAAGTCATCGCCTTGGGAGCTTCTCGAAAAAGGCCTGCGTCTTACTTGATGGGCCACTAATTGGCTTAAACCTCATTAGAAATGGGTTTCATAACTTGTTAAAGTAAGCCCATCAGTAACATTTAGCAACAATTGTTTACAGTGACTGGGTTTGTTATTCTTTTTCAGTATCTCAACCGGAGAAATATATAGACAGACCGAGATCTAAATATTTATAAATTTATAAAATATTTTAAACTAATAAATAGTATGGAATATAATATTTTCTGATTTATTAATTAATATGTAAAAAGATGATAATTAATATAAAGACAAGGGACATGTCAGAGTAACTAGATATGCAATTATGCATGCCAATGATGACGCATTCATGCGCACAAAGGCCATTGAAGATGAATAAACATTTTGCCTTTTTGAAACCTTGTCCTAATTAAAGTAATATTGGTATTAACCGTTTTTTCCTTTTTCTTTTTTTTTTTTATAAAGGAAAAAATCTTGGTTGAGAATCTAAAGGATCTCCAATATTTAAATCTTACTCCTTCAAAATTCCTGGTTATATCCCTCCAGACACAATAATATTATATTACACTTTTTCTTTCAACGCCTCTAGAGATTCTAATGGTATGATGCCCTTTTCGATCGTCTTTTGCCTGATTAACGTTGTTGATTTTTTTAACAAATTGATATTTTAATCTTAATCCTGTATCATTGTTGAGATATATATATATATATATATATTAATATGAATGTGTTCAGTCACAGGAGAGCATGGAAAAGTATGAGAAATTATCAAATTTTCTGAAGAAGTTCTACATTCCTTCGTACGTGCTCTCGCCTGAAGCCGATCCAGTGGCGGTGCCAAGTAGTCCACCTGAGAGTCCAATTCTCGTTTTCATCAACTCCAAAAGCGGAGGCCAACTCGGTGGACAACTCCTTCTTACCTACCGCACTCTTCTCAACGATAAACAGGTCTAATACATTTAATTTATCCATCACAAAACCTAGACTAATGATTCGTATATTGATTTCTAAAAATCAAGAAAAATATTGTTTCTCATTTACGTTGATTTCTAGCTCTAGATCAATTCGGAATCAAGAGAACAATGTTGAATTCGTTGATTCTTCTTGAGTATGGAATCCATATCTTTGTTTTTTTTTCTAGTACTAAAATTCTAAAACAATGGTGAATTCGTGATTCTTCTTGAGTATGGAATCCATATCTTTGTTTTTTTCTAGTATTAAAATTATATATTCGATCTCTAGTTATTCAATATCCAAATTACATAAATCTAGGCTATAATAAGAAGAAAATCTATTTAAAAAAAAAAATCCTAAAAATCAAACTTAATTTAAATTATGATAACTATTAAAATAAATAAGATCTAACAAACAACGAATCATTACTCTAAATGACTAAATTTAATTTACTTAGGATTATATTTTAAGTTGCTCGATGATCAGGTTTTTGATCTTGGGGTAGAGAGCCCGGATAAGGTGCTACAGAGAATCTATCTTAACCTAGAGAGGCTAAAGGACGATGCTTTCGCTTGCGAGATTCAGGAGAAGTTGAAGATAATTGTGAGTTATATTATGCATCTCTATATATATGGAGAAAGTGTTATATGAGTCATCGTCATAATTAAGTTGAGTTGTATGTTTAATTAGGTTGCAGGGGGAGATGGAACAGCTGGTTGGCTTCTTGGAATTGTTTGTGATCTTAAATTGTCCAATCCACCTCCAATTGCTACTATCCCCTTGGGTACAGGAAATAATCTTCCATTTGCATTTGGTTGGGTATGCATAACTACATACTATACACTAATTCGCATTTTCATATTCATATCAGACAGTAATTTTTTTTTCTCTTACTAATCCCATCTGCTCATTTTCAGGGTAAGAAAAATCCTGGAACAGATAAGTCTTCCGTGGAGTCTTTTTTGGATCAAGTGATTAAGGCAAAAGAGATGAAGATAGACAAGTACATATATTTTCCACACACATTTTCTTCTAATTCTCAAATATACCATAGTTTTGGGTTAATATGTATGCGTTTCATATCTTAATTAAGTTGGCACTTACTTATGAGGATGAAGGCTCCCAAAAAAGACTCTTGTGATCCTATTGAGTTACCGCCTTCTCTACATTCATTTGATCGTGTTTCTCCTTCAGATCAAGTAAATATGGTAAAGGCATGCATTCTCCTCTCTTCCAAATGAAGTCTACTTATCACTATCTATTCCTTTTCTTTTTATATGATCAGCAATGCATTTTCATTTTTTTCTAGGAAGGTTACCACACATTTCGTGGGGGATTCTGGAATTACTTTAGCTTGGGTAAGAAGTTTTCTCTCTCTTACAGCTGACTGACTTGTCAATACCCCATTGGTTGTCTTTGTGGAAAATACCAAATTTAAAAAGTGACTTGCAGAATTTTTCTTGTCTAGCCATCACTTATCAATATTTAACTGCAGGCATGGATGCTCAGGTATCTTATGAGTTTCATTCTCAGAGAAAATTGCACCCGGAAAAGTTTAAAAATCAGATGGTTAATCAGGTAAACATATATTGCCTTCAAGTGATGTTGCCTTCAAATGATGTAACTCTAATGCTTTAATTATTGGGGTAACTTTTTCGTGTTTCGCGTGATTACATCTTCTAGAGTAAATTAAATTAGCAAAAACTAACAAATAATGTTTCTCCAATGATCTCATGACGGTCCAGAGCACGTATCTAAAGCTTGCTTGCACACAAGGATGGTTTTGTGCCTCTCTTTTTCACCCTTTTTCACAGTGAGTAGATTTATATATAATTGTTTTTATGTTTGTATATATGAGTTCTTAGTTTCCAATTTCACTCTGTCTATTTGGGATCTAAAACCCTGTAAAAAATGAGAGCACTATTGCGTTTGCTGCAGAAACATAGGTCAGCTTGCAAAAGTTAAGATTTGTAACAGAAGTGGTCAATGGAATGACCTTCACATTCCCCAAAGGTAAGTAATTAGATTATATATATATATATATATATATATATATATATATATTCATGCCATGTATACGATGCTTCTTGTACAACCATCCCTCAAGAGCTGAAATTTTAGTCTTTCTTTGTGATGGACCTGTTATTGCTGATCCATTTCCCAAAATAGACTACATAGACAATATAGCCAATCCATACTTAACATTTACTCTTTTTCTTCTTCTGGCAGCGTCAGGTCCATCGTATGTTTGAATCTTCCTAGCTTTTCTGGAGGACTTAATCCTTGGGGAACACCAAATCCCAAGAAACAACGTGATGTTGGTTTTATCTTTCTCTTCACATGCATTGCTTCGATAATATACTTGAACTAATGGTTTTTGTTTCTTTTTGATGTCTCAACAGAGAAGCCTAACTCCACCATTCGTTGACGATGGACTTATCGAAATCGTCGGGTTTAGAAATGCTTGGCATGGTCTTGTTCTGCTCGCTCCCAATGGTCATGGAACAAGACTTGCTCAGGTAAATATAAAGTGATATATAGAAGAAAAAAAAACTGTGAATTAAGTGCAGATTCTGAGTTTTGTGTGTGTTTGTGTGACTAGGCAAATCGGATTCGGTTTGAATTTAAGAAAGGTGCAGCGAAGCATGCGTACATGAGAATGGATGGAGAGCCATGGAAACAACAACTGCCACTTGATGATGAAACTGTGATGGTAGAGATTTCACATCATGGAAAAGTAAACATGCTTACAACCCACAATTGCAAGTCCAAAAGCATGTATGAGTCTTCTTCCACAATCCGGTTTAGCGACGAAGTTAATAAAGATGACTCATCAGTGGCTAAAGTTGAGGAGGAGTTTAGAAAGTTTGGTGCGGCTGATACATTTAAGATTCCCAACGATCTTTGATCTTTGACTATATATTTGTTATCTTAGTCAGATATACATTTATGTTTGGCTCCTAACAGATTTTTCGTCCTTTTTATGTCAATATCTATATGTTCATGCAACTTTAGACTTTCTTTCAACCAATTAAAACCATATTGAAATAAATTTTCCAGGCAGTAAACAACTTATCTACTCAAAGACACATTCATGCATTGAGACATTTGCGAGAGAGGCAGATGTCAATATATCCTCTGTATAATATGTGACGGCGCCAAATTTTCAAAAAAGACATCTAGATCCTACGATAGATCCCAAAAATTTGAGAGAAAAAAAAAACAAGATTGCAAATATTTGTTGACATAAGAACACAAAGACGCACACAGATATATAATAGTGTATATGAATGATAGTGATGGAAGCATAGATAGAAAGTAGAGACATACACAGACTGATATGTGGAGTGGGAGATCACAAAAACTGTCTCGCTCCAAAGTCCAAATGCCAAACATGAGCAAAACCCTAAACTACAACCTAAAATGTGAGGATCTATATAAAACCTTTTTTTCTAAAAGAAAGGCCTCATGGGACAAGAAGCAGAGGAATAAGAAGAGCTTTGTGAAAACGGAGAACTATCCAAATCATCCCAAAGTGGACTTTCAGGACCCCATCCTGCTGTAATCGCATTGAACCACGCCTCAGCCATTCCTTCCTCTCTGCCACCATCACTCACCGCTACTTCCTTGCTCTCCAAGTTAACCTCACTTGGCTGCTGCGTTTCGGATTGTTTCTGATGCAAAGAGCTTGATGCACCACTCGAACCATGCGACTCGTTTTCCTTATTCAAAAAAAGCTCCGGAAAATTAAGTGTTGCGTTTTGACCCCTCAACTTGAAAGCTTGACGGTCGTAGGCCATGGCAGCTTCTTCAGCTGTATCAAAGGTACCAAGCCAGAGACGTGCCCTGCTTCTTGGCTTACGAATCTCTGCTACCCATTTTCCCCATTGACGTTGTCTCACTCCTCTGTACAGCTTGGTTGCGCTGTATGGCTGAACACTTTCTTGGTTCATCATCATCATTCTTCCTCTAGGGCTCAGATTCAGTGTGTCGCTCCAATACTTGACCATATACTGCTGCTGCTGCTGTTGATGAAGCTGTTGAGGATTAAACGAGATCATTTGCTTCTGGTCTTGCAATGTCGGTTGTGGTTGTTGGTTAACCGGAACGTATCCGAGTTGTTGTTGATTTTGGATAGTTGGATCAAGAGAGAAAGGGAAAGACACAAAAGAATTTGGAGAAGAAGAGGAAAATGGAAAATATGGTTTAGGTCGATTATCAGGATTTCTCATCTTCTTCATAGATCTTGGGGACGCCATAGTCGTGGACGAAGCTTCTCCAAAAGAAGGGTCGATGTTTTTACCTTTGGTGATACAAAGATTGAGCTCCTCGTCAAAGTCCATCTCTGTTTCACTGGTGCTTTACACTTTTGCCACACAAAAAAAAAACACAGAGCAGTGAAAAAAAAAAAAAAAAACCTTGACAGAAGAGAGCTAGCTAAAGAAAAAGAGAGAATATTGTGATTTTTTAAATATATATGATTTGCAACAGAGAGATGAATCCACGGGCTTTATATATGAGAGCAGGATTAGATTTGGGTGCACTGCTTTTTGTATTTAGTGATAAATATCTCATCTTTCGGTTGACTATTATTCAATACTATCTTTTTGGGGTTACTAAAATTATTCCTTTGCTTTCACTCTAATTCATTCCCTGGTCCCTTGGGGTCTATTTGGATGTTTTTTTAATAAAAAATAGGCATATAAAGAAGAGCGATGTTGACAGATAGAGATACAACCATTCACGTCCGTACGACAAACGTGGCATTCTCTGTTTTTTTGGACGGTGAACACATATTCATTCATGCTTTCAAAATGCGACAAGTCGTATGCTCAAAAGATAAGATTAGAGTGTAAAATTATCGAATAATTAAGAGGTTTTTGGCGAATTGAATGGAAAAATTGATGATTATAATGGACTCTAATGGTAATGGTCGGCTAGCCGCGGCTAAGGATGACATGCGCAATCCCATAAGAGTTAGCATTTGATGACAGCCTAACGTATTATTAATTAGGGCTATAAGATAGATATTTATTACTATATACATATTCTTTGATTATATAGTATTTAAAATCTTCCGAGTTCCGGGTCGGCGATTGGTCAAACTCAGCTTTCACTTTTTATGATATTTTGTTTTTTTTCTTCTCCCACCTCTTAAAGATACTCGCAAACCGACCAAGTTCTTCTTCTTCTTTTTAAAACCGACCAACTTTGACAACTATATAGTTTTCTTTCCTCTGACAAAATCATTTTTATTCTTAACTAATTTCGAGATATTATCTCACGTGCATATATGCATGATGTTATTTTTCATATCTTCTGTTTGTAGCTAAATATATATAGAATTAACATAAAAGGATTTTATGTGGAAATCCAAACTGATATTAGAATCTATAATTGTTATGTATTTTTTTTTTTTAGTGGCAAATAGGAGGATAAGAGTATATAACCCATACCATGATGATTTGACCCCATAAAAACCATACCATCATGATCTGGTGATAAAAGATTCACTTCTATCCAAATTTTCTTCTCTCCCGTTTGACCAATTAATATTGTTTACTCTACTGTTAATACTATTCTCTTGGTGATTGAAAAAATAAAAAATGGCTTCGGCTTTGTCAATAATGATTTGATGAGCCGTGACCGTGGTAGGTTTTGGACGGGGAAGCTTCTAGCGCGAATATACCTCTTCCGCACAGTAACAATTGAAGGACCATCCACTCTTTCGGCCTCGAGGGACAAATGGGCCAGTGACGTTGTTGCATTTCATTCCAAATGTATTTCTCCTCATAAATTCGACCACAACTAAAACAATTTATTGACATAAAAAAGGTGCCACTACATTATTGTTAAGTGATCTTTGAGTATACGCGTATGTATCGCTTTCACAATCGTTTTCAAACAAAAAAAGGTGACATGGTTTGCAAAAACTATGACATAAACATGGAACATTGTTTTAAAAAAATGTTAATTTCACATTTAAACTGATGTCTTTACAAAATCTCAAACCACATATAATTCCATTAACTATTTAAACTAATTAGTAAGAAATTGACAAACATATACTTATTCCTTACATAGTTTCTTACATTACATCAATACGAAAATATCGTTTATTAATTGACCTAACATAAAAGGGAATTAAATATTGTAAAAATCAGAAATTTTCGTACACTAAAAATATCTCCACGCAAATACATTTTCCCTCAATATTTTTCTAACATGTACTTATTCACATGATCATCTCTTGATCTATCAGTACGTGCTAACAAGTCGGCATGTTCCAAGGGATAAACTAGAGCCAAAAATAAGCAAAAGAACTACATAAACCTGTAAATTTGTCTTATTCCATGATAAAAGCAAATCATTCCTTCGAATGATCAATCATTTTAATAAGGTTCGTACAACTTCTATCTCCAAATGATCTACACGGCAGGAATCGCTTCAAGAGGCACTTCAAATCCCAAAATGCAAATGCGAATGTCTTGCCATATGTTGCGCAGACTCAAAAGTTAGAACTTCTTCGTCATTATGCAAACATTCGATCCCATCCCGAAAAGTTGAGAACATTATTTTTCATACGAATTAGTGCTAGTCCCGTATAACTTCTTTAAAGCCATTTTTATCATGAATGTTATCACCATTAGCCATTTGGAGGCTTGGAGTCTGTATCAAGCAAAATCAAGAGAGCCGGTGTTTATACATGCAAAAAGCCACAAAACATGAAATTGATCCCATCATTAATCACACCCCAAACCAAATCTATGTTGTTAAAAAACCTTCTGAAGAAAAAAAAAAGCCGGTGGTTATCCTTTTCCCAAATGTTATCGAACATTATTGACATATTCGAAGCTTAAACAAAAAAACTAAATAGATTGTTAACCAAGTATGGATCTAAACACTGTATTTAGAGATAATAAGGAGTAGTGGTGAAGTAGGTGAAGTCATGGTGGTGGACCCTAAGCTGCTTTAGCCAAGAATCTGCTACGCTCAAAAGGCAAAGCAATCTATCATTGTCCCATAGTCTCCCCTGCGTTTTATAAGTGGCCATCCCAAATGCACCAACACTTATCCTTTCCCTCTCCTTTTTCTTCACATCTGTTTCAGTGCCACAGAAATTATGGGACTTTAAAAAACAAATTCACTATACAACATACAACATCCAAAAGGAGAGTGGGAAATGCACCTTGGAAAGATGAAGAAAGCGTGTGGTAAGTGAGGAAGCAAGTAGACAAATCCTTTATGCTCAGATTCATGGGGATGTGATAGATCGGATACCTATAACATCGATCATCACCATTTCACTACATTAACCTTGATTATGCTTTTCTAAACAAAATAAAGAACATTTGCTAAAGAAGGCAGACCAAGCAACAGCCATCCAACTCGCAGGAGACAGATCAACACTCCTCAACGATCTCAAACCTGCGTGTCTTTCTCCCAAATTCTTGATCTGAAAGTAGACAGAGACTTATGTAATCATAGAATCTCTAAAATAATATAAGAAGTGCTTCAAGAATCAACATCATGACATAAGCTTAGGAGATGAATGTGGGTGAGAAAAAGCAAAACCTTATCCATGAGAGGCACTCGAGAATAAGGCGTACATCTCTCGAAATACTGCAAGTAAGAGTATCCGAGGCGATCAAGAGGTTCTTGATGATCAAATCCTTCTTCTGATGAAGAACAACCTTCCCATCTCCACTCCTCGCTACATGACTCGCTCCCTGAATCCCCAGATTCAGTCTCCTCCCTCAATCATCATCATTAGCAGCAACATCTTAGATTCATAGATGTGTTTAAGTTTCTGAAAAAATGGGCCTGATAATATTTCACCTTAGAGCATTGAGAGCAGAAGGAGAGGTGAAAATCTGGATTGCAGAGAGGTAAGGAACGTAGTATTGGACCAATGTCTCGCCAGTTTCCGACAAAATGGGAACACCTGCACCGTATGCGCTCCATTCGTCGAAACAATCCCAAAAACCGCTCAACCTGAAATACTCGATGCTCTCGCTCTCCAACGGGAACCATAGACGATTGAGATTCTTGATCTGTGTCTGCCAAACATCACCCCAACACAATTTTCAGATCCCCAAAAAAAAATAAAACAGAGAATCGTTTAAGAAAGCAGATGACCCGCCAGGAACGTAAAAAAGCGTGAAACCTTTGGGAGGGAATAAGCAGGGACGATTGGTGTAGTGCAGCGGAGGAATCGGTCCAAGTTGGATTCATTTTCATAAAACATCATTATCCAAGAAAAATAACCAAACTCGTCACAGAAAAAACAGAGAGGAGGAAAGACAGAGTTTTGCGGGATTCTCTTTCCCTGACGTTTCAAAGAGCTTAATTTACGGACAAAAGTGTGTCTTTTTTTTTCTTTTCTTCTGAAAATTTGCTTTATTGGGCGAGCATTTGAGACTTTCACGGCAATGTCAGAAACAGAGAGATCTCGGGAAAGACTGAATGAAAAAGGAACAGCCTTTTTTTCAGCTAACTCCAACGAATACTCTGTTTTGAGAGAAAGGCAATGACTTGAGCAGAGAAATGGAAAAGTAATATTAGGAAGAAACAAGTATAAATGTATCTACTTTGAGTTATTAGAGTGTTGGGAAATAGGTTTATATAAGTTATACAACCAAACTCTTATGTGACCCATTCTTCTGAGGTAGGAGTAGGATGTATTGGTAGATTTACCTGTCCCTTTCACAACTCTCCCACCTTCTCCATTTATTTTAATCTTTATTTAAAACATTACAATTTGGTTTCTATAACTTTCTCTCACTTTGTCGGATATGGCTGAGTTTGTTTGCTTTATTTGCATTTCCGCATTGTCCGTGAACAAGACAAGAAAAACAGAGCTTTTTATGCCCAAAATGACATCTTCCAAACGGCAAAAGTCTCCTTCTTTTGGTTACATCTTGAAAGAAGAGAAACCGGATCGATCACATTTTACTTAAAACAAAGAAAAAGAAACTCGGTCAATCACTCAATAATATCTTGTTTTATAATTCATATGGTGGAAAAGAATCATTAACATAAAAGGACATGTGTGACAGAATCAGTCGGCAATGTTGTAAACCAAACAATTGCTTAAACCAATTATTTACACTTTGACCTATTCAAATAGTACGACATGGGCATGATGATATAATAACAGAAAGACTTTGACTTTGGTGGGTTTCTTTCAAATTCAATCAACAACTGTAATATATGCCGATAGTCACGTAAATGTAATAAATAACCACTAGAAAAATGATTGATCGAGAAGGAAAACTATAGAAAGGGTCAAAACTGAAGGTTAGATTACATTTTCCTTCTTTTACGAACTCTGAAAGAAGAATAAGAAAGAAACAAAGAAATCAAATTCCTTCAAAGTGGAAGCCGTCGTCTCGCTGACTCCGTTTTTTTTTTTGTTTTTTTTTTTTGTTTTTTTTGTTTTTTGGTGTGAAAGCCAAATAAATATGCACACACTTGCATATTAGAAGAAGAGATTCTCCTGATTAAACTCCCATCCAAAATTTGGCCTTTGCACAACTGAAAATCAACTGAGGTAATTAGTTAAAATACTAATTAGGCATGTGTTGCAAAGGGGGTGACTGATCATGCAATTAACTCAGCGCCAATACAAAGATGTCACCAGACTTTGTAGGCTCACTTCAGCAAATAAAGCACTTGTTCATGTTCGTTTAATGTATCCATAATTAGCTTGAATCATATCACTTCATACATGACACACTTTCTTTCTCCTTCCTTCTCTCCACAAACCAAACAAACATTCAAGCTACAACTTTATCCTATCCTACACTAACACAACAATGGTTACTCCTCTGCAAACACTGATTGCCATATCGGTTCTGGTAAGCCTGTTTATTGGATGTACAGAGAAGGTGAGCGGGATGCGTTACATTCCCAACACGTTAGATACAACTGAGATCAAACACTCAGAGTTTCTTGTGAACATTGTTCCCCAACCATCTGGTCTCATTCCTGGTCTAGGATGGTTCTTGCTGCCTCCTCAACCTAAGACGCCAATCCATACTTACAAAGATCCACTTGCTGCTGCTCCAGTCACTTCTTGTGGAATCTCTAATCAGTTTGCACCAAACCCTGGATATGAAGCTCCCAATCCAAGCTCCGGAGAGGATAAAATACCACCAGTGCCACAACCATGACTCAACCTGTCAACAAATAAAGCATTTGCTAGATGCAAAAGGGTCATTTCATCACAGTCACTCATATCTTTGCGATCTCTCTCTGTTCAAGGAAGAAAGATATAATGTATTTGAATAAATACAGAGCTTTTGCTTACATGTTATGTCAAAATTAATAATACATAATCTCTTGCATTCCACATTGCTGCAAATTGTTTTCCACTGAGAAATGAGGAGATGCAGAAGAGGAAGACAAAAGAAAGTTTGACATAGCAATACTAAACCATATGAAAAAACGTATATACTTCCCCTATACATTTCTCTATTTTCCCACGACTCTTGCGTGTTATTAACGAATCAAACTTGAAAACTCATAAAACAATGTCTTGGATAAGCCTTCTAGAATCGAAGTTTCCGTGTCCACAACGTCAAATGATAAGATTGCGATCCTCCCCACGATTTGATTGTCGATGATGCATATACAATGTAAGACGAAAATGATCAGCATGACGAAACAAAATCGATGTGGGTTTCAGGCACCCAATACCTTGAAGATGATGAAACAAAGGAAGCAGAAAAATATAAAAAGGAAAAAATAATCAACGAGCACGAAGAGCTTCGTGGATCCATGGTTTCTGTTTTTCATCTTCATCTTCATCTTCCTCTTCTCCTCTTCCACCTCCTCGTCGTCGATGGGCTCAATCTTCGCCATTTTCGCCGACTCGAATTTCGCCGAGAAATATCTATGAAGCTTTTGCGAGTTTCCGAGATTGCTCTTCAATCTGCGGTCGATTCGTCGCTCGTGTTTTTTCCCGAGGAACCTATGCAACCATTTACAACAAATGGGCCTATATTATTAGCCCAAAAAAGAGAAAACTTCACTTAAAAGCCCATATTCGGGATGTTATGTTGACTAGTCAACTAAAACAAAGAATTTTAACTATCTTCTTCTTCTTCCTCCTCCTTCCTCTGTTTAGTGTTCTGTTTTCACCAGTCTACTTTCCTTCCAGTTAAAAATGAGCGTCGACGATCATCGAAGGTGGAGAACGGCGGGTCCTATATCGGGGGATGAGGAAGGAGAAGGACGTTTTGAGAGCTCGGTGAATGCGGTGCCGTTCTGTTTGGTGGCGACTGCAGTTTTAATCTCCATCTTTCTCTTACTGGCTCTTTTTGAGAGGTTCATGTTCATTAGAACAACTCAGTCTGCACCTTTCGACACAAAGAATCCTCCTTTTGCTTCCCCTAAGGTTTAAACACTTCTTCTCTCTATTTGCTTTTACAGTTCACACTTTTATCTACGATTTTGGTTTGTGGATTTAAACATACAGTCTTTATTACTCGATTGGCCAAAAAATGGCTGATTCGTTTGGAAACATATAATTAGGTTGATCATAAGGATTGTGTTTTTCGTTGGTTGGTGAGTTTGAGATGAAATAAACCTCATATTTTTTCCTTTTGATCCTGCCGATGCATATAACTTTGATGAACTCTATAGCCAGGCTTGCTTGATTTGTCTATAATGTAGAACGCGATTTACCAAGTTTATGCTGGAGGAAGCTTTTCTTTTTTGTCGTATCTTTGAAATGTTGCAAAGTCCAAAACAGGATTAGATTAAATGTATTTATATATTTTTATGGGGATACAAATCCCCTTGATTCATGCAACGAGGTTTGAATATACGCAGAGTAGAAAAAAATAAAAATGTTGAAGCTTTCACTTATTTGTCTACATTCTAGTTGTCTTTTGTGGGATGATGTCATACAATAATCTTGTTGTGTGTTGAATTTATGTAGATGGGTGTGTGTGAGAGGGAAATATCAGTGTTGATGCCTGGAGAAAAGGTTCCTACCTTCATTGCTCAGCCATGTCCTACCATATCCTCAAGATCATTCTGAAACCTTCCTTTTTTAATTCTACCATTATTCACTCTTATTAGGATTTTTCTTTTCTGTGTGAAAAAATGAAAAAGACAAGCCTTTATGTAGTCGAGTGTTATAACAGATCAGTGTCTCTGTCTGTCTGCTTATCCTAGAGCAAAAGAGCAGCAATTTCCATGAATAAAGCTAATGGATTTTGTGAACCCTTGTGTGTTAGACTTGCTTTTACTTTAACGTCAATAAACAAAAGAAAAAAGAAAGAAAACGAAGATCCGCAAAGATTTGGTTATATATTGTACATTCCGCAATTTACAAATCAAAAAAAAAAGGGGAAATTCAAAATCAATCAATCAAAACATGAGTAAATGGTAGTAAAGAGATATCAGAGAAAGATGAAGCATTCCATAGACACCTCAGGGTCCCTCACAGCTACATCTTCTTCTTCCTTCTTTACCTCAACAGCTACTTTCGCCTCTTCCTTCTTCACCTCTGCTCCGTCTCTCACCGGAGCTGGTTCTCGCTTCTTCATGGGACTTCTTCTTGCGGAACTCGGGCCACGAGTGGCCGGAGACCGTGAGCGACGCCTTGGACCTTCCAGTAACCCGCTTCTTGGGAGAGGACCCGAATCCACATTTCGCCGGTTGTGGATAGGGTTTGGTTGATTAGACGGTCTCTCTCGGACTAACCTGGGACGGAGCTTTCCCTGAGGCGAGTGACGACCTCCCGGAGACCTGGAGACTCTGTCAGAGATGTTGCGGCGAGAGGAAGAAGGAGGAGGAAGAGGTCGGTGGGGTTTGCTGAGAGCGTCGTCTTCGAGGATGGAAGCAGCGGTTGCAGTAGTGGCGGTGGAGAAACTGTGAGAGACGCTGCAAATGTCGGACTTACTGTGAGAGATCTCGGGGGTTAGGAGTGACGGAGGAGGACGGTGAGCTTCTGAATCTGAGACTTCGGGTACGGAGGGAACGATGTCCGGGACAGGGATGGGGTCGGGCACCGAGACAGAGACCGACTGGACCACGACTTCTTTCACGGTTTCTTCTTCAATGGTTGGAGGAGTCTGGTCGGCGGCGGCGGCGACAGGCGGGGCTCTGACTTTTCCGGCGCTCAAGCAGCATCCCATTTTCTTTCTCTACTTTCTTTCTGATACTTTCACTCTCTCTCTCTCTTCACTCTCGAGATATACGTGTTCTCCTTAATGGGCTTATCTTTCCTGATGGCCCATATTAGCTTTCTTTTATTGTATTATTTTAATCTGCTCTGACGAATCTAATATTTGTCTCATTCATACTTGCAACACAAAACGCCGGTGCTTTATTTTGTCATTATAAAAGATCTTCAAGAAAATT